GTGTGGCTAAAGGGCACTGAAATGCATTACACGGTTATTTTTTTAGCTACCAGCAGGTGGAGCTGTTGCTCCTCATGACTTAGTTATAAGGCATGTTCTCTGGAAAGGAACCGTGGTCCTGCCCTGGGTGGGCCAAAAGGATTAAGAATTTTGATGCTGGACTGTGGATCTAAAGGTCCCTGCCATGTACCATAACAAATTCATATGTACTACAATATTTCTAATCTTTGTTATTCGAAAATGCTGATTGTGTAAATAAGAAGCCTGAGTAGCGTTGCTGCTGGACAGGATTATGCTAATAAATGAATTTTAACACTAGGCAGATGCAGTTTTGAGCAGTGGGTTGACATGTGTTTTGACAGCTGAAAATGCCAATTTTAGCATATGCAGTCCAGGCGCAACACTTTGGTAACAGACTCTAGACAGGGAGGCTCTAGCTGTCCCGGGTGACCAGATGCAGAAGGGAGGGGCTGTGGCTCAGTAGCAGAGAGGCAACAGCTTCCCGGCTTGATATCTCTGGAAGCTAAAAGGATCACAAAGCAGGGCTGGGGAAGACCTGTCTTAGCATGAGAACAGATGCTAGTCCCAGGAACAGGCAGATCAGGACCTGTTATTTTGGGCAGAGACGCCTGTGCCACAGTAGTCCATCTTCTCGTAACTTCCAGATTTGATTACTGCAACATGCTCTACATGTGGGGCTGCCCTTGTAGACACCTTGGAAACGTCAACTGTCCCAAAACGTGTTTTCCTTTTTGTAAATCAACCTAAGAATAAAATAAGATGGAATCAGGATTAAGGGGTTTTTCTCGGGACATGTGTTGTGTGCCCCATTGATGGGGTGGTTTTGGTACTCGTCCTTCTTCTGGTGGGAAATGGGGGATTGGGGAGGAGGGCCAGCTGGCGAGGAGTGAGAAATGTCCCTGTTTTCATCTGAGGAATGTTGGAGGGTAGGGCATGGCATGGAGAAAGCGGAGAGAGAAAAGTGTTTCTTCCCTCCTAACACTAGAACCTGCAGGCAACCAATGAAGCTTCATGTTGGGAGATTCAGGACAGAGAAAATGAAGTACAGTGGTACCTCGGGTTAAGAACTTAATTCATTCTGGAGGTCCATTCTTAACCTGAAACTGTTCTTAACCTGAGGTACCCCTTTAGCTAATGGGGCCTCCCGCTGCCGCCGTGCCGCCGGAGCACGATTTCTGTTCTCATCCTGAAGCAAAGTTCTTAACCTGAGGTACTATTTCTGGGTTAGCGGAGTCTGTAACCTGAAGCATATGTAACCCGAGGTACCACTGTACAGGTTTGGGCAAATGCTGAAAACACATCTTTTAATCCTGATATTTGATCCCTGCGCTCTGTGTTTTCAGGACCTACTCCATTATCTGTGATTGTGATCTGTTTTAGCTTTTAATTTTAAGTTGTTGTAACCAGTGCTTTTTTTCTGGTGGGGACGCAGGCGTACGCATACCCCTAAACATTTTGAGGGCCAGTATTTCAATTTGAGTAGGAAAATGAGAGTACCCCTAAACTTTTTTTTTTTAATAGAAAAAAAGCACTGGTTGTAACCCACCATGACACCTGCTGGTGAAAGGCAGTTTAATCTTCTTCTTCTTCTTCATCACCATCTAATAATAATAATAATAATAATAATAGTAGTAGTAGTAGTAATACTTCCTGTCTGCGGATGATTTGCAACTAGTCATTAAGGATGTCTGATTGCAAAGGGGAAGAGCACATGCTTCTGACTGCAAGTTCCTTCCTCAGCATCTCCATGTAGGAGTTAGGTTCCTGTCTGAAACTGGAGAAATTACTTTAATTATTGGACTTTTGTTCCCATCAACCTTAGCCAACACATCCAATAGTCGGGGTGATGTGAATTGTAGTCCATAAAATCTGGAGGGCATCATGTTGTCTGGTGTAAGTAATTAGCTCACCCTTTGAGAAAGTCCTGATCTGGTTCTCTGGATTGTGTCCCAGCTCTTTACTTAAAGGTGCCAACATGCCAAGAAAGGAAGACGCTTCCTGATTCTTCAAAGAGGTGCATAGAAAAGGGAACTTTCAGTCCTTCGCGGCATTTTTTTCCACCAGCTTGCAGCTGAAATTTCCCTGCTGTGGTCAGTAAGTAGAACACCACCTGTCTGCTTTTGAGAAGCTCCCTTAGCCAAGTTGAACCACTGTCTGGCCCAAGTCAGTATCATATGTTCCAAGTCTGTCCACACCTCTCGGTTGCAAAATCTCCATCGTGGTTTTACTAGAGCTCCTAAGATCTGCCACCAATGTAAGCAAGGGGGCAAAATGGTTTCCCATGCAGCCACAGCAGGAAACCCACATGACCATGTTTCAAAAAGCAGTTTGCTGGTTGGCATATTTCACTGAAATTTGTTTGTTTTCATAAACTTTATGCACCGCTTGATTGTAAAGAACCTCAGGTTTACAGAAGGAATAAAACGGTGAAATTACTGTCAAAAACAATTATTTGAAACATTTTTAAAACCTCTGATGAACTTTAAAACACATGTCAAGTTTCTGCATTTCTGGGTAGGCTTGCCTAAGCAAAGATGCTTTTAGCAGAGGCCAAAAAAGAGTAAGGGGAAGACGTCTGCCTGCTGTCAATAGGCAGGGAGTTCCACAGTGTACTAAAAGACTGATTTCTTACAAACTCAGAATGAATATTATGTGGCACATGTAACTGTGCCAGTTTCACAGATTGAAGCAGTCAGGTGGGCATATATGAGGTAAGGTGATCTTGAAATTAAACACATGCTCTTGCTTTCTCTCCATTTGGGTACATGTTGTGTTAAGTTGTGGGTGAACATATCAGACGACACAGCGATTTTTCAAACAGCTCTTGTTTATTCACAAGCCAGAACAGAACTGAACTGAAGGGTTTAGCCAGCCTGCTTATATAGAGCTCCACTTTCAATTCCTTATTTGTATATGTGGACCTGAGTGAAAATTATCTACAGTATCCCCCTGCTGGCCCAGGGTGAGAACTTCAGTACATAACATATTGTCACCTGTATGCTCTTAAATCAGGAATGGAAAACCTCTGGCCCTACACGTGTTGGCAGACTTACTTTTAAATAAACAGCCTGTGCAGGTGCTGATTTTAAACTCCCAGGTATGTTTGTTTAAACTTATAAAAGTAGTGGGTTGTATCCAACTATGTTCAACCCAGAGTGGTTTCACTGAAACTGATAGATCTGCTGTAAGTTTGTTATGCCCATTAACTTCAATGGGTTAATCTGAGTAGAAACGCCATGTACAACCTTTTGTTTTTTATTCATGATTGAAGGGTATCCAAACAAGGAAGTGTTTTATTGTAAACACGCCTGGCACATTTTGGCACAATTGCCTTGATCAATAGCTTATTCGCATATTTCTCTGCAAACTTGATCAAGAAATCTCTGTTGCAAGAGAGGTTTTTTGATTGCGTTTGCAAATAAATATGTGAATTAGCCTTTGGTAAAGGCCATTGTGCCATCTTTGAGACGTGTTGCTCTTTCTTGCACCATGCCTGGTTTTTTGTTTGTGTGTGTGTTTCCTTTTCAGTTCGTGAACATTTCCAGAGAGGTAGCCTCCAATGAGTGGTCCATGAAAAATAATGCCACATTTGCACTAACCAGGCAGTTAGTGAATGGGTACTAAATGTTAGCAAATCTAAACTGTTCGGCTTCATGATGATTTGACATTGTATTGCACTGTTTAATTGAATATTATTATGTTGTTGTTGTTGTTGGCTGCTTGAAAACTTCCCTGGAATGGAAATGTGAGCGAGTTATGAAAAACACAATGCCTGCTGCTGCTGATCAAGCTGCTGTGAAATAAGTTTGTAATCCTCCTTATCCCGGTTCCCCAGGAGTTCTCTGAGGCTTCTGTCTTTTCCAAAGGTGTCTGTTCTTTTGCTAAGGAAACAGCTCTACAAGGAGAATCCTCCCTTCATGAGGCTGAGTTGTTAATAATGAAATGACAGATGGCTTTTATCTATAAGGGACATTCCTTCTACCCCGCTCTTAATCCTGGGATTCTCTTTGTGGGCAGCTGAATGGTAAGAGGCCCTGCATTGTAAAAAATATCCATTAAGCATTGCAAGTGAAGCCCAAATCCACCAAGGGCTACTCTGCACCTGACTGAATGTGTACTAACCGTTAGCAAATCCATTTAAATAATGCAGATAGAGTCGAGAATTTTTATTTTTCAAAAACTCAGCTCCCAGTTTGAAAGGCTGGGTGCGGTGGAGAACATAAAAGAGAGCCTGCTGGATCAAGCCAACCGCATTGTGTTCTCAGAGATGCCTATGGAAAGACTGAAAGCAGAACCTGAATGTAGCAGCAATCTCCTCTTCCCACCTGCGACTGGTTTTCAGAAGCACAGAACATAATAATCGTGGTTGGTTCTTGGTTGCTGCTGATAAACCTTCCATAATCCTCTTTTAAAGCCGTCCACGTTGGCGGCAGTCACTGCCTCCTGCCGGAGGGAGTTCCATAGTTTAACTATGTTCTGCTTGAAGAAGACTTTTATTTTCCCTTCGGCTTCGCTGGATGTCCCTGCGCTCTAGTATTATGAGAGGAAGGAGAAATAAAACACTTCTTATCTTTTCTGCAAGCTGGGAATAATTTGGCTGCTTTTACTTGCGCTTTCTGCAAACGAAAAAGCCCCCAAATGCCGCGATCTTTCCTCAAAAGGGCTGTTGCTCTTTTCCCGTGATCATGTTTTGGTTGCCCTGTTCCTTGCTACACTATTCCTTTTTGGGAGGAGGGGGAAAAAGATGCGTAGTCGGGATTCAATGCGAGCCCCCGCAGGTTGCACCGAAAATCCAACCTCGGAGCTCATTTTCAAAAGCGGACTTGGGAGAGTTAAAGAGCTCCTGTTGACAGCTGGCAAGCCGGCGGGCCAATCCTAGCTGGAGCTGCTATGCTGGCCACGCCCCCGTCCTTTCCATTGCGCTCGCTGATTGGCGGAGCGATGGAAACCCGGGCAGGCGCGCGCCCTTCCTATGCTCCATATATAGAGAGAAGCGTAGGGTTCAATAGAAATGTGAGTCTTTTTTTCTGGGGTTTTTTCTCCTTCTTCGTTCGATCGGATTTGCAGTCTGGATTTGCGATTTTCCTCTAGTGCTCTGCTAGACGCAGGACGTCAGCCAGCACCGGTTGGTTGTGAAAAGCCCGAACTGATTTCTTTTTCCTACTCCCCATTATTTTGGCTTAATAATGGCCAAAAGGAGCTCTTTGTTCATTCGAATAGTGGAAGGGAAAAATCTACCAGCCAAAGACATGTGAGTAAAACAAGCAAGCAAGCAAGCTAAGCTTTCCTTCCTCATTATCCACCGCTTGTGATTGTTGTTGTTGTTATTTGATCTGTTATTTATCAAACCCCAGTTCTTTGTTGCTGACGAAGCTAGTGGCGGTGTGTTTGTGATCCTCTGTATGCTTTACTTAGAAGTTCCACTGATCGCAATGTTTTTTGGTAAGTGTGTGCAAGATTGTAGGCGTCGAGCTGCATCCAACTGAAACCTACTCGGAGTAGACCCACTGACGAGACCTATGTATGTCCATTAATTCCAGTGTTCTGTGAGTATGACTAATGCTGGATACGGCCCCTTCCCTCTTGCAGATCAACACCATACATTTAAAGCATATCTGTTGCACATTCAAAGCGCATAACATTCCCCAGTGGATTTTGGGAGCTGTAATTTGTTAAGGGCGCTGGGAATTGTAGCTCAGGGAGGGGGCAGCTACAGTTCTCCGGATTCTTTGGAGGAATCCATGCGCTTTTAATGTGCGTTGAATTTGCTGTAAATGTATTGTGTGGGTCTGCCCTTTGCCTCTCTATTGTATGTTAAGACTTTTGTAGCTTTTAAAAAATAATTGTGAAATAAGTTTCTCTTTCTCAGTTGGTCAGCTGGTGTTTAAAAACATATTGCAGAAGCTTTCCTGCTTCCTCTTTTGGGGCTGAAAAGCAAAATCTGTACACTCTGATTCTAGGGACAGGGTTTGTTTTCCCCCCTCCTGAAAAATCTAGCTTTGCCTTCCCCAGTCTGGTGCCTTCCCAACGTTGTGTCACCCAAAACATCTGGAAGGTACCTGGTATGTGACGGCAGATCTAGCCTGAGGAAGCTTACTTATTACCATTTAATTAAAACACACGCTTGATTGTCAGCCCCTAGCCAACACCTTGTCCTCATTTCAAGCGCGTTAATTTCTTTCTGTGAGACCAAAAAACGCCACTAACTGCATGTTTTCCTATTCTGTAACAATAAGAAATCAATTTTGAGGAAGAGGTACATCCTATCTCCCACAAACACAGTTGTATTCCCACACCCACTCTACCCTGTCTGCCAAGCCAGCCTCATCTTACATGGCCAAATATGTTCATAACATTCTTATTTATTTTTTATTTGCTGTCTGACACTGAATTGTTATAGATTCCGGAGGGGTGGTTGTATCAGTCAGCGGCAGCAAAACTGGCAATGAGTCCGTGGCTCTGTTGAATGGCTCATCATGGCATAAGCTTCTTCTGCCTGATGATGCCACATACAGAGTTATTACAGGCACGTTTCTGAAGCAATTCCCAGTCTCTGCATGAAAGTTGAGTTTAAGACGTAAACTCCATTGGCATGACAAAAGGACAGCACAACATTCAATGCACCTAAAAATAGCAAAATGGCCTGATCGCTGTTAAAACGTATTTTCCTCCCTCGCTCTCTCTTTCTCAAATCGGGGCTTAAATTGTGCCAGATTTCATGCCAAAGCTTAGGCTCTGGAATCTGTTTCGACACCGGAGCTAAGAGCCGCTGTCACCTCTCTTTGGAAATCCTTAATCCAGCACTGTGCAGGATAAACATGATTCTGATGAAATGAGAGTGGAGAAGAAATAGGAAGCAGATAAAAAAAATCTGCCTGGCCATAGGGGGACAAACACTGCAAACTCTTAATTGATTTGTATTATAGCAAGATCCCCATTTGCCCATCGCTTTGAAATCTACCCTGAAATGTTTTGGGGTTTTTTGTCCTTTCCCAGGGATCTTTCCAATGTATTCCTCTGCAGGAAAAATATTGCATTGGGACTGGCTTGCCAGGATGTTGTAGAAAAGATAGGCGTTCTGTTAAATGACAGGAGTAAAAGGTAAAGGGACCCCTGACCATTAGGTCCAGTTGTGTCCGACTCTGGGGTTGCAGCGCTCATCTCGCTTTATTGGCCGATGGAGCCGGCGTACAGCTTCCGGGTCATGTGGCCAGCATGACTAAGGTGCTTCTGGCGAACCAGAGCAGCGCACGGAAATGCCGTTTACCTTCCCACCGGAGCAGTACCTATTTATCTACTTGCACTTTGACGTGCTTTCGAACTGCTAGGTTGGCAGGAGCAGGGACCGAGCCCCGTTGCGGGGATTCAAACTGCAGACCTTCTGATCGGCAAGCCCTAGGCTCTGTGGTTTAACCCACAGCGCCACCTGCGACAGGAGTAGAAATTTTGAAAACGAAAACAGTTTTTAATACCAAGGGCAGAATAAAGTTGCTTCACTTTATTCCTGCAACAATCCTGTGAAGTATGTTAGCAGGACCTGTTAACTTAATATCTTTGCAGGAGCCTTATTGAAAGCGTCCTGGGTCCCAAAACTACTATGCTTTCGCCTGCCCTTCTGACATGCTTGCCTCACTTGGAACGACTGCCCAATGGTTTAAAAAAACCCCTTTAGAATCAAAATGGAAATGGGCTTCACAAAGAAATCATCCTCACTGACCGCTGTTGGACTAGTAAAGAACTTGGCAAGAGTGCTTCTGAGAGTACAAAGGACTTAATGTATCTCTTTTGATCATTTCTCAGTTCTGTTTAGAGCAGTTCTGTAAGATGGGCATGGATTACCCCCAAAGTTCAGGTTTTGGCAAGTAGGGGGCAGAAAGATGAAGGATTGCCTAAGACCTGCTATTCCTTGCATGGCTATTCAGCAGAGAGCTTGCTGTTCAACAAGGCGAGCCTATTTTTAGGATTTCAGTGATTTACAGCAAAGTTCTGAAGTAAGGTCTTGAATGTGAAGTCTTCTTAAAAACTCCCAGAAAGCAGGTTCCTGATGCATATAGTTAGTGCTTTTTTTCTGGGGGGGACGCAGACCCCTAAACATTTTGTGACTATGTTTGGCCTGATTGAGGGACAGTATTTCAATATGAGTAGGAAAACGAGAGTACCCCTAAACATTTTTTTTAGAAAAAAAGCACATGTACATAAACTGTATGTGGGTAAAATTTGCATGTATAACCATGCACAAGTTATGCGCAAGAGAACCCTGCTTTTTGAAGTGTCTCCAGTCACGCACAGAATTTGTTTGCACAAAGTCTTCATGCTCTACGTGTAAAGGGGGGGGGTAGTGTGCACTAGGCCTCTGCTCTCTCTGTGTGCAATATGTATACATCATGCACATACAACTCTCAATGTGCACCCCATCATTTGATGGTATTTTTGTCACATACATTTAAAGCACTGGTCACCACTTTAAGCTGTCATTTCTTCCCCCAAAGAATTATGGGAGCTGTAGTTTATTAACGGTACTGAGAGCTATTAGGAGACCCATATACAGTGGTACCTCGGGTTACAGATGCTGCAGGTTACAGACTCCGCTAACCCAGAAATGGTACCTCGAGTTAAGAACTTTGCTTCAGGATGAGAACAGAAATCGCGTGGTGCAGCGGCAGCGGGAGGCCCCATTAGCTAAAGTGGTACCTCAGGTTAAGAACAATTTCAGGTTAAGAATGGACCTCCAGAACGAATTCTTAATGTGAGGTACCACTGTATTCCCCTCCCATAGCTACAATGCCGGAGTGGTTTAACAGCCGGTTCTTTGCAGGAACCTCCAAAACTTGTTGCTCTGTAAGAGTGAATAGAGTCCTCCTAGACATGAATTACGTGAATGTGGCCTTAGTGCTTTATGGAAGGCCTTGGGGCAATCTCAGGGTGGAGAAGCTAAATCTTCTAAAGAAAGCATTGCAATACAATTAAAAAAACTCTATGCAGATGTTTGCAAGGACAGTATGGAGAGGAACAAGAAAGGCAATATCCTTTGATGCAAACTTTCTGAAATCTCTGAACTTAAACTCCCTTCTGAGAAAGAGTTGTCGTTTCCTTTGCTTGCGAGCTTGGCTTGCAATTATAATGTGGTTTTGATCCAAAACAAAATGGGTTACTTCCTATACCTTAAGAGGCAGGTGGTTGGTGCAGAATGTCTTCCCCTTCACAATTGCAGCCAGCTCTTAAGTGTGCTTGCCTCCAAGGTGGCCTAGATTTGCTGACAACATTGTGCTAGAAAGTAGAAGCCTGTTTAAACCTTTCCTTATCATACTGATCTTCACCCAAGTGAAGGGAAACATTGTAGGGGGGACCCTGCAGTTTGAGGAAATGGCTTCTCCTCCCTCCACCTTAACAGAGACTTGGGCCACATTCACACTATATATTTAAACCATTATCATACCAGTCATGGCTTTCCCCAAAGAATCTGGGGAGGGTCTGAGAGCTGTTAGGAGACCCCCAACCCCACATTTAAAGGGGATGGGGAAGGCCAGATAACATGGGGGTTGGGGAGGATGTTGTGTGGATGCCCCTACATTAATGGGAGGGGGAGAGGCAGGTGCAAAACTACAGCCTGTTCTTTGTGTGTGGACAAGCCCAGATTTCTCATGTGCAAGGTCTTTGGTCTGGCAATCACTTATTTAGATCCTTCTGTTATTGTGTGTCTCTTGAACCCTTTTTCTGGCGGCTTCCCTTCGCCGTGCTCCCCTGGTATCAGGAGCAGCTGATGAAATAAGAAACAAGTCGAAAGGGTAGGAGGCCTCCCTTCTCTCCTCTCTCAGCTTCTCCTCCCCCCCCCCCCCCCAGTTCATGAATGCCCCAGGTCAACTCCCTCCATTGTAGTCTTCTGTGACAGCTGAAAAGGCTAGTCCATTAATATATTAAAATGAGAACTTTTCTCTGGAAATGTCATGGTGCCCTGTGAACTGGATGAGAGCCCAGGCAATCCCCAGCTATTTTGGGGGCCCTTCCCAGCTACACTAAGCTTTTTCTTCTTCTCTGCCCTCTATTACTGTGTGTTGGGCCGAGGCCTACAGAGCTTAGATAGTGGAGACATAGGGAGCCAGTATTTACATTCAAGAAGGGCAGAGCGGTACAGCCTTTCCAGGAGGGTACCACTTCAGACTTTTAGGGGTGTGTGATTGATAATATTGCATTTATATCCCACCCTTTCCTCCAAGGTGGCATAGAATTGTAGAGTTGGAAGGGACCCCGCTGCAATGCAGGAATCTCAGCTAAAGTATCCATGACAGATGGCCATCCAACCTCTACTGGAAAACCTCCAAGGAAGGAGAGTCCACCACCTTCCGAGGGAGTCCGTTCCACTGTCAGACACCTCTTACTGCCAGAAAGTTCTTCCTGATGTTTAGTCTGAAGCTCCTTTCTTGTAACTTGAATCCACTGGATCGAGTCCTACACGTTTGAGCAGGAAAAAAACAAGCTTGCTCCATATTCCATGTGGCAGCCCTTTGAGATATTTGAAGGTGGTGTACACGGTTCTCCTCCTGCTCCTTTAATCCCCACAACAGCCCTGTGAGGTAGGTTAAGCTGAGAGGCAGCGACTGGCCTCCAAGGTCCCCCAGTGAGCTTCATGGCTGAGCCCCGCTCTCTCCCAGGTGCTAGTCTGACATGCTAACTCAGGCATAGGCAAACTCTGGCCCTCCAGATGTTTGAGACTACAATTCCCATCATCTCTGACCACTGGTCCTGTTAGCTAGGGATGATGAGAATTGTAGTCCCAAACATCTGGAGGGCCGGAGTTTCCCTATGCCTGTGCTAACTACTATACCACACTGGCTCCCTTGGGCCAGGGAGGCGGGGGGGATCCATTTTGGAGCTTAGGAAGTTCGTCTCTGGTACCAAAAAGGGTGCAGCTTCCCTCCCCAAAGCAAATAGATGGCTTTCCTTCAGGATCACAACAGGAGAAGGGAAAGGTTCAATTCTGCCCCACTCCACCCCCCTGCACTTGTTCTGACCCTGTTACTTATTGGGATTCCTCTGCCAACATACAGTTATGCTTTAAAAACAACCTTCTCGCCCTCTCAGTGGTGGCTGGTATCTAGGTAGGACAGAAGGCAGAGTCACCTCCGATTGGTTGTAAGCAAGAAGTCAGACAGGTGGGAGCTGGTTGAGGGCAGGCCAAGGTTGGCGGGACAGTGCCTTACTTGCCATCATTGACCAGCCTTCGCTACATGTGCCGTTAGATGCATCTTGTGTGGAAACTACTCTATGCTCAGTCAGTTGAGCATGAGACATAATCTCAGGTTCGTGGGTTTGAGCCCCACATTGGGCAAACGATTCCTGCATTGCAGGGGGTTGGACTACTAAATGATGCTTGTGGTCCCTTCCGATTCTATGAGGCTAGAATTGGATTTGCAGCAACTGTGAGCCCCATTTGGAAGATGGAGGGAGCTAAAGATGCAAGGAGGGGCCTGCTGAGGGAGGGGAAGATGGGAAATCATGGTGACAAATCACTCTTGGTATATTTATGTGGCCATCTAACTTATTTTAAAAAATTAAACTGCAGTTATGCACCTAATACTCTTGAAATGTTATAGTCGGCTTACAGCTAGTCCTAATAGAAATAGATTGCAGCCTCAGGAGAGATGCACTTTGACAGCCCTTACTCAAGACAACAAATACATGCATGCAGTCCTGGTCTGTGGCCTTCATTCTTTCATGACTGCCATGTTTACAAAACAAAACCTCAGAAGGTTGAAGTGTGATGGTGATGATGATGATGATGATGATTGATTGATTGATTGATTACCTGCCCTTCACCGTAAGATCCCAGGGTGAGTTACAGCAATTTAAGGTAAAGGTAAAGGGAACCCTGACCATTAGGTCCAGTCGTGACCGACTCTGGGGTTGCGGCGCTCATCTCGCTTTATTGGCCGAGGGAGCCGGCGTACAGCTTCCGGGTCATGTGGCCAGCATGATTAAGCTGCTTCTGGCAAACCAGAGCAGCGCACAGAAATGCCGTTTACCTTTCCGCTGGAGCGGTACCTATTTATCTACTTGCACTTTGATTTGCTTTCGAACTGCTAGGTTGGCAGGAGCAGGGACCCAGCAACGGGAGCTCACGCCGTCGTGGGGATTCAAACTGCCAACCTTCTGATCAGCAAGTCCTAGGCTCTGTGGTTTAACCCACAGTGCCACCTGCGTCCCTACACAGCAATTTAAACTTCCCTATTAAAGGCAGTTTACAAGAAGTTGCAATCACAGGAATGGGGTGGGACCAGAAAAAAATATATTGTGTGTCAAAGGCCATGGCAAAAAGGTGTATCTTCCTGGATTGTACCATCTTTGACTGCCAGGGACAACTCTTTTTAATGTTTCTTTGCTCCATTAACATTTTTTAAAGTGACAAGAGGCTCTATATCTCTTGGTGCACACCTTGTGACCAGAACATCCTTGTCAGTGAAACCTTTATTTCCTTGCCTGCTGTCTTAATTGCGTTGGTTGGTTTTATTGTGGGATTGTTTTTAGCTAATAATAATAATGGATGCTACAGACTAACCTCCTTCCTGTCATGCTGATATTTTATGTTCAGGAAGTACTGTGTTTCGAAAAGGATTTCTGCCACTTCATGTAATGTTGGGGTTTTTTGTTTGTTTTTTAAAGGTTAACTGTAATCTGTCAAAAAGTTGGCATGAGTTTTCGATTTGCAAAGCTTGTTTTTTTTTATAAAAAAAGTACTGTGTTTTGGGTGGGAAGGCATTATCATTCTTCCTTTCAGGATTAGGCACACTGAAAGCTGTCTTTCAATGTCCAACTCTTGGTCCACCTAGCTCAATACTGTCCATTGCAGTGGTGGGAAGCCTGTGTCCCTCCAGATCTTCTTAGGCTGTCCAAGTCCCATCATAGGATTGTAGAGCTGGAAGGAATCACAGCTAAAGCATTCATGGCAGATGGCCATCAAACCCTCTGCTTACAAATCTTAAATGAAGGAGAGTCCCTCACCTTCCGAGGGAGTCTGTTCAACTGCCGAACAGGTCGTACCATCAGAAAGTGCTTCCTAATGTTTAGCTGGAATGCTGTTTATTGATTATAGCTCTGCTTTTAATACCATCCTTCCGGACATTCTTATTAAAAAGCTGATGGACCTGGACCTTTCCCCTACCACCTGCGATTGGATTAAAGTCTTTCTGAGGGATCGCACACAAATAGTGAGGATTGGGCCTGTTACATCTACCTCTCTGAAGCTCAGCACTGGCACCCCATAGGGATGCGTGCTGAGTCCCTACCTGTGCTCGTTGTATACATATGACTGCATTTCATCTGATCCATCTTGCAATTATTAAGCTGCAGATTATACCACCATAATGGGTCTAATTACAGGTGGATATAAATCAGCGTATAGGGAGGAGGTTCAAAAAGTCTCCACATGGTGCCTAGAGAACAACTTGCACCTAAATATCAGCAAGACAAAGGAGATGGTGTTGGGCTTTCGGAGGAAGAGAGGGGAATTAGCCCCGTTGTATATCAGGGGTCTGTGTGTAGAGAGAGTCTCTTCCTTTAAATTCCTGGGAGTTTACCTTAGTGAAGACCTCACTTGGAAAATCAATACAACCCAGGTGGTTAGGAAGGCCCAACAGAGACTCCATTTCCTCAGGGTCTTGCGAAAGAACCATGTCAAACAAAAACTGATGATCTCCTTCTACCGGGTCACAATAGAAAGTGTCCTTTCATACTGTATAACAGTGTGGTACGCTGGTTTGACAGCCACGGACAGGAAGTCCCTACAGAGGGTGGCGAATACAGCACATGACATCATGGGTTGTCCTCGGAGTTCGCTAGATGACATCGCGGGAGACCGCTGCCTCAGGAAAGCGAGGAAAATTATTAGGGATGACTCACACCCTGGCCAACACTTCTTTACTCTCCTACCTTTGGGCAGGAGATACAGAAGTATAGTCAGCCGCACCAACAGGTTAAAGAACAATTTTTATCTGTGGGCTGTTGGGCTGCTGAATGGGAAAAAAATAGTGGTGTAATTGACTTCTGACAAGCACACAGAGCATGAACAAGACTGAGTGTATGGGGGGTGGGGCTTGTTTAATTTCACTGCACATAGGTGGTGTAGTGACAATAAAGGTTTATTATTATTATTATTATTATTATTATTATTATACCTGAACCTGGAACCTTTTGCATGCAAGGCTGGGGACATCAGGCTAAGTTCCAAAACAACTGCAAACAACGAATTGCTGCATACCTTCGACATTATGGAAGGACTGATGAAGCCCCAAACTCACAATACATTTTCTAGCGCTGAGCCTGCTGAAGCTAGGATGAGAAATTGGCTTGGAGCCCTGGTCGTCTCTATAAAGACATCCCTGTGAAAATCCTGCTCTAGAGCAGGCAGCCCAAACGGTGGTGTGCTCAGGGGCTCTATGGAAAGTCTGGGAAGGACAGAAGGAAGGACGGCTGCAAATGGTAGAGCTCAGTGGCTGCTCTGTCCTTCTGAGAACTTGTGATTCACCTGCAAGGTGAGCATGACGGACCAGAATTGGTGGGGAGAGGAGGCACTTGAAAGGACTAGGAAGGATTAGGATATGAAAGATGGAGAAGGAGGAAGCAGATAAAGAACACGGATGAAGGAAGCAATAAAAATAAAATTGAAAATCTGGCACGCAGTGCCACTGCAACAGGAAGTAAAATCATGATGTGGTCTGTCTGGACCCTCTTTAATTTTTAAGCAGTTGATGGGTGAGGTGTGGGAAGCTTGAGTAATATAAGTACCAAGACAGTTCCCTGCCCCAAGCAGCTTACAATCTATGCAGTTAGGTATTGAGTAGGGTGTCAGCAACTTGACTTCAGTGAAACAAGACAACAGACGGATCAGGCAAAGGGTTCAATCCCAGTATGCTGTGGTGCAGTCAAACCAAGAGGACTCGAATCAGTCAGCAAACATATGTATTTTGCAGCATTGCTAAACTTTATTTTGTGCCTTTATGGAAAAAAATGGTTGAAACGTTTTGGCCTCGCCTCTTTCTACTCCTCATATTGTGTACATTTTACATACCCACTAAAGTTTCCTTGTTCTGGTGACTAATTTCCCCTTTGAAAAAGAAAACAGAGAACTTCACTTTAGCAACATATTATAGAGGGTCTCTTACCCCTCCCACTCCCCCCCCCCCCCCCCGCGCCAGTGTACCTTTTACTGGAAGGCTCTCCGGGTAATTGGAAACCTTGTGGATCTGTCAACAAAGCATAAAACCTTACAGAGGGAGGAAATGATTTTGAGTGTGACCTTTCAAAGCTGTTTATTCAATGCTAACAGCCCGGAGACCTCCAGAAGAAAAACATGTTTTGTTATGGGTTGAGGAAGTTCTTAGTCTGTACTCAGGATTGAGGAGAAGAAAAAAGTGGATTAAATATATCTTTCAGATGAACAAATGACGTAGAGATCCTCTGTTGCAAGCTTCTTTCCCTCTGAAGGCTCATAGCTGCTTTCCTTTTTTGATCTCTTTCTAGTAGTATTTAAGACCGTTATCACATTCCTTCCCCGACTCAATTTTCTTCAAATGTTTTTAAGATACCCTCATCCTCTGTATGGCACCACACTCAGAAATCTTTAAGAAGGACATCTGCTTTAAGCGAAGTTCTTCGAAGGTCAAATTGTTGGCTTGTATAATCAAAGCATCCATACCATTAAACCCTTAATTATGTTTATTTGGAAAGAAAGCCCCTTTGAATGCATTAGAACTTACCATGGGGGGTATTTGGAGATTGCAGCCATGCATGCGGACTAGAAACTTGGATATCTTTCAAAACGAAAATTGGGAGTTTCAAGATTTTCTGCTAAGCTGGGGATGGAACTGTTGTGTTCCTATGGTTTCTTCCATATTTAAGCAAGTAGGTCCTACCTCAGTTGACTTGATGAAACTGGCAAAGATTAGGGTTGGTACCAAGTAACTGGGGGACAGTTTGGTTGGTGGGGAGATGGAATGCCTGTAGTAAGTTTTCTCACAAAGCTTTCTGAGTCCTCACTTTCTCTGTGTATGGAAGTGCTCTGTGAGAGAATGTTCTTGGGTGGAGGCCAATCTTCTTTGTGGTCCATTGGAGGAAAATCTTGAGCCAGGAGCAGACCGGTTAAAAGCCTCAGCCAAAAATAGTTTTCGTGTGTGTGTATTTTATGGTAAAAGAATGCATACAACAGAAATAAGATTTAAAACAAGGGCCTATCAAAACATAAATGTGAGCACACTCAAATAGTACAAAGGGCAGATATGTTTTGACATCAAGTCTTCACAGGTGGCCAGAATTATGACCAGATAGTAGGTGGGGGCAGGAAGTTTAAAATAGTATCTGAGGAGAATACATATCTTATTGTGGCTAAATCTTTATTCTGACACTCACCATTAGGCTTAAAAAACAACATCCTTCATTTCTATAATGGGATCAAAGTTCATCAGGATACAGGATGTTTGAACCCTACATAAAAAAATGGTAACACAAAAATGCAAAGGAGAACGTTAAATGCAAACCTTTTTAAATAAATATATGCAGGTTTGGCCTTCAGTCTCACTCCTGAGTAGGAATGAGGGAGAAAATCGATTCACTTCACATTTAAAGTTAAGTATATCAAATTTGCACTTTTCAAAGCAACATGAGAACCAAAATACAGCCATCCATCAAAATTAGCACACATCCAAATTTTGTAATTCAGTTGCTGAACAAAAGAACGTTTACAAAAACCCACATATTTGGGGGGGGGCATAAAAATCAATATATTTGTGAAAATAATGTCTGAAACTGCATTGCATTAGAAGGAACTGCATGCCAAAATGTGTTAATTAGGATGTATTCACGCTAACACACTGAAGGAGTTTTCATTCTGCCACCTACAATGGGAGCTTTGCTAAGTGTTTTTAAGTGGCATTCAGGCCCTATGAACAATCCTTCTGTCTTTTGCAGCCCTCTCCCCACCATGTTCTTAAAATTTCATAGAATCATAGAATTTTAGAGTTGGAAGGGACCCTAAGGCTCATCTAGTCCAACCCGCTACAACCCTCTTTTTGTCCAATGTGAGTCTCGAACCCACAACCCTGATATTAAAAGTCTCATGCTTATACCAGTGGAGCCGTTTATCCCACTGTGACTTGGCAATAACAGCCAGCAGCCAAATGGTTAAATGCAGAACTCAGCAGCTGTAAATCCAGCTCCTGAGATATCTCTATTTCCCCCATCTCACAGGGCACCCTTTTTTCATATTAAATGGCTGTTTATTTTTCGGCCTTTAGCTTGCAAATGATTAACGAAGGCCAAGGCAGGGAGCTGAAAACAGGATAATTCAGGTGTGCATTCCATTATTTGGTCTCCTGCTATACAGTGCCTCAAGCTGCGCTGATTAATGGAGAGTAGAGGAAGGAATCCATTTATGGCACCACCTCAGGCTCTAGCTCGGCCAGGTGTGGTCTCCCCGATGTCATATGCTCTGCCTAAATGCACGTTGCAAGGAATCAAAGCAAACAGCAAACAACACCCAGCATGAGGGCTAGCATCATACGGCATTCAAGGCTACTGATCACCCAAACTGAACTTACGATCAAATGTTGCGCCCCCTGGGCTCACCTGCCCATCTGACTCATATCTCGAGGTGGCAGGATGCAATGAAGAGGGCGACCCATGCACTTTGCATGCGGCATCCTTGAGACACGAAGACCACATTCTTTTGCAGTCCAAGTGGTGTATAAATTTTATGAAATGTAATACAGTGGTACCTTGGGTTAAGAACTTAATTCGTTCTGGAGGTCTGTTCTTAACCTGAAACTGTTCTTAACCTGAAGCACCACTTTAGCTAATGGGGCCTCCCGCTGCCGCTGCGCCGCCAGAGCATGATTTCTGTTCTCATCCTGAAGCAAAGTTCTTAACCTGAAGCGCTATTTCTGGATTAGCGGATTCTGTAACCTGAAGCGTCTTTAACCCGAGGTACCAATGTATTACTACTAGCCACGATCTGGACCCTGCCCTTTTTTTGTGAATGCTTCTGAAGATTGCATTAGATCTGTCAGCAGCTCCATCAGGATGCCTGCTCATCTTCTGATCAACTTAAAGCATCTTTCTTTGGGTGGCAGGAAGGAAGTGACAAGACAAGATGACCTCCTTTAACACTGGGAGAAACTTCTAGAAGCCAAGTGGAGGAGCCTGAAATAGGCAACTCTCTCTCTCTCTCTCTCTCTCTCTCAGCAAACTGACAATTGCCATTTCTTTTAACAGAACCATAGATTTGTGGCTGTCCAGGCTCCTGCCAAAGCCTTCCTCGTGGCCATATGGTCTGTTGTGCCTTAGCTGCAGAAATGGCCCTCATGGAACCTGTTCCCATGGAGGCTGTTTGCTTGCCTTGCAGAGGAAATGAAGTCCCGCTGGCCTCAGCCACTTAATGAACCTTTCCCATATCTAGCAAGTGCCCAGCAGATGGCCAAGCGAATAACTCGGGAGAGGCAATTCCAAAGTCTCTAATTTGATGACAACTTTCTTATTGACTTACTCTCTGTTTCTGCGCTAAAAGCCTTTACAATACTCTTTTTAACAGTGCCCATGTTAAGATCTCAGCCACTGATATGCTTGATCTCCTGCAGAAGCCTGCCACTGCTTTGAAAAAGATGTCTGCTAGGAAGAAGGAGCAGAAGCTCACATTTTGCCAGTAAGCCAGGGGTGAGGAATTTCAGGCCTGGTCCTGAATGCAGGACTTCAAGGCCTTCCCAGATTAGTCCCAGGGAACTGTAGCTCTGTGAAGGGAACAGGAGTCTCCTAAGAACTCTGCACTGTTAACAAACTACAGCTCCCATAATTCTTTTAGGGAGAACATGATTATTCAAAGTACTGTAGTGTGTGTTAGGAGAAATTTTCCTGAAAATGCTGAAGAATTTTCATCATGATTCTTCGAAAGAAAATCCGCAAGTTGGCTGCAGAAATGTGGAGAATCGAATTAAAGCCTGGGGAAATGAGAAACGGAGAAAACTGAAATTAACAGATCTTCCCATCCTTAATCCACGATAACTTCATAAAATGTGTACACAAAAGGACTGCACACCCACTGGTACTTTGCAGCTACTCAGCCTTGCAGCCTGCAATGTGATAGCAGGATGACTTGATGCACGTGCAGAGGGCACCCGATATGGGAGACCCTGTGGTAGTGAATATCCAAACAGGCTTGAGACCTGGGCATCTCCCTCTCGTTTTAGAAATCTGATAGTGAGAAACACTATCGGAGCAAGAGGCTCATTTGACCTTCAGTTGAGACGGTGGCAGATTGAGCAGGACGGGCCCAAGGGGGCAGTCAGTGAAGCGACGGGAAGGAGGTTAGGTCACAGGTCTCCAAACATCCATTCTCTCAGTTCTATAAATACATGGTTTGGTTACTCACTGCATAAGCTTTGGAGAAGGCCTCTTTATTGACACTTCGGCATTCTCTGAAATCTCTTGTTGGAAAGCCTTTCAACTGGAATGTATCCAAAGATGGAGAGGGACAGAGGTCTGGGAACCCAAGCCCTGTGAGGAGCATTTGAAAAAGAAAAGCTGAGTGTGTTTAGTGGTATTGTTGAAGGAGGTATTGTTATTTACATTTATATTGCACCTTTCCTCCATGGAGGCATTTGTGGTTCTCCTCCCTCTCCGTTTTGTCCATCCAACATCCCTGCGAGGTAGTTTAGGCTGAGAGGCTGTGACAGGCCCAAGGTCACCTAGTGAGTTTCGTGGCTGAGTGTGGGGGCTTGTGAACCCCGATCTCACAGGTCCTAGTTCACAGCATGGATGGTAAGAACATCTGCGTCTGACTCTTAGCATCTGGAATAATGGCAAGGTCCAGTTGTACCCATTAATTCAGCAGGGTGGCCTGTCCGTTGCAGGGGAAGCTCTGTGCTTTGTGATGGGCAGCAAAAGCCACCACCCCCATTTTTTCCTAACTCCCCAAGGGACTGAGTCCCCTAAGTCAATTTGGGGTCAATTTGGGAGAGTCAAAATGGCTTCAGGATTGCTCTCCTGAACTATTTCAGGCACATGGTTTATATACTTATGTATCTGTTTGCCTTGTACATTTTATGAACATTCTTTCTATATTTGAGACCTTAGAATTCTTTATAGCAGCTATTAGCCCACTTCCAGTCAGGGAATCGTGGGAAAGGTATTGATCTTTGCACTGGGCCCCAAAGCTCCTCATTGGTTTTAAACAGCTAGTTGTGTTTCCGAAGAGCGGCGCTAGTGAGAAACCCAGACGCCTGCCATGTTAATTTGATCAGGGGCAAGTTAAGCCCTGTCAGCGAGAGCCAGAGTTTGTCTCACACACAGCCTTCACAAGCTTCCCATGGAAGTCTTCCATCTTTGCATAGCTATATCGACACCCTGCCTTTGCAGCGCATCCCTCAAAGAACCCAAAGAGAGAACTGTTGTTAAGGTTATTGGGAACGATACTTCTGTGAGGGGCAAACTATAGTTCCCATTATTCTTTTTGGGGAGGTAGGGGGAGTAATGTTGTTTAAATATATGGTGTGTGTGTGTACAGCTGTAGTTAGCATATACATATTTCATGCACATTTCTGTACTGTCCCACATAGTAAGCAAGCTGCCTCAGCCTGTACACACAAAACAGTGCTTGCAGGCGCCTTTGGGGGTTTTAATATCTCTCAGCAGTCCATCAAAACAATCTGAGAATTACTGCCTTGGACATTGCCACTGTTCCAAAATAAAGGTGGCAGCTTATCTGCCCTTCCTAGTACTTGTCATCCAAAAGGAAAGCACGCATATGTTAATTCAGCCTTCAGTTTGTTGTTTGTTGTTTTTTATATCCAGTTGGTTTCTTTTCCCTTCCTCTTCCTTTGTGCATATGTTCTGGATGAGGCCCCAAGGTTTTAAAATCCTTTTCCTGGAAGGCAAGTGTCTTGTTTGCCTCTGTGGTCTTTTTTTCACAGCCAGGATTCCTTTCTGGTTTTTACGTTCAAGCCAAGACGCTTCGAAGGGTCAGAGTTGCACTTAGGCTGTGTACATACTACTGTTTCCTCTGGCTCCAGTGAGCTCCCACTGCTGGCATGTGAAACTGAGGACACATAGCTTTAACGACAATCCATATGTCTTGTCTAGCTTCTTGAGAAATGTATGGAATATTCAGGGAAACCCGGACATATGTTAACCCATGTTGAGAATGGAATTTTTTGGGGGGGGATTTCCAAAAAAAAAACCAGGTCAGAAATAAACAAAGCTCAACAACTTTTGTGTCTGGATTTTCACTCTCTGAAATATGGCAGCCCTAATATATAGTATAAATACTAGGGGCTGTTCCCCTGTTAGTTCCACTCACAAGCCCTGTTGCCATTCTGCCTCACATTAAATCCCTAAAGCTTTCAGATCCCACCCCATGCAACCAGTAAGCTCACTTTTCACCTTCCCAACTCCATTTCTTTATTCACATCCAGTATTGTGATCTGGCACTACAAATCTTCCAATGGGGGCTGCTTGATGACAGCCTTAAATTTTTATGTATATAGGAAGGTATGCAAAATATATTTAAGATCACTAATAAAACATATCATACACACACAGTGCAATGTGAACAGTTGTTTTATTTATTGCCCTCCACAAATAGGATCTTTATGCTTAAACAGCAACAGCGCTTTTCACCTGGCACCTAAAGGTGTATAATGAAGGCACCAGGCGAACCTTCCTGGGGAGAGGATTCCAAAAATGGGGAGCCACTGCCGAAAAGGCCTTTTCTTGTGTTGCTGCCATCCGACCTCTCATGGAGAAGGCACACAAAGGAGGGCCTCGGATGATGATCTCAAGGTTTAGTTAGGTTCATATGGATTTACAAGCTTTAATGCTTTCAAATTTAATATTTATTTCGTGAGAGTTTTTTAAACGCCAGCTTTCCAGTGCTGTGGTAGCTATTATCCTACTTTAATTAAGCTCACTTGGGTCAACATCTTATAGTTCATTTCCTGCAGCCTGATCACAGTAATAACGTGGGGATGATATTTATTTAAGGTGAAAATGAGTCAACAGAGAAAACCTTCGTTAAGCCTAGAAAATCCACAGTAAACCTTTCGGATTTAGCTGCAACCTGCTATGTAAGGGAAAGCAATGTTCCAAGTGTCCTTGCAGCCACTGGGCAGGTGAGCGACCAGGTCATGAGCATAGCCGGGGGGGGGGCAGCTTCCCCCCCAATAAATAAAAATCAATAAAAATGCGTGGCAAACTGAGGTTTGCCCCCCCCAAAAAACAAATGGCCTGCCCCCCGCCCTAACAAAAATCCTGGCTACATCCATGGACCAGGTCCTGGGCTCTCAAATTAACTTGCATAGTTTTTCTTGGGGGGGGGGGGGGAGAGATGCATAAAAATGGAGGCTGGTCCATAAGGGTGAATGGAGGTCTGCTCTAGCACCCTAAGCATGCCCCCACCTGCCTGCCTTATTTATATCTGGCCCAAGGCTTGGCACCAGACATTGGATTCCTCTTTCGTGGTGTTGGCTCTGTAGAACACAACTAGGAGGAGGATGGGGACAAACTAGATTTAGTGGACTCTGGGCCTGTCCATACCTCTGCTTAACGTAGATTGCCTCATGACTCCTTTAATTCTCCTTTGTCCATGTGTCGTTGTGGAATAAATGAATGAAAATGAGTTTTATTCTTAGGGAAGGTATGGTGAGGATGACCATGCCTGCCTTAAGACCGATTCTGTGAACAAAGAGGTTCAAAGGAGCCCCAAGGAAGGGCCCCTTTGCAGAACTGTTTCTGCATGTTTTACAACCTGAGTTGTAAATGTCTTACATCCTGAGATGCTGAGACAAAGCAAACGTTGGACTCAAAAGCTTGACTCCCTAAGAGGCTCTTTTCCTAGCTAATGTTACAATTAAGTAAAGAATGTGTTAGAATTAGATTGTTAGCCTTGAATTTAGAGGTAGCTCGACATAACAAGGAGAAATAGCAGATGATAGTTTAAGAACTAGTAAAGGTAAAGGGACCCCTGACCATTAGGTCCAGTCGTGGCCGACTCTGGGGTTACGGCGCTCATCTCGCTTTACTGGCCGAGGGAGCCGGCGTACAGCTTCCGGGTCATGTGGCCAGCATGACTAAGCCGCTTCTGGCGAACCAGAGCAGCGCACGGAAACGCCATTTACCTTCCCGCCAGAGCAGTACCTATTTATCTACTTGCACTTTGACGTGCTTTCGAACTGCTAGGTTGGCAGGAGCAGGAGCAGGGACCGAGCAACAGGAGCTCACCCTGTCGCAGGGATTCGAACCTCCGACCGTCTGATCGGCAAGTCCTAGGCTCTGTGGTTTAACCCACAGTGCCACCCGCGTCCCATAGTTAAGAACTAGTACTGTTGTTCAAATGCTTCATGAATATTATAAAACACACCCTTATTGTAAAAACTGCTAATTTGAATGGACATGGGATATATGTTATTGCTGGGTGTACATGTTTAGGAGCAAACATGATGTGGGTGGATCAGGAAGCCTGTAAACTGCAATTTCTTAACCAATAGGAATTGTAGTAGGGATATTCGAACGGTCTTAGGGTATAAATTATCTGTGATGTGAACTGGAATGTGCAATCCCCTCTTTCCAGCATGAGCTGGGGGGTTCTTTGCCCACAGTACCGTGTTGACCAACAATAAATCTGCTTCTGCTTGATCATGGTGTAGACTCCACCTTTCAAAGAGAAATTTGAATAATACAGTGGTGCCTCGCAAGACGAAAAGAATCCGTTCTGGGAGTCTCTTCGTCTAGCGGTTTTTTCGTCTTGCGAAGCAAGCCCATTGATGGGATTAGCGGATTAGCGCTATTAGCGGCTTTTAGCGGCTTTTAGCGGCTTTTAGCGGCTTTTAGCAGCTTATCAGCTTATCGGATAAGCAGATAAGCGGCTTAGCGACGTAGAACAAGAGGGGGGTAAGGAAAAAAAAAAGCCAGGAACTCGCAAGACATTTTCGGCTTGCGAAGCAAGCCCATAGCAGATTCGTTTTATGAGGCACCTCCAAAACGGAAAACTCTTTCGTCTAGCGAGTTTTCCGTCTTGCGAGGCATGTGTCTTGCGGGGCACCACTGTAATAATAATAATAATAATAATAATAATTTATTTGTACCCCGCCCATCTGGCTGGGTTTCCCCAGCCACTCTGGGCGGCTTCCATAGAAATCAAAAAACACTAAAATATCACACATTAAAAACTTCCCTGCACAGGGCTGCCTTAAGATGTCTTCTGAATGTCAGGTAGTTGTTTATCTCTTTGACATCTGATGGGAGGGCGTTCCACAGGGCGGGCGCCACTACCGAGAAGGCCCTCTGTCTGGTTCCCTGTAGCCTCACTTCTCGCAATGAGGGAACTGCCAGAAGGCCCTCAGCGCTGGACCTCAGCGTCCGGGCAGAACGATGGGGGTGGAGACGCTCCTTCAGATATACTGGGCCGAGGCCATTTAGGGCTTTAAAGGTCAACACCAGCACTTTGAATTGTGCTCGGAAACGTACTGGGAGCCAATGTAGGTCTTTCAAGACCGGTGTTATGTGGTCTCGGCGGCCGCCCCCAGTCACCAGTCTAGCTGCCGCATTCTGGATTAGTTGTAGTTTCCGAGTCACCTTCAAAGGTAGCCCCACGTAGAGTGCATTGCAGTAGTCCAAGCGGGCGATAACTAGAGCATGCACCACTCTGGCGAGACAGTCCGCGGGCAGGTAGGGTCTCAGCCTGCGTACCAGGTGGAGTTGGTAGACAGCTGCCCTGGATACAGAATTGACCTGCGCCTCCATGGACAGCTGTGAGTCCAAAATGACTCCCAAATGAATCCCTCTGGGAAAGATCCCTGGATCAGATTTGTCCAACTATCGTTCTCCTCCATCAGCTGCAGTCCCACAGATTTTTTCTGCCCTATATCCAGAGATGTATTATGCTTTGAAAATCCAAATGGGGGAAAAGGGACATTGATCGCATAGGGAATGTCCAGATAATAGGGTAGAGAAATCTGAAGGGTGGCGGACTTTGCATTGGGAGGAAAATAGAGCTTTGAACATTTCTTTCCCACCAAATTTGATACAGGGAAAAAGAGGTCTGTGGTTCACCTCCTTTAGTCCACAGCTTCATGCCAGCGTGTTGTCCCTCCTAAATGACCAGAAGCGTGTGTGTGTGTGCGCCTGTGTAATGATATGGGATTAAAGCATTAGTTGGCTAATTGCACTGATTAAAACCTACAACTGCTTCCCACCCCTGGCAGAATGTTGTGAGACAGGATGTGGTGGTGGAGGTGCTGGAAATCTCTCTAACGTAGAAGAAGGCCGTAACTCAGTGGAAGAACGTCCCCTATTCCATCCTTTGCGTCTCCAGGTAGGGCTGAGACCCAGGCAAGCCACTGCCAGTCAGGGCGAACAAAACTGAGCAAGATGAAACCTTTTCCAGACCCATGAGGACTAGAATCTTGAAAAGGTCTTAGGGCTGAATCTCTGGCATTTCCCAGGTAAGGCTGGGAGAGACCCATGCGGGAGACAATACCAGTGGTCTGACTCTGCATTAGGCACCGTCTTGTGGTGAATCAGTGTGTTCTGGGGGTAATTTGTATCATGCTACAGCTGTGGAGAATCTTTATTTGTATTTCCCCCCCTCCTTTTGTCCAGTACAGGCAGCAGTGACCCTTACTGCATTGTGAAAATTGACAATGAAGCCATTATCAGGTAAGTGGTGAACATTAGAAAACCCACTTTCCCCCCTCCCTCTTTCTCTCTCTCCCCCCCTCTCTCCTTGCCCTGCAAATCAGAGGAAAGGGGCCAAAATCTGGACTTAATCCAAGCATACTTCTCATGAGTTACCCCTTGCATTTCAGATTGTGTATGACAGGGGTAGGCAACCTAAGGCCCGGGGGCTGGATCCGGCCCAATCGCCTTCTCAGTCCGGCCCGTCGATAGTCCGGGAATCGGCGTGTTTTTACATGAGTAGAATGTGTGCTTTTATTTAAAATGCATCTCTGGTTTATTTGTGGGGCACAGGAATTTGTTCATTTTTCCGACCAAAATATAGTCTGGCCCACCACATGGTCTGTGGACTGGCCCATGGCTGAAAAAGGTTGCTGACCCCTTTTCCTTTTAAGCACCTGGTCCTTTTTATCTCTCCCTTCCTCCCACCAGGACAGCCACTGTGTGGAAAACACTATTTCCTTTCTGGGGCGAAGAATACGAAGTCCACCTTCCCCCCACCTTCCACTGTGTGTCATTCTATGTCATGGACGAAGATGCACTCAGGTATGACATCACTTCCTGCGGAGATGAGGCTCTTCCTCCTGGCTCTCCTTTTTAACGGCGCTGCATCTACGCAGCAAGTTATTGTGGACTCCATGTGCACGCAAGCTTTGTGGAGCCTCCTCGCAACACCATCCTCATTGAAATGCCACACATACCCCTCATTTTACTTGCATTTACCCTTTTGGAAGAAATTTCAATACATTCAAAATAAATATATGTGGAAGTGATAAATCTGGAAAACATAGTGCCTTGCACCTTAAAAGCTGCAGTGAGAAACCTTTCTTAAGTTTTCTTTTCTGTATATAAATAAATGAATAAATGTGCTACTGCTAAGCTTGGGTCTGCTGACACCTCCCTGTTGTGTTTGGCTGGTGCCATTTCTAAAATAATTATTATATTTATATATCACTATTTATTTAAAATAATCTTTTTTTAGATAATATTTTTATAAGTTTTCAATTACAACAATCAAATAATAGCCTCATTATAACAATGCCAAATTATAATACAATTACTAATCCCAATCATTTAGATGCCAAATTATATTATTTAGGTGGCCTCCCATGTGCTAGAATTGATGGTTTGATGATTTACCCAACACTTTATTTAAAATAATAATAATCAGAGCGGTTTACATCAATTGTACATAAAACCATGCAATAACGACCATATTTTTAAAAAAACCCAAAAATAACTATTGTGGAAAGATGTATTTTTAATGGCCTGCATAAGCCTGATGGAATAGAAAAGCTTTCAGCATGTATTTGAAAGTCGAAACAGAAGGTGCCTGCTGAATCTGTATTGGCAGAATGTTCCACATTACTGAGCGGATAACAGTACAGCATCCCTGATAGATGGGCCGGCTAGCCAGGCCTGGATATGTATCTTTTGCTACCTGAGGTGAAGGACAAGATTGTAGCCTCCCACCCGGTAACACAAGATGGTATCCCACCCCCTCCTGTACAGAATCTGACCTGGTTGCCAATTGAAACATGAATATCACAAGATCTCCCACTTTATCTGCGGGGTTCAGGGGAATGGCGGATGGGCTGTTGCCACTCCCAGCATCCGCTGCCTGAAGCAGGCACATCACTCTCCCTAGGGCAAGGACCCGCCCCGCACTCACCCTTTCAGGAATTATGTGCAGGGAAGAAGAACCCTGACCCCAAAACAGCCTCTTCCACTGCCAAGAAGTTCTTTTACCATTTGGAAATAACATTCTGGGGAAAGGTGTCTGTTCCTAGTGCTAAAAGGAAAAGGAGTAGCATTGGGAGAGGGTTTCTCAGATGGGTCTCCAGGAAAGGTTGTTGCATCAAATGTCTTTAGGTGATACTGTGGGTTTCAGCGTGAGACAATCTCACTCTCTTGCCTCCAGTCCAATTTCAGTTCTAGTCCAGATCAATAAAACCTGAATGCCCCAGACTTATACTCTCTGGTTTCTTGGACATCCCATTTACCTTAGGTTTTTTGTTTTTGTTTTCCTTTCTCGTGCCAGCCGGGACGACGTCATCGGGAAGGTCTGCATCACCCAAAGCCTGTTGGCTGAGCACCCAAAAGGTGAGATTAGTCCCTCTGTTGGGAGAGGTAAATAATTTTGAATGAGTAAATTGAACAAATTTGGTGCACGGTCCCTGCACCAAAAAGTCAGTATCTGCAGATGAAGTCCTTCCCAAGTAACTAAAGCAGGTGAACCTCCCATTTCTTTCTCATTTTCTTTGCCTTTCCCCCTTATTCTTAGTAAACAGGGATGTTTGATGGATAACAAATTTGGCAACAAAGTGTAACATCACATTCATTTTTTTAAAACAGTGTTTCTGGCCATACAAAGAGTGCCTTTAAACACATGGGACCCGGTTACCTGAGCCTCAAGATGCATGTGAACTCTGCACAACCCAGTCTTGACTGTGCTGTGCAAACTCATACTGTAACTGCTGCTCATGATCAGCTATACAGCGAGGGGAGGGGAATGTGCAAATTAAATGCAGATATGTAGATATTCCTGTTTTGCACAATGTATTCCAAACACAGCCTGCAGGAGTGAGGGGACCCCCTAACAGAATCCTCTGCTATTTATCCATGCAGATTCCAGATTCAGCTGCTTCTCCCTCCAATTCATATAGGTCCCATTTCTCTCTCTTTGTGTTATCCTTGTGGGTCTGAACCCAGAACAGGTTTGAGGGCAGCAGTCAAGAACTGGATCCCAGCTGGATCTCCTGCTCCCACCCACTTCCATTTCCTTATCTGTCTACCTTCCTAGACAGGAGCAAAAGAGAGGACGTGATCTGCTTGCTCAAGGATCAGGGGATGTCTTGGGCGGCAAGAGTGACTCATCTTTGGGATGGAGGCGGAGAGAGAGATTGTGTCTGAGAAAAGAATCTTCCTCTCTTGACCTTTGGGGTAGTTTCTGCCCAGTAACTTAGATGCTTTCCCAAGATTCAGAGGTGATGGTTGCTTTCTTGGCTTTAGGCCTGGGTTCAGGGGTTTCCTGGAGAACAAATCCCTGAGCTGACTGTGAATATTGCAATGTTTTTATGTGGTTTTGTGGATCTGCTATGCAGGTTATTCATCTCTCAAGAAGACAGCAAGCCCTCCAACATCTCACAGAGCACACTTGTAACGCCACAGTTCTTTGTGAGTTGCTCCACTATAGTTTATTATTATTATTTGTTGCAGGTATTCATATACTGTTTTTCATCAAATGAGATTGCAGATACATTTATGAGAAAATCAGACAACAGAATTAAACAGTGCAGTATATCAGCCTTTGACAGCCTAGTTTCCTCTAGAGTCTAGAGCAGGGGTAGGCAACCTAAGGCCCGGGGGCCGGATGTGGCCCAGTCGCCTTCTCAGTCCAGCCCACAGACAGTCTGGTAATCAGTGTGTTTTTACATGAGTAGAATGTATCCTTTTATTTAAAATGCATCTCTGGGTTATTTGTGGGGCCTTTCTAAATATAGTCTGGCCCACCACATGGTCTGAGGGACGGTGGACCAGCCCACAGCAGAAAAAGGTTGCTGACCCCTGGTCTAGAGGTTTTAGATTACAGGTCCCATTTTTGTTTTTGTTTTTTCTCATGACATTTAGGTAAAAAAATAGCAGATATTCTATGCATTGTGTTGCAGGCTGTCAATGAAGAATTGAATCCAATGCTTCTTTGATGAAAATAGGAACGTCTTATTCCATAATCACCATCATTTTATTTTTTAAACCCAAGCGATCTGATTGGGTTGCCTGTACCTGGAATATAGGGACATTTGGAGGGTCTGTGATGAACAGAACAGACCAATAAATTGGAGCAGGTGGTCCATTCATTTTGTGTGAAATTCCCTCCCTCTTGCATCACTGCAGCAGCTGCATTCTGTTCGTTGACAACATTGCATGACTGACTCTTCCCTGTCTGCAGCTAATGAGAGACTTCCTTTTTCTGCTGCATTTCTAGGTCTGAACTTTAAAATGCTGTGTCTCTGTGCTTTCGTTTTGGGGTTTTTTCACCAGCACTCCCCCCCCCCAATGAAAACATGCTCTTTACCGCTGAATGGACCAAATGGCAATCCGTGAAAAATCTGAATTGAAGTTTATTTTCCGACTTAGCGTTAAAAAGCGGGTTTTCTTGGGGAAAGTGCCAAAAGTGCCAAAATAAAATAAAATAAAAGTGCTCAGGCACAGAGCTTTAAAATGCCAACGTCTGCCTAGAAAGCGCAGGGCAAAAGGTAGGCGTGGATGATCCCACGCCTTTAGCCCATAACTCTTTCCTGGCATAAGGAAGACCCAGTATGTTTACTGGCTTGTTCCAATAAATGGGATGGAAAAGATGAACAGGGTGACAACAGTGCCGGATTTATGTATAAGCTAAGCAAGCTATAGATTAGGGCCCCACTCTCTTAGGGGCCCCAAAAAAATTTAAAGGGGGAAAAAACTGGATGTACATTTCCAAAATATAAGATAAAAAAATAAAATAAAACCTACATACAGCAACAGTGTTTTGTGTTGTGTAGGCTGCTCCCTAAAATATCACTGGTTTGCTCATTTCTGTATATAGGGTGCCTACATTCTGCATGGACTAGTTGCATGGTGACATGTGCAAATGGCTTTAGATACCTATTAGGTCCATAAATTACCAAATAGCGTATATTCAACACAAAAAACAGTGACAATTTGTTGTTGACAAAGAACAGCTGGATGTATAAAGGCCCTGTTACCTTCAGTAGCTTAGGGCTGCCTCAAATTTAAATCCGGCCCTGGACTAGGTGGCAAGAGGACTAAGAGCTAAGGAAGACTCCAGAGTCAGAATAAAATGTCAAAGAAGTTTTTAACAGTCTCCAGCTGTGTGAACACTCCTGTTTAATCCGCATCCAGGATGCTCCCACTGCTGGTTTGGGAAGCAGTGAACACACAATGTTAGCCAATATCCATATCTCTCCTGTTGCTTCTTAGGAAATATATATATTTATTTTGGTCAATAACTAGTAGAGTTCTTAGGAAATATTTTACACTGTATTTTTGTGTTGTGAACTAACCTGAGATCTATGGATGAAGGGCGGTATACAGCAATTTTTTTTTTTAAAAAAAAGTAGTATAAACACCGACAACTGGGAAACACTGGCCTGCGAGCGCTCCAATTGGAGAACAGCCTTTACCAAAGGTGTCATGGACTTTGAAGACGCTTGAACTCAGGACAAAAGGGAGAAACGTGCTAAGAGGAAGGCAAGCTTGGCAAAACCTCACCATGACCAACTCCTGCCTGGAAACCTATGTCCCCACTGTGGAAGGATGTGTGGATCCAGAACTGGCCCCCACAGTCACTTACGGACTCACTGTTAAAACCATGTTCATGGAAGACAATCTTACTTGACTACGAGTGATCGCCAGAGAAGAAGAAGACAGATTTTTAAAAGTAAAAAATAAAATTTGTGGTGCGGTTTTCAACAAATCAGCTTCGACCGGAACTGAGAAAAATAACAATCTATCTGTGCTTCTAGCTGGTAATGCGCACTCAGCCTTCATGACCCTTGTGGTCCTTTTCCAGCTCTATGATTCTGTGATCTTCTTTGACCCTGTGCCATCCCTGTGAGGGTAGGGCACGGTTGCCCCTGAGTTGAAAATCTTGTGCTTCCTTCTCCCTGTCTCTGTTCTCAGGCTATAATGGCTGGCTGAACCTCACCGAAATTGACCCAGACGAGGAAGTTCAAGGGGAAATCCATCTCCAGATTGAGATCGTTGACAGTGGTGCCGTGAGAAAGCTGCGCTGCACTGTGTTTGATGCCAGGTAAGGCTGTTCTGTGCCAGAGATGAGACTGCAGGACAAAGGTTTGCAACCTCCCCTCCCCTGTGACCTTATGCCATCCAGCCCTCCATCTGATTTTAACATGCTTCCACAAGCTGTAAAGCCAGACCCTTTGGCTGGAGCAATCTGTCCCTCTTCCCCCACAAAGAATCCTCGGAACTGTAGCTTACCCCTCACAGAACTACAGTTTTCAGCATCCTTTACAAACTACAATTTCCATTATTCATTCATTCATTTATGCTTTTCAGTTTAATCATTTCACAAATTTAACAATCATTTTGACATTTCAAAACTTTACTTCCTTCCCCCTCTTTCTGCAGTTCCTTAAATTTATTTTTAATATTTTCTGCATATCCAAATTAACTTAATTTGCTCATTTATTCATTTGCTTCAAATATATACTCCTGTCAAACTGCAGGTTATTACAATAATCCTGCTAATGTTCTTATCTGTTTACAATTTACCTGTAAATATTCAATAAACCATTTCCATTCTTTGATAAAGTTTGTTATCTTGGTTTCTTCTTCTCCTGGTAAGTTTCACCATTTCTGCATATTCCATAAGTTTTTGTATCCATTCTTCCTTTGCTGGGACTTCTGCTTATTGCCATTTTGGGGCGAATAACATTCTTGCCACTCTAGTCACATACCCGAATAAGTTTCTATACAGTTTTGGTAGATCTGCCCCTATAATTCCCAAAAGAAAAGCTTCTGGGTTGTTGTTTTTTTACAAATGTTACATTAAACATCATTTTCAATTCCTTACATATCAGTGCATTACATACCCAGCCAGATGGGTGGGGTGTAAGTAATAAATTATTATTATTAAATTATTATTTCCCAGTAAGCTTTAACCTTACTATAAGGCCACTGCATATGATAAAAAGAACCTTCTTTCTCTTTACATCCCAGAGTTCCTTGTTGGAGCTCATTTGCTTTGAATGTGTGATGTTTGCACAATCTGAGTCAGGCCACCAGCCCTTGCAACTCAGTCGTGCCTACAGCAGCCTTCTTGGGTTTCTGTCCTGGCTCCCAGGTCTACTCAGAGATGCTGAAGATTGGACCTGGGGCCTTCTAGATGCAGAGCATGCACTCTGCCACTGAGCTGCTTTGTGTGGAGTCTGCCCCCCCCCCCCCCGGAGGATCAAGCCAAGCCCTTTGCCAGGGAACATTGTGAGCCCTCTCTAATTGCAAGAGCCCTTAATCATGGGGGATTGGCTGACTGAAGGAATGAGCTGTGCCGTTCCTTTAAGAAGAACAGAAGGAACACAGGGCGGTGATGCTGGGTCAGATAGACAGCCCTTCCAGCTTATTAATAAAAATTATTAATGATTTCGGTGCATAGCACTTGTGACAGTGCTTCCCATAAATTTTCTTGCTCTAGAGCTGGCACAGCACAGCAGCTAAGAGACTGAGCCGTCACGTGGATTTTATTTCAGTCAATTTTTTGACTACATTTTATTTTAGTCAAATTTTTGTTGGCAATATATTTTATATTACAAACTTCCCATATAATACATAATCATTTTTTCTTTTATCAACTTCCCATCCCATTTTCCGTGGTGTTTTTCCCCCATTCTTCCCCTTTGCTGCACCCTATCTTTCTTCTTTTATATCATAACCACAATACAAGAATCTCTCATTCTTTCTGTTGCTCGTTCGAATCGTGCTCGCGAATTCATCATACTATAATATTTCTTCAAACAGTCTGAAAAAGGCTTGCATTCCTCCTTAAAGCAATCATTGTTTTAGGTGTTAACTTTGCAGATTCAGCCTAGTCCATTGCTTATCCATTCTTCTTTGGTGGGAACAACTTCTTCTTTTCATTTCTGTGCATAAAGAATCCTAGCTGCTGTAGTTGCATACATAAACAACCTAACCATCTTTTTGGGGGACTTCCGTCCTTATAATCCCTAGATACGTTAGTCGATTTTTAAAAAGTCTATATCCCACCTTTGCTCAAAGGGGCTCAAGGCGTCGTGCGTGGCTCTCCCTCACAACAACCCTGTGGGGTAGGCTGGGCTGAGAGACTGTGATTAAACCAAGGTTATCCAGTGAGCATCATTACTGAGTAGGGATTTGAATTCTTCCAGGCAGCTTTTGGCAAACAAGCCTCTCTCCTCCTGGCCTCAGTCCCCTTCCCTGTTTGCAAAATGGGGAATAATGCTGATGTGCCTTACAGGGTTGTTTTTGCTTTTGTTTAAATTTGCCTTCTGCCAAGTCAGACCTGTGGTTCTAGCTGAGACCCGTTTAGCTCAGATTGTCCGTTCATTGACTGCTAGCGGCTGTCCAGGATCCCCAGCTGGGGAATGAATCGGGGATCTTCTGCATGCAAAGCTCTGCTGTAATACAAATGCCGAACCCAATTTGACCAGGGTGCTCATTTGCATTAAAAATCAGAGGGGGCGGGCAGGGAAATCAACCAACATAATTGCATAGCTGGTATGAAACAGCGCAAGGAGGATTCATGGTTTTGTGGTGGGCACAGCAAAGATGAGACGGAAGGCAGAGTTCAGGCTTACGAGGGTGTAGCAGGGAATGCCTGATCATTGCTGCTGTGCAAGCGGAGGATCTGGCGATGTGAGTCAGAGATGCGTTTCTATAAAGCAATAAACTTTCCCAATTTTCCTTTCTTTACTGTCTTGCGGTATCCACCAGTTCTCTGCTGGAAATAATCCTTTCATTAAAATGAAACTCTCAAACTCAGTGGGAGAAAAACATTGGTCGTTCAAAAGGAAGCCTGTGCAAAGTGACGCTGTGTTTGAATGTTGGGTCCCCGGAAGAGGGTGCAAAGCCATATGCTAAGGGCTAGTGGGGGTGTTGTTGTTTAGTCGTTTAGTCGTGTCTGACTCTTTGTGACCCCATGGACCAGAGCACGGCAGGCACTCCTGTCTTCCACTGCCTCCCGCAGTTTGGTCAAACTCATGCTGGTAGCTCCGAGAACACTGTCCAACCATCTCGTACTCTGTCGTCCCCTTCTCCTTGTGCCCTCCATCTTTCCCAACATCAGGGTCTTTTCCAGGGAGTCTTCTCTTCTCATGAGGTGGCCAAAGTATTGGAGCCTCAGCTTCAGGATTTGTCCTTCCAGTGAGCACTCAGGGCTGATTTCCTTCAGAATGGATAGGTTGGATCTTCTTGCAGTCCATGGGACTGTCAAGAGTCTCCTCCAGCACCATAATTCAATAGCATCAATTCTTCGGCGATCAGCTTTCTTTATGCTTCAGCTCTCACTTCCGTACATCACTGCTGGGAAAGTGGGGGTGTTAAGGGATGATAATACTACAGAAGGATGTTAGAAAACAGCAACACAAGCCCTTTGACGGAAAGAGAAAACAAGGTGAGCAATTTAGGGGAGCCATGATAGTGTGACGGAGATTGTGACGCCATGTGCCATCCAAGAGACTTTTACTTTTTTGTTCGTTCTTTGTTTATGTGCTTTCTTCTGAGCCTCAGATCTAGAAGTGCCCAGATTCGCTCATTCTTCAGCTTGCTGTATAGCCTTCACCGTTTCTCTTATGTAAAGCTACGTAACTGAGGTTGCGAATAAGGTTACGAGTAATAGGCCAAACCAAGGCATTTTGCAGAAGGAAATCGCACCCCCACCCTCAAATAAAGGCAGGCTGTGTACACACCATATATTTAAAGCACATTCCCCCCACCACTTCTGACATGGGTTGCCCCAGACATTTTAACCGATTTTTGTAAATTCTGCCTAGGAGCTATTTCCGACAGATGAATCCTAGATGTGTCCGGGAAAATCCCAGACATATGGCAGCCCTGCTTAACGTGCCAGTTCTAATCAAATCCTAACATTTATTAAACCCCAAGCATTTAGCACCCGCAGATCTATAAAAATATCCTCTCTCTTTCCTTCCTTCCTTCCTTCCTTCCTTCACAGAGATTTGGCTCGGAAAGACAGAAATGGAGCCTCTGATCCCTTCGTCAGAGTCCGCTATAATGGCAAGACACAGGAAACTTTGGTGAGCTCCAGCTGTAAGGAGAACAAGGTATTGGGGGGAGGGCGGGGAAGGGGAAGGGCTACATAAGGCATTTAAGGGCAGGTCCATGCCAGGCACAGGAAGTATGTTGCTCTCCCCCACAAAGAGCCATGGGAACTGTAGTTTAAGGCCTTGTTGGGAATGACAGCTCTGTAAGGGTGAAACTACTGTTCCTAGAGTGGGGAGCTGTGAGCTTTAAATGTGTGGTCTGGATCTGCGCTCTGGAGAGGCAGCCTGCCAAATATATCCCACTCTCATATTTGTTTCCCCAGCCTTAAGTCCAGCTGGGCAGGGTACAAATACAGTGGTACCTCTGGTTACGAACTTATTTCGTTCCAGAGGTCCGTTCTTAACCTGAAACCATTCTTAACCTAGGGTACCACTTTAGCTAATGGGGCCTCCCGCTGCCGCCACTGCGCGATTTCTGTTCTCATCCTGAGGTAAAGTTCTTAACCCGAGGTACTACTTCCTGGTTAGCGGAGTCTGTAACCTGAAGTGTTTGTAACCCAAGGTGTTTGTAACCCGAGGTACCACTATAATAAAATTATTATTATGATCTCTGTACATTAAGTACTGTATAAGCCTAGGCAAGTGGGGCCCAAAACAGCAGAATGTCACAGTGTGAGGCGTTCTAGTTCAGGATACTCCTTTTCATTCCTCCTCCCAGCTGGCTTTCCATTCCCTGTTCACTCGGTGTATGAGTCCCCATTTGACTGTTTTTCTTGTACCGCTTTTATTATCTCCCCCCTCCCTCCGCAAAAGAAAGATATTTGGTACTTTGGCAAATTTGGGGAATTGCTGGTCCCTCTCTTTGGCTACATAAGGACCAGGGTAATGGATGTCGTTTTTAGCACACACAAATGGAAACTCTGCCCCAAACATTGCAGGTGTGGGTGTCTCAGGAAGAACCTTCAAAGCTCTTTTTTCCCCAAGAAGTCTAAAATGAGGCTCCAGCTGGCACAATAGGGGAGTGGTCAAGTGGGGGAGTGAACAGGCATGTCTCTCTCCAATCCTCTCTTTTCTAGCCACTTCATTCCATCCAGTGTTATGAGTTTGGGCGGGTCAGTTTGCATGACATCCTTGGTTCCCCAGCAGGCTCTTCCTCCTCCTCCTCTTCCTCTTCCTCCTGTTTTCACCAGCATCTTTTAAAGAATTTGCTTTCGGGAGGAAGAATTTGCTTCCATTATTGGCTTTGCCTGTCGTCCAGGTGATCAAAAAATCTTGCTACCCAAGGTGGAACGAGACCTTTGAGTTCGACCTGGACGAGTCGGCAGCGGAGAAGCTCTGCGTCATCGAAGTCTGGGATTGGGATCTCGTCAGCAGGAACGATTTTCTAGGGAAGGTAAGCAGCGGGGAAACAGGGCTTGGAAAAAGACAGACATTTAAATGTTCTCCTAGCAAGGGGGCAGTCCTGTTCAAAGGCCGATCTCTTCGGTTTTCTGCCTTTGCGTTCTGTGTACTTTTTTAAAAAGGAATCCCCACTTTAAGGAGGGTGGGGGAATAAACATTTTAAAATTGAATACGATTGCAGCAAACATACAGATATGGAAAAGGCTGGAGCCACGGGCAGATGGAAAAGTCGCTCCTAAATTTGGCATGCCTCTTGTGCACTGCCCTGTGCAATTGGAGGGCGGGTTATAAATGCTTCTCGTATATAAAAATAAATGGAAAAAGCTGCCACTCAGGGAATGCGGCTCTCAACAGGGAAGAGCACTGTCCACTCACAACACTGAATTTATGGGGGTGCTCAGAAGTGTGGCTGAGCCGCCCCCGCCCAGTTTTTAGTATATATTGTTAACCAATAGGTTTTTCTCATTCCCTGCTCCCAGGCCTGTACAGTGTTGTGGGTAGTCAGGTAGACTTATCCCAGGCCTCAGAGGGCTAAGCCGGCTGGTGGGCCCTGCCCGGGCCCTGCCCTACCAGTTTATAACTTTATTCTAACAAAATTCCTGCCCTGAGCCTCAGACAAGCTGTGCATGGGCGTACCTGCTCCTATCTGGTTATGTTTTTTTGGAAATGGGAGGTGCTGGGGGGGACATGGGGAGGCCTTGCTTCAGATGGGAGTAAGCACAACTCTCTCTTTTCCTTTCCTTTTGCAGGTAGTATTCAATGTCCAAAAGCTACAGGCGGTCCAACAAGAGGAAGGGTGGTTTATGCTCCGACCGGACAAATCAAAGCCAAGGCGGGACGAGTGAGTCTCTGTTTTTCAAAGGGGAGCTTCACTTGTTTGCCCCTAAGTCAACCTGTATGGGATTTTGCTGCTGCCACAGTCCTGCTAGAGTGTTTAAGGGATGCGGGTGTCGCTGTGGTCTAAACCACAGAGCCTAGGACTTGCTGATCAGAAGGTCGGCGGATGGAATCCCTGTGACGGAATGAGCTCCCATTGCTCTGTCCCAGCTCCTGCCAACCTAGCAGTTCAAAAGCACGCCAGGGCAAGTAGATAAATAGGTACTGCTGCAGCAGGAAGGTAAACGGCATTTCCGTGTGCTCTGGTTTCCGTCACGGTGTTCCGTTGCGCCAGAAGCGGTTTAGTCATGCTGGTCACATGACCCGGAAAGCTGTCTGTGACAAACGCCAGCTCCCTCGGCTTGAAAGCGAGATGAGCACCACAACCCCATAGTCGCCTTTGACTGGACTTAACCATCCAGGGGTCCTTTACCTTTTACCTTTACCTTTAGAGTGTTTGCCCTACTTATCTTACTGGACTTGTTCCTGACGAAATAGTTTCTCCTTGGAGCCAGGGGCATAAAATCTCTTCTGCCCAGGGGCGGCAGTAGACGTCATTTATTTATTCCTTTCGTAAAATTTACGTCCCGCTTGACTGTATAGAAAAGCCTCAGAGTGGCCTAGCATTACCCAGCCATTGCTGTTCCACTATAAAGCTGGAGAATGAGAAGACTTGAGAGGGGATACGAGAGCCAGGGTCAAATATAAGATGGAGAAGCTTGTTTTCTCCCGCTCCCGAGGGCGGGACCCAAACCAATGGATTCAAATGGTGAGAAAGAAGAGTTTGAGTAAACATTAGGAATAACCTTGTGGTTGTAAGAGCTGTGGCAACCGACTCCCCTTCGTTTGAGGTTTTTAAACCTGTCACCTGTCATGGATTCTTTAGCTTCCATTCTTGCATTGTGGGAGGTTGGACTTAGACGACCCTGGGAGTCCCTTCAAAACAGAACCTAAAGACTCCTACATAATCACAAGGACCTGTAGCTCATGTCCTAACTGAGGAGGGCCGAGGAGCCTGTGGCTCTCCAGTCGTCCTTGCTGGCTGGGAGTGATGGGAGCTGCAGCTGGGCAGCATCTCTCCTGAAGGATTCTGTGGTCCATGGTGGGACCATGTGGTTAGTTTGCATCAATCACATTGCACCCTTTCCCCTTCCTTTCCAGGGGCAACCTGGGCTCCCTACACCTCCAGCTGCAGCTTCGGGATGAGACGGTGCTTCCGTCCATCCACTACCAGCCTCTTGTCCAGCTTCTGTGTCAGGAAGTTAAAGCAGGTGCCCAGGTGAGATCCATCGCTTTTAGTGGGCAGGCCCTTGAACTGGAGTGACCCAGGTTCTTCCCTTCACTCAGCTGTAAGGCTCGCTGGCTCGCCAGTCGTTCTCTCTTAGCTTAACCTACTTCGCAGGGTTGCTGTGAGTATAGAAATGTGTTTGGAACCCGTGCGTGCTGCCTTTAGCTTTTTGGGAGAAAGCTAGGAAAACAATCTTGGAGATGCACCTGTTTAGACATGCATTTACCTGATCTCCAGGCCTGAACCTCCTGATCTAATTGCTTTAATTGTTAATGCTGTTTTAATGGGCTTGTTTTATTGTACATCTTAATTATGCACGCTTGGAATGCCTTGACAAAATGAACTTATTGTGCACTTTGATTGCACATGGATATATTTTGTAACTCGGTTTTACATGTTGGCAAGCAAGCAGAATGTGTATACAGTGGTACCTCGGGTTAAGTACTTAATTCGTTCCGGAGGTCTGTTCTTAACCTGAAACTGTATTTAACCTGAAGCACCACTTTAGCTAATGGGGCCTCCCGCTGCTGCCGCACCGCTGGAGCACGATTTCTGTTCTCATCCTGAAGCAAAGTTCTTAACCCGAGGTACTATTTCTGGGTTAGCGGCGTCTGTAACCTGAAGCCTATGTAACTTGAAGCGTATGTAAGCCAAGGTACTACTGTATAAATAAAAAACGCTGTTAAAGAAATATTTGATGACGTTGAGAATAGACCCCCTAATTTTGTGCATGCAAGTGGGGTGGGGGAACTCTCCATCACGCTTTAATCGATTTTTTTCCCTCCTCCTGAGTTTCACATGCGTTACAGCCTCCCTGGGGGGGGGTCTATCTCCTCAGCTGCTCCCCTTCTTTTTTTCCTCATGGCAGGACGGGAAAGTCCATTTAATAACCCTGATTGAGGACACCACAACCGCCGAGTGCAGGCAGGAAGTTGCCGTCAACCTTGTCAAGCTCTTCGTGGGCCAAGGGTTGGCCAAAGAGTTCTTGGACCTCCTCTTCAAACTGGAACTGGATAAAACTGGTAAGGATCCCGGGTGCATGACTGGGACATGGGAGGCTACCATGCTCTCTGTAGCTGGGGTACCATTTTATGTCACTAGAATGGAGGAGGGAGTGCAATGCATGGGAGGGGGGCGAGGAAGTCCAGATCTGCTCCAAAAAATTGATCATTTGGAACCAGGGGCGTCTTACCCATAGAGGCACCAGGGCGCCACGTTCTGGAGGGCATCAGGGAAGACGCAGAGGCTGGATGCGGCACCTCCTGGCATCAGCTCGCTGCCCTCACCCGCCTCTGCCATGCCACGCTGAAGCAGCGCCACGCCACGCCTGGAGCTTCTTCCTGCCGTGGCCACCACAGCACGAAGCGGCCAGCTGAGCCAGGAGCCGCCACATCCAGCCTCCGCCTCCTCCCCACCAGAGGAGCTGTCCTCCAGCCGCTGCCCGCCTCCTCCAGCCCCGCAAAGCTGGGCGCAGTACCATCCTCCCTTAAAAAGGTTGGCAACTATGGGAAAGGGATGGTGGTGCCAGAGGGATCTTTGCACCACGGCACCAGATATGGTTAAGATGGCCCTGGTTGGACCTGGGCATGGGCAGTTCCTGTCCGCCTATGGCATTTCCAGACTGCTACCGTAATTTGGGTGGGTTTCAGTCACATGCTGGCAAATCCAGGTTCCTAGAATCATAGATGGGGCAGCTCAGTAGAAGACAGCTTCCTGTGTTCCTGTGTTGTGTTTCAGATGAGCCAAACACTCTGTTTCGAAGCAACTCTCTGGCCTCTAAGTCAATGGAGTCATTTCTGAAGGTACTTGATGGGTTTGTGGTTTGCTTGTGTGAATCTTGAGTATGTTTATGTCTTTCTGTTTTTCCATCCATCTATATATCTCCTGGGATAGCTCAGTCAGAGCACGGGCCTCTCGATCTTGGGGTCGTGGGTTCAAGCCCCACGTCGAGCAAAAGATTCCTGCATTTCAGGGGGGCTGGACTCTTGGTCTCTTCCGACTCTACGATTTTATGATTCTATTTTTTTTATAATTAATATTTATTAAGTTTTCAAAGAATAACAACAAAAATTTCCAAAAAAAAAATTTGAAGATACAAAAAACAAAAATAGTACATAGACAAAAAAGAAAAAAAAAAAAACCCAGCCGCAAAGAAAAAAAAAGTGAAACAGAAAAACAAAAATATAAAGCCCTTTACAATCTCTATTGACTTCCTTTCTAGACTTCCTCCTCCTCCCCTCTTTTGTTTCTTAATTTTTAATTTTTACAGCAAATCCTTTCTGTTTTTTCATAACAATCTGTCATTACGTTTCCTTATTCTATTTTCCCTCTTGTCATATAAAAACTTTAAGACTCATAGCTTATATTCAATATTTACCAAATTCTTGCATCATTACCTTTTACTGAATCATTTACCAATCCTTACTTAAGCCATGTAATTTCATTCAACATCCTTCAAACATTTGTAAGCATTCCCAATATTAAAAATAAAAAGGAAAAATAATAAGTCAAATTCAGTCCAGTCAGCTTCCAACCTTCCCTCCCCTGGACCCGGGATTGTCAGTCCTTTTAACCTCGATAATCCGGCTCCTTAACCTGGTTGTCTCGTATCCGAGGCCCTCAAGTCTCTTTCTTGCCCCTTTCGCCACTCTTGTTGATGATTCCTTTCCAGTCGTGGATGCTCCAGCAAGAAAATGCTTTTGACCCTTTGCAGCAAGTCCATCCCAAACCCATTGCCCAAGCCAGACAGCAAATAATACCACTTCAAATTTCCACAAAGCTTGGAGACTTCGGCTACTCCAATCATCTGATAGCCCATCACCAGACTCGGAAGGTCCAAATAACCATATGGAGGGGGGTCGATCCATCCCCCCCATTTCCAAATCTGACCACATTTCATCTTTCCGAATCTGGTTTGTCCCAAGTTCATTTATCAAGTTCAAAGGCTGATCTTGCCCATCCAAAGGTCCCTCCATCTCTGAAGCCTCCGTCACTACAGCAGGTTCATATGCTTGTATAGCCTTTAACTGGATTTCATTTGTTTGCTGCTGTGCTCTGGTAACTTCCATCATCAAGGTCGTCTCCTGACGCATCTGGTCCAGCTGGGCACTTAGTTTTGAAAAACCTTCCAGGAACAATTGTTCAAGCCTTTGTACTAGCATTGTCTTTCAAGGTCAAAGAAAATTCTTTCCCACGACAATAGTCCAATAGTCCTTCTCTTTTAATCTCTCTGCGTTGCAATTTCACTAAATTCCACTAGATGGAAATTTTTTTTTTAAAGGAATAAAAGCAACAGCAACAATCTTTCTTTTTCCAGAAACACTTTATCCAAAATTCCCCCTTCCAAATTCAAGAGGCAACAGTAGAATCAAAATGTTACCTTCTTTTAACTAACTGTCGAGCTGGATACACTCCAGAACGTCAATTCTGACAGCCCGCTCCTGGTTCAGGGCGGTGGAAAATTGCTTTATTTTAAACTCACTTCCGCAGGATTGAAAAGTCCAAATACAACCCCCTTCTTCTCCTGCAGTCAAAGGGGGGGTTCAGAAATCTTAGATGTTGAATTCTAGTTCTCTTAAAATTTAATTTTCAAGCTTTAGTATATTTTGTCTTTGCTTTCTTCACATAACAAAAGAACGGAAGGCGACTTCCTGTTTAGACCTTCCCATTCCGAGTCCCAATTAAGTTCAATTTCAAGTCCAATATTATTTGTTTATTCACCAGTCTTAAAAGTGGTTCAACTCTTCCAAGATCAGGTACTCACGGATAGATATTTTAGATGCCAAATTGTCCAGGAAAAGGCAGCGCTCTCCAATAACGGCAGTGCGGCTTTGCTGCACGGAGGAAGCAGTCGACTCACAGCACCACGCACCTCCCACGCCGGAGCCCGTTACCGGGCTCCGGTACAATGGGAGCGAGCGCTCTCGGTGCCCGCCGAGTCCCACGACCACAGGCTTCTTCCGCCTGTGGTTTTTGCGGGTCCCCGCTGCGCCGTAGCGGCAGGACCCAAGCCTCCGTGCAGCGGGTTCCCTTCAGTCCGAAGGGAATTCCGCCATTTTCCGGAGGCGCCACCCCGGAAGTACGATTTTATGATTCTATACTGCCGTCTGATCGTTCAGTCCGCTGTCTCTCCTGTCCTGCCCCAAAATCTTCCTATCTGCAGGTGGCAGGCATGCAATACCTCCACAGAGTCCTTGGGCCGACAATCAGCCGAGTGTTTGAAGAGAAGAGATGCATTGAGCTGGATCCCAGCAAAGTGGAGAGCAAGGATATTGGGTAAGAGAGCCGGGATCGGGGACCTTTCTCAGGCTGTACATATTGCTGTGAGTTTCGGGAGCGGTGGTTAGTATGCAGGATGCTTGGGTCCCTTCTAATTTCTGGGGGTCCTGGATTCAGTAGGGGTTAAAACTGAGTAGGTTGGTGAAGTAGGCAGAAAGGCCAGCTTCTTGCTGGATGAGTTGATAGCTCTCAATATTGTTGGTAGTATAACAAAGGAAGCTGTGCCAGAAAGCAAACGGGTGGGCCCCTCCCGTGGGCCCCTTTCCCTCACCTGGCTGCTAGTGAGTGGGAAGAATGGCTGAGCTGGGCTAGAAACAGGCAGAAGCAGAGAGTGAGAGTCGTGCTTGATTTCTGCTTCAATCCAAGGCTGTGAGCTAGACCTTCTGGGGTGTTGGTGTTGATGTGATCCCCTCTATCATAGGCTCAGGTTGTAGATATATATATAATGTGTAAATAAACCCTTTATCTTAAGGACACCCCGTCTCCCCTGTCCCTCATTCCAAGGAAACCGAACCCGGGTAAGCACCCGGAACCACCGAAATCTTGCACCACTCAGAAATTTTCGTGGTGTGCAATAATATGTGCAGACACACACACACATACACACATGATATACATGTGTATATCACAACACTCCACTACAACTAGGAAAATACAGCAATGACTAGGAAAATACATTGTTCCATTTCCATAGAGCACAGTTAAATTCTTAAAACGTGGTCACGTGTGTGGAGGCCCAAACTGTGGTCCCTTGCGGTTTACTCATGTTTGCGATTTACGCAAGAAACACCAGATTTTATTTGTAAAACCAGTTCATACATTTATATTCTGCCTTACCTCCTGGGAGCTCAAGGCAACGCATGTGCTTCCCCTGCCTTCCGTTTAATCCTCACAACAGCCTGCAGTGTACGTTAGGCTGAGAGAGACAGCGGCTGGCCCAAGGGTCACTCACGGCAGAGGGAGGGGATTTGAACGCCTGCTCCCTGCAAGGTCCTGGACTAAACCACTCTGGCTTATGCAGATGGCAGCGATGATGCTGGAAAGGTGGCACAGTCTCAGGGGCGGGAATCCATTTATTTCTTTTTCTTCCTCTCCCTGCGGCAGCTGCTCCAGCCTCCATCGGATCCAGAGCGAAAGCGACGTCATCCAGCAGAGCGCTCAGCACCTTCGGTCCTATCTTGGCGACCTGCTTGGCACCATCGCCAAGTCCGCCAGGGCGTGTCCCGCCATCATCCGCGCCACTTTCCAGCTGCTCTTCAAGAGGGTTGGGGAGCAGTTCCCCGAAGAGAAGGACCAGGTCAGCACAATGGGATCCTTCTCCTCCTCCTCCTCGCCTCTGTCCTGGCCTGCTCTGACCACTGAACTGCACCGCTTCACCCACTGCGGACCTTGGGAGGGCTTTTCATCATGTTTCCTTGGCAGGCGCTTGAGCAGCACCAGCCGTTGCAGGGGGCATCCAAGGCAGTGTGGTTGCCGAGAATTGTCCCTTGAGGACTAGGAGCTTGGGCCTGGCCTGCAGGTGTTGACAGGTGGCTAGCACAGGCTCTTTCCCTCCCTTCCTCTCCCCCTTTCCCCATCCCTTTTAGATGTTGACATCTGTGCTACCACTCCTTTTCCGCTTGCAGAACGTGAAGTTCATCGCCATCACCAGTTTCCTCTGCCTTCGTTTCTTCTCTCCGGCCATCATGTCCCCCAAATTGTTCCACCTGCAGGAGAAGCACGCAGACGCCCGCACCAGCCGCACCCTCCTGCTCCTGGCCAAGGTAAGAGCCAGCCTGGACTTCCCCTCCTGGACAAGGAGAGCACCCTGCCTGTAAATCCAGCCCCAGCATCTGCACACAGAAAATCCTGGCCCTGTAATCAGTGCTGGCTGCCATTTTAATTCCCCACAATGCCCCTGATGTTAGCATCACTGAGGAATTGTGGGAAATGGGAATGGCAGCTCCTGGAGCCAGCCACCATTTTAATTTCACACATAGCTCCCATTTTAATTTCACACATTGCCCCTGGTGTTAGTTTCACACTGGGGAATTGTGGGAAATGAGAACAGCAACTCCTAGAGCCAGCCACCATTTTAATTTCCCACAATGCCCCTGGAGTTAGCATCACTCAGGGGAATTCTGGGGAATGGCAGCTCCTAGAGCCAGCCACCTGGTGCTAATTGAATGCCACTTCTGCTTCCCACATTGACTGTGTCCAAGGTCTCCCAGAGAGCTTCATAGAATCTTAGAATTGGAAGGGACCCCGAGGGTCATCTAGTCCAATCCCATGCAATGCAGGAATCTCAACTAAAGTACCTGTCACAGATGGCCATCCAGCCTCTGCTTTAAAACCTGCAAGAAAGGAGATTCCACCACCTCTTGTGAGAGTCTCTTCAACTGCTAAACAGCTCTTAACTGTCAGAAAGGTTTTCCTGATGTTTAGTTCGAATCTCCTTTCTTGTAACTTGAAGCCATTGGTTCAGGTCCTACCTTCCGGAGCAGGAGGAAACAAGCTTGCTCCATCTTCCATGTTGACAGCCCTTGAGATATTTGAAGGTGGCTATCATAGCACCTCTCAGTCTCCTTTTTTTCCAAGCTAAACATACCCAGCTCCCTTGACGGTTCCTCATAAGGCTTGGATTCCGGGCCCTTGCCCTCCTCTGCACACCTTCCAGCTTGTCAAGGTCCTTCTTAAATGGTGGAGCCCAGAACTAGCTGTGCAGGACCTGAATCACAGGTCTCCTCCATCTCTTAGGCCCCAGTGTCCTCTCTGCCATGCACTACACTAGCCTTTCACTTGATTTGTGGAGGCCTGTCCTTGACTTGTGGTCACCTCTCTGAATTCTTGCTTGCCAGGCTGTTCAGAACGTGGGGAACATGGACGCCGGTGTCAGCCGCACCAAGGAACCCTGGATGGCTCCACTGCAGCCCACCATCCAACAGGGCGTCGCACAGATGAAGCGGTTCCTCCTCCAATTGATTGACATTGAGGAGAAAGAAGGTAGGTGACTGAGGGCAGCCCCAAGCGCTTGGGTCTGGTTCGTTCTGATTGAAGGGAGGGAAGGTGCCTTGCAGGGCTACCAACCAATCATTTTCTTACTGGTGTGACCAATGAACAGCGTTTTATTTGAGGTGGCGGTTGGGGGGTAAGCTGAAAACCAGGAGTCAGGCACCCACACCGTATATGTAACCACATTTAAAGTACGCTCCTTCCCACAAAGAATCTTGGGAACTGTAGTTCACCCCTCACAAGGCTGCAGTTCCCAGCAAGATAAACAAACTACATTGCCCAGAATTCTCTGAGGGGGGCATAGTGTGTACACAGGCAAAGCAACTGGGCTGTGAACTATGGCCCTCACCCCTGCCAGATCCTAGGTGGCAAACCATCCTTTCTCTTTCTCAGGGTGGATCTACACACAAGGGAAAATACACTATAAATAAGTCAGAAATTAAATAGTTATAACAAAAGAAAAGAAAAACCCTATGTAAAAACCGCACAGAAAATTTGTTTGCTCTCTGGTGCCATCTGGTGATGCATGTTTATAACACACGCAAAGTGTTGTCTTTTGACTAATGTAGCTGAGTCCTCAGTCTTCCTCGCTGCAATATGGGGCTAGATAATAATGACCTACCTTACAGAGTAAGCTGTATGTGACACACTTTGATTGCTAGATGGGTTTATTTAAAAAATAAAATCCAGTCAGTTTTGTTCTGGTTTTGTACTGTCTTTGCAGAATTGGACCCGCAGAAGTCCCCCTGCCTGCAGACCCAGGTTGTGAAAGAAGGGCCTCTGTTTATCTATAAGGCCAGAAGCAAAGGCCCTCTCCTCTCGTCCTCCTTTAAGAAGCTCTACTTCTCCCTAACCAGCGAAGCCCTCACCTGTGCCAAGACACCAAGCTGCAAGGTAAGGAGGCAGCAGGGAGGGCTGCTGCTGCTGTCATGGCCACCTGGTGGACTTTCCAGAAGGTTCTAGAAAGCCACGGGCACAGAGTATTGGATTAGACTGGCTTTTGCCTGATCCAACAGGGCTCCTCCGCCTGTGATGTACTTATGGAACTTGTCTTTTCAGAAAAGCTCCTTCATCACGCCAGCCAGCATCCGGGCAGCCGAAAAGGTGGAGGAGAAGAGCTTTGGCAACTCTCACGTCATGCAGATCATCTACGCCAACGAGGCCGGACAGACGGACACGGCTTATCTGCAGTGCAAGGTTGCTGTAGTTGGGGGTCCAGTTTAGGTGGTGAGGGAGAGCCTACGGTGGGTGATGACAGTGGTTCCAGCAGCACCCCTTCTGCAAGCCTGTTGTTTTCTCCAGAGGCTTGGAAGTGGCACCTGGCTTGCTCCTTTTGTCCTGCTGCTTTTCATTGGTCCAGAAGGTTTTGCAGCACTAACAAAAACAAACAAACCCCCAAACAAAAAAAAAGCCTTTCTTGGAAACAGGACCTGCAATGCTTGCTTGACCCCGAGGGCAGAAAATATGAGCATCTGACACACAATTTTACTTGTGGCATTTCAGCGTTGTGTGTGGCTGAAGGCCAGCCAGTTGAAATCACACACAAATTAAATGCACGGAAGGTGGAGCACTTGAAAACAGAGTTTTCCTGGTGCACAGAAAGAGCTTTTACACTCTTTGCCTTGCGTACTGGGCTCTGGGATGCTCTTGCAAGATCTTGTGAGAACTTGGCGACTTGATTGTTAGGGGGGGCAAGGCCCCCACTTGGCATACTGCTCTGGAAAGATGTGTATTTGGGGGGCGATTAGGGGACGCAGGTGGCACTGTGTGTTAAAAGACAGAGCCTAGGACTTGCCGATCAGAAGGTCGGCGGTTCGAATCCCCGCAACGGGGTGAGCGCCCATTGCTCGGTCCCTGCTCCTGCCAACCTGGAAGTTCGAAAGCACGTCAAATTGCAAGTAGATAAATAGGTACCGCTCCGGCGGGAAGGTAAACGGCATTTCCGTGCGCTGCTCTGGTTCTCCAGAAGCGGCTTAGTCATGCTGGCCACATGACCCGGAAGCTGTACGCCAGCTCCCTCGGCCAATAAAGCGAGATGAGCGCTGCAACCCCAGAGTCGTCCGCGACTGGACCTAATGTTCAGGGGTCCCTTTACCTTTACCTTTGAAGGGAGTGGTTCCAACAAATTTTTGCATTGATGTGCCATCCTCGTGTTGTGAGCTGCCTTTTTTTCTGTGATGTATCTGTGTTGCTTTTTGGGTGGTTTTTGGCTGAGGGGTTAGGCAATTTCAAAAGTATTTAAAGGTTCTTGCTGACTTTTGCTCCTTGCAAAGGTGGAGGGGGGAGGAATCTGTTGCAGCAGGTGGAGGGAATTAAGATCTGCCTTGCTTTCACTGGATTCTGCCTCAATCCATTCTTCTCTGACTGATAATGGAGTTAGGGAACACTTGAGTCCTTTGGGGAGTTTGAGCTGCAAAAGCGAAACCCCCATTTTCCTGTAACATCTGGAATGTAACAAGCAAAACGCAGCTGTACTGTATACTGAAGGGCTGTGCTGGATCAAATGCATGGATGATATAGTCCTGCCCTCTCTGTCTTTCGTGGCTTTTCAGTGTGTGAACGAGCTCAACCAGTGGCTGTCGGCCTTGCGGAAGGTTTGTGTGAACAACGCAGGGATGCTGTGCTCCTACCACCCTGGCGTCTTCCGAGGAGACAAATGGAGCTGCTGCCACCAAAAGGACAAAGGCGGTACTGTGCCCTTTATTGGCCAAAGCTACCCCAGTGACATAGAATCATAGAATTGTGAAGGGTCATCTAGTCCAACCCCCTGCAATGCAGGGATCTCAGCTAAAGCATCCATGACAGGTGGCCATCCAGCCTTTGCTTAAAGACCTGTTCCGCTGTCAAAGGGCTCTTACTGTCAGAAAGTTCAGTAGGGTGGCAGTTGCCTTCAACCTTACTTTTAAATAATAAAATAAAGCCTTTATTTAGCAAAATATAAGCTGTGAAGGAGTGGGCAGAATTACACCAAGTCAATAAAATAAAATAAAATAAAATAAAATAAAATAAAATAAAATAAAATAAAAGGATTTCTGTGTTCTAGCCTTTGCCAACATTTCCTGTGGTAGCATGGAACTCCCTGCCACAAGAAATCTACATGTCGCTTTCTGTGGCCTTTTAGATGTTCTTAGACTGCAACTCCCATTAGCTTTGTCTGCTGACCGGGGATGATGGGATTTGGAGTCCAGTAACTTTTGAAGGACCACAAATGTTGTTGTTGTTCCATTATATGCCACCTTTTCCCACCAAGAAGCTCAAGGTGGCATCCATGGTTCTCCCCCAACTCATTTCAGTCCCTACAACAACCCTGTGTGGTAGGCTAGGCTGAGAGACTGTGACTGGCCCAAGGTCACCCAGTGAGCTTCATGGCTGAGTTGAGATTTGAACCCTGGTCTCTCCCAGGTACTAGTCCAGTACTCTAACCACCGTACACTGACTCTCAGTCATCCCAGGCTTAGCTCTCACAGCAGCCTTCCTTTGACATGAGTATGCTCCCTCAAAACCTTGTTGAATACACATAGCAGGAACAAAAACCCTCCAGCCTTTCATGAAAACTGGGCCTCCTTAAAGAAACCTCACTTTAAAACAACAACACTCCTTTGCCTGTTAGGACTGGGCTGTGACAAAACCAGGCATGGAGTTACACTGCGGGAATGGAATGACCCCTTGGATCCCGACTTAGAGGCTCAGTTGATTTTCCGACACTTGCTTGGGGTGCGAGAAGCAATGAAGTAAGTTGACTGGTCTTTCCTTCCTTCCTTCCTTCCTTCCTTCCTTCCTTCCTTCCTTCCTTACAAGGTATGCTGAGTGGGTGGGTCTCACTTTTAATTGTTTTATGGGGTTTTTTTTAAATGGTGTACTATATAAATAACCAAGCCATAGAACTCTCTGCTCATTCTGTTGCTGAGGTAATTCTAGGGTGCACTAACTCTGCCCTTTCATTTCCTACTGTTCAAAGGGAAAAATACTTGGAACTATCAACTCTGGAGAAAAATGAAAATCTTCATTTGACTCAGAATGAAGGTATGACTCATCAGTACCGTTTTTTAAGTGTGGAGAGCGAAGTGGACTGAGGCTGGATTGGTTCATAGAGCCATGGAGTTGGAAGGGACCCCATGGGTCATCTAGTCAAACCCCCTGCAATGCAGGAATCACGGCTGAATAATCTCTGACAGATGGCCGTTGAACCTCTTTTAAAATGGAGGTTCCAGTGGAGGAGAGTCCATCGCCTTCCAAGGTTGTCTATTCTTCTGTCAAGCAGCTCCTACCCTCAGAAAGTTCTCTCTAATGTTTAGTTAGAATCTCCTTTCATATCATTGGAAGCCATTGGTTTCCTCTCCACTGGAGCAGCAGAAAACAAGTTTTCTCCATCTTCCCAGTGACAGCCCTTCAGATATTTGAAGAGGGCTCTCATATCACCTCTGTCTTCTCTTCTCCAAGCTAAATATACCCAACACCCCCCAACTGTTCCCCATAAGGCTTGGTTTCCAGATCCTTCAGGCTTTATCAATTCACTTTCTCAGGGGGAACAAAAGACTTTTCAGGCCAGCTTCTGCAAGGGAGGGAGAGTTGTCAGTTTGGCTGGGATTATAACACTGCAGAGCAGCAGACTAGAAAAGAGACCCCAGGGTATAGGGAAGCTCAGAGGCAAGCAGCGTGAAGGCTTGACCCAAAAGTAATGAAGTAGTACGGAAAGCACGGGGTTCTTTGGTTGACAATTTTCAATTTAAACATAGGAACATGTCTAAATTGAAAGATGTTCAATAGAAAGTTCAGCAGTGGGAAAGCTTCCATGCTGTATCGGTAGCCTTCAGCCTTGGTTGCCTCTGCTCTTTTTAAAGAATACTGAACACTTTGGGTTGAATCCTGAAACATGGATGGCTCTCTCCAGCTTGTTGTTGTTGTTAAAAGGTACTTCTTGCAGCATGACTAAGGAAAGGAGATTCATGCATTCTTACTGATTTATTGACAATCTACTCTGAATGGACTACCTGCACATAATCCTGTTCTCTCTCTCTCTCTCTCTCTCTCTCCTGCTACAGACCCTGAAAATGCCGATGGACCTAGCCGGCTTTTCCAGGTGTTGCAAGATCTTGAAGAAATTCACAGTAAGGAGCTTTCCCGATTGAGTGACTTGGCCAACCAGGACCGAAATCATCTTGTGGAACTGCAGACGTGACTGCAAGCTAGGCCCATGTCTGCCTCCTTCGGGCAGTTCTGCTGCCAAACATCTGGAACAGAGGGTGTTTCTCCTCTTTCTGTCTCTCTTTCTCTCTCTCTCTCTCTCTGGACTTGTGATCATCTGATGAGATGGAAATGGGATAGAGGGGGGCCCTGATTCTCGTAACCTGCATCACCTTTCCTTTTGGGAACGACTCTCCCTGCCAAGTCCTGTGAACTCTGAAGACAAAACTGAGATCAATCTAGGAGACCCAACACAAAAGCATTCATCTTCACCAATCTAAAAAACAGCAACTATAGGGTTGCCATATTTCAAAAATTTTGGAGCTTTTTTAAAGGAAAACCCGCAAGATATTTTTTTTTATGCCCTAAACAACTACTGTAGAAGTTCAGCCCCTAGCCTTAATGGAACACCAAAGCTGGTTGTTTTATTGCCTGCGATTTTCATCCAGAACTTTGCATTCTTGAGAACGGCAGATTTAACAGTTTGAAAATAGTAAGAAAAAGTAGGTTTCTAGACCTCATGACAGAGGTGCTTTTGAAAATACATACCAGTGGTCTACTGTGTTTGAGGGGGAAGCAGTGAGTGACCAGAAGTGAGGTCTTGGCGTTGTAGTGGATAGCGCAGTCAATATGTTAGCCTAGTATGTGGCAGCATGCAAAAGGTAAATTCCATGCTAGGAAAGAAATTGAAAACAGAACTGCCAGTTATCCTGTTGCTGTTAAACAAATCTATGGTGCAACCACATTTTGAGTGCTGTGTCGCCTCACCTGAAAAGGATATTGTAGAGTCGGAAAAGGTTCAGGAAAGGGAAAGCGAAATGATCAAGGGGATTCCCTTTTTCGTTTCGAGGAAAGAAGAAGAAGAAGAAGAGTTTGGATTTGATATCCCGCTTTATCACTGCCCGAAGGAGTCTCAAAGTGGCTAACATTCTCCTTTCCCTTCCTCCCCCACAACAAACACTCTGTGAGGTGAGTGGGGCTGAGAGACTTCAGAGAAGTGTGACTAGCCCAAGGTCACCCAGCAGCTGCATGTGGAGGAGCGGAGACGCGAACCCAGTTCCCCAGATTACGAGTCTACTGCTCTTAACCACTACACCACACTGGCTAGCAAGGCGAGCAAGAAGAGGGTCGCTTGATGGAAGTATATAGAATTCTGCTTGTCAAGCAGAAATGGATAGAGAAGTTTTTCTCCCTCTCTGTCATTAGGCTAGAACTTGTAGACATTCTGTGAGGCTGAATGTTGGAAGGTTCAGAATAAAAGAAAGGACTTCATGTAGTAGCACATAACTCAATCCCTCCCACAGGAGGCAGTGATGGCCACCAACATGGATGGCTTCAAAAGAGGTTTAGACAAATTCAGGGAGGAGAGGACTATCAATGCTTACTAGCCATGATGGTTGTTTATCAGCCTCCACTGACTGAGGCAGTTTTTTCTGGAGACCAGTTGCTGGAAGCCACAGGAAGGGCGAGAGCTCTTGCGCTTGGATCCTGCTTCTGAGTTTCCCACAGGGATCTAGTTGGTTGCTGTGAGAACAGGATGCTGGGCTGTTCCAACAGGCTGTTCTTAGGTTCTTATGTTGCTCTTTATTTCGTCCTTTTGTGGCCTTTCCACATGTACCCCTGGGCAGCTAGCAGTCTGAATACTGGGGAATGGGAGAGTCTGCCCTCTCAACTCCATGGGAGTTCTTGCTGATATGATGAGCAATGGTTCTCCCAGAAAGGCCACATTATCTGGAAAAAAGGGTCCCCAGCTGGGATTAAGGCCGGCCCTACCATTGTCCAGGCCACTGCAGATAACAGATTGGAATTAAAAGAGCTGTTGAGAAAGAGAGAGAACTGCAGCCTTGGCTTACAAGCTTAGATGGCTTTAAAAGAGGCTTTGAGAAGTCCATGGAGGAGAGGTCTACTAGCCATGCTTAAAAGCAGTGTACCTCCCAATGCCAGATGTTGGTGACCTTGGACCATAGAAAAGGGTTGTTGGCCTCATGTCCTGTTTGTGGACTTCCTTGTTGGCCACTCTAGGGAAATAGGGTGCTGCACCTGGTCTGATCTAGCAGGACTTTCATGACTTGATTTGTAGTCTATGGTTACTATAATAGGAGCAGAGGGGGAAACGGTGCCATTTGAGTCTTCTGCCTCAACCCTGCAAATACCTCTGAGCTAGACCAGGTGGGCTATATATATTTCCAAGCTCAGCAGTAGCTCTAAGCACGGGAGGAATTTTTAAATTATAAAATTTGCATGCAATAAAACAAATGAGTATATGCCATTGCATGGGGAAAAATAGTTGAATGGAGGGTGTTGTTGGACTCCAACTCCCATCATCCTTGACCATCATCTGGGCCTGATGGGAACTGGAGTCCAACAATATCCTGAAGGCCACTTATTCTCTATCCCTCGAATGGCTGTTTGATCTGTCTGGACAGCTGCCCTTCCAAGCCAGCAGCCACTCTTGATGTAGAATAAAGTCTCTTTTATCACACCCTCCCATCTTGTTTGCGACTATCTGGCTAGCTACCACATGGTTTGCCCTTTGTTGCTTTTCAGCATCAACGCTTGCCTTTTGGAACTTACAGGGTAACAAGAGTGCCTCTGATCATATATGGATTTTACCTTACTGCTCACTAGGGAGTAGCCGCAGGAAAAGCGGCAACCACCAGGGATGGAAAAGAAGGAGCTTCCTGAAACATTTAGTGTGGGCCATTGCAGCAACGCAAAAGGTAGCAGCACCTGGAATGATTTTTCTTCCTTCTCCAGGAGGCCTGAAAGCGGCTTTTGCTGGGTTTAGGGTTGTGTTTCTTCACAGCAGTTTATTTTGGACTCGTACAGCATCCATCAGACTTTGTCCCCACACCATTCTGTATCATCTCCCTCCTCCGCCCAGTTTAATCCGGATTTAATGTTTCCATGGAAAATCCGATAAATTTAAACACACACACAGAGAGAGATTAAAAGATACCATTAATAATAAGCTGTCACATGGAGGCACACACACACACACACACACACACACACACACACACACACCAGGCCCCTGTAAGAGGCTGTGATTTCCAAGTCGGCTCCAAGGTCCATCAGCACTTCCATATTTAGGAGTTTAGGCCTTGCCCACTCTCTCGTTTACCATTTCCCATCCTGGTTTTTTAATCGGCTTTCATGCGACACTGGCCAGAAGGCATATGCATCCTGTACTTTGTTATGAAATATAAAGTACGACCGTCTGATGTGATGTTTCTCCAACCATCTTGAGAGTCCTTCAGCCATTTCTAACTGTGCTTGATTATTGATTATCCATTTATTTCTCTTCTCTTCATCAGAAGAGGCCACGTGGTGGTTTTGCAACATGCAGCACAACAGAAATGTTGCAGCATAAAAATCAAAACAATTCTATAAATGCAACAAGGGTCATCTAGTCCAACCCCCTGCAATGCAGGAACTGCCGCTAAAGAATCCCTGACAGATGGCCACCCAACCTCTCGTTAAACACAACAAAGGAGAGTTTACCACTTTGAGGTTTTCTGTTCCACAGAGGAACAGCTCTTGGTATCAGAACATTCCTCCTAATGTTTAGTTGGAATCTTATTTCTCAACATTTGAATCTATTGGTTTGGGTGTGTACCAGACAAGCAAATCTGACACCAATGAAGCTGTGCTGATGTGAACAACTGGGGGGTAAGGGGAGCTATGAAGCACATCAGGCAGCGGAGGAGGGGGAACAACTTCCCCCCTTTCAGCTTCACTTGGATTCAGGGTACCGTATTTTTCGCTCTATAAGACGCACCAGACCACAAGACGCACCTAGTTTTTGGAGGAGAAAAACAAGAAAAAAAATATTCTGACTCTCAGAAGCCAGAACAGCAAGAGGGATCGCTGCGCAGTGAAAGCAGCAATCCCTCTTGCTGTTCTGGCTTCTGTGATAGCTGCACAGCCTGCATTCGCTCCATAAGATGCACACACATTTCCCCTTACTTTTTAGGAGGGAAAAAGTGAGTCTTATAGAGCAAAAAATACGGTAGGTTGACAGAAAACAGTCCTCTGTTTGAAGGACTGTATGGTCCAACGCTGGTTTAAAGACAAAGATCAGTTGTGAGAAATGCCTGGGTAGCTCAGTTGGTTAGAGCGTGGTACTGATAATGCCAAGGTGGCAAGTTTGATCCCTGTATGGGATGGCTGCATATTCCTGCATTGCAGGGGGTTGGACTAGATGATCCTCAGGGTCCCTTCCACATGTATGATTCAAAAGAAGGGAGTGCAACAGGAGCTCACCCCATCGCGGGGATTCGAACCGCCAACCTTCTGATCGGCAAGTCCTAGGCTCTGTGGTTTAACCCACAGCGTCCCCCGCGTCCCTTGAAAAGTGAATGTACATACGTATTAATTTATTATGATTTTGCATAGGGCTTCAATTTCCATCCCCACCCCTTGATGTTGAAAACAGCTAGCAAAATTGAAACTCACAACATATGAAAGGGTAGTCTTTTTTTAAAAAAGACAAAAATAAATGGCAGCCAGCTGAAAGATTGTTGAAGGCAGCAGTCCTTTTTTAAAAAAAGATTCATCTGGTTTTTGAAGCCTCCCACATTTAAATGTTACTTTTCCATTTAAATCGAGGGAGAGAGTGCGCGCGCGTGTGTGGCGGGAGCTTGCATTTCCTCCTCTGTCCACAAGGGGGAGGTAAGGACATCTTGGGGAAGGGGATAATAAGCCCGGCAGGTTGCGTTTCCTCCCCCTGGCCGCCAGGGGGAGGAGCTATAAGTACGAAAGCGATCGCTCTTCACTCCGAAAGGACTGGGGAGCGCGTGAAAATCACCAGGAAGCGGAAGCGTGACTCCAACCCGGAAGCGGTTTTCCCCGTTGCGCCGGGAGCCGAAACAAACGAGCGGGGAGCGATGAACGCGCCTCCGGCCTTCGAGTCCTTCCTGCTTTTCGAAGGAGAGAAGAAGTGAGTGAGGGGAGGAAAGCTACAATGGCCTGGGCAGCGGGGAGGCCTGTGACCAGCTTGGGGTCGGGGTGGAAATGAAGGGGGACCACGTATCGGTGGTAGAGCATAGGTTGGGGGGCGGGCCTGGGCGGCACTTGCTGGGCGCCATGGGGTGGACCGGAATCGCGCTTCGTTAAGTTTCTAGCTTGTGTGCAAACCGAGATTATTTATTTATCTATTTTTGCAGTTTTGTTGTTGTTTAGTCGTTTAGTCGTGTCCTACGCTTCGTGACCCCATGGACCAGAGCACGCCAGGCACTCCTGTCTTCCACTGCTTCCCGCAGTTTCATCAAACTCATGCTGGTAGCTTCGAGAACACCATCCAACCATCTCGTCCTCTGTCTTCCCCTTCTCCTTGTGCCCTCCATCTTGCCCAACATCAGGGTCTTTTCCAGGGAGTCTTCTCTTCTCATGAGGTGGCCAAAGTATTGGAGCCTCAGCTTCAGGATCTGTCCTTCCCGTGAGCACTCAGGGCTGATTTCCTTCAGAATGGAAAGGTTTGATCTTCTTGCAGTCCATGGGACTCTCAAGAGTCTCCTTCCAGCACCATAATTCAAAAGCATCAATTCTTCGGCGATCGGCCTTCTTGATGGTCCAGCTCTCACTTCCATACATCACTGCTGGGAAAACCATAGCTTTAACTATACGGACCTTTGTTGGCAAGGTGATGTCTCTGCTTTTTAAGATGCTGTCATGTTTCACTTTTTCTTCTAAGGAGCTCAAGGTGGCGTACATAGTTCCCACCCTGCCCTTTCCCATTTAGTCCCCACAACAACCCCAGGAGGTAGGTTAGGCTGAGAGGCCGTGACCTTCCCAAGAGTCAACCAGTGAGCTTCAGGAGTTGCACAGTTAAGGGGCCCGATGAAGTTGGGCTTTCGGCAAAGCTGCTGCAGCGAGCCTTGCCTCCTATCAAGGAAAGTCTTGTATTAGCTGGCATTGAAATTAGCCTTGCATTTTCAAAACAGTTTTTAAAAGTCTCTTCCCTGCTCCCCCTTTTCCTTCCAGGATTACAATAAATAAGGATACCAAAGTGCCGAATGCCTGCCTGTTTACCATCAACAAGGAAGATCACACTCTGGGGAATATCATTAAGTCGTGAGTAACAATGGCTCTTGTTTTACAGCAAGGTTCGGGTGGGGTTGTTTGAAAGCAGCACCTGTCTCAAACTAGGATGATGGTCAAGGACAGGCATAGGCAAACTCTGGCCCTCCAGATGTTTGGAACTACAATTCCCATCATCCCTAGCTAACAGGACCAGTGGTCAGGGATGATGGGAATTGTAGTCCCAAACATCTGGAGGGCCGGAGTTTGCCTATGCCTGGTCAAGGAGACAATGAGGTTGTTGCTTTTCCATACTCCTGGTAGGCTCTGGGTGATCTTCCCCAGATGTTAATTGATACAAATATACCTATGAAAAGGTGAGTTTGTTGGACACTGTCAAGTGTTTTTGACTGGCTAAATTACCGAAAGCAAGGATGTTATATAGGCTGCTGGGAAAATAAAATGTGGCATGTTCATTAGAGGTTTTGTTAGTAATGTTCTGCCACTTCCTTTCAGCCCCAAGCAAAGAAGTCAAGCTCCTTCTGGAGACCTCAGTTCCTTGGATCTTATTCCCAAAGTAGAGAATAGCATCAGATATAGTGAACCTGTGGCCTTTAAATATTGTTGGATTGCAACTCCCATCATCATGGACCCTTGACTATGCTGGCTAGGGCTGATGGGAATTGACGTCTGGAGAGCCATCTCTGCAGTAGACTCTGCTCCTAATTGGCCTTTAAGATCATAAGATCCTGGCATTTTAAATTATTTAAGAGCCTGCTTAAGCCAATCTAGTTTAAGATCTTGTTGAACCTCCCTGATTCATTCCACAAACAGGGAACCATTGCAGAAAAGGCCCAATTACAGTGGTACCTCGGGTTAAGAACTTAATTCGTTCTGGAGGTCCGTTGTTAACCTGAAACTGTTCTTAACCTGAAGCACCACTTTAGCTAATGGGGCCTCCCACTGCTGCCACACCGCTGCCACGCAATTTCTGTTCTCATCCTGAAGCAAAGTTCTTAACCCGAGGTACTATTTCTGGGTTAACGGAGTCTGTAACCTGCAGCGTCTGTAACCCGAGGTACCAATGTATCCACTGAGGCCCTTCTTCGTGTGCCCCTTCACAAGAGATCTGGAGAGTGGCAACATGAGAATGTTTGGCCGATACCCAATGCCCTTTTAAATGTGTTGTGGGAGGGGGGATTATTAGTTTGTTTTTGTTCATATTTTTATTATGTATTTTGTGTTTTTTTACATTGTAATTTAATGCTGTGAACTTCTCTGAGATCTACTGATGAAGAGTGGTGTACAAATTTAATAAAAAATAGTAATAATAATAAAATAGTGCTTCCAGTATAGAGAAGTCTGCTCTGTGTTTTGCACAGCAGTCACCAGATATTTCAAGATAGCTTTCACATCTCCACTTGATCTTTCCTTCTGCAGGCTACACGTTCTCATCTTTGAACCATACTTTATAGGCCTTCTCGGGCTCCATCTGCCTGCACCTTTGAGGAAGCCCATCTGAGCTGGAGGCTTGCTCAGCTGTAAACCTGGGTGATGTATCTCAGCTCCTTCTTCCTCCCCTTAGGTGAGGAGGAAGCAACAGCCAAGATGCATTTCAGACATTGTGATATATCAGTCTATTACAGTATTTAGCTGCTGGTATATCATGAAGTTGAAAACCCGTTATCACCCAGCCCCAGTTTCCAGACTTTTCCCCATCTTAGCTGCCCTCCTCTGGCCTAAGGTAGCTGGTCCTTGGTCTAATCTAGCAAGGCAAACCACACTTTTCACAGTATACTTTATGTGTATTCCTTTTCTTCCTCCCCTCCCCAGGCAGTTATTGAAAGACCCTCAGGTGCTGTTTGCAGGGTACAAGGTCCCTCATCCACTGGAGCATAAGATCATCATTCGTGTCCAGACCACCCCTGATTACAGTCCCCAAGAAGCCTTCACCAACGCCATCACAGATCTCATCAGCGAGCTCTCCCTCCTTGAGGAGAGGTTCCGGGTAAGTTGGTGCATTTAATGTTGCCTTGGCATTGCTTTTATGGAATGACCTGTCAGTGGGAGGTGTCTCCTCTGTGCCTCAAGATATATAGCTGTGAACCGGGTAAGAAGCTGTGCTTGGTTGGCGACTGCTTGGCATGCCGCCAGATGGGTTAATCCACCATCACCCAGGTGAAGCAGGGGCATTATCTGTCATTTCAGACCCCAGGGATAGACATTTTGGAGCCGTCCAGGGTGGACTGACCCAGGGGTTCAAACACTGTTTAAAGGCAAAAATGAGCCATTTTTTCTTGATAGGGAGACACATTCAACTAGGGGTAGCTCCCCCTATAAAGAGGTGTCTTGTGGGAGTATCCCTAGTAAGACCTCTGCTGGTTCCTCACTTTTCAACATGGGGCAGACGCATGGCACTTGAAGCACCAATGAGATCTTGGGAGACTCAGGACCATTTCCTTAGGACTCCTTTCTCTCAAAAGTGCTGAGACTTTATCCTCCTTCCTTTCTTAAATTCAATACACTTTTCACAGAGCTCCCCCCACCCCAATTATTTCTGTCCTCATCCCTGCTACATGTTTGAATGGGTGTGGCCCAAAATGGAATCCACCAATTCAGAAAAAAAGAAATCTGCAGGGATGAGCTAGTCCCTGGGCAGCAGTAGCATTCATAGTGAGTTGGAGGGAATTTCATCTGATTCAGTTTGCCATGGAGGGTGAGAGAACCACCTCTGCAACACAAATGTTTGGGGCCCTGTGTGGTTCTGCTGTTTTCCTTTGATAATTCTGCTGTGGCTAAGGATGGGATACAACCCACCTGAAGTCCAGACTCTTTTGTCTTATGTAGTAAGTACAGGTTATTAACTGCAGAAAAAGGTCTCTTAAACTGGCTTTATGTAACCCCTACTTTCTGTTTGAGCCTTAATTGAAATTGTTTTCCCCCTTTTGTTCCTGCTCTACCACAAAATAGTTGATTTCTGTGAGAAACTGGATCAAACTTCACTAAGAGACTACTTGTCTGCCTCTCTTTCAGGTTGCCATCAAAGACAAACAAGAAGGAATTGAATAAGTACATGACATTTTTGCCTATCTGTTGTAAATGCATAATTTGGTTTTTCCTTATATAGCAGGCTAATAGCAAGTGTTTAATAATGCCTTTACATTGCTCTGCATCCTCCAAGAAATGTGTGTATATGTGTAGAAGGCAGCTGGACATGAGATCCCATTGATTTATTTTTTAGCTAATAAATTATACTTATGTTTTTCATCCAAGTTGCTTTGTTTGAAAAGATTGGTAAAGACCTGAAGAAGACAAAGCTAATATCATTTGTGTGCCATGTTTCAAGAGTATGAGGGAAAAGGGTTCTGCTCTAAGGTTAAGGATCTGAACCCTACCTGCAAAGTACAAAACTTCGTTAAATTCTAATTAATCCCAACCACTACTTAAAACGCTCCATCTACTCAAACATATTTAACATTTCCCCAATTTTGAGGGTGTTTGTGTCGTTTTTAATTGATATATGCAGGTTGTTAGCGCTCAGCAAAGTGGTCCCTGTCAACTCTCCTGCCTGCCATAATTTAAAAAGAACTTCAGCTAGCTTTTATCAAGTTTTATTAAATACTGTCTTTCTATAAAACAAATACACTTTAAAACACCAATAAAAGTAAAAGTCACAGTTAAAAGATGTGGGGATTGGCCAGCACAGGCTTCCAGCCAACCCTTCAGTTGATTTTCCTTGAATTAATTCACATGAAGTTTAAATCCCCACCCCCCACCCCAAGCTTGGTTATTTCCAGAACGGTCACAAATACTGCACTACTGAAATGTGGGCGAAAAATGTGGCTCCTTTTGTGGGGCCACGCCAGAACAGCTAGGCTTTCTTCCATATTGCGGCAATGTTTACGTCGGTGAGAGCAACCAGGTAAGTGAAGGTGGGGTCTGTGACTACATTGTTCACCAGGACATCTGTCAGCAGCTCACCATTTGCTTTCAATTCTGGCCACTTCAGGACCTAAGCAGAAAAGATTGAGAGGGAAGAGCTTACTGTCTCATTTTATATACAATTCAACCTTGTTGCAGTACACCTTCTTCTAGAATGCAGTATAAAAACATTTTTATTAAATATTCCAAACCATTTTTCATCCTATACAAAATTCTAGAGTTAAGAAAACTCTTTCAAAGGTGATTTACTGTATCTTTCAAAATGTCTTTAACCTCTAAATAGCCAGTAACATATTTGAAATCAAATATACATTTGTACCTGTTGTCCCATAATTGAACATCAGGACACAAACCCCAGAAAGATAAATTGCCCCTGTACCTGCGAAGGCCCTATTCTCTTAACTGACGACTCTTCCTTTGTGGCACTCAGAGTGGACAAGTGGTTGCTGAGGTCATACATCCAGACACTTCCTTTCTCATCACCACAGAACACGTACTCTTCTGCTGCAGGAGCAAAAGGGTCCAAATCAAATCAATCTTACAATTTCAGTCATAAGAACAGAGGGATATAATTCAAAGATGCATGAGTGCACCTGTAAGGTGGAGAAGTCAAAGCAGGCCAGATCTTGCCCAGCTCTGTTCCACTGGATACCCACTGCAGCACAAACTCAGGCTAGAGGGTTGGGGAGGGAGGTTGCTGTGGTTTGCCAGAGTTTGTTCTCCCTGACTGGGAACTAGGGGAAGAATTATAAGGCCTGCATCTAACACTGAGTCTTAAGAGAGATTAAAGATGCTCTTTGTGTACTGCCCACCCAGCTGCCCAACACTCTCTGTCTAATGTATTTTTGACTTGTGGTGTTAAAGGAATCCCAGATGATAATTATAGGAGACTTCAACATTGCTGCTGTTGGATCAGCTCAGGATTTCCTGGCTCCTACAACCACCACAGAGCTGTCTCAGGTTGTCACCAGCCCAATGCACAGAGCAGGGCACACCCTTGACTTGGCCTTTGCTCCAAGGAAAAAGGTGGTCAGGAAATGGGGGGGGGCATTCCTCTATTATTCTGCTGTCATAGTCAGACCACTTCCTGGCAAAGTTTGGATTCACAGCCCCTGCTCAGCATTGCTATCAATGCCCACTTTCAACTGGGCACTAGTGATGGTGCAGCTACACAGCCTCCCTCCAGGTGGGCTTATCTGGTGCTGTCATGCTTTTTGAGATGGAAGCCAGGTGGCCAGCATGTCACACTTCATGAACTACAATGCCTGAGAGACATGAGAGGGCAGAGCCTGCCACCCAGCACCTCTAGATGCTCAGAGCTGCCAGGGGCCTAAGTGGCAGAAGGCACCAGCAGCACTGGTGAAAAGGGCAGGGTCAGCAGTATGGGAGACACTTACTCGGACACGTGCTGAGGGTGAGGTAAGGCAGATCTGTTGAGGACCACTCCAGTTCAGCCAGGATGATGGCTTGCACTGTTCTGCGACCTCCCTTCCCTTGCTTGAAAGAGCGGCTCCAGCTCCAGAGATTTATGGACCCTGTCTTAGAACTCTTGGTAACTGCAGAGGAGAGAAAAGAAACATGCCTTGCTAGGTAGTGTGCCTGCTGCCAGAACACTGCATCTTCCTATGAAATTAGCTTTTATCAGTTAAGATACTAATTTTCAGTGGGAGAGCACTTGCTCTGTATGCAGAAGGCATCTCTTCCCTAAGTAGGGCTGGGAGAGACTCCCATGAAATCCTGGAGAGCTGCTACTGCCAGTTACTGTAGATGGACCAGTGGTCTGACTCAGTACAAGGCAGCTTCCTATGTTCCTATGGCCTGACAGAAGGTGATGGTTAATAATGGCAACACAAAATTTACTTTCTGGTAATGTGCCAAAGAAAGCCAAATGAAGTCATAACCTTAAAGTGAAGCTGAGGGACCCAATACTGCACCTGATTCAATCATACATTTTTTTCTCACAGTAACTTGCAGTGCAGTTGCATACCAACATCTCTACCCAGAAGTAGGTTCCACAGAATTAAATAGGACTTATTCCACCTACGTGTGCTCATTTAGGACTGGTTTCATATGACTTAAGAGAGGAGCTTGTCATACATGGAGTGCAGAATACTTGCTGTTCTATAAGAATCACCAAGGAGGGGGAGCTATGTGGAAGACTTGGGGCCTTTCAATAAAGATAACAGGTTCACACAGCATAAACCCTGAAATGAGGAACGAAAGAGGTTTCCCATTCTCTGTAGAGAAGTCATCAAAGTGCAACATTATCTTTATCTCTTATGACTTGGCAAGCATGGAAATGGGAGGGAGTCAATGCTGTACCCTGGTACTGAAGGTCATCAGCTTTGACCAAATAGTTTGTAAACTTTTCTAACCCATCTTCTCTGGCATTTAGTCTACTTTTATCTCTTTCTTTAAAAGTGTGCATTAGCTCAAAGGGATTTTTGAGTCTACTTACTGCCAATTTGTCTAGAAAATGTTTCTTCTTTTTCTAAAAAAAGCCATTTTATTAAAGATGTTTCTAAGTGCAAAAGAAGAAAGCAAGCTGGGGAAGTACGCCAAAGGCGTAACTAAAACATCTCAACAAACATTGTCCCACTTCACACAACACTATGCAAGACCCTGCCTAAGTGTGAATGAGGGAGTGTGCGAGTAGATGGAGAAATTTAAGAGCGGTTTCTAGACTGAAGATATTCCTTCCAGACACCCAGAAAAAAAGGATGCAGGCTTCAAGAGAAAAGATAGGCCTTTATTGAAATATAAATGTGCATAGGGGCAACCTCAAAAATAAAAAGGCTGCGAAGAATCACATCCACAGCAATCTTTCATATACACTTCCAGGTTACACACATGATTTTAGTTCACCAATCAAAGGATCACAGCAATCTTAGCAGTTGCAACCCAATGTTATCATCACTCAAAATCACTTAACTCTTCAGATCAGCTCTCATCATCATATCAAGTGATTACATATGATCATTTTAAAATGTCTTTTATAATTAAGACTTTCACTAATTTTTCTATGCATTAAATGCTTCCCAATATCCTTTATCATCTTTCTACAAAACAATTCAAGATTGATGGCCACCATAGATTTTAACAGCTTATTCTTTTCAGTGTTCCGGAATGGACATTCACTGCATACAGCACCTGAAAGCAACTAGTTCTGTATGGAATCATCAAAATGATAAGAGTCCTTTGAAAGTATTATGTTCTCCATCATAATCAAAAGAAAAATTGCAGCTGCTTTCCTTCCCCCTCTGGCCTTGCCGCTGCACTATCCAAAACTAAGCCACAGTTTGACTTATTGTTACATGATTTGCTTCCTCCAGGCAAACAAAAATAGTGAGCCAAGAACAAACCTTAGCTACAGTTCAAAGTTTGTATGGACAGAGACAAACAACAAGTCTGGGTTCGAACATGTGGCTTAGTTCAAGGTTGTGCAGCAGCTGGCAAAGCAGCCACAATTTTCCCTCTTGAGTACCCACACACTTGCTCATTCACACATAGCCAGGTTTGGCTTAGTGTTACATGTGAACCAGGCCACTGAAACAATGTCATCTTACGCATGCAGTTGCAGGTGCTAACCTATCTGAATGCAAATTTCTTACCCACAATGTCTTCATTCAAAAAGGCCAGACCATCCACTCGATGGGAAGCTGTTTCATTCCCCTCATCATCTGGGAACTGGAATTCTACTTCATAAGGTCTGGAACATTGGGAAGAACAAGATCACATTTTAAAAAAAAGTATTGTGCAACACTATTATGCAAGCACCATAACTGTACAATTAAAGAGTAACTCATGTCTTCGGTTTTCAGCGATTTTTAATACATAAATAAAAGTAAGTTTGTGGTTCGCATAGCAGAGGAGCAAGTTTTGAAAAATCAATAGCAATTATATTGCAAGCATCTATGGGGGTGTGACCTCAGAATGCCAGAACATGTGCTTTGCATGCAGAACAACCCAGATTCCATACATGGTAGTGCTATTTTAAAGGATGAGGTAGGTAGGCAGATGATGGGAAAGCCATCTGCCTTAGACCCTGGAAAGTACGACCTGTCAAAATAGCCCAGTCCTAAAGCAACGTGGACAAACAGGCATCTTTCTATGTTTTGATGAACTTATGGTCTCCAGCTGGATTTAATACTAGGAGACCTTGGTTCAAAATCCCTTATCATCCATAAATCTGTGCTCAACATAATGACAGGGCAGTTATAAAGGTGTGAATCGTCAGAAGTTATAGAAGAAATCAAGAATTATTTACAGTACTTTCTCCGGTTTCTGAGAAGGAACAAATTGGAAATCCTAGCCTAAGATACATGTTACCTGTTTCTATTTTCTCTCTCTATATTTACTACCTTCTTTCTTTTCTTTGCTTATGGCATCTCCATGTACTGAGGTCAGGAAAACTCTGAACAGGGCAGCTTGACCCAATGGACAAAAAAGTACCATTTGTTTTAGCAGAACAAACTGGAGCACAATAGCGACTTATGTACACTTCTTTTAACAAGTTACCGACGACAGCCGCACCATGACCTGTGCCCCCTGATTTATGGCAATAAATTACAAAACTATCTTCAGCGTCAAGGTGGAAGTTGCAGCCATCATATAGGATGGCTGGATTTGATAATAGCACCCTAAGCTTATTTGCATATAGATACAATTATGCAAGTGTGCCACCTCTATTTTCTGATTGGGTGCAGTTGAATAAGTTGCCTGTTATGGAATTATGCCAGTGCTATACTGAATTTCCTAGATTATCACTATCTGTTGAAGATGTCATGAGAATCAACTGAGGCCCTAGAGAACCACTGCCCAGCAAGGAAAGCTAAACTGAATACATAATCTTTGTAAAATTACCACTCTCCTCTACCTCCCCTGCCCTGGTAACACCAGGCATGATTTACTTACCTGTTTTTCTGCTGCTTTTCATCCAGTCTAATGTCCCAAGCAAAGCAACCTTGCTCACAGCCAGCCACCAAGTATCGGTCTGGGCAAGAGGGCACGAGGGCGATGCGTAGGGGTGTGGCAATGGTCTCTAGCACCATCAGATGTCTGGCAAATGAAGCACATTTTAGTTCCCACCTTCCATTCACAGTTCACCACTTTTTGCTAACTTTGGTTATGGTGTCATTACCTTTCTTTGAAATTATAATCAGAATCTGGAACTCCAATGTCCCACATGCATATTTTCTTGTCATAGGATGCAGCTGGGAGAAAGAAGAGAAAACATGCATCCTGGTGAGGATAGAGGCAGTCTTCAAAATAACTACCCAAAACGTGCCCTACATCATAAAAGAACCCAGGGTAACAATGTGAATACAACCACACTGAGCAGAGGAATGAAGAGTCCTGGGAGGGGCATGGACCCAAGGTGGCTTTGAGGCAGAAGGAGGAGGAAGAGAGAAAAAACACCTCAGTGGTTAAAAATTGGAATATTGCTGACCTTCCCCACTTAAGAGTTAAGAAATTAAGAAATGTTGTAACATCCTGCATCTTAAAAGTGTATGCCATAAACAGGGCATGGGAAGGCATCTTAAGCCACTGCCTTGCTGAAGTTAGTGCCTACAGGAGGTTTCACTTGGAAGTTTCCCTTTTCCTTTTGCACTGGACTTCCAACAAGAGAAGGTAGACTTCACCTTTTACCTATTCACATGGATCTGACTTCCTGCACTGTACCCACTCCAGCCCTCATCTGGTGACAGTGCTTCAGCTGGGCAGCAACAGAGTTTCCATCCCACTGTGAGTAATGGACTTAAACAGCTATGGCTGCACTCAAGACTGCAAATGTAGATGGTGCAGAGATAAATGATTACCGCATGTTCAGCGCCTGCTAATTGCATGTCTAATTGAATTCAAATTAATTAGATCAAGCAGATACCTATGGAATCTGCATAATGTTATCCGCCATTGGTGAACTTGAAAGATACTGCTTTCATGGCTGCAAAATTCTGGCTTTAGATTTGTAATAAATTAACAGTCCTAAACTATGGAACAGACAAAGACAGCATTATTTTGCATTGCCTCAGGGAAAAAAGGCCTTTTGGCAAGGGCTGACTGAGTGAACCTGGAGGGAGACTTACTGAAAAGATGCGTCTCAGAAGTTGGACTGAAGCAGGCAGTAGCAATGGGTTTCTTGTGTGCCTTGATCTCTCCATAGCAGTAATCAGCGGTCACATGAATTAACTTCACAATTCCTCGTCTCCCAGCAGCAGCCAGAACATTGTGCTTTTTCTTTCGCCCCTCACTAGTGACCATAGTCAGAGTTGTCCATGCAACAGTGAAAAACTCCTGGAGGGGGGAAATGTGTCATCAGTAAAGCAAGCTGTGAGGCAGAGGCACTACAAAAGGTGTATAAACACTTTGGTCCCACACAGTCACTTGGCATACACACAAAATGTCCTACTTTAGGTACAAATTTGCTCAAAGCTCCTCCGTGCCTTTGCAATGAAAAGTAGGTTATAACATCATTTTTTTAAAAAAAATAAATCTTGATTTGTCATTTTGTTATGAGAGAAGAAGCACAAGTTACATAGGGACTTTTCACAAAAAAGGGGCAACAATGAAACATAGTAAATCAGGAAAGGGGGAGGGGAAAACAAGGACATAGCAAAAACATGCAAAGCAATACATAGCTATCTTAAATACAATGTATAGGGAGAGGAATAAGAAAGTTAATCTTCTACAAAGCCTGTCCACACAGTAACCTGGGAAATTGGAGGTTTGGTGGGTTTTGCTCAGTTCAGAAAGGCCTAGCAAACCAGCACCCTGGAAAACCAGTTTAGGAAAAATAAAATAAAAAAAGAGGCTAGACCCTATCTCTTAGTCAGGGGAGACCTTTTATAACTATTGAGCAGAGCAAAAGGGCAATTAGCCCTGCAGATGTGGGGAGTTTATCATCAATCCACAACTGCCAGCTCTGTTCTTCAAAGGCTGACAGATAGATAAAAGACCATCCATCTAACTACAAGCTGTAATACTCCCCTTTCTAGGCATCAGAGTGTATCTATTTGTGCTTGGCAAGCCTTACTTAACAAGCCAAACTCACAACTGTGGTTCTATCGCCAGAGATCCCTGAACCACAAAAATAAGGATGCTGAGTGGATGGGAAACAGAAAGGAGAGAAGCAGCCCTAAACCACGGTTTGCTTATGTATTTGGAAGGTCAAACCCGGTTTTGTTCACAGTTTGGTGCTGTGACTGAATGTTGTCAGTGACAGGAAAATTAAACAACAGTAAGAAAGAGATTGCAACATCTCATAAATGAGTCCTGGAATTGGTGCTGCTGCTACAGCAACAGCTAATGCATGCTAAAACATCTAATTATATATTTAGTAGCATTGCAGAATTTTCAACTTTAATTCCCACCCCTTGTTATGGAAGTCCCTCTGGTCACAGAGATGAAAATGAGTTGGCAGTTTCTGATAAAAGATTCAGTAACCTGAGTTCTGAAGGGAAATATCTGGGGAGGAAAGGCAGGAAAGATCCTACTCATCGCTCTCATGTGCTCGCTTTGTATTTTTGACTCCAGTAACACAATTTTTGCTTGCAGAATACAATATGTTTAGAAACACTGAATTCAACGCAGCACCTGGGTTTTAAGTCACCATCTCCACTTCCTATCAGGAGACATTGTTGCATGAAGAAAGCCCTCAGCCAATACCCCCCCCCAAAAAAACCCCAACACCTGGCATTCAGGATCAAGCAAGACATTCTTGTTTCCCTACCTCCCCAGTCACTTTGTACTTTTTCAAGACAATGCCCGTCTCGCAGTCCACCAAACAGACAGAGTCTCCACCACAGGTAGCTGCTGTTCTGGATGAACTCACCACAGGATCTGAAAAAATTTAAAAGAAACAGTAATTGTAACCCTTGTGTTCCCATTTGACCTGACATTTAGCTCCTGGAGGTGTGGGGAAGCTGTGGAAATACTTTTTGTGTGGGTATAGCCCCTTAGACAGTACTTCTAATGTGCCAAGTGCTGTACTATCTCTGCTTTGCTCTCACTGATAGCCAATCACAAATGGGCAACTGAGGCCAATAGTAACTATATGCCACCTACTGGGGACCACAGTGTCCACACTTACATACCAACTTAAAACTTCTCATGGAAAGCACCATCTTTTATTTATATAAAACATAGTACCATTTTCCTTGACCAATGATTTTAGGTGCTCTACATAACTAGAAACTGAAAACCCTATCTAGAACAATACAGCAAAATCTCAGTGCTTTTTTCAGACAAAACTGTCCTGCTCCCTGGAGTACAGAGCCTACACTCACTTATCCCTAATGCACAGATCTTCCTCCCTGAGCATGTCTGAGGTGCCAGCTTTCTCCTTTCCTTCAAGTTCTTCATCAAAACTCATACTGGCCTTGATTTCATTCCTTATTCCACAAGGCAAACAAGCTTTAATCACGTTAACTGATTTTGTGGCATGTCCTCTGAACACTGTTTCAGAGGTTTGTGTTTTCTCCACCCCTGAAGCAAGGCGCGGCTTTCATTCTTTCACTCTGATGCAGTACAAGGCAGATGTTTTATGTTGTAAGCTGCCCTGAGAACTTCATGTTACAGGATGGCTTACTTATTAAGTAAGTAATAAATCTTACCCTCTTAAGGCGCCTTCAAGCAATGTGTACACAATGTGAAAATGGCAAAGTGACCTTACCAAATCAAATAGCAGTGTGTAAACTGGGCCTTAAGAAATTACAAGGTTAGATCTAACCAATAAATTATCCCTCTTAAATTGCAATCACATTGTGGACAGCAGCTTCTGCCTATATAAAATTGGTATAAGTAGCCTGCACACTTGAAACAGAAATACATGATCCACTGGAATGATAAAATGAGTAAAACATGAGGACAGGGTCTGCTAAAAGAATCAGAACCAGAGAGGGGGAACTTTTGTCATTAGCGATGGGGGCTGGGGGGGGGGCCATCTCATCATTACAATACAAATAACAATACACTGTGGGAGTCTCCTATAGACCACCAAGCCAGACTAAAGATTTGGGTGATGCTTTCGTGGAGCATTTACCAAACATTCAAAAAGGAAAGACATAATAGTCATGGGAATATTCCTCAATTGCCTTGCTGACAATTTCATTTTCCAAAAGGAGTAACAAGGGGATCAACTATCTTGGACCTAATTCTGATCCTTACTAACGGGGGAAAACTGGTGAATGAGGTGAAAAGTAGTGGGAACCTTGGGAGGAAGTGTTTGTGTCCTCTTGGGATTCATTATACAGAAAATTGAGTGTAGTCAGGCATGCACTTTGAACTTTAAGAAAGCCTTCAAAAGGCTTAAGAACTACTAGGTGTGATCCCATGGTCAGAAATACTCAGAGAGAAGGAAGTTCATGATGGATGAGAGTTTCTTAAAGGTGAGATATTGATAGCACAATCACAAACAATTCCAACAAGAAAGAAAAGTGGGAGGCACGAGTGTGGCTGAATAAGGAACTTTCCAGTGAGCTGAGATTTAAAAGAGGCATATCTAAGAAACAGAAGGAGCAAATCATGAAGGAAGAGTATAAATGAGTAGCCAAAACTTGCAGGGAACAGGTCAGGCAGGCTAATGCTCAGAATGAACTTTCGGACGGCTGTCCAACAGCAGAATGTATTACCTCGGAAGGTGGCAGACTCTCCTTCATTGGAAGTTCTTAAATAGAGGTTGGGTGGCCATCTGTCAGCAATTCTTTAGCTATGATTCCTATATTGGAGTGGGCTGGGGCTAGATGATCTCAGGGTTCCTTTCCAACTCTACAACCCTATGAAATCCTTGAAACTATTAACATAATTCCTTCTCTGGTATTTTACTTTTAAGTCTGCCAAGGCTGCTCAGCCATGCTTACCTTTTCTCGTCCCACAATCCAGTGGAGGCTCAAAGACACAGGCCCATAACTGGGTCTTAAAGTCATCCCTGTTGTTGCCTTTACTGTGACACTGTAGAAAATGGACAGGCTCCAGGCTGATCGTCTCCTATAAGAAAGCAGGCCACTGTAAATGTAAGCTCAATGCCAATGGCACAAAAGGCATAGCCTTCATTTTACAAAGGAGAGAACTTGAGTTTTCTGAGCAGAAATTGAATGCTGCGGTCAGGCACAGAGACCCATGTTCAAAACCCCATTTTGTGTTGAAGCTCTTTGTGGGTGGGTCCTAGGATAAGCTACTATTCTCACAGCCTAATCAGCCTGGGGAATGTATGCATATGCATTAACTCTGATGCCCTTCCAGAACCAGGCAAAGACAGTTTTATTTGTCAAGACTATTTTAAGCTGTCTGTAATGCTGTTTTAGAGTCACGGGTGGTACTGTGGTCTAAACCGCAGAGCCTAGGGCTTGCTGATCAGAAGGTCGGCGGTTCGAATCCCCGCGATGGGGTGAACTCCCATTGCTCTGTCCCTGCTCCTGCCAACCTAGCAGTTCAAAAGCACGTCAGAGTGCAAGTAGATAAATAGGTACTGCTCCGGCGGGAAGGTAAACGGCGTTTCTGTGTGCTGCTGTGGTTCGCCAGAAGCGGCTTAGTCATGCTGGCCACATGACCCGGAAGCTGTACTCCGGCTCCCTCGGCCAGTAAAGCGAGATGAGCGCCGCAACCCCAGAGTTGTCCATGACTGGACCTAACGATCAGGGGTCCCTTTACCTTTAGTGCTGTTTTAAACTGGCTGGCGGCTGCTCCATTTCCAACTTGCATAGTATATACGAGCTGTTCTGGGGACTTTTGCCTGAAGTGGAACAAAAAGCTTCTAAGAAGAAACAGTAGGCAAACTGTTGCCTGCTCTCAGTCCATCAGATAGGAAAGTTATCAAACTAGTAAGGTGGCAGAACATTGGGATGTTAAAATAGTTGTGACCTAGACCCTCACTGCAGAGCTTCCGTGCTTCCAATGCACGCGCATTGGATGCGCAGGATGTTCTTCAGAGCACACCAGCTGTGTCTCATCAATAACCAACTGAGGGTGATAGAGAGGGGTGTCGTAGATTTAGCAGCACCCCCTACCCTTCCCACCCCTTCAGTCAAGTGACTGGTACAGTGGTACCTCTAGTTACAAACTTAATTCATTCCAGAGGTCCGTTCTTAACCTGAAACTGTTCTTAACTAGAGGCGTGCTTTCGCTAATGGGGCCTCTTGCTGCCGCTGTGCCGCTGGCACACCATTTCTGTTCTCATCCTGGGGCAAAGTTCTCAACTCGAGTTAACTCTTCCAGGTTAGCAGAGTTTGCAACCTGAAGCGTTTCCACTGTAATGGAAGAACTGATCATGTCCATCATCTTTTGCTGGATGCATAGTCTGCTGAGATTAGAAGTCACAGTCTTCTAATCTGTGGAAGGGTTAAGATCTATAAAAGGGCATGTAGTAAACCAGGGGTAGGCAGACTTCAAGCTTAGCAGACCTACTTGTTTTTGTTTTTACTAGAACCCCAAGATCTACAAGCCTGAACTAGGTACCCCAAAAAATGGAGTTAAAACTCAGGCTGCCTCCGAGCACATTCTGAATCTAAGAATTTGCTTTCACTACCAGAACTAACTGAACCCACAGTCCTTTTGCACAAAAGGAAACTTCTGGTTAACTTTCATCATTTAAACAGCCTAACCTAGGTGAAAAAAGTACCGTATTTTTCTCTCTATAACACTCACATTTTTTCTCCTAAAAAGTAAGGGGAAATGTCTGTGTGTGTTATTGAGTGAATGTGTGGTCCCTGGAGCCGACTGGCCCGAGTACAGGGGCAAAAATCAGGCAAAAATCAGATCGCGCGGAGGAGGGAAGGCTAAAGAGAGGAGGTTGCTGCTTTCCTGCATTTTGCCTCAGGGTCTTACTGCCCACCCTCTTCTGTTTTCGGTTGCTGTGTTTGCTCAAACTCAACAAAGAGCAGGGAAATCCCCTGCCCTCCTGGCAAGCAGAGGGGAAAGGAAAGGATCGCGTCCTTCCTTCTAATTCCTTCCTAGTCACACTGTGCACAGGCTCCAGCCCACCCGGCTCAGGTTCCGTAGGCTAGGAGCACAGCCGACAGCCACCACCTCCTCCTCTCCGTGCTCCGGTGCTGCTGCTGCTGCTGCTGCGTCCAGCATTATAGGGACTTGCAGGCAGCCGGAAAACATGCAGGTGGGAGAGAGGGGGGGGGCTGGCTGGGGGGGGAACTTTTGCCTTCCTTTCCTCCCTCCCGTTAAAGCCTTCTCCTGCTTTGTTAGCCAGCTGCTTCTCCGCACACCCCTCTCGTGCTCCTTGTCCCTTCTGTGTTTTTCCTTCCCTCTCCACTTAAAACGTGGTTACAAAGCACGGATCCACATGGATCCTCAGGATCCTTGCATTGGGTCACCCCAAATTCACCATCAGATCACATTACATGTCCATGGCTACAGCCTGCACCAAAAAAATCAGGCACCCACTGTTGCCTGGGGCTGCAATGGTGCAAAAACGTGGTTACAAAGCATGGATCCTCAGGATCCTTGCATTGGGTCACCCCAAATTCACCATCAGATCACATAGCATGTCCATGGCTACAGCCTGCACCAAAAAAATCACGCACCCACTGTTGCCTGGGGCCACAATGGTGCAAAAACGTGGTTACAAAGCACAGATCCACATGGACTCAGGATTTTTGCATTGGGCTACCCCAAACTCACCATCAAATCACATGTCTGTGGCCACAGCATGAAGCACAAAAATGATACATCCACTGTTTCATTCAGAATTTTTTTTTCTTGTTTTCCTCCTCTAAAACCTATGTGCGTGTTATGGTCAGGTGCGTGTTATCGAGCGAAAAATACGGTAATTTTGCTGCTGCTATTGTTAAACAATTGGGAGTCACAAACCTTTTCTGATATGCCACAAGCAAAATGTGATCTATCTTCTGTCCAGCCCTGTAATTAACAGTATAGCATTTTTACTGCATTTTTTCCAGGAAATTCCTATTAACTTATAGAGATATGCACATGAACCTTAGAATTCCCTGCACACAAAAAACTAGCATGCCAGAAAGAACAGTATAGAACCCTTCTCCCAAACATGTAGTTTACTAGGTGCAGGGAAATTTTTTTCTACAGTGAAACACTCAGTTCTGTGTGTTCTCACTTGCAATTTGAAGTCAAACAGCTCACCCCAGCAAAAACGAGCCTGAGAGGATAAATACATTAGGAAATGACATAACATAAACTTGATAATTTTGTACTTTTGATCAACTATACATGCGCTGGATGTCACAGATCAGTTACTTTTCAAGATTTGAAAGTGTACTTGTTTTACCATGGGAAAAACATGGTTTATCCTGATTCAAGTCTGCTTTTGTAACTCAAAACATGTCAGGATATTGATAATCTCCTCCAATAAATCAACAAATATATAGATGTTTCTCTATATATTTTTGTTGGTACAGGGCTCCTTGTTTTCTTGCATTCATTGCTTTTTGCAAGCCTACAAACTCATTATAAAATTTCCAGTTTTAGGAAGGTTGCCCTCTTGCCCCAGCAAGCCCTACATTGGAAGACTCTCCTGATACCTCGCCTTCCAAGTCTTTGATTGGAGTGCTACAAACATCTCTTGCATCCTCCTCTCTGTGCTCCTCTTTCTGCTGACTGGACCTTTTGTGGCTGTGTGCTTTTGGAAGACGCCCTCCATTCCGATGGGCCCCTTCAGAATCCTGAGCGTCCTGGGATTCCTTGGTCTGTGGGCGAGATGCTTTTGCCCTCTCAGGGCTGCGCTCATCCTGCAAGCGGCTGGGCTTCTTGGGGCTGGGAGAGGCTTCCTCATTGGAACTGCTGCGAGAATGGGATCTCTTGCTTGCTCCTCCTTTGGAATGAGCCCCTTTTCTTTTGCTGGGGGTTACTGTGCCCTATTAAAACAAAACACAGAAGCAACTCCTGGCTTGCTCATTCATTCTCACAACAAAACTCAAAAGCCGTGCTATCGTTTCACAGTGGCTTGCACAGCATAGTGACAACTTTTACTTCAATCTACAACGTCCCACAATCCAGTAACATTTCTGTTGTTTTTCTGAAACACAGAACAAAATCCACTGGGGATTTTCCTATTTAAATTAATGAGATGTGTTGACAGCATTTCAGATTTTCCCGTCTCCACAAGCCTTGTCCTACCTACCGGGGTGTGCGGGTGGCACTGAGATACACAATGACAAAAGATACTGGCACCCCACAACCTCTCACCAACAGCTGCACTCTCTACAGCCCTTTCCCCACTTCAGGCATAGAAAGAGCAATGCTGCCTAAAGTGGCCAGTCACTGCTGGAATGTGGCATGCTTTCTGAATTAGGGAAAGTGACTATAGGAGGGATGCATAAAAAAGGGAGGACAAACTATGCCTCCACGCCATTTGTATTGGGTTAATATATATTATGGTGGACAAGGTCAAAGACTAATTTCTGTGGCTGAAATTCCCAACTTCCTCCCTTTATATGCTAATGAATGTGGGGCCCAGGTGATAAGGAGGAAGCTAGGTTCTTATTACAGAAGGCTGACCATTTTATTAAGTTCATCATAGCCAAACTTTAATGCTTCAGTTTATGAAATGTATGACAAAATATCAGGCTGCTAGTCCATCTAGTCCAGTTCTGTTAACTCTCTTAGCAGCTAATCAAGGTCTCAGGCAGACCTCTCATTCTTGCTTCCTGATGACCCTTTTAGTCACTGATGCAAGGGATTGCCCCAGAGTCCTCCTGCATGCAAAGCATATGCTCCACCATTAGAAAGCCATGTTATACTTGTGGGATAACCTGCCTCATCTAACCAACATGCTTAATTCTAATGGTATAGAGTAAACTGTCCTGTGAGACTTAGCTAGGTTACTCCTACTCACTTTGGAAGGAAAGTAATCAAGCCTATTGTTGTATCTCAGTCTACCTGAGAAGCTCAGCATGTAAAGAGGTCTGAGCTGGTTGTTCCAAGCTCAAACCATGTGGCTCTAACAAGCCTCTCTTGAGTTCCTCTACCAATAATTTAGGTAATTTCCCCACTGTAACTAAACCAAGTTTTACTGCCTCTGTAAGCTTTCTACATGCTACATGGAAAAGCACATGACCCTGACCTTTGAAGAGTTTGTAAGTACTGTAAACCATTTTTAACTTGCAAACATGTGGTCTCTTGGAAGTTTTGGAAGGAACTCACAAGAGCATATTTCAAAGGTCTAACAGCCTATAGCTCCATGGTTTGGGTTGACTGAATATTTTGTGATTTTAAATCTCTGCTGGGGTTCTCTCACCAAAGAGCACTTGCCCCAAACCTGGATTTTGGCATCCAGGAATTCTCCTTTTTATATACAGTGGTACCTCGGGTTAAGAACTTAATTCGTTCTGGAGGTCCGTTCTTAACCTGAAACAGTTCTTAACCTGAGGTACCACTTTAGCTAATGGGGCCTCCCGCTGCCACCACCGCACAATTTCTGTTCTCATCCTGAAGCAAAGTTCTTAACCTGAGGTACTATTTCTGGGTTAGTGGAGTCTGTAACCTGAAGTGTCTGTAACCCGAGGTACCACTGTACCCATAATTTCCTTGTCAGCAACAATACTGAATCAGGCTATTGGTCATCTAACTTAGTATTGTCTACACTGACTATCAGTGACTCTCCAGGATTGCAAGCGGCCCTACCTGGAGATGCCAAGAACTAAACCTGCATGCAAAGCCAATGTTCTGACTGATCAATGTCCTTTTTCTGCATTGAACTATTGCCTTTCCCCAACTGGCTAGTGAGAGTAGCCAATAACTTCCAAAGACAAGAGCTAGAAAGATGTTAACTTACACCTACTGGGGGAAGCATATTAATTTGACTGAGGTGGTCAGGGTATTCACTTGCCAAATTCTGACCTTAGTAGCAACCTTATTTTCAGTATCTGAAGCATTTTCCATAATTTCTTCTTCTGTTTCTTCTTCTTCTTCTTCCTCCTCTTCATCTTTCTCCTCCTCTTCTTCCTCCTTCTCCTCCTCCTCCTCCTCCTCCTCTTCTTCCTCTTCCCCCTCCTCCTCAGCCGATTCTTCCACTTTAGAAGCAGCCTTGTCTTCCTGATTTAACAGTGAAGTCAAGAATTCCTCTGCAATCATTTTCACCTAATAGAAAAAGATAATGGAGAATGGTCAAATTTTAATAACAAGATAGATGAAGAAAGGAAGCAGTTTATAATACCTGTAAGAGGGATCAACAACTCTGCATTTCTCCAGAGGCCTTAAAAGACAGAATAGTTTCCTCTTTAAACTGTTTAACAAGGGTAATCAGCTTGTTCATTCTAGGCTTAAAGGAACCATTTCTTAAGAAAGATCTTAGATTTTCACTGTCAAATGATTTGTGATATGGCCATGGTTAAGACATCTCAGGCAACTTTCAAGTGCATTGATTTTTTACCAATTCTTTCAAGTAGCCCAGCAAAAAGTGTAAAAATTGGACTGGAATCCTGCAATTTATTCAGTTATTATTTTGTTGCCCATTACCATTATCAAAAGAGTCATAAGGCTACCAAATGCATAACATTGCTGAAGATTATAAAAACTGTTTTTAAGAGAAAGTTCCTCAAAAAAGCAGGATATATAATCAGGCCTGTGTTGAGCTTGTCTGAGGCCCAGGGCGGGAGTCTTGTTAGAATAAAGTTATAAGCAGGCAGTCCAGTTACATAAGATGGCAAGGTAGCTTGGATAAACCTGGAAATTTGAAAAAATGAAAGTTCAAACACTTTTTATGCTCTACTCTACACTGATCTAATGAGTATTGTGCACTTCTCAACTATGCTTGCAAAACTACTTCTAAACATCTCATTCTTGCCAAAGCCCTGCCAATGCAAGACAATGCCAGCAGCAGACATGTGGTTCTGACAAACCTGTAGGCTATGAGATGCACCACCTCCTAATATGATCTGACGCTACACAATAGTACACAGTAACACAGGTCCAGATTTTACTGTTCAAGCCTTGCAGTGCCTATGAAAAAACCCAAAAGGCTGCAAAGGCTAAAAATCTCTTTGGATGAAGCTGTGTGCAGACACATTTTCAAGTCACATGGAACTCTTATCTAAGATAGACTGTGAATGCTCCACATTCTTGCTGTGGTAGGCATAATATAAACAATAAAAATAGCCATTTCTCAACTGTAGAGAATGCATGGCTTTATGCCTCAAATTCCAAATCAATTTACTTGAAAGTCATTAGTTTCCATTTCTGTCAGTAGAACATTTTTTGAAAATAACAAGATCATAAGGCATGCACATGCCTACTCTATTTCAATAAGTTTAGGCACACCTAACACCACAAAGGATATTGCAGCTGAAACCTAATACCCTTTATCAATACCACTCAGCACTACTGCATTTTTAGCAATCCCAACATACCAGCAACGTCAACTTTTAAATAAGGAATTTTACAGGGAAGCCCTATTGCCATGATCAGGAAGGCAAAATGTAGAGAAGTCGGTCTGAAGTTCTTGGTTTTCTGTTAATTTCACAAGTCAATCCATCAATCCTTGGTTGAAAGGCCTCTTGGCAAAGCATGCAGATTTTTACCCTCTTGCCTAGACAAATTTCAGAGTCACTGAGCTGTTTTTTGGGCCAAATGATTCCGCCCCCGATTTATATTTTGACAATTTATCTGCATAGCTGCAGCTGCCATCAAGATTCTATGTTAGGTATCAGATGCTGCATGAAGACCTAATATACAAAGGGCAGCAGAGAATGAATGGGGGTGAATTTACCCGCCATCGGGTGAAGCCGCTGAGTGAGCTGGGTCCATATGCTACATGGGCTTGTGCAGACTTGATGAATTTTTTCCTGACTGATTTCAACTGCTCTGGGGACGGAGTTTTGGGCAGCTGCTTCCGGAAGTTTTTCCCCCAGTGAGATCTGACCTAGACAAAGAGAGAAGCGTATTAAACTTACCGTATTTTTCCCTCTATAACACGCACCAGACCATAACACGCACGTAGTTTTTAGAGGAGGAAAACAAGAAAAATAATATTCTAAACGAAACAGTGGATGTATGATTTTTGTGGTTCATGCTGTGGCCACAGACATGTGATCTGACAGTGAGTTTGGAGTAGTCCAATGCAAAAATCCTAAGGATCCATGTGGATCCATGCTTTGTAACCACGTTTTAAGTGGGGAGGGAAGGAAAAGCACTCAAGGGACAAGGAGCACGCATGGGGTGTGTGGAGAAGGATGCTGCTAATAATGCTATTTAGCGAGCTGAGTGGGGAGGAAAGAAGGACAGAGAGCCTGCTTGCTTTAAAGGAGCCAACTCTCCCGCTTTGCTCCTTTAAAGCAAGCAGGCTCTCTGTCCCTCTCTCCTCCCCACTCAGCGGCTCTTCTCCCGCTTTGCTGTTTCAAAGCGAGCCACGGAGGAGGGAAGGAAGGGGATCCTCTGGTCACAACTGCAGCGGATCCCCACCACCACCCGTAGGCATTCGCTCCATAACATGCACAGACATTTCCCCTTACTTTCTAGGCGGAAAAAAGTGAGTGTTATGGTGCAAAAAATACGGTACATATAAAATAATAATATACAGAATATCCTAGGTTTCTTTTGAATGTATTAACCTGCCCAGGTGTTGAGATTTTTAGGCTCAGACCTTGCTCCAGGTGCTCCATCAGGTGAGATGGACAGCAACTGAAAACTCATACCAAGTAAATGGGGAAGTTTGGTGATGGTTTTCAATCTGTAAATTACTTTCTGTTTTATGGGCAGATTTCTTGTGTTCACTTATTATTTTTATTCCAATACATGGCATTTTTAACTACTTGTCTGTTCTTCACAAACATGAGAGCTGGTGATACAAACTGCAATCTGTTGTCCACCCAATGGTCAAATTGGGTCAAACTGACAGGTAAATGAAAGCTGAGATGGGCGCTTGCTAAAAGCAGGTGCTCAAGTGTCTCCTTCACTATTAGTCCAGTTTGGCTGCAGGTTTAGAACATGCCGAAGTGAACTTAAGGCTATGTGAATAAACCATAGGTTAATAGGAAAGGCAATACTGAACAATAAAGATAGTTATTTACAGTCAAGATGGAGTCAGTAAAAAAAATTACTTAATCTTAAATTATAAAATGTAAACATTACTTCATGTCAATAGCAGTTAGTGAAAGTTAAGTGAAGCAGAAATAACAAGAAGATATATAAGGCTGTGCACCCAGAAAAGGGACAGGATGCAGCAGAACAAAAGAGGTAAAGACAATGTTCCTCACCTGACTGGAATCTAGAGCAGCTGAGGTAAAACTCTGAGATTAAAGCTAAGCTTATTTAATTTTTTTTATCTGCTTGCTGTGCCATTATCCTCATTTTTAATCATACCTGTTTTAATCGTACCTGTCCTACGTTTAAAGAAAAGAAAATAGATGCCACACAAAACCTCTGCTGAACCCACGGGAGTTGGCGTATCCACCCCTTCAAAGATACGGTAATGCATTTCTAAAAGTACAATACTAAACATGTCTGCTCACTATGTAAACCTACTTATTGGAGACATCTGCAACAGTCAGCAGTCAAAGCTGTAGAAGTTACTACATTATATCAGTGCCTGCAGACCAGGCAGTCGTATATCCGCAACCTTGACCAGATGAGAAATGCCTGCTGGGGCGCGAAAACGCTATGCTGCATCCGCAAAGCGAAACTGGGTGCCTTCATCACGCCGAATGCGCAAAGCATGTTTCTCCCGCATTAGTTCTATCAGCCGCAGCCCGAGCGCGTAACTCTCAGCCCGGTTGACTTTTGCCCCTTGACTAGCGCGCTCTTCCATTGTCTCTAGAGACAGATGGATGCCAACATTTATATCCAACCTTTCTTTTCCAAGGAGCACAGGATGGCTGCCTTCCACCCACTGTATCACCACAACCCTGTAAGGCTGAGAGAGTATGCCTGGCTCAAAGTGTGGGGGGGGGAAGGGGGGAGTTTCATGCCTGAGTGGGGATTATAAGTTGGGTCTCCCAGTCCTAGGCTAACCCTGCTATGAAGGCAGCACACCCTTTGTTTGGATCAGTTCCTCTTACGTTTATGAAGATCCCCCAAATGTGCCTATTTCAGATCTTATCTATTTGGTTATTGCGATTGTCTTTTCTTACCTATTTCTTCCTTATTACATGCAGTGTTTTTTTCTGGGGACGGGGACACAGGGGTATGCATACCCCTAAACATTTTCTGAATCTAAGTTTGGCCTCATTGAGGGGCAGTATTTCAATATGAGTAGGAAAATGAGAGTACCCCTAAACATTTTTTTAGGAAAAAAGCACCGATTACATGTATCTATTTTATTTAAGGTGGTAATTCCATCAATGCTAATTCTATTATTTATTCTGTACAGCTTTTTAAATATATATATAACGTGCAGTTTTCTTTTATGCTCTCAAAAAATATAACCATCACATGGCTTACCCTACTGGTCAGCTCTCGGCTATTGACAACTCTCACATGGCTGGCCAGCTTGGTGATATCCTTGCCATTCAGTTGTCGGAGATTTTGCAGAAGAAACATGACCTTATAGTCATCACTGGGCTGGGGGGCAGGCAAGAAAAGAAAGCAGCTTTACAAGATGCCCTTTAAGTAAATCTCGCCAACTGTACTCCAAACCAAGTATTTCATATCCACTAGTATGGCCCAGGGAGGCAAGGTGAGGCAACCACACTGGACGGCACAGGGGCAGCAGATTCGGCCTCCAAGGAATGCATTGCCCATTGCTGTTGTAGCTGCCATGGTGGCACCAACGGCTGTGGAGAATTCCTTGGAAGCCAAATCTGCCTCCTCCTTGGCAGCCCCCAACCCTCATAGTGCCTCTACAGCGGCCTCTCAGAGAATAGGAGACACTGCTGGCCTACTCCCACCCCTAGGGAATAAATGGTGGGTGTTGCCCTCTGGGTTTTAGTGGGCTCTGCAGCTGACTGGCTTGATTCAGAGCAGGCCTCTTTCTCCCCCCCCCCCCCCCGCATGGAAGCCTCTGTTTCCCACTTCAGTTGTTGAGTAAGGCTGGTTTGATTGTTCCCCTTGTTTCTGATGTAGATATTTTTCCATCCTTGTTCCCGATTTAGATCTTCACTCACCCCTGCTTCCCTGATGGTGGGAGGGCTGTGCCATTTTTGTGGTTGGCCTCAGGTGCCAAAATGTCTTGGGTCGGCCCTGGTATGGCCCGCCTACTGTGACAACTAAGAGAGTTAGCCAGCAATTGAGATTTTAGGTTTTAAAGCATTCCTTTAAAAAATTGAAAACATTAAGTAACATTTGACTGTTAAGTGTCAAAGAAACAAACGTTTAAAGAACAGAAAAATGCCTGAAATTATTGTGAATCCACAAAAGGTAATTAACTGGTCAAGTCAACATATTTCAGTTTCTCTAAAGTCCATGCAACAGTAATAGCTAACTCACAACAGTAACAAAAATGAATTTTTATCTTGCAGGGTCTAGCACAGGCTGATCCAATGTGTGGCCCAAGGGCTGCTTGAGGCCCTCGTGAACATTTGAGCCACCTGCCTCCCAGCTGCCTTTCCCAAGCTGAAAAAGCACTAACTAGGCTTTGGGTGTGGTCTGCGGGTTCCGTGTCGTAGTACTCTTGTGGCCTACTTGGTATGAAAAGTTGGGTCGCCCTTTTCCAGCAGATCTTGCATTCAGGATGAACTTGGACCATGTTACAGATCCACCTCTTATCTTTCATTGGGTATAACCCCAAGGGACAATGAAATGCCTGAACAGGTGTGGGAGTTGACTGACACATCGGCAGTCCCACTCACCCTCCCCTCAATGAGGCATGCAAAAAAATGGCATACATTTAATCTCTATTGCTCAAAGAGCTATAAACTTGACTTTTTTAAAAAAAGGGGGGGGAGGAAGAACACTCAGCTTCTCACAGGGGCATTGCATCCCCTTTCACCACCTGAGACAAGACGATAATATTATAATCACCATCAGAGCTCTCCAGGTTTAAGCTGAAAGCCCAGCAAGCCTTAGAAACCCTGTTAACTGTCAAACACTGTACTTACTGTCAGGTATACATTGTTCAGATAGGTTAGCTCCTCCAGCTGTGGAAACTGCTTCAGGGATGTCACGTCTTCCAGGTTGTTGTTGTCACAGTTTAGGATACGGAGGTTTGGCAAACTGAGATTGTCAGGGAGCCTCTCTAGCAAGTTGTCAGAGAGGTCGAGTTCTTGGAGGTGGCGGAGATGAGAAAATAACTGTGGTTCCAAGTCTTCTGTTGTTATCTGCAACTTGGACAAGCTGAAGAAGAAAAAGGTTCTGCACACTACTGACCCTCATGCCATCAAACATTTTGCAATGCTTTATGGTAAGTATAAAGTGGGATGTTGAGATAATTATATACTTATTCACAGCAGCAAAAATGTCAACAGTCACTTACTGGGGGAAAAGAAAGTACTTCCATTTCTGTTACGACTGGTTTTATAGGCCAGATAGATAGACAGACAGACAGACAGACAGAGTTATAATCCTTAAACTTACATATTATATCTGGGCCTGCACAAATGAAATGAAAACCTACTTGTAAAGAAACTGAATTTTGGAATGATAAATTTAGTGAGAACATCCATACCTGTACATTGTTTATGATGGTGTAATGAATGAATCTCTTTCACATTAGCTTTTATATTTATTAATGACTGAAGCGGGGCGGAAGAAATCCCAAACGTACAGACTATTGGAAAAATCTCTGCTCTCCAGCAGAGGTTAATTTGTTAATTAGTGGTTAACTTTGCAACTAGGCTCAGCAAAGCACACCTCCCCTGCCCCAACATTTTCAGCACCAAGATTCAACCCAGAAGATCTAAAATAGTATGTGGAGTTTTCAAAACAATACAAGCAAAAACTATATTTCAGCAATGGTAGCTAATGAACAGTAAAGGCCAGAAAAAGTTTGTGAAGTAATCAAGATCTTAGGAGCCAAACCCTATCCTGCAACCTAAAAAGGATAAAGTAGCGATCTGGGAACTTGACAGTCTGTAAGTATGATAGTTAAGGAGAACCTCTCATATTTGGGGGTGAGGACAACAGCATGAGGGGTAGCTACCTTAATGCCCTGTTTGTGAGCTTCTTGGTGCCATCAAACTGGCTGCTGTTGGAAACAGGATGCTGGACTAGATGGGAGGGCAGGGCTCTTGTTCAGGAACTCTTACAGATCACAGCACCATCTTAATTGGAAACTTTGGGTTTTTTAATTACAAAATGCTTCCTGAATTGTACCTGTCCCGTTTGAAAATGCATCTTAAGGACTGTAACCAAGCAGAAAAAGGGCTCCATCCTCATTGGCTGAGAAAAAGGGCTCCATCCTCATTGGTAAATGAATATTTGAACGGGGAAGGAATGGGTTTCTGTGCAGTCAGTCTGAAATGGGACCCCAAATCCTTATTTTTCCTCCTCCAAGGGAGCATTTCTAAAATGCATTAACTTGAGCTCTTGAGTCAATGTATAAACAGAAAGCCAGCTGTACAAACAAGTGCTCAAAGCCCTCTCCTTTATCAGTCCATGACAGCAATGGATGGCCTTGCCAGTTCCATGAAGCAGGGATGGCACGTCTGGGTCTTATCTTACATCCTGACCACAAAGATGCACAAACCTTGCCAGGTCTGACAAAAGACCCGGGAATGGCGCCAGGAGCGCTCTTAGAGTTGGTGGCCTCCTGCCCCAAGATAAGAGTATAGGAACAGGAACAACCTTTTATGGTCAAGAGTACCGGAACAGGAATATCTGTTTATGGTCATGGATGTCAACTTACATGTATAAGCTGACATGGTTGGATTCCTGGGGAAAGAGGGAGAGGGTGCCTGGAGGATATATATACTGCATGAAATTTCTCATTTCTTTGGACTTGCTGTGAGCTGACCACGCAAGTGCCTTCTGCTATCCGGAGAGCAGAATAAACTCTCTGAATCAACCTCGGTGTCATTTGACTTCCTTTCTCCCTCCCGGGAGCAACGCAAACCCCACCAATCGGTATAGTCTAATAAGGCTACATATTTACCAATATTTATTGGTAGAATGCATTGCTTGGAAATGCATGCTCAGTTTTACATTTCTGTGATTTGGGGCATTTAATTTAATGCCCTGATTTTTCTGTGAAAGTAATATTACAATCGCTTAAGCAACTCAAATTACTAAGATCTAACTGCACCAATTATCTTTCTTCTTTTATAAACATATGACTGCACTTACTTCAGAATTTTGATTTTTCGCAGCCTTGTAGATTTAGGCACTGCCCTTTCCAACAGAAGTTCTGTGGTAATTTTGGACATTTTTAATCTTTTCTGGTTTTCTGCAAACCCAAAAATATTGGATGAAAACTTCCTGGTAGAAAAAAGAGAGAAAGAATGAGAGCACAATCCTAATCTAGTAGCAATAAATTGTGTTGCCAAACAGAAACAAAGTAATCTACAGTTGGAGCCAAAGGCTGAGGGTTTTAAACAACCATCTGTCTGTGAGAATATAGAAAGAAAAGTAGAATTCTGTATTACTAAATCTCTTGCATTCAATTGCAAGCTGGAGACATCAACTCCACAGAAGCCTACAAGTGGGTTCTGTTGTGTACATAATATGTTATTACAGCTGCTTTGTGTTCAAAATAAAAACTATGTAACTTGAATTATACTAAGCAGGAAACTTAATCTTTGTATAAAGATTAACATACAGCCAAGTTAATGACCGCTTTTGTATCTATCTGCAGATTTATCTCTAAGAACTTTCATCCTGTACCCGGAAACTGTCCTTCAGGGACTTAGAAACCGTATGCTAATTTTGGGGGTTCTTTAATTGTGATAAGTTGAGATTTACAGAGAATAAAGGTACCTATTTAAATGTATTCATAACAGTAATGGACCCTGAAACATCCCAGAACTGTGCATCCATTCCTTGAAAGGGACAGCCCCATTCAGGGCAAGTATGCAGCCTAATTCCTGGACCTGGGACTTACCCATCTTACTAGGACTCTCAGTTTATTAGCACTTATCGAACCCATAATTGCATGCAGGCACTGGTTTAGGACATGCAAATAGCAATTCAGATGCTGCAGAGAAATACAGCTGGGTGTCATCAGCATCCTAGTTACACTTTGTTCCAAAACTCCTAATGACACTCCCCAGCTGCTTCAGATATATACATTCAACAGCATTGGGGGGGGGGGGAATCCCGCCCTATAGCAGCTGCCAAGCGGCAGAGGAACATTTGCCCAGTACTAGTCTTGTACCCAATACTCAAACCAGTATTGAGGCATGAAACCACTGCAAAACATTGTCCCCAACTCACAGGAGACCACGGTCAAGCATAGCAAAAGATGCTGAGGAACAAAGGGATCCTACAAGGCTGTACTCCCCTTGTCCTTCTCCCAATAAAAGTAATCTATAAGGGAAACCAAAGGAGATAATAAACTAAAACTTGACCTCGTCAGGCTAGAACGGGCCAAGATAATCAGTCTCATTGAAGGGTGTCTGCAGCTGAACTGCCAACACCTGCTTTAAGCAAAACAAATCACAATTCCTGGTTTGGACCGAACACTAAACCAAGGATTGTGGCTTGTTGCATGCAGCAGAGACTTAACTACAATTTGCCATGATGCAAACTGGGCCATGGTGTTGGTGTTGAAGGGCAAATCTGCTGTCTCACTTGTACCATTTACAACTACATTGGTACCTTGGTTTACATATGCTTCGGGTTACATATGCTTCAGGTTACAGACTTTGCTAACCCAGAAATAGAGCTTCTGGTTAAGAACTTTGCTTCAGGATAAGAACAGAAATCGTGCTCCGGTGGCACGGCAGCAGCAGGAGGCCCCATTAGCTAAAGTGGTGCTTCAGGTTAAGAACAGTTTCAGGTTAAGAACAGACCTCTGGAACGAATTAAGTACGTAACCAGAGGTACCACTGTAGTGAGTTGGGTTGAAAGATCCTGCTTTTAGATTTTGTGAATTGTTGCATATATGATACCTTGTCTTGCAAAGCAGTTTCGGATTTGTTTCTGAATAAGGGGGGGGGGGCAAAAACACCACCACCAAAGCCATATGCATTACTGTTACTACCTATCAATTCTGGCAGCAGGGAGACTGAGGTTTACATGGAAAGCACAGTCTTAATGGCTGCGCACTCTGAATGAATGCTCTCTGTGGTTAAAAGCGGGTTGCCGCCACGCATATTTAGGGCTGCTGCTGGTTTAATTTCATTTTTAAAACCCATGGTCGCCGTCCCCGCCGTAACACCCAGCTCCCACGATAAGCCGGGGGCTTTCTTTGAGGGGAGAGGGAAATGTCTTAAACGGGAAAGGGCGGTGTGGCGGGAAAGCTGGGGGGCGGGGAGGAATAAACCTCCGAGGCGGGAGTTAGCGAGGAGGATCCTCTCCCTGAGGTAAACCACCTCGCGCTGGCATCCGAGGTGCGGGGCGGAAGACCCGCGCGGCCCGTTTCTGAGGGGCGGCATTGTCTCAAAAACCAAGGCGAGCGGTAGTGAGGCGCCGGCAGCGGCTCCCCTTGTCTGAGAACAGAGACGGTGGCGGGGGCCCCCAGAAATTTCCTCTTCCCACCCCACTCATCTTGAGGTGGGGAGGCGGCCAAGAAGACACCCCCTCCCTCCCTCCCCGTGGCTGCGTAGGTGGCAAGGGGAGAAACGGCCCGCGACTGCATCTTTTTTCCCCTTCTTCTAAAACACACAAAGCCCGGCACTACAACTCCCGCCATGCCCCGGGAGGGCCCGAGAATGCTTTTCTTGCAGGCGCGCCGCGCAAGGCGCTGCTGGGAAATCGAGTCCGCCCTCCTCCCCGCCGCTAAAGCCACCACCAGTCCGGCGGGGCCTTGGGAGAGGAAACGTTGGGCGACAGGCCGCTTCACCTCAGCCTCCCCGCCGCGTGCGCGCCTGTGGCGCCTCGAGCGCAGCCATCCCGCCCCCGGCCCCGCTCTCCTCCTCCTCCTCGGCCCCAGGGCCTTTTTTTTTACCTCAGGCGGGCGAAGGGGCTCCTGCTCCTGCCGCCGCCGCCGCCAGGGCTCGGCGAACCGGAAGCTCCGAGGGAGGCCCTCCCGACAAGGCCGGTGGCGGCAAGAGCTACCGGGGTCGGGATGGAGGAGGAGGAGGAGGCGGTGGCGGCCTCCGCTGCTGCTGCTGCTGCCGCCTCCGGAGGACGGGGAGCGGGAGGCGAGCCCGGGGGCTGCTGCGGGTGCAAAGGGGTCCGCGGCTGCCTGCTCTGCGAGGCCGCTCCGCCCCCGCAGGTACCACGCGCGGCATCGGAGGAGGAGGAGTGATGGTGGGGGAAGTGGGTGGGCATTCAGGGGCGAGGGGGAAGGTTTGGAGGAAGCGGGGAGGTGTGTGTGGAAAGAGGAGGGGGAAGGAGCCCCTGCCTGCTGCCTTCGGCCGAGGGACGCGCGCCTCTTGAGGGGGTGCAGAGTGCAGGCGCCCACCGCGCGGGCAGTGAGAAATTGCCGCAATAGTAGTGGGTGGGAGGAAAGGGGCCGCAAGAGCCACTTCGCTGCGAGGAAAGGTTTGGGGCTCTTTTAGTTTGGGGGGGGGGGAAATGCGCGGGAAAAGTGACACGATCGTGGCAATCATGGAGAAAGTGGGTAGAGGAAAGTGTTTTCCTACCTCTCCCGCCTAACACTCGAACTCGCGGACATCCCGCGAAGCTGAATGTTGGGAGATTGAAGACGAAAAAGCCCTTCTTCACGCAGCACATCGTTAAAACTGTGAAACTCGCTTCCGGTTCATTGATGTCAATGAAATGAAATACTAACGAGGATTCTTTCGAAGCGTTGATTCTATCATGCAAAATAGACCGCTCGGCTTTGGAACACATTTTTAAAAGGAAAACCCGACAAGGTTTTCAGATACATTACAATTGAATAACTTGTTAAAGAAATTCCCCAAGTAACTGATGTGGTAGTTTGAAAGTCTTGTTTATTCCAAGAAGACCCATTTATCCTAAATAGCACCTAATAGGGCAGACATGAGAAACGTGCTAAGAGGAAGGCACGCTTGGCAAATCCACACCGTGATCAGCTCCCACCCAGAAACCAATGTCCCCACTGTGGAAGGACGTGTGGGTCCAGAATTGGCCTCCACAGTCACTTACAGACTCATTGTTAAAACCGTGTTTATGGAAGACAATCTTACTTGGCTACTAGTGATCGCCAAAGAAGAAGACGACAATTTTTAAAATGTGTTCCCATTGAGATCCCAAGATTAAAATTTGGGTAGCTCTTAGAAATAGTAAATAATCAACACAATTTTTTGGAAGTTTTCAATTGTAACTTTTTTGCAGTGTTAAATTTTAAAGTAAGTCCATCATGTGACATATCATATTAGAGCCCATGAAGTTCTGAAGAGATTGGTGTTTTTGTTTTGACATATCTCAATTCTTGGCTGAGCTTTTAAGGTTTTTGTGTAGTCTGACAAGGCCAAAATTGTCAATTTTTTGAAATTTCAAACCCTCATAACTCAAATGGGATGAGACATTAAAATTTTAGATTTAAACTTAGTTTTGATCACATTCACACCTCAAGATGCTAAGCTACCACTTAAAATAACAATAATGTTCACAACCCATTGAGTTTTCTGTCACTTCACACTCGGCCCCAGGAGAAAGTGCACAGTGCCTTCCCCTCATCAGTGATCAGTAGTGTCATAGGCTGTACTGTTTGCATTCTTTAACCTTTATTGTTTGCCTTTCTTTTACAATGGAAAAGACAAGGAGGGCTTCCATCAGAAGTTATAAAACAACCAACCTATAAACATCAAAGACAGACATGAACCATCACCAAGGGTGGTGCATTCAATCATGTCAGAACACAAAAGCCGAAGCTACTGTCCAATACAACTGTTAGCCCTAAGGCACAAGTGAGGAACTTGTGATTAGATTCCAACTTCTGTCAAGGGCCCCTTCTGAAATAACGTTTTCCACATGCTCAAGTGGCATACAGGGGCAGATCTACTATGAAACTAATGAAGCTTAAGCTTCAGGGGCCCCAATTCTGGAGGAGCCCCAGAAGTGACTTTAGTCCATGTTGCTTAAAATTTTGGGGTCTAGTAGATGCGGGTGGCGCTGTGGGTTAAACCACAGAGCCTAGGGCTTGCTGATCAGAAGGTCGGCGGTTCGAATCCCTGCGACGGGGTGAGCTCCCGTTGCTCGGTCCCTGCTCCTGCCAGTTAGAAAGCACACAGTGCAAGTAGATAAATAGGTTCTGCTCCGGCGGGAAGGTAAACAGCGTTTCCGTGCGCTGCTCTGGTTCGCCAGAGGCAGCTTTGTCATGCTGGCCACATGACCCGGAAGCTGTACGCCGGCTCCCTCGGCCAGTAAAGCAAGATGAGCGCCGCAACCCCAGAGTCGTCCGCAACTGGACCTAATGGTCAGGGGTCCCTTTACCCTTTAGACTAGTTTGAGTCACATTACTCAAATTGATTGATTTTTTTGTTGTATATACTTCAACAATCACAAAGTTTTGAGAGTCAGTAGCACAAATGTTATAAAGGTATTGTGATCTTTTTGTGGAACTACCCAGACCTTGCCACTGGTTGCAAAGGGGCCCACATGACAGTCCAAGCTTCAGCCCCCCCCCCCAAATGTAGGTCTGCCACTGGTGGCATAACACCTTTGGGCTGTAATCCTATATGCACTTTTCTGGGTTGTAAGCCCTATTTGTCACAGGAGAACTGCCAAGTAAAGTGCATATTATGAACTGTGTTTGCAGCAGAGGTTTGGGGACCAGCACTTACTTGATCAAAAATATTTAGAAGGGCTGTCACAACTAAAGGAAATTTAGGCTGCAACTCTGTACATGCTTCCTTGGGAGAAAGTACCATTGAATTCAGTGGGATAGCATTGTCAAGCCTATTTCTTTAAGAATTATTACTTCTCAATTGAAGGGACATATTTTGCTTTCTATTAAACCTCTTTCACCATCTACTTGATAACAAAATAACTTTACAAACCAAGCATGGTGCATATGAAAATTATTTGTCATACCACTCCTTTGTATAATCCCTTTTATCTATATTATAATTATGTTCACCTGTGTTATAAGGATGCCAAATGCAGAAAGTTTTGAAACCAATTATTTCAGATTATTATTTTAACTATAAGTGGTCAGAAATGACTAATAACAGAATCTGAAGTAAAACAATCCTTACTCACTTTGCCTTTCAAAAACCTTTCAAAAAAGAATTATTATTTTTTTGCTTTTGCCTTGCCACTTTTTAACTTCCTTATTGTGCCAACAGATGGATAATAAGTATCATATGCTATCTCAGGTGTTAAGAAGCTCCTTCATCAGAAAAAGCATCAAAGTAACACTGTGTGATTCAGTAGAGAATTTTAGTATCTCAGAGGCTTCCCTTAAATCATGCTTAAGCCTCAAGGAAGGTAATGAAATCATAACAATTGTTTTTGTGGAGCAACTTTTAATTCTACAAAAGCACATTGTCATTGTCACGGAACAACAAAAAATACAGATTTGATCATGCAAGTGGAACTACCTGTTCCTGTACTTGAGTATCCATACTGAAAATGCAAAAGTCTAATTTGCTGTCTCTTCTTTTCTCAGATAAGTGCAAATTTTGTGTACTGTCCACTGACTGGCTTTGCTGTGGGAGAAAAGCAATCAGAATTTGCAGGATGGGCCTTTCCGTTTCCAGGAGTCTTTTTGCTGGAAGGGTTTATAAGTGCAGATGAAGAATGCAAGATAGTTGAGCTGATGGACTGCAGTGCTTGGAAGCCATCACAGTCTGGCCGAAGAAAACAGGTCTTGTTCTCCAATTGAAATTCCTTCAACCCCAACTCGTCTGGTTTTTTTTAATGTGCATGGCTTTCCCCTCTTCCTCCTCATCTCCCTCTTTCTGCTTCAAATGGTGGAGTGGTTAGTGTGTTGGACCAGCACTGGGGCAACGTGAGTTCCAATAGCCACATATACAGCTTTTCCAATATGACACCTGCATACACAGCCTAATTTATTTCTTTTAAAGTATTTTTGTATGTATGTTATTGCCATCCAGAAGTAGGGCTGTGCATTGAATCACCATATTGTTGAAATAACATCATGATAAGTCTTTCAACAAAGCAATATACCTTGCAGATGATTTGCAGGTACAGTGTCTACTGCTCTGTTTGTTCTCTCCCTTCTCCTAAGGACAAGAAATGAAGATAAGTCCTTACAAACCAGCAAACTCTTTCAGCTTCACCAGTATCTTTTCATTTAGAGCTCAGCTAATTATACAGAGTCTACTAATAATCCAGGAGAAACCCTCCACAGCTAGACAATCAAAGAGGCAAAGTAAACAAAGAACTGGAAAGCACTTATTTCTTCCCTCACCACTGAAAAAAAGAGGGGGAAGAGTTTTCATTTTCATTTTCTGGTGGTGTTTATGTCATTGGTTCCCCCTAAATAGCTTTCCTCCATATTAAAAAGGGTGTTTTTTAAAAAATAAAAATTAAAGGAGACTAACTTTTTGCTTGCTGGCCCTCCCTCCCTCCCTTTGATAAAAAAGGAAAGATTGGTATTATGAGGGCTTGGGGGGGCTTCTGTGGCGGGGATGGAGGGGAGAAGATTTAGCTGGCTGCCTTATACTGAATGGGAGATTGGGTACTGTGAGAATGATGGTGAGGGTGTTTTTCAAAAGCAAGTGTGTGTCTACTCACAAGCAAGCCCTACTGAATTTAATGGGGCTTACTCCAAGGAAAGTAGAAGCAAGTTTAGTTCATAAATAAGTTGAAAATATATTAAATAGAATATATGGAAGTTTATTTAATATTTTTATTAAATCTACTACTTCCTTACTTTTTAAGGCCCTCCACCACTGCAGGGAGCCTTGTCAAGGCCCTTGACTACTGCAGGGAAGTGTGGCGCACCCTCCGCTGCTATGGGGAGGTATGGCAGGAGCCTCTGCCCCCGTGGGGAGGCCCAGCAAGGCCCTCCGCCACTGCAGATATATATTGTGATATATCAAGATATTGTGATATTTAACTGGGGATATATATTGTGATGTTGAATACCAGATATTACCCAGGCCTGTCCAGAAGTACTCTGGGCAGCTTACAGCTTACATAAAGTGATGAAATATAGTATGATTAAGTGACAATATGATAAAAACAGCATGCAGTCTTAAAATTTCCAGGAATGAGAGAACAAAACCTACTAATTAAAATCACAGAAGCAGTGGTTTTGGTTTAAAACAGTAAAATCACTGTTGTTTTAAGGGGGTGGGGTCTTCACCTGATGCTTGAATGACCATAAGAAAGGTGCCAGGCCATCCATTTCCAGGAATGGCATTCCACACCCAGAGTGTCACTGTTGAAAACACTGCCTCCCTGATAGTTACCTGCCACATGCCACGAGCCACATGCCACAAGAGCCCCAGAGCACAGTTTCTGAAGAGGATCTTAAGGCTCCGATGGGGATTAGATGGGAAAATATGATGTTCAAAGCTATTGCTTTAGTTATATGCAGGTTTAATAAAAACCAACTTTACAGACAGAAATATCCACCATCACGCCACGACCTATTTGCGCAAGTGAAAGTATGTTGCACAAGTGGGCTGGATGTCATTCTTAAGATTTCTTCTATCAAGGGACAGCTGTACTTAATAAACTGCATTGTAAGTGCTTGTAAGGTGGGTCAGCATTATTATTCTCATACTGCCATTTGCGGACTAAGGAGCAGCTTGTCTGAGGCTTCCTAGAGGCTTCATGGCCAAGGCAAGATTTGAACCAGGAAAAAGCGAAGCAGTGCATTGTACCAGCTCAAGTAACCTTTTCTCCTCCTCCTCCTCCTCCTCCCTATAGGACTATGGCCCCAAAGTGAATTTCAAGAAGCGCAAGTTGAAAGCAGGCGGTTTTGCTGGCTTGCCCAGCTTCAGCCAGGAGATTGTGACTCGAATGAGAAGCCATTCTGTGCTCAAAGACTTCTCTCCAGTTGAGCAGTGCAACTTGGATTATGGCCCCGAGAGAGGGGCTGCTATTGACCCCCACTGGGATGATTGGTGGCTTTGGGGAGAACGCCTGGTTAGCTTAAACTTGCTTTCAGCAACTGTGCTCTCCATGTCTTGCGACTCAGAGGATTATATCCAGTTATTTCCAGCCTTCCTTCAAGACAGCAAGCAGGTACACAGCTCTTTGACCCATGCTGTTTCTCAGGAGCATTGGCCTAAAGAATCTACTTCTTTAGGAGGACTCAGAAGCACCACAAAGTGGGGAACTGACCCTTCTTCCCCCACAAGGTCAGTTTTGTCTAAAGAGGTTGTCGTCGCCATTCACTTACCTCAGAGATCACTAGTGGTTCTGTATGGACCGGCTCGCTATAGATGGAAACATGCCATTTATCGCCATCATATTAAAAGCCGCCGTATCTGCATCACCTTCAGAGAATTGTCTGCGGAGTTCAGTCTTGGAGGAGAACAGGAAGAATTGGGTCAAAAGCTCCTAAAAACAGCTCTGACATACCAGGGAATACCTGTTTAGGCATCCATGTAGAGGAACTGAAACTCTTTAACTTGTTTGGATCCCCAGAAATTAAACTTCAAGGCCTTTCATAAACTTGTGTCTTTTTATGATACTTCTACTAAAGCTGTGGTTTTCAGTGATCTTTCAAGGAACCCCTTGCTCCTCTTCCACCAGCTCTTAGGCATGCACACTGATCTTTTAAGGGACACTGGCAAGACTTCTTGGGCTTTATCATTCTCTGTGAAATGGCAGTGTACCCCAGATGTAGGAGATTAATTAAAAGTGCATGAAACTTGCACATATATAATAGCTGCAGGGCAAACACCACAGGTAAAAAGGCTATGAGATGTTGCCCCGTACACGTTAAACCATTACACCCTTTATTTTTAAATGTTGCTGAATTTCTTACAAAACACTCAAGGCAATTAACAATCACCAAAGTTAATGGTTAATTAAGACAAATTGAGAAAGCTCGTAAGAAGTTTATGAGGTCAGCAAAGGTGAAGGAACCAGAAATTGGAACAACAGCCATGCCTCCTGCAGTGAAAAGGTTTTCAGCCTGCACCAGAATACCAATGGAGGCAAGAGAGGTTTCCCAGGGTTGTGGGCTCCACAGCCTGGGTCCTGCAGCAGAGAAGGCCCTTGCCTGTGTTTCCACCAACCCTGGGAGGTGGTACCTAGCTTTTTCTTAGTAAGCAATTGGATGGAATGCTACCTGCATTCTTTTTCTTATATCTCCATAAGTAAGAGATGTAGATTTTCTCAGGCAGTGACACCCCTGGGGTCTGCTTGCTGCACTGTGCCTTGACTCACAGCTCCTGGGACTGAGCACTTTCACTGCTCTGCTTTTAAGAGCAATAATCTGGAAATTGAATGTGCTTTACTGTAGATTCTCCTTCAGTAGCCCATGTTCTGCCTGCACACATGGATTGGCAGTTTATATAAAAATAATACAATCAAATCACACTAATGCTTCTTTCCCCCCGCCAAACATAATTTTAGAAAGCTGGGAAAATACGTCTTAAAGAAATCCAGCACAGGATCCCAGCTGTCTGATAAATAAAAAGGATGTAAGGCATTTGACAACATGAGACATACTTCCTACCTTGAGGGAACCCTGCTCCACCCATGCTCTGCTTGCTTGCTGACTAAATTGTAATAGGAAGATCCCCAGACAGCAGGTAGCACCTGTGCTTTGACAGTAACCACAACAAGATTCTAGGGGCTGATGAAATAATACGCTCTATTGCACCAGTATTTTTTCCCCTGTATGCAGACACGAAACACAGCTTAATATTCGCCATGTAATTATATTCAAAAGTGTGAAGAATACCTACCATATATATACCACACAAACGGTATATTTTGCTTTTCTCATGATGACTCAGCTGGCAGCTATGAGAGAGACTGCTGCAGAATGAATAAATAAAATAGGCATTGAAAGAACTGTATTTAAAAGTATCTGCTGGTGAAGAGAGGCTGAGGCTATGGAAAGCCCCCCACCTGCAGGATCACCTGCATGGCAAAGGATACAGGTGGTACAACTAACAGTTCCGTTACTGATTCAGTTAACTATTAAGGAAACAATAAGAGCCTGTCTAGTCCAGTATCCCAGCATAATTCAGGGTCCTGTGGAAAATTATGCTAGCAGCTCAGATCCAGTTGCCTGACAGTGCTGGGGGCACCAGGCTGGGTTTTCAAGGAGGGGGGGCGGGGGCAGAACAGGCACCAGTGGTGGGCCTTGCTAGAGTGTTGGGACCTTGGTAACTGCCCATGAATGCGAGATGATGGTGCAAGTCCTATAATTCAGACACCTAATGCAGCTAAAAATATCAGCGCTAGATAGGTAGATGCCTGCTTGAATATATTTTAAAATATTTTGATCAAGTGGCACCAACTGGGGGTGTGCATATGTGGGGAATCTCTGGGGTTGGGAGTTCTACAGTTTAAGCATCCTCCTGCCCAGCTCCCACTGGGGTTGCCGTCAAATACATTATTAAGAAAGAAAAAATGAATTGCTAAAAGAGAGGGCAAATATATTGGTGACATTTGAATATGCTCATTTGTGTGCCTACACTGGCCAGGTGCTAACTGTTTATGGGGAAACATCAGGACCTCTGCTGATCTCCCTTTTGATGGACTAGGCAGCCCTTCACACAGAGAACTGTCGTCTTAAAAATAGGACACGTGGCCACTCTGTCTGTTCTCACAGATCACTTTACAAAGGGAGAATCCTTTCTTCCCCCAAACTGCAATTAGTCCTCTGAAATCTAGGGTTGGGAACAAGAAATTAGGGCGCAAGCCTGACGGAAGGACATAAAACTGCAACCGTGCTTTGCAATTCCTAGATACGCTAACAGAGATTTGTGAACTTGCAAAAATGGTTTTTAAATCTACAGTTAATAATTTAAGAACGGATTTTGGCGCCTTTGCTACTGCAGTTGTAATAGCCTTAAAAGTACTTAAGAGTTTGACAGAACGTAAGCTGTGACTCTCAGCAATTTATTTTCCCAAAGATCAAGGGTAGAAAGTGAATTTGACGTGCTTCAGAAATTCAGTGCCTTGAACAGCGGTCTGTACAGTTTTTTCAAGGGGAAAGAGAATTGTTCTATCATGTTACCAGAATCCAGTAATCAAAGGTGCAAATCAGCAAACAACAGAACATCCTTGATGAGCCACAATTTATGACAACAGTACAAAAAGGTTTAGCTTGGTCCGCAGAGCAGCTGTGGTTCCATACCACTTGTAATTAAGACAGAGAAGTGGTGGGTGTGAGACCTTGGAAACCGGATAGAGATGAGAAGGACCTCATTAGATGATTACAAGGATGAGAGAGGCCTGGTTACCTGAGAAGCGGAGTTAAGGGAGGGACATCAAAGCAGATGGTGATGCCGCACCAAGGCTGGCAGCAGTGGCCTTTATAAGATAATGCTGAAAGGAAATGCACATAAAAGACAACAGGGAAGCTTGCAGAGACTGCTGGCATTTTGCCCTTACAAAATGTGGGTAAAGAAGGAAATGGGAGAGTTCCCACTACTTAGCAATGCAGAAAGTTCTGGTATCACCTCTAAGCAATATAAAAAGTTGGGGGTGGGATTGTACTTGCTCTTCCACTCCCACTTCTCCCCCCCCCTCTGTTCTTCTGTTCCCCGCATTTTCTTGTAGCAATGTAGCTGTATGTGTGCATGACTTACAATGCTTTATGACTTTGAACATGTTTAAAAATAAATGCTAAAAAGAAGAGGGAAAAGGGCAGCAGATCCAAGTCCTGCCACAAAAAACTTTGGGGCCTGGGTCACTCCCTAACAATGCCCAATTCCAGACTTAAGGGATTCTTCTGAAAGTCATTAGCCTGCAGCTGCTCACAAGACTCGGCAGAATGATTTATTCCTCCAAAGGTCAACCGTTTCCATTATGGCCAAGAATATGGCCTTTCAAGAAAGACTGTTCTGGATTTTGCACACTTCAGATGGTTCACTGCTTCCACTAATTGGAAGCAAAAGAATTTTGCTCTTGCTTCTAGGTCACCCAGCTCATTGTACTCTCACACATGTACCCATTTTTATTGTGAACTGACGCCTATCGCAAAGTACGAAAAATATTATTCTTCCTAACTGTCCACCCCTTGGTGGTTACTAGTTTTGTTTTTTTTCGGTTTCTCCATTAACGGCCCCCCTGCCAGCACCACTCCCATCTGTGCAGCCATTTTCTCCAGTACTGTTGGGTAGCAGCTGCTCACAAACGAAAGCCTTGAACCAAGTCAAGCCATCGTTTTGCCTCATCCGGCACATTCTGCTGAAACTAGCAGTGGGTCTTCATGGAAAGCATGAGTTCTGCCACTGAGTTTTAGCCCTTTTGCTAGGAACTCAAATATGAAAACAAGGTTGGGAGCATGTCCACACATGTCTTGGGGCGGGGTGCCTGTTTTCTGAAGTCCAGTCCTTGAAAGATAGTGACTGGATCGTGTCCAAAAAAAGGCGAGAAAGACAGCAAAGGTTAGAGATGTTCCTAGGTCATTTTCACTAATACATGCATTTTTAAGCACAATTCCCTCTAGTTTATGCACCTTTGTCCATATTCCTTGGCCAGAGAACTGCACTGCAAATTTCTGACAACTGCAAATTTTAAATTGTGTTTCAGTTCATGTATTGCTTCAGAAAGCATGTATTAGGTAGGTTCGCCTATATATGTGAATGGAATCAAATTTTCTACCCTTCCTCTGCTCCAAAGAGTAGGGCGCAAACCCACTTCTTAATTATTATTTTGCCCTTTATCACCAGGTGATCCTAGGGTGGGCTACATAAAAAAAAGTACATACACTATCATGCAGTAGAAGAAATGTGCAATATGACATTAACAAGCATAACAAGATAATTTCATCAACTCCCTTGATATGCTCCTCTGTATTAAACATGCAACTTCATCATACAGTGGTACCTCGGGTTAAGTACTTAATTCGTTCCAGAGGTCCATTCTTAACCTGAAACTGTTCTTAACTTGAAGCACCACTTTAGTTAATGGGGCCTCCTGCTGCCGCCGCACCCCCGGAGCACGATTTCTGTTCTCATCCTGAAGCAAAGTTCTTAACCTGAGGTACTATTTTTGGGTTAGCGGAGTCTGTAACCTGAAGCGTATGTAACCTGAAGCATATGTAACCCGAGGTACCACTGCATCAGGTGGATGTGTTGTTGAAGGCCTGGTAGAAAAGGAAAGTCTTTAGCTTGTGTTGAAAGCTAAGCGATGCCAGCACCAGCCATACCATAGAAAGGCAACTCTGCAACGCTGAGAAGGTCCTAACTCAGATCAAAACACCGCAGGCTTCACCCAGAGCTGGAATAATGAGGGCTTGCTTTGCTGGTGGATCTTAAAAGCCTAGGCAGGACAATACAGGGAGAGATTGTCTAGAAAACTAGATGCTAGGGATTTGTACGCAACCTCTGAGACCATGAATTGGCAGCATAATTTAACTGGGTCCACGTTGCAAGGAAAAGGATTCTGACTAAACATTAAGGAAGAACTTCCCAGCAGTATGAGCATTTGAAAGTGGGGAAGAATAACCTTGGAAATTGATGGACTTGGCATCCCTGCTAAGTGGCCCTCCCGTCTGATTTACAGTGACCGGAGGGCCACTTAGCAGGGATGCTTGAGCAGATTTCCTGCATAGGGAAGGGGTTGGGCTTCATGATGTTTCAGGTCCCTTCCAACTCCATGATTTCCCCCCACTGTGCTACAGATTTACTGACATCATTTATACACCATCTTTGTAATATTTATCCCAGGGTGGTTTATAATGAAAATTAAGAGAGTCAATAAGTACTACCTGCAGACCTCCAGCTCCTGGAGGCCTTGTTCCCAAGGAAGCTTGCAACTCCAGACTTTGCATGCTGTTGTGCTGCCAAGGGAGTCCCACACACTTGCATCACTGGGGTTTTGGAAGAACTCGCAGATCAAATCCATATCAGGCTTGTGATTTGGGCCAAGTGCAGAAATGAGCTCGGGTACCCCACAATCGAGGGACGCGGGTGGCGCTGTGGGTTAAACCACAGAGCCTAGGACTTGCTGATCAGAAGGTCGGCGGTTCGAATCCCCACGACGGGGTGAGCTCCTGTTGCTCGGTCCCAGCTCCTGCCAACCTAGCAGTTCGAAAGCACGTCAAAGTGCGAGTAGATAAATAGGTACTGCTCCGGCGGGAAGGTAAATGGTGTTTCCGTGCGCTGCTCTGGTTCGCCAGAAGTGGCTTTGTCATGCTGGCCACGTGACCCGGAAGCTGTCTGCGGACAAACGTCGGCTCCCTCGGCCCATAGAGCGAGATGAGCGCTGCAACCCCAGAGTCGGTCACGACTGGACCTGATGGTCAGGGGTACCTTTACCTTTACCTTTACCCCACAATCGCACAAGCCTTTCCCTGACTCTAAAGGACTTCAAAGAGGTAACAGACTTTTTTTTAAAGCATCTCAAAGATTGCTTAGAAGTATTTAATAACTGGCAGTTTAGGCAGATTTCACAATTTACACGTGGTGGGGGAGGAGTGAGGAGATGTAAATGTAAATACAATATACTTATTAGTTATAATATGATTAGTGTGTCCCGCAGGCAGCCAAGCATGAAAAAGAAGGAATGAGGTATAGCCATTAAGGACATACTACCAATATACAGATTAATTTAAACATTTTGGCAACAGAATTTGTACAGCAAATAAGGTGCAAGGTGCTGTATTTTCTTTCAGAACAAGACTGTTACGCATACAAAAGAGCACTTTTTTCTCTTTTCAAGGTGCAGTTCCCAATGACCGCAAACTTCTCACGTACCATACAGTTATCCTGTTGTTGCAATACAGAAACGCCGGGGGATGTCGTAAGCCTCCGTGAAACAGGACACAACGGCTCAAGCAGCTGGCAGATGCTATGCGGGTTTGCTTAAAAGTTGATCCCAGCTCAACAGGGCTACTTCATCACAAATCAATTGTTGATCATGTTGTTGCACGAGAAAGAAGTCTGGCTGGCCCCTCAATTTTTGATTTCAGTTAGCCAAACACACTCCAAACATTGGTGGCCGGCGGTGGTGGTGGGTGGCATCCTGTATAAATGCTGTTTAAGTGTCAAAGCAGCCAGCTCTTCAGGGAACAGAATGCTTCCAGGAAGAAGGGGCCCAATCCCTCCCTATGTCCTACCCCCATGATATGATTCTTCTTCCTGTTTTTACATCACTGATATAGCTTTGGGCACACACAAACACGAAAAACTGCTCGAGCAGCAGCTGATGACGGCTGTTTGGGCTTAGGGGTACCGGCCGACCAGCTCTGCTCTGTGTCAGTTTTCAAAACTTGTGCAATGTACAAAACTTGTGCAGTGTACAAGTGGACACTGTGCCCATTCTAAAGAGCATTGGGGGTTGTGCTAGGAGAGAGATTTTCAGGCTACAGCCTTTTATATACACACAACGACAAACTTTGGTTACGCATTCACACCTGCATTTCTACTTGTGTAAAATACTACATGGTGCTCTTTAAAGCCCTTCTGTTCTTTGCGACCTGGTTTTTGTGTTGAAAGACAGATAACCTCCAGCCCTTCCACAGAGGCAATGGAGCCCTCGCTAGCTGCTTTCTCAATGGGAACTCTCTTCACCCTATAGAAGCTACTTGAACTGGACAGAGGAAAAACTCCTCATCTCTGATAGCATCCACCCCCCTGCCCCTGGTTTCTGGTCTTGTCACAATTCCTGAAATAGTCCCCGCCCCTCCAATGTAAAAAAAGTCACTGTGGACACATTTCATAGATTTCCATAGATGTTCACATACTGCAATTTACAAACTCCTCTCCAAAAGTGAAGTTTGTAAATCAATTGACGGCGAGAGAATCACACCCCTTTCCTCTCTCTGCATATAAGCTCCTGCAGAAAAACACAACCCCACTTTGCTAAAACTGATGCATATTTTTAAAAATTGCTTAATCTGTCTCCCTTCCCACCCACCTAAAAATGTGGAAAGCTAAAGGACAAGCCCATCTTCAAACAACTGCATAGATGTAGGTAAAGGGTTCAGTTTTAACGACACAGTAACATCACCCACAGATTCGAAGAGCTGGCCGCTCAGACCTGCATCCATCGGGGAACGTTTTGGCATCTGAGAACGTTAGGCACCTGGGGGTTAATTCCTGTTATGAAAATCCTCAGAGCTGCAAACAGAAAGGCACCCCCTGGCCATCACACAACCTGCAGCCCCCGGTCGTGCCCATCCAGCTGCACTTTCAGTTTGTGGAGCTCTTCAATCTCCCGGTTGTGGCGCTCGGTTTTGTGGCGGACGAGGGAGCGGTAGAAATGGATGGTGAAGACGACAAAGATGATCCCCACCGGGACCATGATGATGGTGGAGATGAGGGCTGCCTGCCACCCTGTGTGCTGGCTGGTCTTCTGGACGATGGCGGTGCCGTTTCTCAGCACGGAGTCCACGGGCAGGAACTTGATCCAGCACAGGAGGACGACCTCGGCGAGGAAGAGGAGGATGCCCAGGACAGTGGAAAAGCCCCAGGCCAGCTCAATGTAGGGGTGCATGCGCTCGTGGGGGGACTCGCTGATGGAGTTCAGGTTGTGGATGTTGCTCACGGCTTCCACGTTGGGGAGGATGCAAGTGCTGATGAGCAGGGCGAAGAGGTGGACAGCCACAAGGATGGTAGTGCAGGCACTGAAGGCAATCAGCAACATTGGGGGGTACTGGTACTGCATCTCCAGCTGGACCTCCACCATCGCCACCTGAAAAGCAACATCCGTGAGTGTTTGCTTGCCTCTACAAAACCCAGGAGACAGTCGGAAGTAAATCACACCAGTCAAGTTGCTCTTTAATAGCAAGAACACAATTAGCACAGACTGGGCAGAGCGTTAGGCCTGATGAGCATGGCAGCTCATCCCCGGTAGGTCTTGCCTCATGAATCAGTTGCTGAGACTGATAGTCCCTCCAAGCAATTGGAGACTGTGCCTGCGTGCAGCCAACCTCTCCTCCGCCCTTTTCATGCCTCTTCTGGTTCTGGGAGACAAGTGGGGAGGGGAGCTTGTCACAGCAGGAGAGGGAGAAACCTGTGATTCGTCACCAGCCTGACTCATCTCTGCCTCTTGGCCTCCCTCCTCTCCTGTTTCAACTTCTGCCTCTGATTCTGGACATCTCTCTACCACGGACTCTCCCAGCTCACTAGGCCCTGTTACCCCTTCAGCTTCCGACACCTCCTCTTCCCAGTCTTCTTCCTCTGACCACACATTGTAGTCCCACCACCAATCCCCGGGCTCTGAGCTTTCTTCCCTTGGAGGTTCCTCAGCTGGTTCCTCCCACTATTCCTTTGCATCCAACCAGTCTGTGACAACTGCTAACCCACAAGAACAATCCACACAAGCGATTGCCATTCACGCAATGCATGAACTAACATGGACTTCACTGTCTTGGGACGTGGGGATGGCTCAGATGGTTTTAAAAAGGGGACAAATTAATAGGGAATAAATCTATAAACAGTTACTATTTAGAATGCCTATGTCCAGAGGAAGAGTATTTATTTATTATTATTTGTTATAAGTGGGACTTGATCATTATTTAAGTTCACAGGTGGTTTTTTCCCCATATGTGGCAGCTACACCCTTGAGGGCATTTCCTTTTTGGGAAAAGTGTTTTATGAAGCTGCTTTAATCACTAAGCAAAACACACCTCTAGATTCCAAGATCACCCTCTTTTCATTCCATGCGGAAGCTGCTCAGGATCTTTCAAATAGTAATAAAAAGTGTATAATTCGTTTAATGACTGCGGCAAGCCTTATAATTATGAAATTCTGGAAGACTTTAAATATAGACCTTTTGGAAGCTTGACTGTCACAACTTTAGGATCTAGTTTTGATGGATAAACTAACTTCACACATGCAGGGAGGACTGAATGCACAGGCATAATAAAATCCAACACTTTATCTTCAATCCGGTGCAAATTTATTATGTACGCAATGCTGAAAGGACATGGCTACTGACCACCTGCAATGTGTGGTAATTTATGGAATGACGCCTTTATTCCATAAGTGACATGACTCTTTGCACAGGATACTCGATTCAATTCCCCCTCGTTTTCCCCCGCTGCCCAAAAGCCAGTCAATGCTTTTTTCTTTTCTTTTTTTCAATTTAAGGGGGCAAGGTTGCTAGCAAGCACAGATTTTGACAGGTTACCAAGACCAGACCAACTCAGTGCACCTCTGCGCTAGAGTGCGCTTTCAGTTCACACAATGTTACAAGGAAGCCCAAGGTCCAGGCTAACGCCTTGTGTGAATTCAGCACGCGCTCTAGAACATTCCTGCATGTTGCAGGTTGCTGAGTTGGCACAAGGGTGCCTCAGCAGACATACAGAAAGGCTCCCTGAAGTGGGAGTGGTGGTGTCCTGAAAACTACTCCACAATTGTGCCAGACCGAGAAACCATCTGGGTCAGGTCTCTCTGGGAAAACATTTTCTAAGTAGGTTAATTCAATATACAAATTAGCAATAGTCTGTGCTACGGTGCCTTTTTGCATGAAAATACACACACATACCGGCTCCAAAGAACATAGGAAACTGCCTTATACTGAGTCAGACTCCTGATCTATCTACCTCAATAGTGCCTGCACTGACTGGCAGCAGCTCTCCAGGTCTTTCCCAACTCTGCCTAGAGATGTCAGGGATTGAACCTAGGACATTCGCATGCAAATCGTGGACTCCACCACTGAGCTTTTACAACAGGACATCTCAAGCAACACCCTCGGGTTTCCACTGCATAGACGAGTGGCGTAGCGTGGGTTGTCAGCACCCGGGGCAAGGCAAGTAATTTGCGCCCCCTAACCCGTGGATTTTAGCAGGGGGCAGAGAGCTGCGAGTGCGAGCGCGCGCCCCCCAGATGTTGCACCCGGTGCGGCCGGCCCCCCCTGCACCCCCCACGCTACGCCACTGGCATAGACGTCTCCAAGGCATCCTCGTTGGCAGGCCTCAAGTTGATCTAACTTCTCTACCGGTAAGGCTTGCGCTTGCTGCAGGTGTAGCTTTGCACATTCTCAGGCAGGGCGAGAAACATGGCACTGGGGTTGCAGGTCACTGCAGCATCTCTCTTGCCATCCATGTCTTTTGGTCCTACCTGCACCATGAGACGGCACTCAGGGCCTCCCCCTCAAAATGCCCACGGGGGCAGGCTCACAAAAGGCTTAATATTCTTAGATAACATGACATACAAAGTGATGTCTGTTCCATGCTACTACAGCTGAACAGAAGCCTCCTATAATGCTTATATTTCATTTTATCTTCCCTTCCCTTCAGGACTGTGGCAGGGGAAAGAGGCCATGCCCTGCTCAGTTATCTATTAGTGCCAGATGGAAGGGGCCGATCAGAGCCGTTTCGACAGAACCGCCCCACCTTATTAAATTTGTATACTGTTCTCTACCCATAGATCTCAGGGCGCTTCACAACATAAGATCACAAAATAAAAAAACATAAAATACATAATGAAAACAACCCCCCACACAGACATTTTAGAAGAGTGTTGAATGCCAGTCAGCCAAAGGCAACTAAGGTCTGAACCCCTTTCAAAGCCCTCTCACTTGGTGTCATAATGTGAGCTGAAGCCATCCAAAAGGCACATGGAGCTGTGCCAATTTTTTCAGGCACAGAAATGAAACTGACAAGCTGTTTTTATTTCTACATTCAGGGGAGATGAGCACCAGGAATCAGAGTTGGCCCTACCATTAGGTAGAGCAAGACTCAGGGTGGCTGATTTGGGGTGATACTAAAGGGAAGCAAATGATTAGCTATTTACCATTGTTGTACAGCATTTTTATTTTTACTGCCAGGACAGGGAATGGGAGAGGCGTTGGTGGGATTTTCTAGCACAGCTGTTAAAAAATCTGACTAGCCTTAGGCACATAGCTGTCAACTTTTCCCTTTTCTTGTGAGGAATCCTACTCGGAATAAGGGAATTTCCCTTTAAAAAAAGGGAAAAGTTGACAGCTATGCTTAGGCACTACGGACCTTGACTGGGCTACCATCCGTTGCTCTGTTTCAAGCATCGAAATGCCCGGGACTGTTCCTGGGCGGAGGACAACACTCTTCCAACAAATTACCACTTAGAATCATAGAACTGTAGAGTCGCAAGGGACCATGATGATCAACCAGTCCAACCCACTGCAATGCAGGAATCTTCTGCCCCATGTGCGGCTCGAACCCAAGACCCTGGCATTAAGAGTCTCATGCTCAGCTATTCACATGGTGTGATTGCAGATGCATGGGGGGAGGGGGTTTTGTACGCTGTAGGTTTTGTCTCTGCCTCAGGCTGCTTCTGATCCTGGGTCAGCATTGGGACATTTGCATTAGCTATTAACCGCAAGCTACAGACCAAACGGTTCAGAGATCAGAGCAGATTTTTGCAGACAAGCTGCTGTGAAAACATACCATAGCAAATCCAGAGAGTAACGCAGAAGTCCGGCTGGAAGCTTTCAACTTGGCTCGGCTCAGGTACAATTTCCGCCATGAAAGGGCTTGGACGGAATGATGGTTGGATGTGACCAGCTCGAGGTAACTGCGACGCACCCAGTCTCGGTAGTCCATGCCCTTAGCGGCCGGCTCAGTGCAACAAGTGGATGCGGGAGGATCCACGGGGACATTTAACTCGGAACTCATGATGAAAGGCAAGCTGTGGGAAGGTTGAGAAAAAATCAGCATTGCAAACACCAGATACACGCCAGGCGCTGTGCGGAAGTCAAAGCAAAACGAGTCCTGGCTTGCAATCTAAAAGCACATGAGATTAGAGGAGAGGGTAGCTGGAGCAAAATGAGAAACTCCCCACAAGTTGGAGAGTGTAGGAAAAGAGGGGAAGAGAAAGGATGCAAAATATTCAACAGTCAGGCCAGGAACAGGAAAGAAATTTAAAAAGCGAAACAGTGCATGGATAGGTAAAACACAAGAAGGAAAAGATGAGTTTTCAATAATTTGTGAGACAAAGAAGTCTGCAGAATATTTTGAGGAAGACAGGACAGGACAGGAAGCAGGGACATAAGAAACAGCTCGACCAAGGGTGAATTTAATAACTACAAAGGCAGATAAAAAAGAGAAGATCATGAAGGGATTTAAAAGTTCAAGTGAGTAAGTTTAAATTGTATCCGAAGCAAGAGAGAAAGCCGGTGAAGGGGAACACGTAGGCCACCTTTGCATGTAATGTTAAGCCAGATGTTCTGGCTTATAGTGGTTTTTTGAGAATAAGCAGTGCTACACTCTGCCCGGTTGCTCCAATTTCCCTTCTCCTCAGTCTGAGCGGAATAAACAAATCAAGAAGCTTCCCGTTACATTTGAACCAAGGATCACAGTCCGCTGTTTCCTAACAAGCCACGCTTGCTAGCCAGCCTGGAGCTCACAGCTTGCTGCTGCCTTGCTGGTCCTAGCAGGAGGAACAAAGAGGAAAAGGGTGAAGTTTCTTACCTTTTAGGCAGCTCCCTCTTGCTCCCTCTCACCCATACACCTCCTTTTCCTTTTATTGTTCCTTAACCACTCATCCCTGTCCAAACACTCTCATTCTGCCAAATACTACTGCCAGGAGATATGCAAACGTAGCTGTCTGTGGAGCAGCGCTGTTTGCATAATGAGAGCAGAATGTGGGGGTGGAAGGTTCGGCAAGAGAGAGGAAGAGTGTTTGCTCAACCCCCAGTTTCTCTGAGCAGGTTCTCTAGAATCCCTCTTCCTTGCCATCTACCCCAGAGTTTAAAAATCCCAAGTTGCTAAGCGATATGTTGGAGCAAAGGCATTTAGTCTCCCCCCCCCCTTGTGCAAGGATTGGTTCTTTAAAATTCAATGCTCGCACCTCAAAACATTAGTATTTGCTCCAAGTATTCAAAGCCTCCTCCCCTTTCCCATCTACTTATATGGTGGAAATGGAGAAAGCTTTCATTCATGAGCCACAATTTTAGAAAAAGAACTGTGTGTGTATGTGTGAAAGAAACGAGAGAGAGAGAGAGAGAGAGAGAGAGAGAGAGAGAGAGAACACTCAGACAGAAAGGAATTTAAGCTCAAGGTAATAAAGACTACAGTGATATGGACCTCACTCATAAAACACGGTTCAAACAGAAAATCAGATGTGAGGGCTTCAAGGTTGGGAGTTCTATAGTAGTTCCACGGGCACGATCAAATAATATTCCCAGCTTTCTTACCCCCAAATTATGTATTTGCCCCAGAGATGCAACATGAAGATAGCCACAATATTGTATAGGGAGAATCCTGTACTCTGTTACTTTTATGAAGTATTGGTGCATTCATTTTCCCTGAAGCACACTAATTTCATTTATAGAACTGATCTTCCACTTTTCAGCTTGGAAGCTCTCAAGAGGCTCACCGAAGGAAAACATATTTAACATGGAAGATTCTAAAAATTTAAAAAATGTAAAGCATTCCCAAGGACAGTTTGGAACACACTATTAGAAATACCAACGGCTTTTGAGGGGACAGGGACAAGGAAGGTGTTTGCTTGGTGCCTAAATGAAGAAAACAACGTTGATGCTGGCCAAGTGTCCCCACGGAGGGAATTTCCAAAAGAGGAAGCATTGCTGAAATTGCTCTGTCTATATTTGAGGGGGATAACTAGGGCAGGGTCCCAGGTTCATGTAGGGGAGAGATTCAAGAGCGCACTGGTAAATTTAGGCTTGTGTAATTAAAACAGATCAAGCTTTGTGCAAGAAAATCAGAATGAATGCTCAATAAACAGGTCACCTGGGTGAGCTCAGAGAAGTCAAGGTAGTGTGTGAGGGGCTGGAAGTTGCCCTGTATGTATGCTGGGTACCATAAATATTTGCCACATCTTTGGCCTCTTAGATGCCGCTCGGCACAATCCAATCCCTGCACCGTAACAGCTACCTTTATTTGGAAGATATGACTTGAGTGATATCGATAAAAAGGAATGTTTTATAGATAAGAACATCCAGTTCAGCATCCTGTTCTCACAGAGGCCAACCAGAAGTTTCTGGAAAGCCAGCAAGCAGGACCTGAGTGCAACATAGGGATGCTCTCCAGAGGCATAGTTGGGGGGACGGGGGGGCACTGGGTGCCACACCGCGGGGGGCAGCACTTACCGTGGGTCGTGTAGTGCACCCAAGCCATGCCTCTCTCCTGGGAGTGATGCAGCGGTCCTGGTGCCTGCAGGCTCCATGCTGCCCGAAATGGCAGCGTGGGGCTTGCTTCTGCCTGCTGCCTCCCCCACAGCTGCCCTACAGCCCTGTCCTGGCTTGCTCTGCCCAGTGGGTAGCTTGTCCTGCCCCCATGGGCGATTCATTCTGCCCCCGGGCACCCGAGTGACTAGCTACGCCGCTGGCCCTCTCCCTACTTGTAAATCTCAGCAACTGATGTTTAGAGGCATACCGCCTCCAAAAGTGGAGACAGAACTTAGCTATAAATTCTACCCTGCTCTTTTCAATGACCGCACCTAACAAAAGCTCACTGTTCTCTTCTGGGAATAATTCAATGAACTGCTGACAACCTATTATGCCCCAATGGCTTCAATCCAACATACCTTAAATAAGAGATTGTGAACCTGTGTCTGTAAGATGTTTTGGACTTCGAAAGGCATCATAAGACGAGTTATGCTGGATCAGATCAAAGGTCTGACCAGTCCAGCATCCTGTACTCACAGTGGCCAACCAGATGCCTATGGGAAGTCCAGAAGCAGGGCAGGAGCACAATAGCACACTCCTCAACCAATATGGCCAATGGTCAAGGAGGAGGAGTTCTATAATCCAGCAACATCTAGAGGGCTGCAGGTTCCCCAACTCTGCCTTACAGACTGTCTTCTCCAATGGCCCCGTTCTCATTTCCAAGCTCTGCAAAAGATGACCTCTTAATGGTCCTACTGGTGTATCAGGTTTGCAAAGGGAAGAAGAGAAATATGATCAGTAGCTTCCTCCAGGTTTCCTTCCCCCCTGGAGACTCACTGAAGTCCAAGCCACCCTGAAGTGTTACTAGACCTCCCTTTAAGGATTACAAAGACCAAGATCTAGGATCACATTTGCAGTAAAGGATCACAATCAAGGATGACCTTTCAGGAGGATCACAGCCAAGTTAGAAAAGAGCAGAGAAATTTCTATGAGTTTTGTTGTGTTTTATTGTGTTTTAATGCACAGCCCACTCCTACGCTTCTGAAAGGCTATAAACTGAAATAGTGTGGGGAAGCTGCTACGGCAGGGTCTGGCAATTGTTTTAGCCTCAAGGAGTGGGTGCCCTACGTCAGTGGGCATGGCTGGTAGTAGGTGTGGCAGTGGCTGGATCCAATGTTGTCATTTACACACACACACACACACACACACACATTCACACACACACACTCCAGTACAGTGATTACAGACTGTGGCATTCCCAGGTAGGCTTACATAATGCAAATATGCATTAAAAACATGTTTGCCTGATCATCACACATCATGACTACCAAAAGGGCATCTTCATGCCTTCTCCCTCATGGATTTAATTTTATTACATCTATAGCCTACATTTTCTCCAATAAGCTCAATGCTCTGAACTCAACTTATGATCACAACTTACTCCACCAACCCCTGCAAAATGAAGTGGCAATACCAACTCACAGACTATATACTTTACAAAGCCGGAGGCTGGAAGAACATCAGATTACCACAAATTATTCATTGTCTTGGAATAAAAAACCTACCCTGATGTGGAGAATGCAGCCTCTGCTAAGTCTGGGCCCCCGCTGTAATTCCACGGGCTTCGGTGGGCGTTGCCTTGGAGAGAGCATTTGGTCTCGCCACAAGTCATGTCAGCAGAGCACTCCGAAGAGGGGAAGTGCTTTAGGAGTGCTGGCTGATGCTGGGTTTGATCTTGTTTGTCATCTCTGCTTCAAAGGCAGCAGGGGGAAAGCCTTACATCTCTTTTCTTTCCCCCAAGAGCAGTGAACAATGTAAGCAAGGGGGGGGGGGATATCCTTGTATGCACCAGACTCAATCTTCTTTTTCCTTGAATTAGTTTTTCAGTGTATAGTCTCTCTCTCCCTCCCCCCCACCCCACAGCTATAGAGGGGGAAATGGGGGAGGAAAAGCCCACAAAATGAAGGAGGTACAATCTGTAATATTTCCATGCAAAACTTGAATTTGTCTTTGCATGCTTCCTGTAAATTTCACTCCATCTCTTTTCTCATCAAATCAGAGGTTCTTTCTTAGTACCCCTCTCTTGGGACCCCTTCTTCATCACCCCACGGACATTTGCAGGACATCAGTGAATCTCTGTTCTCTCCCTTCTCCCCTGCCCCTAACCGCCACTACTCCAGAGTTTTCAAATAATCTATATTTTTCTTCCCATTTTGTGCTGCCAACAGGAGACCAGATTCCTATCTGTCTAAGAGCAACTGTTCCCTAAAAGATCATTGTTCCAGATTCCTCTGTTCTTCCTCACTCCACCCCTAGAAGTGCGTTCATTTCTTCCTCCCGACCAAATAGCCTTGCAGGGCAGCAAACTATATCATATTTGGCTGAATCAGATATACATGCCCCTTCTTCCATGTCTCCCGCAGATCTCCCTGCCCCCAGCCTTGTTCTTATGCATTCAGAGGCTGCCCTGTGGCACAATCGAGAGTGAAATCTTTTGTTCCAAGCAGATCGATGGATGCAGAGCCAGTGCTAAGAGGACGATTAGCTCTAGCACTGTTTAGCTGGTGACGGAGGGTGCATGATGAGTCATTGGAATGAGGCCATGATCTATTACTCACGTAGAAAAATGCAGGTTCATCGTAATGTCTGAAATGCAGCACATTTTGTTTCCTGCCATAAACACACAAATTGGGAGGCAGTAATGCTTCTGAATGGGACGTGGGTGGTGCTGTGGGTTAAACCACAGAGCCCAGGACAGAGCCGATCAGAAGGTCGGCAGTTCGAATCCCCGCGACGGGGTGAGCTCCTGTTGCTCGGTCCCTGCTCCTGCCAACCTAGCAGTTCGAAAGCACCTCAAAGTGCAAGTAGATAAATAGGTACCACTCTGGCGGGAAGGTAAACGGCGTTTCCGTGCGCTGCTCTGGTTCGCCAGAAGCGGCTTAGTCATGCTGGCCACATGACCCAGAAGCTGTCCGCCGGCTCCCTCGGCCAACAAAGTGAGATGAGCGCTGCAACCCCAGAGTCGGCCAAGACTGGACCTAATGGTCAGGGGTCCCTTTACCTTATAACTTTAATGCTTCTGAATACCCGTTGCTGGAAACCACAAGAAGGGGAGGAGTGCTCTTGTGCTCGAATCCTGCTGGTGGGTTTCTCAGAAGCGTCTGGTTGACCACTGTGACAACACGAAGCTGGGCTACATAAGCCACTGGCCTGATCCAGCAGCCTATGTTCTTAAACTGAGTAAGCAAAATGCACATAGCCGTGGAAGCCGCTCCACTGTACAAAAAGGAAAAGGGGAAAGTTGATGTCCAGCAGGCATCTTTCCCCTGTCTCTCCTTCAGTGGGGTGAAGGTGGATGGAATCATGCCTGGAATCTAGGGTGGTACCTTTTCATTGATGAAGTGAGAGAGTTAAGGATGCACTGAATACTCTTCCATGGAAATCCATAGGAATTAAAAGCATCTTGTATGTGGACTATGCTGTGTTTACACTTTGAGCTCTCCTCCCTCTCTCATTTGACACACATGAACACCTACTAGGCCAAATGAAGGTCTTCTGTTTGTCAAGCATTAAATGGAACCACCTTTGCTCTCTTACAGCTGGCTAAAACTCTGTCCCTGAATGAGTGAATGTTTATTATTACAGCTAAACAGCCCGCATAGTAAAACCTGAATCTCAGCATATTTTTTTACATGAACGTTATGTCCCTGAACATGTGCTGCAGCTGTGCCAATGCCTGCTTTCCCCACCTTTCAAATCCATCATCAGAAAATCTTTACCCACATGGCTTTTGGCTCGACCCTTTAATACCCACCCCCATCTGTAACTGAGCTTTGATCATGACTCGCCCTCATATGGCTCCTCATATCTCTCAATACTTCCCCTATTGTCTTAAATACTTCCCCTATTGTTTTAAATAACAAGCTCCTTCAAGGCAACAACCTGCATATTTTTGTCTACAAAATTCCGTAAGGCAACCTGTAGCCCTCCAGAGGCTGTTGCACTCCAGCTCCCATCAGCTCCTGCCAAAAGTCAAGGTTACAGCGAGCTGTACACTCATGATGTATACTGATGCCCTGGGGAAGAGCACTAACAACATAATGAAGACTTACAAAATTATATAGGAAGAAACAAATAGGTCTCTGCCCCCAAGGAGTTTACAATCTTAGGGTGGTACTCAGTGCTAGCTCTTCGTCAGAGTAGACTCACTGAAGTCATCATGGACATGACTAAGTTAGGACCATTACTTTCTATAGGTCTACTCTGAGGTGGACTTAGTTGACTACAACCCTTGTAGTGCAAAATGTGCATTTACTCAGAGGTAAGTCCCCACAGTGTCTGGGTGGGGGCTTGGCGATACAAGCACCCGCATCACATACAGAAGGTATCGGGTTCAAAAACTGCCATCTCCAGATAATTCTGGGAGACTCCTGCCTAAAAACTGCCCCTAACAGGCAATATGGAATTATTGTCCTTAACCGTAGGGTTTCTAGACATTTAATTACGTATTAATAACACAACATTATATCCACATTATTTACTATGCATCATTTCACACTGCATTGCACTGTATGGATATGCTGCACATAGAATACACACATGCTGTTAAGATTTGGTTGGCGAGGTTTGTCACTAGTCCAATCCCTGCCCTGACTCTCCTCTCCTGACTCTTCTGTCAACAAACAAGATCTTAGGTATTGAGAGCCCTTTTAAAAAAACGCCACTAATGAATCGGGGAGAAGTGACACACGTCCCACGCCATGACGGATCCTATTCCACAAACGTGCAATATGGTGGAGCCTATTATTATTATTATTATTATTATTATTATATTAAACCTCTTTATGCGCCTATATTATTATTATTAGATACTTTTGGTTTGTTTTAAGCCGTTTTCAATATTATGCTTTCCTAGGAATGCTGTGTTTTAATTGTAACCCGCCCTCGGACCTGGGGGGGAGGGAAAAATAATAATAATAACAATAATAATAATGGCAATCAATAATAATAGCAATATGCAAATATGCAAATGAGCAGCTCCCCATCGCAAGGCGTCTCCCCGAAGTCCAGCCCTCCTGCCGACTTACCCCACAGGCAGCAGCAGCAGCAGCAGGAGGAGGAGCAGCACCGCCGCCCCAGCCCCACTAACGCCGCCTTCGCCGCTGCCAAGGCAACGCCAGGGTCCCGCCACGTGACCGCTCTGGAGTAGTGAGCACGTGACCAAGCCTCTTCTCTCCCTGCTACCCCTCAGACAGGTCTCGATTCCCGGCAGGCGAGAGGAGTCAGGAACGAGCGCGTGTTGCAAGAAGGGGTTTCATGTTTTTCGTTTTTCATTAAAGAGATAAACATATATACTCTCTGTGTGTATACATATACAGCGAGAGAGAGATACATATACATATACATATACATATACATATACATATACATATACATATACATGTTGTTTAGTCGTGTCCGACTCTTCGTGACCCCATGGACCAGAGCACGCCAGGCACTCCTGTCTTCCACTGCCTCCCGCAGTTTGGTCAAACTCATGCTGGTAGCTTCGAGAACACTGTCCAACCATCTCGTCCTCTGTCGTCCCCTTCTCCTTGTGCCTTCCATCTTTCCCAACATCAGGGTCTTTTCCAGGGAGTCTTCTCATGAGGTGGCCAAAGTATTGGAGCCTCAGCTTCAGGATCTGTCCTTCCAGTGAGCACTCAGGGCTGATTTCCTTAAGAATGGATATGTTTGATCTTCTTGCAGTCCATGGGACTCTCAAGAGTCTCCTCCAGCACCATAATTCAAAAGCATCAATTCTTCGGCAATCAGCTCTCACTTCCATACGTCACTACTGGGAAAACCATAGCTTTAACTATATGGACCTTTGTCGGCAAGGTGATGTCTCTGCTTTTTAAGATGCTGTCTAGGTTTGTCATTGCTTTCCTCCCAAGAAGCAGGCATCTTTTAATTTCGTGACTGCTGTCACCATCTGCAGTGATCATGGAGCCCAAGAAAGTAAAATCTCTCACTGCCTCCATTTCTTCCCCTTCTATTTGCCAGGAGGTGATGTGACCAGTGACCATGATCTTGGTTTTTTTGATGTTGAGCTTCAAGACCATATTTTGCACTCTCCTCTTTCACCCTCATTAAAAGTTTCTTTAATTTCTCCTCACTTTCTGCCATCAACTCTGTGTGTACACATATACAGCGAGACAGAGATACATATACATATACAGCAAGAGATACATATACATATATACATACAGTATATGAGGGATTCCCTTTATCTATCTATCTTGCTGGAGGGATTTCACACACCTCCCTAAATGTGCTTGGAAACAAGCCTAAGTCTTCTGGTGGCAGCTCTTTCACATCAAGAGCCTTGTGCTCTCCTCCTGCCAGCTTCCCGGATGACAGGCAGTGCCTCTGAGCATACAGAGAGGGCTCCTCCGGCTCCCCCCAATTGTTAAAATCAGCGCTCAGAGCAGTTGGAGCATCAGACCAATAGCTCTCAAAATTATGGCGGCGGCAGTTATTTATTTATTTATTGTTTTCCGAAAGGAATATAGCTCAGTCAGTAGAGCAGGAGACTCTTGATGTTAGGGTCGTAGGTTCCAGCCCCGTGTTGGGTGAGATTCCTGTGTCGCAGGGGTTGAACTAGAATGACACTCATGATCCCTTCCAACTCTGATTCTATGATTGAAATGAATAAACCGCTTCACGGTAGGAAAAAAGCTCAAAGCGGTTTACAAAAAAAAAAAAAAAGGAATAAAGTTATCTAAAAATTACAACCATAATTTGAAACATGTGGAAAGTTAAAGCCACAGTAGAACAAATACAAACTTTTTAAACATCTGGATAGGCTTGCCTATTATTATTATTATTATTATTATTATTATTTAGAGCATTTGTTCCTCCTCATACTAAAGCCAAAAGGGGTCCCAAAGTGGCTTACATACAATCCATTAAAGCTAGATTGTAAACCTGCAGGGAGGGACTAAGAAGTAGGAGGCAGAAGGGAAATGGGACAGAGAGGGAAGAGGAAAAAAGCAAATTGCAGCACTTGTTCTAATTACATTCTTATATCTTCCTTCTGCTTCTGGGGATGGGTGTGTCAGAGCATACAGGATGAGTGCCTCTCTTTCACCTCTGGGTATGTATGTATGTATTTATTTATTTATTGTTATTCTATACTATTTATGGACATGGCATTTACAAAGAGCAAGTATGAAAGTGCTTAGTGTCTAAAAGTAAAGCACAGGCTGCCCCCCTCAACTCTAAAATTAGACCTGACACAATAGAGCATTTCACCTTCATTTTCTATACCTGTTATAAGAATTTTAAGGTCTTATATATATAAAATAGATGTTCATAAATGTACCAAGCAAACACATACAAATATGTAAACCACGTGTCCAACACCCACAGAAAAGTCCTGAAACCATTTTCACTCTCCTAAAATGACCTCAAGTATTTCTTTGCAAGGTTAAAGGAAATGGGAAATCTCCCCATTGTCTCTTTCACAAATCCTGTCTTAAGGGCACATTTAAGATATAAATAGGGTGAGCCTGTGACCTGGACTCAAGAACTGAGTATTTACCATTACAAAGGAATCACCAGACTGCCCAAATAATGTAATCAGTTATCATTCTCAGGTAGCATGGCAGACAGGTTTTCTCCTGTAGACCGCCTCTTCTGTGAAGTAGATATGATGTATCTGGGGGGTGGTCTTAAGCTACAGGGTGGGCAATTTAAAATGTCTATATAAGGGCTTGTGCGCATGGCTTGGGGTTCTCCTCCTCTCTCCTGCGTGTGGGGGGAGCACCCTGTTGCAACAGCTTTAATAAAGCTCAGGCTTATAGCCACTTTGCTTTTGTATATCCTGGTCTGGTCTCTGTTCATTTCCTGACCTCCCCAACGCTCTCTCCAAAGGTCTAGTCTTCCTTAAGAAGCTGAACCCCTTGAAGGGACCCCATTTTTATTCTTATTTCACTTTGAAGCAGCTCAAAGATGTGTGTGAGAGGGGAGAACAGAGATACTGTTAGTCGAGTAAGTCCAAGGAGACTCGCTCTCTTTGTAGCCCCTGAAGAACTGCCAATTCTAAAACTGGCCCTGGATTGAAAAACCAGCCTTCTCTGTTCCCAAGCTCTGCCATTTATTTTGTTTTCCCACAGATTCTGTCCCTAAAGGGCTCAGGACTCCAGAGGTGATAACATTCTAAGAGCACCAAAATAGATGAGAAGTTGGCTGGAGTGGAATTATTTATATAATGTGAACTATGTTCTACGCGAGAGCTTGGATGTACTCTACAAATAGGTTGAAGGCTGTTTGGTTTCTTCTATTAATAATGCAGAAATGAGGATGATTTTCAAATTGCATGCTGTGAATTCTAGGAAAAGGTAAATGTGTTTTCTGCCACTAAATTAGTCACAGCAAGTCTTTGTTGAAGCATAAAATGGTGGAAATAGCAGTAGAGGAAACTAAGGTGAGATTAACACAACACTCCTATGAAAACCTATCTTGAGAGCAACCTGTCTTGAACCCAGCAGGACTTTCTAGTGAGTAAATACGCCAAGACTGGTCTGCAAGATAATACAACAAAATTAAGTGTTTAATCAAGAGATGTGAGGAGGGGAGCACTGAACCAGGAGGTGGCATTTCAGCAGAATATGTGAAGTTGAAACCATTACTCACTCTTTCCTTGTGACAGTTTTTCCCTATAATTTTGCACTTGAATCAATAAAACCACTGAGAATTAGACAGAAGCCCCCATTTCAGTCTGCTGCTAAACATGATGCTGCTCCTCATGGAGGATATGGCTAGCAATGGCTACTTGCTATGATGGCAAAACTACGGCTCCACCGTTAGAGGCAGTAATGCTTCTAAGTATCAGTTGCTAGAAGCCACAGCAGCTCAGGTCCTGTTTGCGGGTTTCATCTGGTTGGCCACTGTGAGAACAGGTTGCTGGTCTAGATGGGCCATTGGCCTGATCCAGCAGCCCCTTCCTCTGTTCTTACAAGCACAAGACTACCATCACAATACCAGGAGGCTTAAATCTCCAAATGTAGGACCATATGATTCCCTTTTCCTTAAATAGATACACCTGACTATAGCCCTCTCCTAGATCTCCCCCAGGTTCCTTGCTCTTGTCTTCATACACACCTGGCCTTGTCCAATATTTCTGCCCTAATACCTGGACACATCACTTCCTGTGACCTTTGCTTCGCTGCCTTCAGCTGTCCAAAGGCTTCTCCCTGTCCTTCCTTGTGCCTTGAACTGCCTCCTGAAACACCTCAGTCCGGCCACCTTCCTTCTTTCCTTTGTGGGAGAACCAGTCTCATATAACCAACATACTCAAATCTAATTAATGCACAAAGGGGTTAAAACCAGGCGTAGTTCACCTGGGGAGGAACTAGGTGATCAAGTCTTTGTTCACCTTCCTAGTCTACCTGAGCTCAGTGTGTAAAGACGTCCAAGCTGGTTGCTCCAGTTTAGCTGCATGACTCTGTAACAAGCCTCTCGAGTTCCTATACCAATAATTTAGGAACTTTCACCACTTTGCAACTAAACCAAGTTTTATGCCCTTTTCAATTTTCTGAAGCACATGAATCTGACCTTTGGAGTGTTCGCAAGTTTGCAACTTGCCAAACACGTAGTCTTCTTCTATGCTGGGGGGAAAGGGGAACTTTGGAAGGAACTCAAAAGAGCATATTTTAAAGGACTAACAGCCTACATTTCCATGCTTTACTTTGCTGCCTATTTTGTGATTTTAAATCTCTGCTGATGTTCTCTCGCCAAAGAGCTCTTGCCCCAAACTTGGCATCCAGGAATTCTCCTTTTATACCTATTTTATCCTTGCACCTACATCCTTGAAGCCCCTTCTCAAAACTCAGCTTTTCTGGGAGGTCTCTGCACCATCCTGGGAGTCTCCATACCACACTGCAGTGGTCCCCAACCTTTTTAGGTTCAGTGGGTATATTTAGATTTTTGAGTGACAGGTGCAACCCCTCTCTGCTCACTTCTCTCTCTTTCACCATTAATTTGCCCAATATAAACAGCAATCGTGAACAGGCAAGAAAACACTCAGATGTCCCCCTTTTATTAACTTTTAGGGCAGAAGTTTTACATCACATTTTTGAAACAAAGAGAGCGATCTCCTTGCAGTGTTGGTGAACCAACTCTTGCAGCAGCAATGTGAAGACAACCCCAACTGAAATTCCCGAATAAGTTTGTGTCAAGTTCCGTTATAGAAAAAGCCAGATCACTCTCTGCCCGAGAGCAAAGGCCACACAAACCCATTTGTGTACTTGGGTCTCTCAGGGGGAAAGGGTCTGCCTGAAAACACAGATGGATAAAGCATTAGCTTTCAGAGAGACACCACTTTGGAGCAATGCTAGGAAGAACAAGAAGGCCCACAGGGGCAGGATGCTGGCATCTTTCCCCAGAAACCCCGTAAGCAGACTGCACAGCAGTTACAGAAGCAAGCTTGGAAGAGGTTCTTGTTTCACATGGCTCCGATGTCGATACCCCTGCGGGGTCCTTATGGCAACACCTCTGCCGTGACGGAGGTCTGAAACAGCTCAGAAGAGCCTGCTCAACTGAGACACCAGGCTCTTCAACAGCACCTGGATACCAGCCACAGAGTCAGCGCCATCATCTTCTCATCCTGAAGCTGGGCTTTTCAGCATCATCCTCTTCCTCAGAAGTACCTTCATCTTCCTCTTCACTGGTCTGCTGCTTTGGGGAATGGTCGGAATCTGTAGCCGGTAAAAGACATGATGATCAGGCTACTTGCTTGAGGGAAGAAAGAGCAGAATAATATTATGGATTGATATGTAAAAGGAACCATCATATTCAGGGTCAGGATAGCTCTGTGGATCAGATGGTGGAGATAAAATGCATTTCTGGCCTGCTTGTGAGCTTCCAGAAGTATGGCTGGCCGCTTACAGTTGAGGTTTTTTGGTCTCCCCCAGCAAAGGCAAGGCAATTCTTTTCTCCCTGCCTTCCCCAAAATGGCGAGGCACATTTTAGGCCAGGGATGTGGAACCTGTGGTCCTCCAGATGCCAGAGTACAACTCCCATCCCTGACCATTGAGCATGTTGGGTAGGGATGATAGGAGTTGGTGTCCAACAAATTCTGGCAGGCCTGTTTTAGGGAGGAACAATCCTCCTAATTCTCCAACTCTCTCAGACAACAACATTGGGCAACTCTTCCCCATTTCAAGAATCAAGGTCATGTTCCCCACTGGGCTGCGAACTCTACAGCCTCCCCTTCCTACAGACATTGCCTCAGGCACTTAGGTGAACCCCAACAAAAACTTGGAAGCAATAGTCCTCCCATTGCCTCAGGCACCCAGGATTAGGATTACTATACGGAACAGCTCCTCCTTCCTTGGTTTTGCAGATATTTGAGAGTTCTTTGTCCCTGCAGAGGGGGCAGCTGCTTTGCCTCAACTCATCTGAGTCCATGGAGCTTCTGATCCTCCAGTGGTGCCCTCCACATGTTTTGGACTACAATTCCCATCAGTGCTGGTTGGGACTGATAGGAATTGTAGTCCAAAAGGGGATTGGGTTGGGGAAGGCCGCTCTATGCAACCTCTTTCTCTCTCATCAGGAGCTGTGCTGTCATTTGGTCTGACTACCCTGACAGAATCCCAAAGGACTTCCCTGGAAGATACCCACATCTGGATGCAGGCAGAAGCTCAACTCATTTCAGTGGGGACTTGAGAGCAGAAGGAGTTTCCTGGTGAACTGAACTCCAGAAGATGTGTTTTCACATTACCTGCATGTTCGCTCTTTTGTTCAAGCTTACTCTTCTTCGCCAGCATTTTCTTCTCTTTCAACTTCTGCCTGTAAATCAAGAATTAAATGCTCCAAATGAACAAGCTGCCCTTTGCCCCAACATTCTGCAGATTCCAACCCTGATGCTAGCAAAAAGAGAAGTGAGCTGTGCAGTTGTTAAAATGCCAATTCTTAATGCTCTGGAACCCAACCTATTTCACTGCTGATGGAAGAGCATGTGAACAGCTTTGAAACATGTTTGCCTTGTTTACCAGGAGGGAACTGCTATCTGTTCCCAAATTATCCTAGAGGTAGGATGAAATTTGCCTCTCTAGGAAACTGTTTCCAGGAACTGCAGAGAGGTGGACTTGCAGCCACCTAGAGGTAAAAACTGGAATTATTCCTTCATAGGACTGGCAGCTACATATCCTGTTTTTCTGTCAATGGAGATTTCCCCCACTAAGGCTCCTAGCCACATGGAAAATCAGACCACTATGCCAATCACGGCAGGACAGTGTTGAGATCAAACCTGTGCCTTCCCATGGCAAGAACTTTTCCTCACCCTGCGCCTGCAATTATTTAAGGTGAAACAAGATAGGTAGCTCCATGCTACATATTAAGGAAGAACCTCTAGTCTGGCCCTTAAGTCATTTTGGACTGTAAACAATTACTGAACTATTGCCCTTGAACCTTCCTGCCTCCCCTCATTCTGGATCCTGTTTCCCTAGGCTTCCTGTACAGCTTTGATCTCACCGTTTCCTTCTGCGCTTGGCTGTCTGTTCTTCCGCAACAATCTTGTTCTTTTCTAGCTTCTTCTGATATTCCTCATCCAGTTTTTGCTGCGACAAATCACAGGGAACATGTCATTACAATCCCAGGGCGGGTTGCAACAATTTAATATTTAAAAAGCTGAAACAAATTATAGTCACGGGAATAAAGTGGGTTTTGAAAACACCTTTCTCAGGTGCAAAGGTCAGAGCGAAGAGGTGCATTTTCAGCATTCCATGAAAACCGTAGAGTGAAAGTGGCAGGCGCACCTCTCTGGGGAAGCAATTCAACAACCTAGGAGCTGCTGCAGAGAATGCCCTCTCCCAGGCTGCCACCCCCAAACTTCAGAGGATGACACAACTACCAAGAGGTAATTCTCCACTGATTTTAACACCTGATAGGGTCTGTAGGGAAGGAGGCAGTACAACAACTCAGAAACGGTCAGCCAAAGGAATCACCCAACCTTTTCAGCCATGGCATCCATAAAATCTTGCCTCTGGTATTCTCGCCGGCGAAGATGTCGGTAGACGTGGAATTCCCCACTGCCAGCCCCAGCACTGGAACCTGCCAAGGAAGGGGTCACAGCTTATTGGCAGAGCATGTGCATTACAAGTGCAGGCGGCAACCCTGGTGCCTCTTAGGATCTCAGATGGCAGGTGATGGGAAAGCTGCTACCAGTCAGAGGAGACGATAGTTGGCTAGATGAACAAGGGCAGACTTGACTCTATGAAAGGAAGCTTCACTAGTGGCTTGATCGCATTTCACACAAGTAGGAAATTAGTCTGAGCCTGAAAAGAAATTCTCCTTTTCATATATTGGGGGGGGGACGACCGGGACCAAATGTACACAGAAAGCTTGCTGGGAAACCAGCAGCCACACTAGGGACCTTGCTTCTGGGGACACCTAGAAACCTTGTTCGCTCCATTTTCTCCTTGCCCTTCCTTTGGCTGGAACAGAGCAAATGCTATCACCGCTTTCCCCTTTGGTTTGTTGTAACGATTATAGGAAGGCAAATATTAGTTGTCTAGATACAGGCTCGTAATGCTCCCTAGCTTATGATTTACCCGTGGGCATGGGATTGTGTATAAACCATGCTATAAAGACAAAGCACAAATGTGCATATTTATTAATTGCTGGACGTTGCGGTGCAGCTCAGTTTGCTTAGAAGGGTCTGCATGTGGTTAAGATGGTAGGGTGGAAAACCTCCAAGCCGCCTCTCTCCCTTTGATCTCTGTGCTGACCTGTCAGAGAATCTTTAGTTGTGATTCCTGTATTGCAGACAGTTGGACTAGATGGCCCTTGGGATCCCTTCCAACTCTACAATTCTGTGATTCTGTCCTTGGAAGTCAAAGCTGCATCCTCTTTCATTTCTGTCTCCCCTCTCAAACTTTCTCTGGAACTCAAGTGGCAAGGTTATTTTGGATGTATCTTCTGAGAACAAAGAGGCAAGCATGGCTTCTTTGTTTCACCAACTACTTAGTTAGCTAGGACAAAAGAATTCTCTCTTAAAAATAATGAACTTCCCTTAATAAACATAAGCTTTCTTATTTTATACTAAGTCTCACTCTGAGTGCCTTCCAATTAAAGGTGTGCTCCAAGTAAGGATTCAATTCACTAAAGGTAACTTCTGCTGTTACACACAAACTCTATATGCTAGCATAAATTATGCTGAATTGAACAAAATTTCCAAACGTTAGTATTTTGCATATTTATTCTAGCATTGTTAGTCACAGTGAGGGTTAAGAAGCTATGATGGACACAGAGATCTTGGCTACAGGCACCTGAAAATTAATCCAGCAACTCCTCTGGTTTCTTAGATCTCAATAGACCATTTTGAAGGATATCTTTTCAGCCATGCAGGCTAGAAACCTGCTTTTCGTCTAGAGTGAAGACCAGGGTTCTCAGAAAGCAACACTCCTGTAGGATCATGACAGATACACAGAGCCCTGGCTACAGAAGACCCAGATTTGGAACCCCATTTGTCTCTGCTGCTTCTCATCAGTGTAAACATTACTTTTTTAAGTGTGCACACATCTCAGAGCCTGAATCATTCACTCTTCTGATTCTCTGTGTTTATGGTCACAAACGTCACACATGATTTCAAACCGTGGGGATTCAGAAGTGTGACTCATATCAGTAATCACCCAAATGCCAGTGAAAAATAATTGGTAATATGGCAAGGGCAAGATGGCTGCAAGAACACCCCCTCATCCCCTACAAAGTTTCAAGCCCCTTATCTTATGACTACTCAATCCTCATCTATTTCCCTTCCCTATTAAGCACATTCCTCTAGAAGCACAGTGCTTAAGCTAAGAAGCCACCTAAAAATAGCTACTTACCCATAACATCTCTGACAAATTCTGGAGGCGGACGGGGCGCCCATTCATTGAGCTTTTCAGGAATTGGAACTGTCTTATCCTGCAACAAGAAATGAGCAATACTGTGACACTGTTTCTCTAGGAGGAGAGAGCAATTCTTCAAAGCTATTAAAGCATGGATCTAAACAGAAGTGGGAACATTAAGTAAAACAGAACTGATCTTTTTACCCAAGAATTTATTGGGCATTTGGCTGCAGACAATAAAGTGTCACACTAGCTATATCATGGGTGATAAATCCTTTTGATCTAAGGGCTATATTCACTCTTGGCCACCCTCTGGGGATCACATGCCAGGGTGGGTGTGGCCTTCTCACACACATTTACACAAAGAACACACATGTACATATACCGTAGGTCACACACAGACCTCCCCTCTCCTCAACTCATCTATCTACTCTTATTACCCCATGTATCAAATGATCAATCTGATGACAGAGGAGGGGATGACTTGCATCCCCATCAGGGTGCTGGATTGGGAAGTTTGCACTTCTTTGCCTGCACGTGTTGGCTCAGGCTCTCAGAATGTGTGCAAGTAACAGGTTTTCTTGTTGAATACAATCCCATGCTACGTACATACATACATGCATGGATGTGCGTGCGTGCGCGCACACACACACACAGAGCAGCTCAAGAGTAATGGACAGAATTGGTGAAATCTCTGCTGAATGTGCTTAGGGGAGCAGGGTCAGGTAGCTGTCCCCACATATACAGATGTGCATTCAGAAGGGAACTGCAGGATTAAAGTAATTTATAAGTAAAGGCACTAGAATGAGATAGGATGTGAAGAATAGGACACTAAGCTCTCCCCTGCCCTTCTCCACAAGCACTCACTGCAATAACTACACAAGTGGAATTTATGCATTTAATTGCATTTAGGAATCTACACACACAAAGTGTTCAGGGCAATGCACATTTAAAAGCATGTTCTACGCAGGACTGCAGTCCCCTTCTGGGAGTAAGCCTCATTAAGTGGAGACTCAAGTCACCTCCAGTTGTTGGCGTGGGGGACTAGACTACATTGCATCAAAGCAAGTGTTATCCCAGACTTTTCAGTGAATCTTCCTGTCACTTTCTGTAGCAGTTAATTCCAATCTTTCACGGAAGCAGTTTTGTTGCAGAAAAGCTTCACATCAGCTTTCTTTGTGCAGCCTGTGCTTGCCAGGATATGGTTGAATCCCACCTGAAAACACTGACAGCCTGGAAGCACCTTTACTTCAGAGTCAACATACACTATGTTGTCAGAATAAGTAACCTTTACTTGTTGGGCTGCCCACACTTTTAAAGATCTGCTTCAGAGGCTTTCAAGTGTCCCGACTCCCTGGTAATGTGGGTGGCCATGTGGGAGAGGCCCTTCTCTATGGTAGCCTCACAGCTATGGAATTTCCATTCCTCGGATATTTCCAAATTGCAGGCTTTTTGAAAGGGCCTATAATCTTCAATTGGCCTTTCAGGCATGATGTTTATTAGCTGAGAGATGGTCTGGGTGAATAAGATTATATCTGGCTCTGTTAAAAAGAAATTTATTGCTGAGTTGTAGTTTTAAAACTTTGCATTGCTGTTCCTTGTATCTTTTTGTTGTTTTTGATTGTACACCAGTTTGAAAAGGCATCTGCACAGAAAAGCAGCCAATATATATTTTAATGGATGACCATTTAAATATATGCCTTCTCTTTTTATGCTGCCATAGAGGCATCAATGGAGAGCTACCCTAGAGAGCTCTATTCAGTCCTGCAGAGTAGGCAAGCGCAAAGTAACAGGAGTCTGTTGGGAGTGCTCTAGTCTGTAAGGTCTATAGGCAGATGCCCACTCCCACCAAGTACAAAACCAATGAGATTCAAACTACTTTTGTAATTTGCCTCAAAGACCTAAATAGAGGAAAGGCAACATATAAATTTGTTCCATAAATGCATACATGCAAGCCAAGAAAGACAAAGGCGGAAGGAGACACTCACTGCCAAAGGGCCTGGTTAAACAGGATGGGATGAGGGCATCAACACCTTCAACTTCGTATCATATAAACCTACCCAGGTATTAAGCTTATCTGCAGATGGACACTCTCAGAGTATAGACTCATATTGTGTTGTGCCATCGATCTAAGAAACTCCCACCCTACTTGTTTCACTTTTGGGGCACCATGCAAACTCTGTTCTATTCTCCCAGATCTCTAAAGTTCTCATTCCACCCTTCATTTTTGTTTTTGCCACCATTTTTGATGAGTGGTCTAGCATTACCTAATAATGCAAATGCATAGGGTGAGGATAGGGATCAATAGGATTGTGGCAAAGGAACATAAGGAGAGCCCTGCTGAATAAGACTAGAAGCCAAGAATCCTCTTTCCCTGCAGTGGCTAACAGAATACCCCTGGGACACCCATGATCACAGCATGAGCACGATAGCACTTTTCTGCTGTTGTTCCCTAGCAACTGGTCTTCTGAGACACTCTGCCTTTCTTTCACGCTAGAGGTAGAATATAGCCATAATGCAGCCTTTATCCTCCATCAGCTTCCCCATTTCCTTTTAAAGCCTTCTAAGTTGGTGTCCACTGCCACGTCCTGTGACAGTGAGTTCCACAGATTCCATACTGTGTGAAGAAGTACTTCCTTTCGTCTGTCCTGACCAACCAGCTTCATCACAAAAACTCAGGTTCCAGTATTATGAGAGAGGAGCGGGCGCGCGCACGTGGAATTTCCCCCTTATGTGCACTTGATTCCCCCTGTGGGTAAGCAAATACAGTGGTACCTCGGGTTAAGTACTTAATTCATTCCGGAGGTCCGTTCTTGACCTGAAACTGTTCTTAACCTGAAGCACCACTTTAGCTAATGGGGCCTCCTGCTGCTGCTGCACCGCTGGAGCACAATTTCTGTTCTTATCCTGAAGCAAAGTTCTTAACCCAAGGTACTATTTCTGGGTTAGCAGAGTCTGTAACCTGAAGCGTATGTAACCCGAGGTACCACTGTACTCCCTTCTTCATACAAGTTAACTAGGAATCGGGGGAGGGGAAAATATATTAGTGGGCAAGCCTGGTGAGAGCAGAAAAGGACTGCCAAATATAAGAGAAAAGAGGAAATAAAAGGGGGGCCTCTACCTCTTCATTGAAGCAAACTGAGTAAGAGGGTAGTTACTGAGGGGAGAAATGGGGGAGGGGTTTTCCACCTCACCTATCCCCAATGGAGGCCCTGGTGCCTACACTGCAGGGGTGGGAGCGGGGAGAGGTAGCCACGCCCACTAACACTTATGCCCCGCCCCCTCACCGGATTCCTCATGAGCCTCTCCAGCTTCAGACGCTGCTCGTCCGCTGCGCTCCGGGGGATGACCAGCGGCTGCGGTTCCTTGCGGGGCCGGGAGGGCCGCGTCGGCCCCGCCGCCATCCTGCCCCCCCGTTTTGGTTTCCCCTCCGCCTTCTCCTGCGCAAAAGGCCGCGGCCCCGACCGATGACGTCACGGAGGGCGACGGTCATAGAAGCATCTTGCGAAAGGGGCGGGGCGGGGCTCCCTTCCTTTCCTTGTCCCGCGCCTTCCCATTCGCTCCGCCTCCTTCCGGCAATATTCATGAGGTCTGGTGCATATTAATGAAGGCGCGAAAAACAGGCCAGAAACGGCGGTTGGTTTTTCTTTCGAAATGCGTGTTAGCGTCGCTTCTGAGGCGATGGGGGAGGGGGAAGTTCCCAGAATCCTTCGCGGTCTTTTTTTCCCCCATTCTGTTTTTCTTTATATGCCTAATTTAATTATCCTTTACACAACATAAGGATTAGTTTTGTTTCTTTTATTCTCAGGGCTTGGCAGCTAGGGATAATTTTTGTAAAATAAAAAATGCACCACAGCATTAAGTTAAACAAATGGTGTCACTGTTAGTTTCCAGCTGCTTCTAGGAACTTTATTGTTCAAACATTAAAGCTTCATATTCCTGCATTGCAGAGGGTTGAGCCAGATGATCTCTAGGGTCCCTTCCAACTCTACAATTCTTTTTCACGCTTTTGATGAATATAATGCCTGGCAACTTTAAAAAAATACCAGTTACCTATTACACTTTTAAGTGGTAACCTTGCACTCCATCGTAGATACACTAGCACAGATTTTAGCTGGTTTTGATCTGCACTGCCAGCAGGAACTTTCAGCAGAGTGTCTTCGCTTACAGCAACAGCCTAACCTTTATAACCTAGGAAAGCAGAGCTTGTGGTGTGTGTATTTTTTTTAAAGGAGGCTGAGTTAAGTGATATTTTAAATAGATTAATTCATGATCTTTCCCTCCTGAACTACCCACCCAATCAACCACTTTATAGCCCTTGGCAGGGCTCTCAAACATCTACAGTACAAATGTCCATGTGGGTACAAAGCAGTTGAAAAATCTACCCTAAAGGCAACAAAATTTGCTGAAATCACAGCAAGATATGGCAACTACAACAGTACACAGCAACCACCTAGCCTACTAGTCCAAAAAAACAGAACAAACCCCGGGGCAGGGGTATTTATTTGTAGCATTTAGATCCCACATTTTCCTCCAAAGAGCTCAAGGTGGCATACATAGTTCATGGCCAAGTGGGAATTTGAGCCCTGGTCTCCGGTGTTTCCTAGTCGTACACACTAACCTCTATAGCCACACTGGATGAAATCTTAACTTTCTAAAAACCAGAATAGGGTCAATGCCGGGTGGCTTTCCAATAAGAGAATTATTCTGCACATGATTCATACTGTTGCTGTAGATTGGATTATAAGTGAACCTGTTACCGGAAAAATCCGAGGGCTCCCTTGGACAGAAAGTAAAGACACCAACCAGAGTAAATTGGAGCAAATCAGCAGCCTGTAGGCTTGGCCTTTATTGAACTGTTGCAACAGGGTGTTCCCCTCACTTGCAGGAGAGAGGAAAAGACACAGAAAATGGTGTGCAAGACCTTATAAAAACTTTTGAAATTCCCACCCTGTAGATCAAGCCCATCATGCATACATTACAGAAAGGAGGGGTTGAGGGAGGAGTTGTGGTGGTAACCTGAGTGTCCTGTCACCTGGCTGGTTCCCCTCTACCCCTCCCCATGAGTCATTTTCTGAAGACAAAAGGTAGTCGCAGTTTCCTGCCCCGAGGGAAGATCTGATCATTGTCCTTTGTTCCAGTCCATGCAGAATCCACTCCCATATGCAAGTTCTTTGTGATCTTGATTGTCTTCTGTCTAGGACCATCAGGGTTGGCATAGCAACTGGGCAGGGCTCCTGTGGATGTGCTGGGATGTTCAAGGGATTATGGCTGGCCTGTATCAAACCTTCCCCATTTTGTAGTCCTTCCTTCATGGAGTAAAATAAAAGTGGAACAGTGCAAATCCGATGTATGGTTGATTTTCTATGAATTTATAACAGAAGCGTAGCGTATGTAGTGTGTGAGTGTGAGTGAAGTTTGTACAAACTGAATGATGGGGGGGGGGTTTCCTGCTACAAACCCACCATACACACAAAATTCACACAATTTGGGCAGCAATATCCTAATTTGAATTATAAATATTGCATCGGGTTTCTTTTGGTTTAAAAATTATCTGGGAAATTATCTGGGAGAAGGAAACGATATGTGTGAAACATCGTGAGAATGATTGCTCTTTTTGCACTCAGGGTTAGCAAAGTGAGCAATGCAACAGCCTCCAGGGGGCTCCACTTACAAATTGCTTCATGCAGGGCAAGCGAAACCCCTGGGGATATTAGCAGCAGATGGAGGAAGTCGTGCTTGGCCTGCCATGAGCACAGCAGCAACCGCTGCTTCCTGGCAACTGAAAGATGCAACACGATCTGCATGCAAACCTCTACCAGGAAGTGGCAGAAGTGCCCATGGACCAGATAGTGATCTGGCCAGAGGCTACATCCTCCACACACCAGCCTGTGACCTTTTCACAGCTTTGGGCGGAACCCATCAATTAAATGTTTTGACTCAGCGGCCACTTATGTGTCACCAAAAAAAAAAAAAAAAAAAAAAGGAGGGGGGAAAGATACCAGTTTGCATAATATTTGCATTTGCTAATGCACACCAATAGGTACAAAAAAATGGGGGGGGGGAATACAATAGGTTAAGTAGAAGTACAATTTATCTCAGCATTGTGACTCTTGATGGGTAACTTCTAGGCCCTTCGTCTCCCTTACTGGGATTCTTTATCGTGAAACAGAAATTAGATGCTTTCAAACAGAGAACAGTCCTCTGTAAAGCAGGATTCATGGACACCCTATTTGTGCAGACCTGTCCTTTTGTTCCTTTGTTGTTCTTTACAAGAGTTACTATTTCATTGATGGCCTGCAAGCTGTTACTATTATAAAATTTTTCTTCATGGGTTATTGCGATACCTGTAGTGGCGTTTTCAGTATTCCTGAGGTGCATTAAGTGAGAGGCCCACTGCTGTCTGATGTTATTGCCTGGCCACCCACAATGCAAGGAGCAAACTATAAAGATTGGGAGGAAGGTTGTCTAGTGTGGCTTTATCTGGCCAAAATGGATTAGGACTTGAACCAATGGCTTCAAGTTACAAGAAAGGAGATTTTGACTATACATATGGAAAAGTAAGAATTGTTTGACAGTGGAACAGTCTCCCTCGGGAGGTTGTGGACTCTCCTTCCTTGGTTTGAGATTCCTGCATTGCAGGGGGTTGGACTGGATGACCTTTAGGGTCCCTTTCAACTGTACAATTCTACGATTAGGACCTGGGAGACAAAGGTTCAAATCCCTACTCTGTCATGAAGTTCACAGGGTGACATTGCACCAGTCATTGTTTCTCAGGGTTGTAGTGAGGATAAAACGGGGAAGAGTGCATGCCACTTTGAGCTCCTGGAAGGAAAGGTGGGATATAAATACAATGGTAAATAGACTGTAAGTAATGGCAGGTGTACTTCAATCACACATCACCAAATTCAGGCTACACAATTAAAGTGGATTTGGTGCTCTTGCACAACAGACTTGCTTCCCTCCCAAAACTGAACCGTTTGCCATGAGGATAGTGATTGGAAAATGCATTCGAAAGTATGAGATCACAAACAAATTTTAGAATGAATGCTATATAAAGATTCTGTCCTCTCTCTGGTCAGAAATTATTGCACCCACGACTCAGTCGTCTAAAGATCTCACTGCCTTGTCTGTGTTTGAATGCATGGCTTATAATCACCAGTCTCATTTAGACACCTATTTGGACATATACACTACCTATATATTAAGCTATCTGTTTAAGTTAGGACTGATGGAACAGCCTCATGTCCAACATCAACTGGCAATGTTTTTTCTTTTCTGTTATGTTCACAAATAAGGCATCATCTAACCCCTCTGTACCCCTTCATGGATCACTACCTTGCCGTGGTGAAGGGGCTTGAAGAACTCAGAGAAGCTATGAACTATGCCGAGCAGGGCACCCAAGATGAACAGGTCATAGTGGAGAGTTTTGACCAAACGTGATCCACCTGGAGGAGGAACCAGCAAGCCACTCCAGTATCCCTGCCAAGAAAACTCCATGGACAAAGACAACAGGCATATAAAAGTTATGACGCTGGAAGATGAGCCCCTCAGGTCGGAAGGCGTCCAACATGCTACTGGGGAAGAGCGGAGGACAAGTACAAGTAGATCCAGAGCTGATGAAGCGGCTGGGCTAAAGCCGAAAGGACGCTCAGTTGCGGATATGCCTGGAAGCGAAAGGAAAGTCCAATGCTGTAAAGAAAAATATTGCATAGGAACCTGGAATGTAAGAACCATGAACCTGGGTAAGTTGGATGTGGTCAAAAATGAGATGGCAAGAATAAATATTGACATCCTGGGCATCAGTGAACTAAAATGGACGGGAATGGGCAAATTCAGTTTGGATGACCATCATATCTACTACTGTGGGCAAGAAACCCGCAAAAGAAATGGAGTGGCCCTCATAGTCAACAAAAGAGTGGCGAAAGCTGTACTGGGATGCAATCTCAAAAATGATAGAATGTTCTCGATACAAATCCAAGGCAGACCTTTTAACATAACAGTAATCCAAGTTTATGCACCAACTACTGGTGCTGAAGAAACTGAAATTGACCAATTCTATGAAGACTTACAACACCTTATTGAAGTGACACCAAAGAAGGATGTTCTTCTCATTATAGGGGATTGGAATGCTAAAGTAGGGAATCAAGAGATAAAAGGAACAACTGGCAAGTTTGGCCTTGGAGTTCAAAACGAAGCAGGGCAAAGGCTAATAGAGTTCTGCCAAGAGAACAAGCTGGTCATCACAAACACGCTTTCCAACAACACAAGACGACTCTACACATGGACATCACCAGATGGGCAGCATCGAAATCAGATTGATTATATTCTCTGCAGCCAAAGATGGAGAAGCTCTATACAGTCAGCAAAAACAAGACCTGGAGCTGAATGTGGCTTAGATCATCAGCTTCTTATAGCAAAATTCAAGCTTAAACTGAAGAAAGTAGGAAAAACCACTGGGCTGGTAAGATACAATCTAAATCAAATCCCTTATGAATACACAGTGGAAGTGAGGAACAGGTTTAAGGATTTAGATTTGCTGGACAGAGTGCCTGAAGAACTATGGATGGAGGCTCGCAACATTATACAGGAGGCAGCAACGAAAACCATCCCAATGAAAAGGAAATGCAAGAAAGCAAAGTGGCTGTCCAACGAGGTCTTACAAATAGCGGGGGAGAGAAGGCAAGCAAAATGCAAGGGAGATAGTGAAAGGTACAGGAAATTGAATGCAGATTTCCAAAAAATAGCAAGGAGAGACAAGAAGGCCTTCTTAAACGAGCAATGCAAAGAAATAGAGGAAAACAACAGAATGGGAAGAACCAGAGATCTGTTCAAGAAAATTGGAGATATGAAAGGAACATTTCGTTCAAAGATTACCATAATAAAGGACAAAAGTGGTAAGGACCTAACAGAAGCAGAAGACATCAAGAAGAGGTGGCAAGAATACACAGAGGAATTATACCAGAAAGATATGGATGTCTCGTACACCCCAGGTAGTGTGGTTGCTGACCTTGAGCCAGACATCCTGGAGAGTGAAGTCAAATGGGCCTTAGAAAGCACTGCAAATAACAAGGCCAGTGGAAGTGATGGTATTCCAGCTGAACTATTTAAAATTTTAAAAGATGATGCTGTTAAGGTGCTACACTCAATATGCCAGCAAGTTTGGAAAACTCAGCAGTGGCCAGAGGATTGGAGAAGATCAGTCTACATCCCAATCCCAAAGAAGGGCAGTGCCAAAGAATGCTCCAACTACCGCACAATTGCACTCATTTCACACGCTAGCAAGGTTATGCTTAAAATTCTACAAGGAAGACTCAAGCAGTATGTGGACCGAGAACTCCCAGAAGTGCAAGCTGGATTTAGAAGAGGCAGAGGAACCAGAGACCAAATTGCAAACATGTGCTGGATTATGGAGAAAGCTAGAGAGTTCAAGAAAGACATCTACTTCTGCTTCATTGACTATGCAAAAGCCTTTGACTGTGTCGACCACAGCAAACTATGGCAAGTTCGTAAAGAAATGGGAGTGCCTGATCACCTCATCTGTCTCCTGAGAAATCTCTATGTGGGTCAAGAAGCTGCAGTTAGAACTGGATATGGAACAACTGATTGGTTCAAAATTGGGAAAGGAGTACGACAAGGCTGTATTTTGTCTCCCTGTTTATTTAACTTATATGCAGAATTCATCATGCGAAAGGCTGGGCTGGATGAATCCCAAGTCGGAATTAAGATTGCTGGAAGAAATATCAACAACCTCAGATATGCAGATGACACAACCTTGATGGCAGAAAATGAGGAGGAATTAAAGAACCTTTTATTGAGGGTGAAAGAGGAGAGCGCAAAATATGGTCTGAAGCTCAATATCAAAAAAACAAAGATCATGGCCACTGGTCCCATCACCTCCTGGCAAATAGAAGGGGAAGAAATGGAGCCAGTGAGAGATTTTACTTTCTTGGGCTCCATGATCACTGCAGATGCTGACAGCAGTCACGAAATTAAAAGACGCCTGCTTCTTGGGAGGAAAGCAATGACAAACCTAGACAGCATCTTAAAAAGCAGAGACATCACCTTGCCAACAAAGGTCCATATAGTTAAAGCTATGGTTTTCCCAGTAGTGACGTATGGAAGTGAGAGCTGACTATAAAGAAGGCTGATCGAAGAATTGATGCTTTTGAATTATGGTGCTGGAGGAGACTCTTGAGAGTCCCATGGACTGCAAGAAGATCAAACGTATCCATTCTTAAGGAAATCAGCCCTGAGTGCTCACTGGAAAGACAGATCGTGAAGCTGAGGCTCCAATACTTTGGCCACCTCATGAGAAGAGAAGACTCCCTGGAAAAGACCCTGATGTTGGGAAAGATGGAGGGCACAAGGAGAAGGGGACGACAGAGGACAAGATGGTTGGACAGCGTCTGCGAAGCTACAAACATGAGTCTGACCAAACTGCGGGAGGCAGTGGAAGACAGAAGTGCCTGGCGTGCTCTAGTCCATGGGGTCACGAAGAGTCGGACACGACTAAACGACTAAACAACAACAACCCCTCCGTAAACTTTGTGCAAACAAAATGAATGCTCATTAATCAGGTTTTCTGGAAGAAACCTCAGAATGGAACATCTATGCACTCTAGAATGTGCTCCTGGGAATGGCAGACAAGCTGATGTGCAAAGAGTTTGCAGAAAGCAAAAAGTCTGAACACGTGTGCAGTTACAGTCCCAGGAATGCACAAAGCACTGTTATGCCTGAGCTTGCCATGTTCTTGCAAAGGGCCTCATTTCTTAACTAATAGCTGCAATTGTAAGAAAGGAAAGGTATATTGGGTGTGCAACCTCATGCCTCCAGGGCAATGCCAATTTTGTGTCCTAAAATTATGTAGATTAAATACATTTGCCTTAGCTGTACTTTAATTTATTTTGCTTTCATGGTTCAGGGTTTCGTAATCCAGACATGATTTGGCAAGTCAAACCTCCAAAAATATTTGAAATTTTTGAATAGTTGGGAAATGAAACCCCCATATTTTCTACCAAGTGAGGCAAAAAGGTTAATGACACGTTCTATATGGTAAAAGGACTGGCAATTGCTAAAGCAATCATATTTTTGGCCTTCAGAGGGCACTAGCACACTCTGTAAAATGATTGTTAAAAAGTATTTATTAGGATGAACAGCTTTTTAAAAAGATTCCCATATTTGCCTTTATTTTAGACCCGTGGAACATGATGGCTGGCCATTTTTTCAAGCACCACAATGCTAGACTGAAAACCACCCTTTTCCAAAGGCAATGGGCTTCTTTTAATCAGTATTAAAGTGTAAAAGATTGCTACTATATTCTCAGCATGGGGACGAAACAGAGGAACACTTAGAAGTTTAATCCCCACTGAAGTCTTTATGCGTCATGGCCACTCTTGTTAAGGGTCTGAATGTATGCAGTTTCTCAATCTGATCTTTAAATCTTGCCTAAAAGCAAGTAACATATTGACTCTTTCCTTTCCTATCCTAGGAGAATTGTTGCAAAACCAAGTATCTTTTGGTAAGACTGACACTCCTCTTGTCAAAATCCTCCACATATATGTGCTCCTCTCCCTGTATGAACCGACCCAGACCCTGAGCTTGTCATCTGAGGCCTTCCTCTATGTCCCCCATCCCAGAGAGGTTCAGAGAACGGCAACAAGAGAATAGGCCTTTTCTGGGGTGGCTTCCCAATTGTGGAATGCTCTCTCCAAAGAGGCTTGTCTGGCGCCATCAACATGTCTTTAGGTGTGTTATAAGAATTCTGAGGTCTCAAATATAGAATAAATATTCATGAATGCTCACATATCTAAATATATAAGCCATGTGTCTGAAATAGTACAGGAGAGCAATCCTGAAGCCATTTTGACCCTCCCAATGACTTCAAATATTCCTCTGCAGTAAGGGAGGTAAATGGGGAAAGCCTTCCCATTGTCTTTTCGCTTACAAATCCTGTCTTAAGGGTGTGTTTGTGTATGAATAGGGTTGAGCCTGTGACCTGGATTCAGGAACTAAAGTATTAACCATCACAAAAGAATGGCCAGACTGCCCAGGTAAATGCCATCAGCGACCATTATCAGGTATCCTGGCAAACAGGATTTCTGCTGTAGACAGCCTCCTATGATGTATGTATGATGATTGGGGGGTGGTCTTTGGCTAAGGGGGTTGGGCAATGTCAAAAGTCTTTAAAGGTTCCTGCACACTTTTGTTCAATGTCTCTCCCTCCTTGGAAGGAACTCGTGTTGCAACAGAAAAATTAATATCTGCCTTGCATTCCACTGGATCCTGCCTCCATCCACTTTTCTCTGACTGATCATGGACTTAGGGGACTCAAGAGTCCGATGGGGAGTTGGGCAGCCCAAGCCCAAGCTTTACATCAATTACCAGCCAAAAACATTCATCTTCACCCAGGCCAATGGCTATTAAATAATCTATGGCCTGTGAAAGTGTGGGGAAAGCAGACTGTCATTACGATGGTTATTTTATTATTAGGCTGTCTCCCACTATGTTTTTTTATCATTGATGTTCTGTAATGTGGTTTTAATGTTGTACACAGCCCTGGAAACTTCTGATAAAGGGCAGCATATTAATGGAATAAATAATATTTAGCAACACCAATAAAATATTACGTATAGTACTTCCAATGTTCTAGCTTGTTCAAAGCTTGTTTTATTCCCTGCACCCCTCAAAGAAAGATCAGAACACCATTATTTTTTCCAGTTCTTTTACAAGTTGGTTTTGTAAATAAAATTAATTTATTCTACAGCACATTAAAACTTTTTTTCACATTTTAAAAAATCGTATTTACAAATTAACATTTCATTTTGTAATTGCGGCTCCTTCAGTCCTCATTTTCTTCCTTCGTTCTGATTGGCACAGAAGAAATCAATATGGACAAGGGTGCAATTCCAGCCATGGTTCTCCATGGAGAAGGGCCCAGCAGTGGACTATAGCTCTTCCGGACATCGATAATCCATTTCTTGAGGGGTGGTGGTGGAGCAGGTATGAGGTTATCTACAAAGGTTCCCTCCTTGCTTTTGTATTACACTGTACCAAGTGTCCCTGTTGCAAAAAAAATTCCCAGTATGTTACATCCCCGCACAATAAGGCTGCAATGCCTTCATTTATAGACATAAAGACAGGTCCTGGATTTGAAAGTCAAGAGGAATTTATCTCATAGGATGGCGGTTTGTGTCCATGACTTGCTGCTCTAAAAGGTGCTACTGATCAAATGCCATAATTCAGAACTTTCTTTAAATGAAGAGGTGCAATCAGCAGCTGCCCATGACAACTGTTCCTGGTGAAGAATGGAAAGGCACCACTTCCGTCAAGAGTTTCCCAGAAATCTTAAAGAAAACTATGGAAACAGGTAGGTGGTAAGGCTACCAACTGAGAACCGGTCCCAAGAAAACAAACAGGCAAGGTGGTTTTGCATTCTGCATTCAAAGCTCTCATAGTTGTGGCCTAAGAAACACTGATGGGACAAGTAGTTGTTCTTCAACGTGGGACAAATGTAAGATCACCTACAAATTAGGAACAACTTTGGCCAATTTAACACAAATTACTCATTTGGAAACTCCCTTTAGTGCAACATCTTTACTGAACGTGCTCATGTAATATTGATAGGAATTATTTAGGTTTATAGTTAAACTAATATTAATATTTGAAGTCCATCTTCTAATTTGACCCTATTATAACTATGTCTTTTCCTTCCTTCCTTATAACAGGAACTTTTTTTTTTAGTCAACGGAATGAATACCTCACATCTGGAATTACTGCTTTCATACACAATTATCAGTTGGGCATGTTTTGAAACCACAGTACTGCTGTTACCTTGCCAAGCTGATCTGATAGGTGAGTGACAATGTGGCAGGCTAATAAGAGCAAACCCTTCTTTAAGAGTGGCTGCTAAGTGACACATCTCTCCAATCTCCCTGGTTTAGACTGCAATCCCAATCAGACTCAGTGGAAGCAAGGGTCAAGTGAACATAGCAAGGCTTCTTTTCAAGTAAACATAAACAGGATTGCACTAGAGTTGTGTTGCAAACCCAACACAGTAGTTTCTTCAGTTTCAGTATTTACACACAGGTGCTGGAACAGTGCAGGGACCACCCCCCTCCCTTATCTCCAACATCCCACTTGATTTTGATTCTGGGTTGATGTGTAGCTTAGCTAGTAGTTTGGGGGGGGGAAGAGCAAGGGAGGGGAGAGATGACAGAGGTGTATAAAATTATATATGGCATGGAGAAAGTGGATAAAGGAAGGTTTTTGTCCCTCTTGCCTACCCACCAGGGCCATCCATGAAACTGAAGGGTGGCAGATTGAGGACAGAGAAAAGGAAGTACCGTATTTCTTTGCTCTATAAGACGTACCAGACCACAAGACACACCTAGTTTTTGGAGGAGAAAAACAAGAAAAAAAATATTCTGAATCTCAGAAGCCAGAACAGCAAGAGGGATCGCTACACAGTGAAAGCAGCAATCCTTCTTGCTGTTCTGGCTTCTGGGATAGCTGTGCAGCCTGCATTCGCTCCATAAGACGCACACACATTTCCCCTTACTTTTTAGGAGGGAAAAAGTGAGTCTTATAGAGCAAAAAATATGATAGTTCTTTACACTGTGCAGTTAAGCCAAGGAATTTGCTGCTGCAAGATGCAGTAGTGGCCACCAATTTGAATGGCTTTGAAATACGTATTTGCGGAGGATAAGGCTATCATGCTGGCTACATTGCTTCCAACATCACAGGCAGTATGTCTCAGTACCACTTGCAGTTGCTGTTGTACTTGAGCCCTGCTTACAGGCTTCCTGCGGCCATCTGGTTGGCCACTGTGAGAACAGGATGCAGAAGCCTTTCGTCTCATCCCAGAGGCTCTTCTTTCCTTACGCTCTTACAAAGGAGTTAATGGGCATTGTTTTGGGCTAGATTTCTTTGACTTTAGCTTAAGACTCTTCAGTTAATTTGAGTTCCGAGGCTGCTTGGTTGAAGTTGTTTGATTTATACATATTAATGCTGAACAGGAATTTCTGCAAGCTAGGCAAGGACAGCTTTATGATGTCGAGTTTGCAGCTTCCAGTCTCTGCTCCGGGCAGGCTTCATTAAGTAACTGTATACAGTGGATCAGAAACCTGAGATTCCTTGAAAATTAAGCCAGAATCTGTTATAGCTCAGTTTACAGGATTCTAGTGGCTCTATGCTATCACAAGCATGTATTAGAACAAGGGTGGGCAGTAGGTAGATCAAACCTACTAGCAGAGAGCCAGATAATTTGAAAAAGATTGACATGGGTTTCTGACTTCCTCTTGTGTAATAATGGGGGGGGGGTATTTTCCCCTTCCCTCAATTAGGCTGCTGAAGTCAATGTAGCTTGTGAGTAAACCAGAAATAGGTATGTGTGTGTTTTTTTTTGGGGGGGGGGTTGAAATCTCTGCTCTGTAGTAGCTCAGATATAGCTTTGTATAGGCTAGTCACCCATTGTATGACTCATAGGGTACATGTATATATTCCAACACCACTTTGCACTTGAAGTTCTAACGAAAAGCAGGCCAGGGAGGGGAGTATACACCCTGTGAACCCGAATATATACTTTTATGGAGTAGTAGAATTTTGCACCTGATCTGAGAATTATCCCATTCAGAGGATGTGTGGCATTTCCCTTTGATAGCAGTAAGACCATTTCATTGAGAGATGTGTTGGTAATGGAACATTAAAAGACAGCATTCTGCACCTACCAGCATCAGAGCCTTTCTTCATGTTCATTTCTTTCAGGGGACATGACATGCAGGAATCCAGTCTTGAAAGGCTGCTGGAATTAAGATGCAACCAATGCTTTCAGGCCACAGCAGACATAACTGCAATCAGGATGTAATGCACCTACTGGTCCGTTGCTATCTGCCAGCTGAAACCTATGAACTAGGGACCAAGAACCTGGCACCCTCCAGATTCTCTTGTACTACAGTTCCCATCATCCACAGTCCCTGGTTATGCTGGTTGAGGCTGATGGGAGCTGTAGTCCAACATTTGGAGGGCCATAGTCCCCCTGTTATAAACCATTCTCCAGTCATGCGTGGCTTCTGTTGTGCCAAACCGCCACCCCCCCCCACAAATACCGATCACTGACTGCTCAGACATAACATTTGCAACACTGATTGAGTTGGGATTCTTAGAACCTGATGGATGCTTGTTTGTTGGAAAGTGGTGCAAAACGTGGAGACAATTCCATGTTGTGCGTCTGGAGTACAGTTAGGCAAATTAAGAATATATGGAACTGCCTGATGGAAGCGCTTCTAGACATGGACAATTTAACAGCACCAAATCTTTGCTCTTCTGCCTGGAATTGGAACAACAACTGTGCTTTCAGACTCAGGTTCTTCTTACAATCATAAAATTGCAGTTGGAAGGGACCATGGGGGTAATCTAGTCCACCCCCTGCAAAGCAGGAATCTTTGGCCCAACATGGGGCTCAAACCCATGACCCTGAGATTAAGATTCTCATGCTCTGCCAACGGAGCTATCTCTGCTTTTATGGAACCTTTCCCTAGCAAATAAGTCCCGCCTATTTTTCTTGGTTTTTGAGAGAGCTCTGAAGAGGTATATATATATCTATTAATTTCAATCTGCATATGATTGATGGTTGGGCTTTAAGCAATTGTCCATGCTCATTTTTACAGTGATTTATACCTTGTTGTTTTTATATAGTGTTATGTTGTGTTACGGATTATTTTTTTTGTATACCATCTTTTGAGGGCAATGTACTCTGAAAGGTAGTTTAAAATTAAATATTTTGTGGGGAAGGGGTTAAATACTGCTTTCCCCACCCTCACTGCACTCCCAATTCTTCCTCTATTTTTTAATTATTATTTTTTGGAGCAGGGCAGGGAGAGAAAAGAAACAGAAATAAATGAACACTGTTTGGAAAGGGAAGAGGTACAAGTAACAGAGTTGATTCCTAGAGAAGAGAGGTGGACTATATAGAGAAATAAAAGTCTGCAGCAATCAATACAGGCCATATCCAGCCAAGGAAGCTACTAAATAGCAGCACAATGGGCCAGCTGCTCCTGGGGAAACTAGATAACTGTTCCATTGTGGGGGTTTTCTGTGGGTTTTCTTTTAAGAGTTGGATTATCGGCACACACAAAAATGGAAGCTAAACAGGGAAAAAACACATGGGAGGAGCATGTCATCATGCAGATACACCATAAAAGTAGGTGAACACGGTGTGGCCATTCCTCCACAGTGATTGCTCAGAGTGGAAGCCCCTATGAAGTCAGATTTCTGGGTCCATCTAGTCCACACCAAAAGGTAGCAACTGGTACCTGTCCTTGGGCAGCCTCTGCCTCTGGTTTGCATCCATGTCAGGCAGCACCATACATCCTTTGCACACAACTGTACTCCAGCACCAAATGTGGAGTTCTTCAAGAGGAGAAGATGAAGACTATCATGAGCCCAACTATTTACAGTGAAGATGAAGAGGACCACAGAACCCACACCACACAAGACAGCAGCAATCCAAGAAACAGTTCCTTTGTTAGCTTTCCCTCTAAAACCCTTGGGTCCTGGTGATGAGTTAGCTACTAGGGGGCTCAGTCCCAATGCAGTTAAAGTTTTACAAACACTTCCTGTTTCCATCTGAATGAGACCATTAGGGTGGGAACAAATAAGAGGTAAAGAGGTCTGGCTCCATAGAGATGCAGGAAAGAGCATCCCTATTTCTGGATCATGCTCCTGATATCCAGGTGGCAACCATCAGGAGGGTGTGTGTGTTTTTCACTCTGTCCTTTAGCTTCAGGAGCTTGCTATCACTGGCCATCCTTCTGGCCCAGACAGGAATAGGAAGGACCACCTTCAGTTTGCAGTATGGGAAGAAGACAGGGAAGGAAACCCTTTGTAGGCCAAAGAGATGGAAACACACACACAGAGGCCAGGAGAATGCCAAAACTGTTACGATAAGCAGTAAACCAGCGAAGAGGCAGAAACCTCAACAGGCTTATTAGATCTCCCCACCCAGGAGGGAGGGAAGAGAGAGACACCAGGCCACACTGAAAACCAACCATTCCCCATCAGAAGGATCAGTAGAATGAATATTGGTTCTCCACGGCTCTGGTTCTGTTGCGCGAGCCCTCGCTTTCATGGTAATCCTCTGCCCCAATGGCGGCAGAATCGAACAGGCGCTCGGTGCTGTTGCTCCGGCTTCGGGCGCTCAGGGTCCCCTCCATCCGATGGTACAGCGAGTGGCTGGCCGAGGAGGAGGAAGAGGAAGTGGTGCCCTCAGAAGGGGAGGCTGGCTGGAAGGTGACAGGGACAAAGCTGGAGAAGTAGTGTTGCGACTGCAGGTCGTTTCTGCAAGTGGGCTGCTGAGAGGCCACAGCGGGGGACGGGCTGACCTCTGAAACAGGAAAAGGAAGGAAGTTGTCACAGACATCAGCAGCCACACAGCAGTGGACCTGACCTATGCAGATCCCTGGTTTTTCAAACTGAAGTTTTACAATCACATATCCAACATACATCATAAAAACAAGATTCCAAAGAATCTCCTAGACTTCCCTCCTCCCCTTTGTGGGACCTACTGTTAATCATTTCCTCCTGCATCTTTTATAATAATCCAAATCTTTTACATCTCCATTATATCCAAAATTCACCATTAAACTACAAGTGTTATTCCAATCCTACTAACGATTTTAACTGTTTACAATGATTTTTAAGATAAATTATAAATTTCCCCATTTCTTTTTAAAAATTTGGTCTCCCTGATTTCTGATTCTTCCAGTCATTTTTGCCACTTTGGCATAATCCATCAACTTGATGTGCCATTCTTCTCTGGTCAGGACTTTATCTTCTTTCCATCTCTGGGCCAATAACATCCGCACAGCTGTGGTCACATACATAAATAATATTTTCTGTTACATTGGGCCATCTACTGTATTTTGATTAAGGGCCATCAATGTTTTTTAAACACTGAGGACTGGCCTAGTTCACTTCATCAGATGGGATAAAGTGTTATCCAGACTTCCACAGATACGCACAGTGTGTGTTTGCATGTGTGGCAGGACAATATTTCATACATTTGATGAAGTGAACTGTAGGCCCACAAAGGTTTAAGCCATAACAACACTGGTTAAAGTCTTCTAGGTGCCACGAGACTCTAGCTTTTGTTGCATGAGACTAACCCCATGAAGACAGCTGACCACAGACGAATTCTCTGTGGTTTTCATTCTCTGCTCAGGCAGGCCTCAGCTGGGGTTGACACAGAAAGAATGGGGATTTAACCTACCTGGCAAGGGACTCTGGGCCACCACGTAGCTGCGGAGTGTTATATCAGCGGAACCGCCTGACTCCAGGGGTATGGGGTGCATGTGAAAATGCCTCAGCATATCAAATATAGTCTGGAACCAGAGATGTTGGACGTGGCACTGGCCGTTTTCATTCAAGGACAGGCGCAGGTGCTGTAAGAGATTAGAAGGTGAATGAATGAATGATTTTTAACCAGCTACCACAGAATCGTAAAATAATATTGTAGGAAGGGAGACCAATGGTCATCTAGTCCAACCCCCTGCAATGCAGGAATCATAGCTAAAGGATCCTGACAGATGGCCATCCAATCTCTGCTTAAAAACCTCCAATGAAGGAGAGTCTGCCACGTTCCAAAGCAGTCTGTTCCACCATCTAACAACTCTTACCATCAGATAGTTCTTCCTAATATTTAGTCAGAATCTCCTTTCTTGCAATTTGAATCCATTGGGTTCAGGTCCTAATCAATGGAGCAGCAGAACACAAGCTTGTTCTGTGTGGCAGCCCTTCAGATACTTAAAGACCACTTGCATCATATTGTTGTGTTTTGATCTGTGCTTCCAATGTCTTTTTTAATCTTATTTGTGCCTATTTCAGAAAGAGCTGTTATTTCCAAGAAAGCTCTGAGCCGGAACTTTAATAATTTAGAATACTTATATCCCAATTTTATATTTCCCCCAAAGTTCTTAAATCGGCTTTTGAAAGGTTGACACAATACAGACACATTCAAGTGTAGCATCAGGAACGGAAGTAAGATGGTGCCGATGCAAAACAGACCAAACCTGAGGGGATCACTGCTGTCTTGGAACTTCTCACTGCTCAGAGAAGTAGAGTGAGCATACTAACAATTCATTTTAATTTCAGTAAGCTAAATTTGAGGTGGCGCCAACAGAACAGGATGGGAGAACATGGGGCTTCCATTGATCTGCCAGCTTTGCATCTGCTTGATGCATGCAAATGAACACATATCCCTCACTCAACTACCCCAAGTAGTGGCAAAGAATCAAGGGCTGTTGTGCCTGCAAGACACGTTGCAGCATTCCCACTGCCTCCCCCTCTGTTATTGGGAGCAGGCAAGGCAGCCGTGTCTTTAGATTTTGGCTGCTTTCCTCTACCTGGCACTCATGAAGCTCTCCATGCCAGACACCAGGCAATTAACAAGCCAAAGTAGTCATCGTGGTTTTGGTTGGTGGTTTCTAAGCCTCTGGCTGTTTTACTATTTTATGCCTATGTACAGGCATGTTGCCAAGTTCCAGTGACTCCTTTCAACCGGAAGGTTTATTCCCCATCCCTGAAACTACATTTGCAACCAAAACCTTTCAGCGGCAATGCAGATCAGCTTGGAGCTGGAGAACTGCTGCCAATCAGGGTAGACAATACTGAGATAGATGGGCCAGCAGTATAAAGGCAGGTTCCTGTGAACCAAGAAGTCATCAAATCTTAACTTTAAATGCTCAAGGCAGGCTAACAGCTAGGGAAACACAACTGTTGTAGCTCCAGGATAAAACCAAAACGGTCCCTTGACAAGTTGGGACCAATTTCCTTAAAGGATTGCCTTGCCCCTTACATGCCCACCATTTCAGGTGCCACATAATATTAATTCTGCACTTGTAAGAAACTGAACTTTTAGCTTGGCAGCATCTACACTTTGGAATCCCCCCCATAGACCCCAGACAGACACTTTCATTGTTCTCTTTTCGGAGCCAGCTAAAAACATTTTTGTTCAGGCAAGCCTATCCCGACACGCGGGTGTGTTTTAGTCTGCTTTGGGCTATTGCCAATTTTAATTCTATTTCAAATAATAATAATAATTACTGATGTTAACTCTTGTCTTTTGTTGACAATTTTAATGTTCGTTCTATTTTTATGTCTGTAAACTGCTTAGAGGTTTTGCATACAATCAAGCAGCACTTTTGCTTTATTTATTAAATGTATTGATCACTTTTCTACCAAGGTAACTCAAAGTGACTTAGAATATATTTAAAAATGCATATATTATAACTGCGTTAAAATCTACAAGACAATCCAGATGATTAAAAGCCAAAAACACTCATGCCTGGTGGGAAATGCATGTTATTGGCTGGTACCTAAAGCTAAGCCATGATGGTGTCAGGTGAGCCTTCCTGGGGAGAGAATTCCACAAGCAGGGAGCTGCCATAGAAAGTCTCTTCTCATGTTGCCAACCTCCAGACCTCCCATGGAAGAAGGGCCACAGCTGAGAGTATATTTTTATAAATTTTGTTATAAAGATCCATCCATTCATGAATAATGGTCACCTGCCTTGGCTTTCCCCTGGAAGTTAAAGGTCAGCACATATTCGCCTGGCCGTGTTTCACTCTGTCGAATGACAAACAGCCCATGGCTTCTGGCTCCACCGAACAGGACCAGCTGAGCAGCTTTGACCCGTGATAGCGTCCCATGGAACCAAGGGAAGTCCAGAAGGTTGAGCTCCGCTTCCGTCTCGCTTTCCTCCCCTGTCCCAGTTGAGAGAAGAAGGAGGAGGAAGTCAAATGCTGGAATATTATGTTCCAAATTCTACTGCAAGGAAGTGAGATTCTGCAGGTGGGTTATTCATTGAAGGTGTGTTCTGCAGCATGTTCTTGACATAGTAGCAAGCCACCAGTGGTGGATTTATTCTGCTTGTAGTTTGTTTTGCAGTGCTTCCCGAATGCTAACACATTCTTGCTGTTTGGAGGGGCTATAGCCTAACTAAACTAAAACCAGAACCTTTGAGCTATAAAAAGTTAAGGGATTTCATCAGGAACTTACAGGATATGCACTGACTGGAAATGAAGCAGTGTGGCCACCCTAAAACATCTGCAGGAGGGTGTCCTTTCACAATGCAGGCTCTCCAGTGAGGAAAGTTGTATTTGTATGGCAGATGTGTTTTGCCAAATTCACAGATCACATTTTTAGGTGAATGTAACCTATGAGTCAGAACCATGTGATCTTGCTTTGGGATTACCTTCAGTTCTGAAAATTGGTACAAGTGTGGAATATAAATAATTAGGAACATTGGCGAGCACACAAACACCCGCACCCACACACACCAGCAAACCATCTGAACCGTTGGAAGGATGCATGCTATTCCATTTAACTGCAAACCTTGTGTAACTGATCTGGGCACAGCACACACATGCACAGAGCTTTGATTTGACATAGCAAGCTGCCTGATACCAGGTCAGACTGTTCATTTGTCCAGCCCAGTATTAAAGACCTGCCTCACTCAGCTACCCCACTAGACCTCCCCTGTTCAACCAAATTGGAAGCCACACCAAACTTGCCATAGCTGAGGGCTGTCCCGGGAAGGAGAGCTCCAGAAATGAAATTAGCACTCTGTCTGGAAAATGAGCAAAACTGAAGCACCTGTATCAACAGTGGGCCAACAGAGTACAAAGTACACAATTCCAAATAACAGGAAAAAAAAGTGTTATGGGGAGCAGGGGAGAGCTGTTCACATTTCTTCCAGGAAACACGGTACCTGCAGGATGGCTACCAGTAGCTGATGACTCCAAAGTCTGTAGGAAGTTATCCAATGGGACATGAGCTCTGTATTCTCCTGCAGAGTCCCTGATCCGACCATGCGGTGCTGTGATAACAGTGGCAGGATTTGGCATAGTGTCTGGGGCAGCAGAGCCTGCACATCTGTCCTGAAACCGGGAGGTATCTGGAAAAAGAATTCCGCTCTTAAAAAAACCCCCAAAATCCATTCTCAAGGCTTCAAACAACTTCTCTCTTTTTCTGCAAAGTAATTCCTGCATTGGACCACATGGCCCTAGGGGTGTCTCCCAACTCTACAATGCTATGATTCCAATTCACGTGTTGTCATTAGCATTTTTATCCCACTCTTCAGCCAGAAAAGGTTCTCAGAGCAACTTACAAATATCCCTGCCTTCAGCTCTTCACATTGTAAGAGACACAATACAAAAGGAAAAGGAAGTAGGAGGGAGCAGGAAAACATCAAGCTCAAGCTCAGATACTTAGTTACAAGTGTTATCATGTCACCAATGGGTATACATTCTGCGTTTATTGATTTTTTTTGGGGGGGAGGGAGGGAGTAAAGTTTCATTAAATCCTAAGATATCTGTTTGAGCGGGATTATAGCAGGACATAAGAAATGGGCGTGTGTACCCCAAGCAACACAGACTCTATCAAACTACCAGGAAAAGGGAGTTAAATAAAATTGCTGTAAGTTGTTTTGGTGATTTGGAGGTTTAATCCAAAATCAAGTAAGATTTAAGCTTGTTTGTGTCTCTGGTATCCTCTCTCCTATATTATGGATGTATGTTCTGTACTATTTTATTAATACTATTGCTGCAAGTTTGTCATGGCCTTTGGCTAGGACAATAAACTTACAAACTTGAACTTGTACTACCTTTTAATTCAACTAAAAAACACACACCCAAATGTCTTTCTCCAATCATAGAAAAGCCTCTTTTTTTTGTATGCATGGGTTATTGGGGCCAGAGTTAACACATTAAAAAGTAAATAAATCTGATTTAAAAGTCTTGTTACCACCAGCCAGGAACTCGCAGCTACAAGAGGACACTCTGCTTGGCAGGCAGGCCCCCTGGGTGCAGGAGGAGAGTTCGATGTCGTCCCCACTGTCTCTGGAAGAAACGAGCAAGATACAAGATATTGCACCAGTGACTCTCTGCAAGTATATGCATACATCTTTTTTTTTTTTAAGTGTCAGTGTTCTGGATTCACTGATCTCTCAAATGAAAGAACAGCTGTTTTAGACGCACCAGACCATGTACCATAAACAAACCCCCTATTGCTAACATCTCTCCTCCTGCCTCAGGTGAGTGGAGACTCCAGCAGAAGCCTCCATGGCTTCAAGAAGGGCCCTAGCTGGAATGAAGGGCCTAGGTGATGTGGTTCCTCTTCATCCGGCAACATTTCTACTGAATTATGTAGAAGGATCAATATGGAAAGTACATAAGGAAATGATCTCTCAATCTGTTAGCAGTTGCCAAAATTTTATATGCTGGCAAATGGAGAATGGCAACAGTCCCAATGGTCAAAGAATAGCACAATAAAATGTGCGGCTATACAATAATGGCAAAGTTAGCTTATTATATAAGGTTTACGGAATACAGTTACAGACAAAATATTTGCATGTTAAGATGGAAGAAATATGTGGATTATTGTAGGTTTTACTGAGTATTTCTAAGTGTTTGTTACTGGTTCTCAGTGTTCTGAGGAGGAGGATAAGAACTGCAGATTTTTGTTGCTGTTTAATCTGTCTTTTTTGTGTTGATATGTATGGAAGATTAAACATTGAATACAATACTTAAAACTGAAAAAAATGCCTATATGTTTACCACTAATTTGGGGGTACCATTTGGAGGCTAATGAAAATCAGGATCTTGAAAAATATTCTGAATAAAATCCCTGTGGAGCAGTACGAGTGCCGTACTGCCATATGCCTATCGCCATTTACACAACAAGCTTTTCTGAACTTCAAGGGCACTCATTCAGCAAACCCAATCTCAGCGCCCCCTGCCATCTTACCCAGGATCTATGCAGTCTTGTATATCTGCCACCCAGGAGTGTTTCTGCAACGAATCAATCGTTTCCAAGATATACTCAGCACCGTTTTCTACCTGGATGAAAAAAACACAAGAGGGAGGGAAAAGCCATTCTTTGTGGTATCTTAAAACAAAAAGACATCCTTCATCTCTCCACATTCCCACACACATGTGCAAAGACTCAACGGGATCCAGGATTCACCCTTAGAAAAGTATGAAGTGATAAAATGATTCCTCAGATCAAGAAAAGAGTGTGTTTCTCCCACCAGCTAGCACCTGGAGTCTCACATGTCCCTTCTTATTGGAGGCAATTATAACACACCATTTTATTGTGTGCATTTCTCTCTCTACTATACGGCTGGGAGAAAGGCAGATGTTCAGGTGTGTGGCCTAGAGGGGAGGCTTTGTTTTGAGAGGAGCAACATGCCCCCAAAGAGAAATACATGTTGGGTGAGGGAAGGGACGATGTTCCCTCCCCTAAATGAAAGGTTAAAACCTGGGTAGGAGAGGGAAGGGGTCAGGGTCTGCCTAGGGAGTTTAAAGTGTGGTGAGGCAAACTTGGTTTGACTCCCCAGCTTCCTCCATCCTAGCCTAGAAGCTGCGGAGATAAATGGCTTCCCAACATATGCTCAAAAGAACGGTGCGATAGGAAACTGGAGGAGCGAGAGGAACATGGGAGCATTGTATAGAGAGGTATTTTACGGATTGATGGGACTCTTAGCATGCCCTACACTGCAAAGCAGGTGGAGGACAGAGGCAGCTCCCTGCCACCTTAGAAGGGGGTACAGGTGGATAGCTAGAGATGAACCTGGGGTAAAATGGAAGGGTTTGGTGATGTGGAGACAAGTTACTCAGGCAGTCTTGAATCTCCAGCTCTCCCAGTTGAAACAGAGAGGGAAACTGAGGCAGGGATGGCAAGTGAGCAGAAGGGCACCCCTTAGTTTTAAAAAAACTGCTGGTTTTGCCCATATTTTGACAATCTTCTTTGTATATACAGTGGTACCTTGCTTGTCAAACAGCTTGGCACCCTAACAAATTGGCTCCCAAACACCGCAAACCTGGAAGTCAGTGTTCCAGTTTGCAAATGTTTTTTAGAAGCTGAACGTCCGACGCGGTTTCTGACTGCGTGCAGGAAGCTCCTGCAGCCAATCAGAAGCTGCACCTTAACTTTCAAACGGTTCCAGGAGTCGAATGGACTCCTGGAATGGATTAGGTTCAACAACCAAGGTACCACTCTGTGTGTGTGTGTGTGTGTGTGTATATATATATATATATATGTGTGTGTGTGTGTGTGTGTGTGTGTGTATAAGGTTTGGTGTTACTGGTTTTTTTAATGCATTTTAAAATTAATTTTCAATATTGACATAATACTAACCATAAAAAGAAATAAACAAGGGAAGAGACAATAGATATTTTAAGCACAGTATGTGCAAACATAGGGATTATATCTGACAGCAAAAGCAAAACAGAAAGAAAAAACCCGCTAGAAAAGAAAATACAGTGGTAGGATGAGATTTATGAGGATAATAAAATCTTAATATCTGGAAATATGGTCTGACCACCAAAGGAAGATGGTCATTTAGTGGATGGCTAGTACAGGTTGGGTTAGAAAGGTTAAAAGAGACCAAGTTTCCTCAAATTAATTCTTTTTTTTTGCTCCGGCTAAGCTTGTTCTTTTGGGTCAATTTATCTCGCACAGCCAATTTCCAAACTTTACACCACCAACAACCTTCTAATGTAAAAATAGAGGAGTGGTTCCAGTGATGAGCAATTTCTATTTTGGTTGCTGCTAAAAGCAACAAAATTACTTGATTCATTTCCTCAGGAACAACAGAAAACAGAGTTGAAACTGGGGTTCTAAGGAATAACCTGAGAGGCAACAGAAGAATTTGGGGGGGGGGGGGCAAAACCCACATCCAAAAAGAGTGTACCATGGAGCAAGTCCACCATATGTGAAAGGAAGTACCCAACCCTAGACGACCTTTCCAACACTTGTTGGAAGACCCTGGGTCCATGTGAACCAATTTCAGCATCACTTTTATCACAGATCCCTTAACTTTGGAAAAACAACAACACACACCTTAATAGGGGTTTCTGCCATACCACTTTGCAAAGACTTATCACTGATAGTTCCAAGTCATCTTCCCAAAAAGCTTTTAAACTCACATTAGATTTCATGAAACAGGACCCCAAACCTTGATAAATGATACGATTCCACCCTTGAGATTTCCCCCAGAAATATGTAAGTTTTCAAAGAATGCCAACTATCTCAATGAATCCCCTGTATGAACTATATGTCTAGCAGACAAGTGAATTTGAACTAGCTGGAACCATGAAGGTGTCACATCCTCCGGTTTTTCTAAAAGCTGGGGTGCGCTCGATGGTCTAAAAATACCCTTGGATTCCCAGCCCCTAAATTGTGCACATTTATCAGAATCTTTAAAACTGGAATGCTGTGTTAAGGGAATTAAAGGTGTTTACTGGTATTTTTAATGAATATTTTATATTGTTCTCTGTAAACTGCTTTGAGGTTTTTGTCCATTTCGTGGTATATAAATCTTTTTATAAACCGTTAAAAAGAATAACAATGCAAAGGCTAACCACATCACATCTCGTTTTGGCTTCAAATTTCAACTGATGCAAAGGCAATAATTCACCAATGATTGTTGCTGGACTGGGGCAGGAAGATTGAGAAAAGTAAATTTAGCCAGTAAGATGCCCCACCTCATCTCTCATCTCCAGGCCTCTCTGTATCCTATCCTCATCCCATGAATGCTCTCTATAAATTCAGGAAGCTGGAAAATTAATTTGGATGGGGGGGGAGGACCTCCAAAAACCAGAAACAAATGAAATCCATTCCCCCAAATCCATTTGTGCAAACACAAAGCAAATGTCAACGTTTTCGTTCATCACAAAAGTGCCTTTTGTCCACCCTGACAGAGAGCTTGGATGGAAGTTTGCATAAGTTCGATTTGCCAAGGAACTGCTCATGCAGCAGCTAGGCCAGTCTCCATGACAACCCGGCCTGCCCGTAGGGCATCGTTTCATCCCTGAGTTGGCTCTTCAGAAAAGGGAGCCCAGCGCTTACAGGGAGGCAGGCGGTGCAATTTTAATGAAAGGGTAAAAAAAAAAAAGGAGGATGCGGGTGGCGCTGTGGGTTAAACCACAGAGCCTAGGACTTGCCGATCAGAAGGTCGGCGGTTCAAATCCCTGTGACGGGGTGAGCTCATGTTGCTCGGTCCCTGCTCCTGCCAACCTAACAGTTCAAAAGCAGGTCAAAGTGCAAGTAGATAAATAGGTACCGCTCCGGCGGGAAGGTAAACAGCGTTTCCGTGCGCTGCTCTGGTTCGCCAGAAGCAGCTTAGTCATGCTGGCCACATGACCCGGAAGCTGTACGCCAGCCCCCTCGGCCAGTAAAGCGAGATGAGCGCTGCAACCCCAGAGTCGGCCACGACTGGACCTAATGGTCAGGGGTCCCTTTACCTTTAAAAAAAAAAAGGAGCGCTCATCACGCAAGGAGGGTAGAAGGGCGAAAACTGGACAACGCTTTGAAATAGTGCATCTGCCTCTCCCTTTTGCAACAGGCTTTCAGAAATGGAGGAGGAGTGTGAGACAGACTTGGAGATCTGGGTTTGAATCATGTTTAATGAAAGGTTACCAGACGTCCCCGTTTCTCAGTCCTCACACAAAATCCACTGAAGTTGAAAAGTGTCCCTGGATTCATTGAGAAAAATCTGGTAACCTTAGTTTAATGGACTGCTGACTGCAAATAAAGAAAGTAGGCACCAGTGGCTGATGTGCCAAACACCTGGCTACACAGGGGGCTTCTCTACCTAAGGTGCCTTACCTTCAGCACAAAGGTGTTATCCTTGTCTGGCATCTCCAAGGGCATAGTTGTGCGCACCTCGATAATGGCCGACAGAGGGATGCTGACCTTCGCTTTGGAAGCCTGGAGGCCAAAAGAGAGAGGGAGTTAAAAAACAAAAAAAGTATATGACAATTGTTTTAGAAATAATAGTTTTCCTCAGGAGATAGCAGAGGCTTGTTCACAGGAAGGAAGGCTGTTCACATGAAGGCAACGTTATTAAAAATGCGATTTCCCTAATCTTCTCCAGCGACGCCAGAATCTTTTAATTAAAAGTACAGCACCCACTGGGAAATAGGAGGAGGAATAGGGAACATTTCATTTACATATTTTCACACACTGCTGTGTTCCAACATCAGCAATAATTTTACATTTCTAAACTTCTTTTTTTTTAAAGTCCTTGAACAGATAAACAGAATTTAACTATTGAAAAACTCCCATTAATAAAAAAGGTAAAAGCAGCCACAAAGAGCTAAGGAAGGGCAAAAGATTGTAAGAGGAAATATAAAAGGCTTTTTTTACACACACACACACACACACAGAGAGAGAGAGAGAGAGAGAGAGAGAGAGAGAGGGAGGCAGGCTGGTACAGGTAAGCTAAGATGGACTTTACCCGTCAAAAAGGTGTTCTCCTGAGTAGTCTGATCAGAATGAGTGATCTGCTGCAGGCAGCTATTTTTCTCCAATCCCATTCATTTGATAGGGCTTACACCCAGTAAATTGTATTCATAGAAAACTGAGCTCTGTTGGGTTTTTTTGTTTTTTAACATATTTTTTATTCTGAACTCTGTTGTTGATGATGGACAGTAATAACATAATGGAGTGTGACAATCAATCAATCAATCAATCAATCAATCAATACAGAATCCACATCCAGGACTCACATTTTCTGCCCTGAAATCGTATCCTCCATGGTAACATAAATGAAATACGAGTGGGTTGGTGGTTTTGTTTTGTTTTGTATATACTATTTCCAAATGCCCAACAGGAGTACTATCTTTAATTTCTTTTATAGCACCTGCTAGCTGAAGAGGGCAATGTCTCTGAGCGTGTACAAACTGCCTATCCAGCAATGTTCAGTGGGTGACCACAAGAAATGCTGTGCTGCTACTGAAAGCAGCAACCAGACATGTCACTCCTTTTCTCTTTGCAATGTCAAGTAGAACTTACCCGGGTTATAACGCCAGGACATTTTGCATCTCCCCTGGCCAAACTGGTTCACAGTCAATTATATGCAACAGCAGCTGGGAAATAGAGAACCTAGAACCCTGGACAATATGAAATAGATATCTTCCAACTCTACAATTTTGGGATTCTGTGATTCCTCTTAATCAGGTGCACACCAATCTCCTCATCGGCAAGTAACAAGACCCCCATGTGAAACTTTGACCAAGTTGCCAGAGGAAAGCTTTTGCCACTGCCACCTAGAACAGAAAAACATTCTACACCGATGCCACTGAACAATCTACTACATCTTCATCTGCTAGGTCAGAGGAAGTCACACATTTAGTATGAAAATATTGTGAAACTGTTTTGAAATGTCTTTTATAGTATGGAACTAGTATAGTATGGAACGCGGGTGGCGCTGTGGGTTAAACCACAGAGCCTAGGACTTGCTGATCAGAAGGTTGGCGGTTCGAATCCCTGCGATGGGGTGAGCTCCCGTTGCTCGGTCCCTGCTCCTGCCAACCTAGCAGTTCAAAAGTACGTCAAAGTGCAAGTAGATAAATAGGTACCGCTCCGGTGGGAAGGTAAACGGCGTTTCCGTGCGCTGCTCCGGTTTGCCAGAAGCTGCTTAGTCATGCTGGCCACATGACCTGGAAGCTGTACGCTGGCTCCCTCAGCCAATAAAGCAAGATGAGTGCCGCAACCCCAGAGTCGGTCACGACTGGACCTAATGGTCAGGGGTCCCTTTACCTTTTTAGTATGTCTTTCTATATACATAGAAGTGTAAGGCTGTCATCGCACAGTCTCCATAGGAGCCACATCACAATCCTGGATCTGCAAGAAGCCAGGACGCAGTGGCGGGTGGAGAGGTTGGTAGGGTTAGGCAGAGTTGATGAGTACTGCAAGGAGAAGTGGAAGCCCCTAGTATAAAACACTTTGCTTGATGTATTTATACTTTCGGTTGTTTCCCACCCCCATGCTTTCTTGTGAACTGCTTGAGTGTAGCATCATCATCATCATCATCATCTATTATTTATACCCAGCCCATCTGGCTGGGTTTTCCCAGCCACTCTGGGCAGCTTCCAACAGAGTATTAAAAACACGATAAAACATCAAACATTAAAAACTTCCCTAAACAGGGTTGCCTTCAGAGGTCTTCTAAAAGTCAGGTAATGGTTTATTTCCTTGACATCTGATGGGAGGGCGTTCCACAGGGCAGGCACCACTACCAAGAAGGCCCTCTGCCTGGTTCCCTGTAACCTCACTTCTCGCAGTGAGGGAACTGCCAGAAGGCCCTTGGAGCTCGACCTGAATGGTGGTGGTGGGGAGACGCTCCTTCAGGTATACTGGGCCAAAGCCATTTAGGGCTTTAAAGGTCAGCACCAACACTTTGAACTGTGATCGGAAACGTACTGGGAGCCAATGTAGGTCTTTCAGGACCAGTGTTATATGGTCTCAGCAGCTGCTCCCAGTCACCAGTCTAGCTGCCGCCTTCTGCATTAGTTGTAGTTTCCGGGTCACCCTCAAAGGTAGCCCCACATAGAGTGCATTGCAGTAGTCCAAGCAGGAGATAACTAGAGCATGCACCACTCTGGTGGGTAGGTAGGGTCTCAGCATAAGCATCAAAGCAGTAGGAAAACAAAAGTAACAGAGTTTTTAGGGAGAAGGGCTCCCAGTTTAGCGAAGTTTGTGTGTGAGGAGGGGTGTGTGAAAGAGGGGAGGGGACTTCAGTCCACACTTCTCTTTTCCTAGGGATAAATTAAGCACTGGCCCAGAGAGCTGCTTTAAGCAACCTGTCCACGACCTCCTCCTTGGGGATGGGAGAAAGGTTAGAAGGGAATGAATGGAAACAAGATCTCTTGCTTGTTTGGCAACAGCCAGAGAGCAGGCACCATAAAAGGGTTTCACCGAAATGGGATTTTCCATGCGCCCTTGTCCGGTCCCCCCTGCAGAGTGACAAATTCCCTTCGGCTCAATTTACAGAGACGCCGTGATGAGCGAGGGAAGGTTTCGTGCAAGGCTATGCTTGAACCCGGAGCAGGCACACAGGCTGCAGGCATGAAACCGCGTACGGCTGCTGTCTGTTTCACACCCAGCTGTCACAACAGCTGGTCTAGCAAGAAATCCAGAGAATGGCCAAAAAGGAAACACGCTCCACAAATCAGCAGCAAATAAGCCGCTGCGGTCACAGAGCGGTTTCTCGATACCAAGAGAAACTGCAGGGTGTGTGGAAAGACACCGGAAGGCTATAGGGACATAGGAAGCTTCCTTATACAGAATTAGATCAAGGGTCTGTCTAGCTCTGCATTGCATAGCCCTGGTCTACTCCAACGGGCAGCAGTTCCCCAGAGTTTCCACACAGGGATCTCTCACACAGCAGCTCTCCCCACTTGGGAGATGCCATCGGGGACTGAACTTGGGTCCTTTCTGCATGCAAATCATTGCTCCGTTACTGAGCTGTAACCCTTCCCCAATGATAATAGAATTCAGCTCCCCTGAAAATCCTAACTTGTATTTTCCTTTTTTTTAAAAAAAGCAAGCTGCTAGCCCCTATTGTTTCTGTTATTTTTATCATTGCTTGGATTTGCCTCCCACATGTTTAAGGCCGCACTGGAATTCCCTGGGCAGCTCGGCCTCTCTGGCTAAAAATATATACTTGAACCTGTGGGCAACAGATGCCCACTGAAACTACAGAAGCCAGAGGGAGTGGCCAAACAAAATTTCCGCAGGGTCCAAGGCCTCCTGCCTGGGGACACCCAAAGAAGGCATCCTTACGCACCATGGTGCCCATGGGTGCCAGACTAGGGGGTGCCAGACTAGATCCAGACCTGCTTAGCTTGTAGCACTACAAGAAACTGGACCGGACCCCCTTTCACAAGTCACTTAGCATGACTGTGCTGACTGAGACTCATGGGAGTTGTAGTCCAAAACTGGAAGGCACCAGGTTGTTGTGTAGGTAGAAGGGGAAACTTTTAGGCATTTATAACAGAGCAATTGTGAGAGAAAATGACATCTGGAAACAAGCTACAAAGGGCGGGGGGGGGGGAGAGGCATGAACAAGCTTCTTATCTTCTGCCGCTTCCCAGACATTTAAAGAGAGACAATCGATTAAGGATAATAAAGCGCGCGCGCGCACACACACACACACACACACAAGATGTGGAAAAAATAAGACAGGAAAGGATTCAACAAAAGACAAAGCACCAGCCTGGCTGGCAGTAATTCCTTTTGTTTTTACATGCAGCCTTTTAGGAAGGAAATGGGCCCCCGGGTACTCAAGGGAGCAAACTGGCTCAATACTCCAGTAAAAGGATCTCCAGCACTGGAAGAGACTTTGGCCTGGGACCTTGCAGAACCACGGCCTTCTGAGCCAAAAACACTGGCCACGGGCCTGACTCAGTATACAGGATTATGTATTATTTATCGATTTCATTAGGGTTCCGTTCCATCTTTCCTCCCAAAAGGAGCCCAGAGTGGCATCAGCAAAACAATACAATGTGAATAATACAAAACTATGCAGCGCTTAGTTAAATTATGGAAACCAGTCCCACAGCAGGCCATGATGGCCACCAAGCTGGATGGCTTTAAAAAAGGGATTGGAGAAATTCATGGAGGAGAAGGCTGCCTGCTAGCCACAATGGCTATGCTCTGCCTTCATGGTCAGTTGCAACTGGTACCCGGCAGCAGCCAGTCATTCCATCGGGCTGTGGGAGAGATGACAAAAGGGGCTTGTTCCATGAGCTCAGCTGAAAAGCCAGCTCTATCAGGCACCTCCTGTCCCCGAGCTGTTTCTATGCCAGCTGGTCATTGCAAGAACTACTATTTAAAATTGGCACCCAAGTAACCTTACTGTATGTTGTGAAACATGGACCACTTATAAGTGCAGTCTCCAACTCCTTGAAAGATTCTATCAATGGTGTCTTCGGAAAATTTTACACATCACTTGGGAAGACAGGTGATCTAATGTCAGTGTACTGGAAAGATCACCAATGTTGAAGTAATGATTCTTTGACATCAACTTCGTTGGACTGGACATGTTGTTCGGATGCCTAATTATTGTCTTCCAAAGCAACTACTCTATTCCAAACTTAAAAATGGAAAGCATAATGCTGGTGGTTAACAAAAGAGGTTTAAAGACTCCCTCAAGGCAAATCTTTAAAAATGTAGTATAAACACTGACAATTGGGAAACACTGGCCTGTGAGTGCTCCAAGTGGAGAACAGCCTTTACCAAAGGTGTCATGGACAAACTCAGAACGAAAGGGAGAAACATGCTAAGAGGAAGGCATGCTTGGCAAACCCTCACCGTGACCAACTCCCGCCCAGAAACCTATGTCCCCACTGTGGAAGGGCGTGTGGATCCAGAATTGGCCGCCGCAGTCACTTACGGACTCACTGTTAAGATCAGGTTCATGGAAGTCAATCTTACTCAACTATGGTAAAGGTAAAGGGACCCCTGACCATTAGGTCCAGTCGTGGCTGACTCTGGGGTTGCGGCGCTCAACTCGCTTTATTGGCTGAGGGAGCCGGCGTACAGCTTCCGGGTCATGTGGCCAGCATGACTAAGCCGCTTCTGGCGAACAAGAGCAGCGCACAGAAACGCTGTTTACCTTCCTGCTGGAGCGGTACCTATTTATCTACTTGCACTTTGATGTGCTTTTGAACTGCTAGGTTGGCAGGAGGAGGGACCGAGCAACGGGAGCTTGCCCTGTCGCAGGGGTTCAAACCGCCGACCTTCTGATTGGCAAGTCCTAGGCTCTGTCATTTAACCCACGGCGCCACCCGCATCCCTGAGTGATCGCCAAAGAAGAAGACTCAGATACAAGCCATTTCAACTGGAAGTAGACTACAGAATGATGATTCCTTTCACCCTTCTTAGGGTGAAAGTTCACTTTGAGTGCAGAGAAGCATTCGGCTTCCGCTTCCCGATCTCTCTCCTTTGCTTAGTTGGCTTCTCTGCACCTGCAATCCGACGCTCACCCCATTGAAATAAAAGCAAACAAACCCAACACATACATATGAAAGGCAGGTTTTAGCTACGGAAGTCCTTACCTTGGGAGGAACGTAAAACTCGAGAAGGAACTTTTCTCCCTCCATCTTCACAGCTTTCCTTAGCAACAACCGACACTTTTGCCACTGAGAACTCCCCACACAGTTCGTATCGTCAGCGACCATGTAGCGGAGGGTCCCTTCCCTCTGAATGTCCACCAGATCCACCTTGGAAGACTGCCCCTTCGAAAGGCGCAGCTTGTGGGTCCATTTCTCCCTGGAATCGCCATGCTCCTTGTTCCCGGAGGGGCAGTGTTCCCTGTCGGACCGCCTGCTTTGTGTGGCTTCTGCACCGGGCTCTGGGGAAGACCTCCTGTGCCACATCTCCTTCATGCCATCCACCACGCACAAGCTCATATTCCTCAGGGAAAAGCCTTTCTTGAACTTCGGCTTGGAGGTGGCGTGGACGGAGACATCCTCCGAACTCCGGGATTGGCCGTAGGAGGAGACCTTCCGGGCCTGGACCTGCTGTGATTGGCTCAGATACCTGCCGGAGGAGACGGGGTTGTCCATGCTGTCGAGGGACTCCGTGGAGGCCTGCTCCTTCCTCGGCAGGAGGTCCTGCCCGTAAGGCATGTGGCAGTTCTGAAGCCCGACAAATGGCACGATGTTGTATTTGGTGGGGGAATTGGAAACGAACACCCTGTTGACTTCCAAGCTGAAGATGTCCAAGAAGTTGGCGGCAAAGTGGTGGGAGAAGGAGGTCTCTGCCCCGGGGGTGTCGTAGTGCGGATTCTCCTTCAGGAACTGGCAGAACTTTTGGGCAAAGTCCACTGCAGCGGCCTGGGCGTGCAGCTCACAGAATTCCCTCCAGTCGGGAAGCTGGGAGGGAGGATCTTGACAAAAGGCATCACCATTCATGACTGGTCCATTCCACCTGCTGGCAAACTGTCCAAAGGCAAGAAAGAGACAGTGAGAGATGGGCAGTCCTGTTCGACACCCCCACAGACACCCTGCTACTGCAGGGAGGCAGAACCCTTTTTTAGCCCGAGGGCCACATTGCCTTCTGGACTGCCTTCCAAGGGCCATATGGCATTCGTGCGGCAAAAACTGGAAGAAGAATGATTATGAATGTTATCTTTTGTGCAGTAGGCTAGCTTCGTCACCGTGATGCATCCCTCTTCATCCCCCACCCAGGCATGCAAAGAGTATTATTGTTACCTGCATTTATCAGTCGCTTTATACAGTAAAAATTCTCAAAGCAACTTGACAAGGTAAAATGCAACAACAAAAAAAGCTATTTAAAACCGGGGGCTGGGTGGGGAATCAGAGCGATGAACAATATAGAACATATAAAATGCTCATACAGCAACTTATTAATATGAACAAGTGTGGCCCACTCCACCAAGAGGTGAGAATCACTGTAAGAGACAACATTATTTAGCCAGGCCCCTAAAGATGGACAAGGATGGCACCAGGCATTTATCCCTTGGGAGAGCCTTCTACAGATGAGGGGGCCACCACTGAAAAGGCCCATTTCCTTCACACTCTCTCAGGTAGAACACACAGAGAAGGACATCTGATGAAGATCACAAGGGTTGGTTCATATGGGGAAAGGCAGTCTTTGATGTAATGCAGTCCTGAGCTGTATAGGGCTCTAAACATCAATCTAAGCACTTTTAAATCGAGACCCACCCTGACCTCTGGCTTCATCTTCCAAAAGAAGGTAGGAGCCAGTGCCTGACTCTCCTTTCTGGGTGGTGCAGAACTGACCCCCTTCCCAGCTGTATATTTAAGAGACTCCTTTGGGGTTGGATCCAGGTCACAGTGAGTGATCCCTAGGTTGGCCCAAGGCAGGCCAACCTGATTCAGGACCCATGGAATTGAGGCCATGGGTTGGGTGGGTGCTGCCCCCATCCCTAGTATTGTCTCCAGTCCACAAACAATTACAGTGGTACCTCTGGTTATGTACTTAATTTGTTCCGGAGGTCCGTTCTTAACCTGAAACTGTTCTTAACCTGAAGCACCACTTTAGCTAATGGGGCCTCCTGCTGCTGCCGTGCTGCCGGATCCTGATTTCTGTTCTCATCCTGAAGCAAAGTTCTTAACCTGAAGCACTATTTCTGGGTTAGCGGAGTCTGTAACCTGAAGCGCATGTAACCTGAAGCATATGTAACCTGAGGTACCAGTGTATGCCATAATAAATTTGCTAAGATACTGTACAACTTACTTTGTGGTACTTTATTTCATGTGTTCCTTTTGGGGAGAAAAAGGTAAAGGTAAAGGTACCCCTGCCCGTACGGGCCAGTCGTGACCGACTCTGGGGTTGCGCGCCCATCTTGCTTAAGAGGCCGGGGGCCAGCGCTGTCCGAAGACACTTCCGAGTCACGTGGCCAGCGTGACGAAGCTGCTCTGGCGAGCCTGCACCAGCGCAGCACACGGAAACGCCGTTTACCTTCCCGCTATAAAGCGGTAACTATTTATCTACATGCACTTAAGGGTGCTTTTGAACTGCTAGGTGGGCAGGAGCTGGGACCGAACGACGGGAGCTCACCCCGCCGCGGGGATTCGAACCGCCGACCATACGATCAGCAAGTCCTAGGTGCTGAGGTTTTACCCACAGCGCCACCCGCATCCCCACTTTTGGGGAGAAGTGGGGCCCTATTTTGGGAACGATACCCACAGTAATCCGGCCTTGCCTCATGGACACCCTAGATGAGTACAACGCGGTTACACAGTGAGCAGGCAACTCTACTCACATGGGGAGACTCTCTATTTACCTGTCCTTTGCTGTATGATGGTCAGAACAGACATTCAGAATTTCAAGAGAGTTTCCAGGCCACAGTAACTTTTGATGTAGCTCTCCCAAGATCAGAAATAAATCAGCATCACAAAACATACTCTTCCTTGGGAAGTGGTTAACTCAGTTTGGCTGAAGAGACTCTGGATAGGAAGGTTTGTGGACAGCTTTGCTAATGGGCCATGGGACAGACAGAATCTCCTGCCTAGTGGGAAACTCTTGGCAGTGATCAGGAAAGCCACTGGTTGGCATCGGTTTGAGGTTGATCCACTGTAAAGCAGCAGAGAAACCCCAAACATTTTAATTGTGGCTTGGAGTGCCTTGGAAGAACCAGTAAGTGCCAGACATAAAGCATTAGGAGTAACTAGTCGGCACTGAGAAGGACTCTGGGCTAAAGATGTCCAGAAACATCTGTTGTATGCTGGAACAGACATCGGAGACCTCTTGGTTCAGTGCTGAGGCTTCAAACACACATTCACCTCTCCACAATGCTGGAAGGGGAAGGCAGGCATGTGTGAGTCACACAGGCTCCCAACTGTCACTGTTTACCAGGAACAGCCTCTATTTTGCGCAATCTGTTCCTGTTTTCTGCAACAACACCCCTGTTCTCGCCTTTTGGAAATGCCTTATTAATCGATTTGGTTGGCTGGGCTTGCTACATTCAATTTTCCTTCAGGGGTTCTGGCCGCCTCTCTCCCCCTGCCTCTGCATCTCTGTTTCGCTCACTTGAAATATTTACAGGATGCTCTTCAGCAAATGTTCCTGGAGCAGCTCATGACAAAACAATAAAAGTCACAGTTTAAAAACAAGTCAACAGATTTACAATAAAACAAGACAAAGCAGAGCAATAAAGTAAGATCAGAGTGCCAGCATGAACCCTCAAGCGCATAAAACAGCCTGAGCAAAAAGGAAATGAAAGAAAATGTTTTCACTTGCCACCTAAACCAAAGATGGAACGAGTAGATGTTTCGGGGGACAAGGTATTCCCAAGATAGAGGGGAACAGCAGAAGAGGGTTAACCTCTGGTGCCACCCGCCTCACGTACACTGGTAGAACTGAGAGCTGGGTTACAGAGGCTGATATTTTTTTATTATTATTGTTATTAATTACATTAATTCATTCATAGATCTCAGGGCAGCTCACAATATAAAATTACAATATAAAACGCATGATTTAGGAAGACACACGCTGTATCAAATAAACACTATAAGGCCATGTTAAAAGACATTGTTCAAACTGAAGAACGGTGCTGAATTTGGGGGTGACTTTCCTCTCGCAAATGCTAATTCGCTAAGCCAGAAAACAACTCTTAGGTGAGTGGAAGAGGTTATCCACTGGGGCAGAGGTGGACAGCAACTGGACAGGTTCATATGAGGAAAGGCAACCAACCCCTCAGGTAACCTTCGGTTGCAAAAGCTCTGAGAGGTGAGGAGGAATACATCCCTTGTGTGAATGCACAAAAATGAGCATTAAGCCAGTGTAACAGAGTGTTGGACCTTGAAGATCAGGGTTCAGATCCCACCTGCCCTCCTCAGCCATGAAGTTCACTGGGTGACCCTTAGGCAGCCACCAGCTCTCAGCTTAACATCCCTCAAAGGGTTGTTGTAAGGATAATATGGTGAGCAAGAGAGACATGTACACCACCACCCGTAGCTCTTTGGAGGAAAGGCACACTATCAAAGCAATAAACAAAAACTTTATCGGTGCATGACGTGTGTGAAGAGGGCAAGAATAGCAAACGGGCTGGGGAACTTCAGGCACAGGCGCTGTGGTCTTCAAGTCTCTCTCTGTCCCCTGGGACTCTCCCCAAGCCACCCTCCCCCAGCATGGCTTTGAGGAGCGTCTCCACCCGCATCACTCAGCCCAGACACTGACGTCCAGCTCCAAGGGTCTTCTGGAGGCTCCCCCACTGCAAGAAGTGAAGTTACAGGGAACCAGGCAGAGGGCCTTTCTCGGTAGTGGCACCCTCCCTGTGGAACGCCCTCCCACCAGATGTCAAGGAAATAAACAACTATCTGGCTTTTAGAAGACGTCTGAAGGCAGGGAGATTTTTAATGTTTGAAGTTTCATTATGTTTTATATGTGCTGTAAGCGGCCCAGAGTGGCTGGGGAAACCCAACCAGATGGGCGGGGTATAAATAATAAAATTATTATTATTATGCCTGGAATATGCCTCTAGCTTTCCAAATCTGGTGTGGGGAACCGAAGGCCCTCCAGCTATTGCTGAACTACAACTCCCATTCTCCCTGGCTACTTACCATCCTTGCTTGTTTGTTGCTTTATGGTGCATTATGACCTGTCAGCTTATCCCTGTTAGGCAAATCAAGGCAGCTATTTTTTAAGAAATCCAACAAAATATAGTGGTACCTCGGGTTACATACGCTTCAGGTTACAGACTCTGCTAACCCAGAAATAGTACCTTGGGTTAAGAACTTTGCTTCAGGATGAGAACAGAAATCGTGCTCCGGCGGTGCAGCGGCAGCAGGAGGCCCCATTAGCTAAAGTGGTGCTTCAGGTTAAGAACAGTTTCAGGTTAAGAACGGACCTCCGGAACGAATTAAGTACTTAACCCGAGGTACCACTGTATTATGTTGGAGAATCTCATGTGATGCACGCTCCCACTGGTGAAAAGGTAACAGTGCCTCTCCTCATAATTGTCAGACAACTAATCATGTTGACAGAGGTGTGGGTTTTTGGGTTTTTTAAAGCCTTTTCAAGTTCCACAGGTTGAGTCAGGCTGTTTCAAATTCCCAGCTGTCCTTGCCAGAAACTATTTTTAATAAAGAGACGCTTGAGTATTCCAAGATGTGGCAAACGATAAATAACGCAGAGCACACAAATTCAAGCCCCAACTATGTCAGTGACTCCAGAGAGGAGAGTCCTCAGAAAGTCAGAAGCTGCGAGAGGCATCAAAGGGCAGATCTGAAAGGGCCCAACCACACGTAGTTGCATGGATCTTTCAGGGGCAACTTTGCAAACTTCATTTATGTAGCACCACCGAAGTGCATGGCCCTTGACCACATAAGAAGAGCCTGCTGGATGACGCCAACAACCCATCTAGTCCAGCCTCCTGTTCTTACAGTGGCCGACCAGATGCCTGTTGGAAGCCTGCAAACAGAGCACGTTCCTGTCCTGCGGTTTCTAGCAACTGGTGTTGCTTAGAAGGCTTGTTTTTGCTGCCTCCAACTCCGGAGACAGTGCACAGCCACCGTGGCTAGTCAGTATTGATAGCCACCTCCTCCTCCATTAATTCGTCTAATCCTGTTTTAAAGGCATCTAAGTTGGTGGCCATCAGTGCTTCATGTGGGAGGGAGTTCCACAGTTTAACTCTGTGATGCAGGAAGAAGTCCTTCCTTTTATCGATCCTGAACCTTCCATGCGTTCTAGCATTAGCAGAGGGGAAGAAAAGCTTTCCTCTATTCCATGGGTAGGCAAACTAAGGCCCAGGGGCCGGATCTGTCCCAATCGCCTTCTAAATCCAGCCCGCGGACGGTCCGGGAATCAGCGTGTTTTACATGAGTAGAATGTGTCCTTTTATTTAAAATGCATCTCTAGGTTATTTGTGGGGCATAGGAATTTGTTCATTTTTTCTTTCTTTCAAAATATAGTCCAGCCCCCCACAAAGTCTGAGGGACAGTGGACCAGCCCCCTGCTGAAAACGTTTGATGACCCTTGCTCTATTCACTCTCTCCATGCCATGAATAATTTTACACACCTCTATAATGTCACCATTTTCTCCAAACCAAGAAGTCCAAAATGCTGCCACCCTTCCTCACAGGGGAGTCAGCATTAACCCCTTGGGTCATTTTACTTTTGTTTTAAACCTTTCCAGAACTATACACAGTATGCCAAGTAGTCAGACCATAGATTTGTATAATGGCATTATGATATCAGCATTTTTCGATTCCTTTCCTAATGATCTGTAGCAAGGAATTTGCCTTCTTCACAGCTGCCCTGCACTGGGTCGACCATGTTTCATGTGCAGTCTCCCTGCCTGCAAAGAGCTTCCATGAGCAATTTAGATTTAATTGAGGGAGGAGACAATTTGCCTGTACACATGACATTACAGTTGTACGTAAACATGCTCGTTCCTTTTTCCAGGGGTCAATGCTAACTTAAGTGCTGGAACAAAAAATGCTTTCAAATGTCATCATCATTAATGCACAGAGCTCTCCAGAAACCTTTTTTTTTTCCAAATGCAAAGATTGAAGCATCAGCAATCGGGGGTGGGGGCATGAACACACACACACACACACACACACACACACACACCCCTACTTTGACCAGGGATAACCTTTCGAGCTGACCGGGCAAAAAGCAGGCACTGAAGCCCACGAGACAAAAATCTAGGTAAAAGCGTGTAGTGAGGGGAGGAAAGAGGAGGTCCATTCAAGGTTTGGCTAACAAATTTACAAAGAGCCTAGTGAGGAAGGGAATTCAGAGTGGCATTGACATTTTGCTGATGCAGAGCAGAAGCAACCTCCAGGGCTCCTTCACTGCCTTTTCTACCTGCTTCCACCATCATACAGATATGGATGTGTTTTGACAAGTTACCCAATACAACTGTGAATGCTGCTAAATTGCAACTCTCATCAACCCCAGCCAGCACAGCCAATGGCCAGGGATGATGGGAGATGTAGCTTGGCTGACTCAAATGCATTTGGGGGGGAAGGGGGGGTCAGTCTGGATGAAACCTAAGGAACCTTCCACACACCTGCCGCTGTGAGTGCTGGAAGGAAGACCTGCTCCCTGCTGAAGGCCCATTTCCACCTGGCCTAGGGGGCAGAGCCCAGACTCACCTAGAACAGCTAAAAGAGGCTCCTGGGAGGCCAGAGGGACATTGCTGGAACAACTCTTGGGTTGGGGCAACTGGCTAAAATGTTTTACAATGTTTTAAATTGTTATAATTTTGGTTCCTCTGTTATGTTTTTGTCGGGTTGGTGTTGGTTAAATGTTTAGTTGGGGTTGGTGGTTATTTTAATTTGGGTATAACTGTATACTGTTTATTGTTGTTATTGGTTTTCATTGACCTACTGGTCAATACCCAACCTCCCCCATTTATCTTAAAAAAAAAAGAAAGAGTTGAAATCATTTAAAAATACAGTGATACCTCGGATTACATACACTTCAGGTTACAGACGCTTCAGGTTACAGACTCCGCTAACCCAGAAATAGTACCTCGGGTTAAGAACTTTGCTTCAGGATGAGAACAGAAATCGTGCAGCAGCAGCGGGAGCCCCATTAGCTAAAGTGGTGCTTCAGGTTCAGAACAGTTTCAGGTTAAGAACGGACCTCCGGAACAAATTAAGTCTTAACCTGAGGTACCACTGTAATAATCGACCACTCCGATAGGACCCTGCTAAGATGTGAAAAGATCTTTGTTGACCACTCCAAAACAATCCCCCAGCTATAATTTAATAATGATAGTAATAATAATAAAGTTGGCCACACCCACTCTGACACATGGCCCTCAGAGAGTCAACTGTGGGTCAATGCAGCCCTCAGCTGGAAAAAAGCAAGCCACCCTTTTCCTAGGAGACCCCTTGGTAACAATTAACAGCAGGTTTCAGCTCTGCATACTCCCACCCACCACCCAATTGCTGTTCCACACCTCTTTCTACTCCTGGAACTAAGCGAGAGTGACAGCCGAACTCTTCCTTGTCAGGCAGATTTTCCATCAGACAAGACACAGCTAGCCAACCAGGTCACAAGGCATTGAGAGATCAGCTCTTCCTTCTACATTAATACACAGAAGGTCTTCCCATCGTTCCCCGATTCCTCCCCTTCGGATATTGCTGAGGTGATGGATGGGATTCACTCATCCATTAGAAGCTCAGCTGGTTGACCCCAGGGCAACAGAGCGAAAACACCCAACAGAGAACACACACCCTTTCCTTACTGATGTTTTTCAGCGAACTAAGAAACTTCAGGTGTACACTGGTACCTCTGGCTACGTACTTAATTCGTTCCGGAGGTCCATTCTTAACCTGAAACTGTTCTTAACCTGAAGCACCACTTTAGCTAATGGGGCCTCCCGCTGTTGCTGCGCTGCAATTTCTGTTCTCATCCGGAAGCAAAGTTCTTAACCTAAGGTACTATTTCTGGGTTAGTGGAGTCTGTAACCTGAAGCGTATGTAACCTGAAGTGTACGTAACCCAAGGTACCACTGTACAGTCGTACCTTGGTAGTTGAACGGAATCTGTTCCGGAAGCCCGTTCAACTTCCAAAATGTTCGGAAACCAAAGCACGGCTTGTGATTGGCTGCAGGAAGCTCCTGCAGCCAATCGGAAGCCCCATCGGATGTTTGGCTTCCAAAAATACCGGTAGTTCACAAACCGGAATAATCAATTCCTGGTTTGCGGCGTTCGGGAGCCAAAACGGTCGAGAATTAAGCCGTTCGAGAAACAAGGTATGACTGTATTTTAACCAAGGGTGAGCCTTTCGGGTCAAAAAAATAAAAAGAGAAAATGTTAGCACCTTTGTAACCTCAAAGCAGCTCGACTACTGTTGTATGCTTCCCTGCCCTGGTTACTATTTGCTAGAGATAAAGAGCGCTGCCGCAGTTCCAACATGGATTGGTCGACTCATAGAGGGGGCCCACGCACCCTATTTTGCAGAGTAAAGCTGCCCTGTTTGGAGCTGCCCGGTCCAAGTCTGGTTTAAAGGTACAGAACCCTAGGAAGGGAGAGCAGGAGAGGCCTTTAAGACTGACAGCCATTTGCACCTAGACAATAGACAGCAAACCAGTCACAGCAAGCACATTGGGCTTATACCCACACAAGTAATGTATCCTGTATCTCCAATTAAGTTACAAGAATTATTTCTAAATTTGCGCCTATACATAAAATTAGCCTAGCACAAATTATATGCAAACCTGTCCCCTTTTGCCTTTTTAATCGAAGCCAAAGTGGCTGGAAATGACTAAAAAAAACCCAGCCTCATACATACAGGAACAATCACAGATGTCACAGTTATATTTCCTGCATCAAGCATGCTTTGTTTTATTCAGTACTTTTATTTTTAAAAGGACACTCAAGGCGATGTACGGAGCTTTAAAAAAAAGGCTTAAAAAGTTAAATTTTAAAAAATTAAAGCAACTTTTAAAGCCAAGCCTAAGAAGCCAACCATAATCTGTAAAAAATGCTTTTACCTTCAATACAGTGCATCCAGTTCATGGGGGCTAAGGGAGGGGGGAAGATTTGGCCACCCCAGTAGACTAGCTATATTTAAGTCTGGAGAAAATTATGGGAAGCGACACCTCTCTCTCAAACCACTTCCTCAAATCCTTTGTTTGCTCCTTTCCCTCCAAGTAACCAAAAATTTCCCCTTTGAAGCCTTTGGAACAACTGCTTGGTCTTCTATTCCTCCTGAAACTAAGCCCTGGTATGTGTAACTGAACCAAACACATCACCCCTCTCCCACCTGGTTCACTCTTGCCTTCATCTTCCTCCCCTCTTCTCTATGCCAAATTTTAGATTGTAAGCACCTTGGAGCAGAGAACTAGCATTCTGACTCCAAAGCACCACGCACATTGATCGCACTATATAAAAAAATAAAGCCTTAGGCTTTATTATGATTGTTTATTAAATTTATACCCTGCCCTTCCCCCACTCCTCAAATGGAGCCCAGGGTGGCAAATAACATGCAATAAGACAATAAAGACATCTTTAAAATAATCCCAGTACAGATGCAGACTGGGAAAGATCTCTACATAAAAGGCTTGTTGAAACAGGAACATCTTCAGTTGGCGCCCAAAATACAACAAAGGACAGCGCCTGCCTTATATTCAAGGGGAGGGGATTCCCGAGGGGAAGTGCTGCAGAATTATAGGCCCAATTCCTACATTGTGTGGAACAGGCTTCCTGAAAAATTGCTATACACAGGAGGCCCTCACCTGCTGAGTGCAGTGTTCGACTGGGTATAGTGGTGAGATGATCTTTCAGGTATCCTGAGCCAAAGCTGCATAGGACTTTATACCCCAAAACCAGGCCTTAGGGGACTGCTTGCTCTCTAACCAATGCCACAAATTCCACCAGTTCTTTAGGAACTTGCCTGTACGGTGACTCATTCAGAGAGCTAGAAAAACACACACACTCCTCGTCTCATCTCTCCAATCTACAGAAGGAGAGAGGTTGCATTCACATAGCAGTTTACTCCATTTCCCCAACTGTTGATTTTTACATATCTGAGATTTCCCATGACGTAAAAGCCCTTTGAGAAAACTAATGTAATATGGCACCAGTTTAGTGCTCATTTCCAGGGCTCCCCCCCCCCCACCTCTCAGGTGGGCGCCATTCCCATTATAAGAGAACAAGGGAGGTGTTCATAGTGAGTTCCAGGACCTCTTTTTCTAGAAAATCAGCACTGGTCATTTCCATGTTATTTGATTCCAGGAAAAAAAATCTGTTTGCAGCCCACTTAATTTGGAAAGTCATGTGACTAAAGTGATGAAATCTGGAGGGGCAGACCTGCATACAGTTCTCTCCTGCTGTTTTCAGGGGGAGCGGGGAAACACACATGTGCGTAAGGGGGGGAGGGAGAAGTACTGACATTTTACAATGATGTTCATTGTGGTGTCACACCACACCCACTGATGTGGTCAGACGTTAGCATGATATACTGATATGTATCAGTCAACAAGCCAGGGTTCCATAATTCAACAGGCACTGCAGTATGAAAAGTGCCTTAGAAGCGGAAGCACTATAATTAGGAAAACTATTGCAATATTCCCCCAAGTCAGAGTGCACCCAGAAAGAGTGCTCAAATGACAATCATTATAGGAGAAGCCTTCAGAAAACAGAGATGAGAAGCCAAGATACAACCAACAACCTAGGGGAAGGAACACAGGGTTCCTTCAGACAACCGGTTTACTGAGCATTCACCCCGATTTGCTTGCACATAGTGTTATAAGGAAAACTGCTCCTTTTCCCTTATGGGGTATTCCGGAGACCATATAAGTGGGTTCGCTATCGATAGGAGAAAATAACAGAGGCCAGCCAGAGTACCTCGGGTTAAGAACTTAATTCGTTCCGGAGGTCTGTTCTTAACCTGAAGCACCACTTTAGCTAATGGGGCCTCCCGCTGCCGCCACGTTGCCGCCGCACAATTTCTGTTCTCATCCTGAAGCAAAGTTCTTAACCTGAGGTACTATTTCTGGGTTAGCGGAGTCTGTAACCTGAAGCATCTGTAACCTAAAGTGTCTGTAACCTGAGGTACCACTGTATATTGAGAAGCAAAGTGGCTAGGAAGCCTGGTCTTTACTCAAGGAACTGTTGCAACAGGGTCCCCACGCACCAGACGCAGGAAGGAGGAGAACCCTCAACAATGGTGCACAAGCCCTTATACCTGTACAGTCTTTTGAAATTGCCCACCCTGTACTCAAGACCACCACCCCAAAACATCATGCGTACATCACAGAAGGAGGCGGTCTATAGCAGAAATCCTGTTTGCCAGGATATCTGATAATGGTTACTGATTGCATTCCCTGGGAAATCTGGCCTTTCTTTTGTGATGGTTAATAATACTTTAGTTCCTGAATCCAGGTCACAGGTTCACCCTATTCATGCACAAATAAGCCCTTAAGACAGGATTTGTAAGCAAAAAGGTAATATGAAGGCTTTCCCCATTTGCCTCCCTTACTGCAGAGGAAACTTTGAGGTCATTGGGAGAGTCAAAATGACTTCAGGATTGTTCTCCCGTACTATTTCAGACACACGTTTCATATATTTAGATAGGTGTGCATTTATGAATATTTATTCTATATTTGAGTCCTTAAAATTCTTATAACGAAGGATAGCCTGCACATATGCTTTATTGAGCATTTGTTCCAATTTGCTTGTGAGGAGGTCAGATGGCAACAAGCATCCGTCCTAGCTTGTTTGTGGGGTGTTTCTTCCGATTCACCGTTAGTTTATTCCACGTTTTTCAGTACATTTCCCCATTGGGAAAAGTCATTTTGAAAGAAAAAGGGGGGGAAATGGGTTCATTGCGTGGGGGCAAACAACGTGCTTTTAATCCACTTTAACCTCACAAACCTACATTTCCAGAATTACCAGAATGTGGCTGAGCGGCATCTCACAAAATGCTGACAGCCTGGAAACATCCACAGATAAGGGAGGATGATAACCCACCCTTGGCATGTAGACAGAGAGGAGAAAAACTCCCGCTATGGCATCACACATACATCCCTTTCATCGTTATGAGGCCAACAACTGTTCAAAGGCCCTCACTGGAATCAAACTCGAAAGAGACACTTGGAGAAGCAGATCTTGATCATTAGTGAAAATGCGCTTTCTTTCATCAGCCTCTGATATGAAAGCATCAAGGGGGGAGGCAGCCCTTTTGGGAAAGAAGGGTTTGGGGGAGTGAAAGAGAAGCTGTGACCGCCTGCAGAAAAAAGGGGGCTGTTGATGCCCCAGAGGGCTTTTAAATCCAGACAATGGCAATTAGGATTGCACCATTTAATGGCAAGGGGGTGTTGTTGTTGAAAGCACCTCTTTCCTCAATGAAATAAGATGCAAGCTTTACACAGAGACGGTTAACGAACCAGAAGGAGAGATAATCATGGGTTGTAATTTAAAGCCCCTCCCTCCTGTGAGTTGCTGGAAATCATGACACAGGGACTATCTATGTGTTTAAAGAAGGGCTGTTTGTAAGTTTCCATCATAGGGCCAGGGAAGGGAAGCCTGTGTCCTCCCCACAGATGTTGAACCCCAACTTCCATCAGCCATAGAAGTCAGCACAGCCAAAGGTCAGGGATGATCCCTCTTGTAAGGGATGCAGCGAGGGTTGCCAGGTCAGGAGCATTTCACATCCTGAGATTTGAGGGCCCAAACTTGAGACTTTGGGGTGACCCCTGGTGATGTCACGGGGGAGGGCCCTTGTGGTTGTTCTTCAGCGCTCCATCCCACTACTGAGCCCTGGAGACGGAGGTTAATTGGGAGAGGGGAGGAGGGCAGACCGCCCAGAAAGACTATGCAATAATTTGAAGCCGGCTTCTGCCAGGCTCCCTGCCACCAGAAGGGGGCCAAGGATATCTGGAGTCTTCAGGTCAGCTTAGAGGTCTGGCAACCCCAGATCGTATCGGGGTTCCTCTTGCTACCCATTCTCCATCCTCCCATTTGCCAAGCCAAATAAGGATGGCATGAAGAATAAAAGCAAGATTTTAGAAGTGCAAAGAGGGGAGGGCAAACAGAGAGAGAGGAAGAGAACGTAAGCCAAAAGGGTCTTTCTGAGAAGCCCCTTCTGCTGAAGCAAGGCCCCAGGCAAAATGACCCCGTTGCTATAGCTCTTGAGGCCTTTGGCTGAAACTTGCAAGGCTGCCTTTTCACACTGCCATCTGCAATCTGTCTTCAGTCAAGCAAACAGTCATCTCTCTGTTTCGTACCAAGCTGGCCAGGCAAGCGCCACCCCCACCCCCCGGGCTGGGTGTCCCAAGTTCTGATTGATAATAACTTTGCTGTGCAAGCCTCCTTTTCACAGAACAACTTCCTAAAGTTGGGGCATTTTTTGAAACCACCACCACCTCCACCCACCTGTACAACAAGGCACAGAAACTGTCATTTTGTTTTTCAGAAAATTTAAACTCACAAAGAGCCATCTCTCTACAGCAGTGCTGAGGAAACCGTTCTCAGCTAGAGGGCCACGCGCTAGGGGTGGAGCAACTTATGCAAATTTTACCTTTGTACAGTAGGCCGCTTTCTACACAAACACACCTCTCAGAGCTGGAGGACACTTTCCAGGCAGGTAAAAACACCCAAAGTTCAAAGCAGGTTTCAATGATGGGTGCCGCCTAGGAAGAGTTCTGAGGGCCATTTGGAGAGAACTGGAGGTCCGCATTTGCCCCCTTGACGTGAGGTTTCCCAACTTCGTTTCAAAATATCAGAGTAGCAAACATTCCCCCTTCGGGGAGAAATTGGACGACACACAACTGAAGTGTTATTAGCAACCAGAGATGGTGCAGTTGATGTGTTTTTTAGCTCAGCGAATTATGGATTGTCCAGCCAGTTGGGGGAGGGGAAGAAATGCGCCGTTCATGTCAACCACTTACTGGGCTAATGCAACAACAGTATATAATCCCAGCCATCAACTGACATTTTCATTAGCAAGAATGGAGGCGGAGTGGTGGGAGAAAAAGAGGAAGAAGACCCCAATGGCTAAATGGCCATGATTCCCTGAAGAGATAGAGAAAAAGGTGGCCAGCAATTGGGTTGTGAGCCGGCTCCCTCCCAGGGCAATTTGATCATCGCCAGTTTTGTTCAAGGTGCGGATAGAGGCACCCTCACAGACTCACTCCTAAGAAAAATACTGCTAGAAATCGTAGCTCGGGGTGTGTGTGTGTCTCCTAACAACTTTCACAACCCTTAATAAACTATAGTTCTCATGTTAAAGCAGTATAAGAATGTTTTAAATGTATGGTGTGAATATGACCTAACTCGGCTTCCCTCACCCTGGAAATTGCCTTTGGATTAAGACAGAGGCAGCCACCCTGGGCTACATTGACACCTGGGGAACGGGGTGGCACTGTGGCCTAAACCACTGAGCCTCTTGGGCTTGCCGATCAGAAGGTCGGCAGTTTGAATCCCCATGATGGGGTGAGCTCCTGTTGCTCTGTCCCAGCTTCTGCCAACCTAGGAGTTTGAAAGCACGCCAGTGCAAGTAGATAAATAGGTACCGCTGCGGTGGGAGGGTAAACGGTGTTTTCATGTGCTCTGGTTTCCGCCACGGTGTCCCGTCGCACCAGAAGCGGTTTAGTCATGCTGGCCACATGACCCAGAGAACTGTCTGTGGAAAAACACCAGCTCCCTTGGCCTGAAAGCGAGATGAGCGCCACAACCCCAGTCGCCTTTACATTGACACCATGCATTTGAAGAACTATGACACCATGTCTGCTTAGACATGGCTTCCCCCAAGGAATTCTGGGAACTGAAGTTTGCTCATGTTGCTGAGAGTTGTTGGCAGACCCCCATTCCCCTCATAGAGCTGCAATTCTTGGGACTGGTTTAAAAACACATCGTTCTGCACAGGGAACTCTGGGAATTGTAGCTCTGAGGGAGAATAGGGTGCCTAACAACACTCAGCACACTTAACACACTACAGCTCACAGAATTCCCCTCTTTAAAAAATTGCTACTACCTCCAACATCATCACTCCCCCCAGGAATTGTGAATGAAATGACCCAAATTTGTATGCAGGTAGGGGGTGTTTAATTTTCACACAGTTGCATGGTTTCCCCTCCCCTTTACTTTTGTATATGTCAAGAAATTATATGTTCTTGATTAAATGAATAAACATAAATATATTTTTTAAACTTTTATTTTCAAATAATAAGCTCAAAATGCTTATTTTGGAGCGAGTTTCAGTCATGCAACCAAAGTTCAGAAAGGAGGTTGCTTGTCTAATCTCAGGTGGGAGGGAGTTCCACAGGTTTGGGTCCACTAAACTGAATGAACGGCTTCTAGTAGTTACAAGCTGTGCTTCCAAATGGGAGGAAAATTCTATCGATGCCTACTAGCCATAATGGAACCTCTGTGCTTAGGAATAGTCCAGCAATGAATACCTGATGCTGGAAGCATCAATGGAAACAAGTATGTCAGCTTTATATCCTGCTTGTGGGCTTCCCAGAGAAAGCCAGCTAGACACTGGACGCTGGTTTGGTGGACTGTCTGCCAGATCTTGCATGGCTCCTCCTCCTGTGTTATCTCTTAGCCCAGCCTACCTCACAGGGTTGTTGTGAGGATGCAATTGGGGAGGAACAAATCAATGTATGCTCTCCTGAACTGCATGGAGAAAACCGTGGGATGTAAATACAGTTAAATAACTAAACAAATCAGGCCTGCCTACTTTTTCCTAACACTGCTGGTGCACACAAACAAGCCTGAGGAATGAGAGAATCCAGGTCAGGAATAAATTTCCTTATTTAACATATTTTCTAGCCCAACTTGCATGTAAACATTCCCCAGCAGGAAACAAGAAAAAACGACAATCGTTTACAACACATAAAATAAATAATATCATACACTGGGGGTTGTTTCCAATGCTAGTCCTACTCAAAGAAGACCCACTGAAGTTAATGGAGATGATTAACATGGGTTCATTCATTTCAGTGGGTCTATGCCACATTGAACTTAGGGAGATCAACCAAAAGATTACATCTGAAGATTAAAAATTGTCCAATTTAAGATCCTAAGAAGAGCCAGGTGGTTCAGGCCAATGGTCCATCTAGCCCAGCACCCTGTTCTCACAGAGACCAACCACATGCCTGTGGGCAAGCAGGATTTAAGCACAAGAGCCCTCTCCCTCCCATGGCTCCCAGCAACTAATATTCAGAAGCATTGCTGTCTCTGACCGTGGAGCCAGAGCACAGCCATCATGCCTAAAGGTAAAGGGACCCCTGACCACTAGGTCCAGTCGTGGCAGACTCTGGGGTTGCGGCGCTCATCTCGCTTTATTGGCCAAGGGAGCTGGCGTACAGCTTCCGGGTCATGTGGCCAGCATGACTAAGCCGCTGCTGGCGAACCAGAGCAGCACACGGAAACGCCGTTTACCTTCCCGCCGGAGTGGTACCTATTTATCTACTTGCACTCTGATGTCCTTTCGAACTGCTAGGTTGGCAGGAGCAGGGACCGAGCAACAGGAGCTCACCCCATCGCGGGGATTCGAACCGCGACCTTCTGATCGGCAAGTCCTAGGCTCTGTGGTTTAACCCACAGCGCCACCCACGTCCCTGGCCATCATGCCTAGTAGCCTTCAATAGCCTTGTTCTCTGTGCATTGGTACAGTCCTCTTTTAAAGTCATCCAAGCTGATGGCCATCATCACTGCCTCCTGTGGGAGGAAGTTCCATAGTTTAACTATCCACTGAGTGACAAAGCCCTTGCTTTTCTCTGCCCTGAATCTTCCAACTTTCAGCTTCATTGGTCATCCACGAGTTCTAGCGTTATGGGGAGATGAACATTTCTCCATCTGCTTTCTCCATGCAATGTGTAATTTTACAAACTTTGACCATGTCGCCGCTTGCTCACCTTTTCTCTAAACCAGGAAGTCCCAAATGCGGCAAACTTTCCTCGTAGGGGAAAGACTGCACGTTGCTTTTGGGTTGCCATGGACAAGATAAAGCGACTAACAAATGAACAAATTTTTTAAAAGGGGGAGTCGCTCCATCCCCTTGATCATTTTCGGTGACATTTTCCGAATTTATTATAAATGTTACCCCTCTTCCATCACCTCCTGAACAGGATTCACGACAGGATATTGCAGCACTGAGAGAGTTTCCACTTGTTCCAGCTCTGCCTCATTGATGGTGGAGGGAGCAGAACTTGGAGAGTGGTGCCTTTTCACCTCTAATAACACAACCACACTGGTGTGGCAAGAAACCTCACTTCCTCCCAGACCAGCAACAGAGACGCCAGGCTGTATCCCTTAAAAATAGGAGTAGGCAATGTTTCTTCCCCTTTCCAGGGCCACACATTCCTTCAGGGGCAATTTGTTGGGGGCCACATTCTGAATTATGGTGCTGGAGGAGACTCTAGAGAGTCCCATGGACTGCAAGAAGATCAAACCTCTCCATTCTTAAGGAAATCAGCCCTGAGTGCTCTCTGGAAGGACAGATCCTGAAGCCGAGGCTCCAATACTTTGGCCACCTCATGAGAAGAGAAGACTCCCTGGAAAAGACCCTGATGTTGGGAAAGATGGAGGGCACAAGGAGAAGGGGACGACAGAGGACAAGATGGCTGGACAGTGTTCTCGAAGCTACCAGCATGAGTTTGACCAAACTGCGGGAGGCAGCGAAGACAGGAGTGCCTGGCGTGCTCTGGCCCATAGGATCACGAAGAGTCGGACACGACTAAACGACTAAACAACAACAACATTCTGACTGTATGACTGCCCCTTTTCCACCTGCCTGCTGCCCTCTTCTTCTTCTGTCTCTTTTTTCTTTCAGACCAGCTGTTCTCACAGCCAACAACCAGATATCTCTAGAAAGCATAAAACAGGACAGGAGGACAATTGCCGTGCCCACTCGTGATTCCCACAGTAACTGGGATTCAAAGGCATATCGCCTCCAATACTGGTTTAGCACATAGAAGGCCCCAGGTTCAGTTTTTGTCACCTGAGACCACAGGAGCCTGTCAGGGCAGACAGTACTGCACTAGATAGACTTAGTATAAGACAATTCTTATATCACAACCACTGTAGGCTGCAATTTATTTGTTGCATTTGTATCTCACCTTTTTCTGCAAGCAGCTCAAGGCAGCTGACATTATTCAACCCCTCGTTTATCCCCACAACAACCCTGTGAGGTAGGTCAGGCCAAGTGGCAGTGAGTGGCCCAAGATGGGCTTCATGGCAGAGTGGGGAATTGCTTTTGAACCTTGGTCTCCTACAACATGGCTCTCCGAGAAGCTCAAGTCGAAATGCATATGCTTTGCATGCAGAAGATTCCAGGAGTCCTGGCTGTCTCTTGGCAAAATCAGAATCTCAGCATGGTGGGAAGTTTTTAAGGTTTTATATAAGAAGTCAGTGCAACGTTCCAGCATGGGTTTACGGGGCTGCAAATTCATAAGGCACAGCAGAGATCTGCAATATGTCACCAGGTGTAAGCTGCTCTCTCCTTTTGAAAAGCAGGGCAGGCATAGCTATTTGCATAGCTGGTGTCCTTTAGAGGCTTGGCATGCAAGATTTTGTTTGTGCTGGTCCTGTTGCCTCCATGTCCTTGGAGGAGTTTTCGGAGCCATCTTGCCCTCGGACTTATCCCCAAGCACCTTTCCAGAAGGGGATGGTTCTTCACTGACTGGAAGGCAACTGAGACAGTTCAACAGGTGGGGAGGTGTTAGGCCAGGGGTACTTGATGACTTGCAGGTGAGCCATTTTCTTAACAACCTGCTTGGCCCTTCCCCGAGATCCAGGCCTTGGTCCCGCTATCCACTGTGCAAGTGTTAGGAATTTGCCAGGCGCGTTTTGCACCTGGCTATGAGCCACCTGCAACCAAGTGAAGATGCCTGGGTCCCAGGATGGCGCCTGACATCACCACCATCTGGAGGTGCGTGCCTGAAAGATCCTTGGATTTTGACTGTTTTCACACACTAGCAACACACCCTGTAGAATTCTATCTGTATCGCACAATCAGAATGAATTTCAGGAACCAAAACGTCTTATTGAAAAATACGGCTTTCTAGCTGCCTGGTCCCCAAATGGCAACTAGGCATTCTGTTTTAGTGGCTGTAATCTTGGTTTAAGGAGCCATGTGGGCGCCTAGCTTATAGATCTGAGTTTCCACCAACCGAAGTGGCGAATTTCAAAAGCAGCCTCTTCCCATAAGCTTCTGCTTCCCCTAGCCATCAGTACAAGTTTACTTGGATGTCAGCCTGCCAATGACTTTTATTTCCAAGCATGGACACTTCAGAGACGCAGCTTGAGGAGGATGAAATACTAGCAATGTTTTGTCTCTGGGTGAGCAGCATTCCTTCCCCACCTCCCTGAGATGGGAACAAACTTTTTCTTTTTCTTTAAGAAGCATAATGGGGATCTATAGAATATAATATAAATAGCACATCAGACTGGCTGTCTCTGTCGACTCCTGTTTGAGCCAGTCAGGAAGCTCCTGGTTCGGTTTTGTTTCTTTTCTTTCTTAATGCCAACTAAATAGTGGCGTTTCACCCCTCCCTGCTGAACAGTCAACGCCGCCTTCCCTTAAATGCAAGCTTTGACTTCCTGCCCAGACTGGCTGAAGGCTCCGTCTGTCACTCAAGGCTTAGGAAACATTTGTCCGAGGAGGCAATAAAACCTTCTCGGATTCTTTATCCGCTGCCCTATTAGGAATTCGTCCAGCGACAGAATAAGCAAGCGTAGCCCTTGGCTCGGCAATCCATTCCGTTTCCTTCTTCTGATAAAAGCAAGGAAACAGAACAGAAATTTGCATCTTGTGCATAGAGCCAGCATCACCCGATGTTTGCACGAGTGTGTGCAAATTACCTAGACAAGCCAGGTGGCCTAAATCAGGGGCAGGCAGACTTCAAGCTTGTGGGATCTACCAATTTTTTTGCTCTAGAAGACTCACTTTTTCCCTCCTAAAAAGTAAGGGGAAATGTGTGTGCGTCCTATGGAGCGAATGCAGGCTGCGCAGATATCCCAGAAGCCACTGCGCAGCAATCCCTCTTGCTGTTCTGGGATTCAGAATCCCCCCCTTTGTTTTCCTCCTCCAAAAACTAGGTGCGTCTTGTGGTCTAGTGCATCTTATAGAGCGAAAAATACGGTACTTTCTGGGATGTGTCCTTGAATTTTGACAAAGGCACCTGCTTGCCTGAATGGAGGATAAGAGAGGGTGTGTGTGTGTGTGTGTGTGTGTACAAACTAGCCTAAGTTTTATCTATGTCCATTGCTCCACCCACTTTTGTCCCTGACCCCACCCACTATTGGCATGGAGCGCTCAGAAGATCCCACCCCCATTTGGCCCCGGAGCCAGAGGTTCCCCATCCCTGTTTTGGAACAACAGCCAAGTGTCCTAAATTGGCTGAGGAATTATGGGAAATGCAAATCTATACCATATTAACAGCACTGCCATCTAACACAAATCCGAGCTGGGAAATTCAATTACATGCAGCATGTGAGCTGCAGTATTGCTACACTTGCTGCTAATTACTTTCAACGGTGCAAACTAAACAAGACACCTTGCAGGAATTCCCGCAATCGCCGGCAGCCTGCACAAAAATGCCTTCCCATGCAAAGTGGTCCTCTCTGCCACGGGTATCGCGCTACAGCTTCACCATCCAATCCTTCCAATATAATCTCAAACACTCCCCCGCTGGGTGTGACTGGACACTCCAGGTTGTGTCCAGTTTTAAGTCCTACACTCAGAGTAGACCTACTGAAATGGATGGGACATGAACAGCTTGCTCATTTGTTTCATTTCTTGGTTGCATGTCTATACCACCATTGCAGCCCCCAAAAGGATAAATGCATGACACCATTCTCTCAGTGTGGTATAGTGGTTAAGAGTGGTGGACTTGTAATCTGGTGAACCGGGTTCTATTCCCTGCTCCTCCACATGCAGCTGCTGGGTGACCTTGGGCTAGTCACACTTCTCTGAAGTGTCTCAGCCTCACTCACCTCAGAGTGTTTGTTGCGGGGGAGGAAGGGAAAGGAGATTGTTAGCCGCTTTGAGACTCCTTAGAGTAGTGATAAAGCAGGATATCAAAGCCAAACTCTTCTTCTTCAACAACGGATTGAAGACCTGACTACACTATGAGGAGGGCAACCAAAATGGTCAAAGGCCTGGAAACGATGCCTTATGAGGAACGGCTAAGGGAGCTGGGCATGTTTAGCCTGGAGAAGAGGAGGTTAAGGGGTGATATGATAGCCATGTTCAAATATATAAAAGGATGTCACATAGAGGAGGGAGAAAGGTTGTTTTCTGCTGCTCCAGAGAAGCGGACATGGAGCAATGGATCCAAACTACAAGAAAGAAGATTCCACCCAAACATTAGGAAAAACTTCCTGACAGTAAGAGCTGTTCGACAGTGGAATTTGCTGCCAAGGAGTGTGGTGGAGTCTCCTTCTTTGGAGGTCTTTAAGCAGAGGCTTGACAACCATATGTCAGGAGTGCTCTGATGGTGTTTCCTGCTTGACAGGGGGTTGGACTCAATGGCCCTTGTGGTCTCTTCCAACTCTATGATTCTATGATTCTATGAGCTGATTTACTTATAGATGTAGGCTTTGCATGGACAAGTGAAATGAAATTTGGAACTCATTTATGAATAAAGTAGGTTAAACACTGCAATTAACAATTGTTAACAGTAAACCATTACAATGTTTAACCTACTGTATTATAGTACAGTGGACGCTTGGGTTGCGAACGTGATCCGTGTGGGAAGCACGTTTGCAACTCGCAGCAGCGTGTCTGCGCGCGGGTTGCAATTCAGCATTTCTGCACATGTGCAAACTACAATTTAGCGCTTCTGCACATGCGCAAGCGTTGAAACCCAGAAGTAACCCGTTCGGTTACTTACGGGTTTGGTGCGGTGCGCAAACCGAAATCGTGCAACATTAAGTGTCTGTAACTCGAGGTATGACTGTATATCTAGGAAGTGGTATACTATTCTTTGTTGTCTTTCTTCACGGTTTTAAAGCCACTTTTTATGTGTTGTATTTTAATTTAACAGCAACAACAATGTATATACCGCCATTTTATCCTAGGAGGTCCAGGTAGTGCACATGGTTCACTCCCTCCTTATTTAATCCTCACAACTAGGCAGAAGGTGTCTCCAGCAGACATGGCTTTGACCCATACTGGGCTTGGCAGCAGCTGAAACAGGTTCCTGCTAGGCTCACCTGGTGAGCCCACCCCGCCCCAACAACCCCCCACTGCCAGGCTGAAAGGGATTTGATCTACCATCAATTGTACCCATTTCCAGTGGGGGCGCCGTCTCGGCCATGTTTGAAAGAAGGGACCCCAGGGTCATCTAGTCCAACCCCCTGCAATGCAGGAATCTCAGCTAAAGCGTCCAAGACAGGTGGCCACCCGGCCTCTGCTTAAAAACCTCCAAGGAAGGAGAGTCCACCACATCTTGTGGGAGTCTGTTCCACTGTCTCACTGCTCTTACTGCCAGAAAAGTTCTTCCTGATGTTTAGTCGGAGTCCCCTTGTAACTTGAATACATTGGTTCAGGTCCCAGCCTCTGGAAAGAGGAGAAAACAAACTTGTTCCATCTTTCATTTTCACAGCTCAGTAACAGCATCATCTGCCTTGCACGCAGATTTCCAGGTCCAATCTCTGACATTTCCAGGTAGGCCTGGAGAGGACTCCCCCGTGAAATCCTGGAGAGCTGCTGCCAGTCAGTGCAGACAGTACTGAGTTAGATGGACTAACGGTCTGACTCAAGCCTGAGGCAGCTTCCTGGTCCTTTCCACAAAGCTTAAAAGACGCATCAAAGGTATCATGGCAAAAGGAGAGGTGGGGGGGACCCCTGTGCTGCTCAAGCAATAGTTGAACTCCAAATCCCATCATTCCTGACAGCCGTATTGGCTGAGGCTGATGGGACTTGGAGTCCAACAACATCTGGAGGCCATGAAGGAGCCGCATCCCTGGAACAAGGTTTCACTGATGGTGGTCCACTTTTTGAGATGCATGCAGCATTACCCCGAGTTATATAGGCTATATTTTAATAGCAGCCGGAGTTAACAGCTATAATTAACATTCGCAAAACAGTTGTTAGCGATAAGCACAGGCATCTTGGCATTTGGTGATCTAATTAACACATGTATTGTGATGAGGAAAAAGAGAGAGCTCTGGCTGGTAAGTTTTACTCAGAGTAGATCCATTGAAATTAAAAGGCCTAGCTTAGTCCTGTTCATTCATTCCAACTGATGTGCTCCAAGTACAGCTGACTGCCACCATTAATCACTATTAAAGTAGCGTTGCCGTATTTCAAAAAATAAAAACCAGGACATCCCAAAACCGTTGAGCATCCCAGACATCAATTCCACCTTTGAAATCCCAGTAATGTCTTGGAAAATCCGGACGTATGGCAGCTCTATATTAAAGCCAACGGTAACAGAACTGAACATTTTAATGAATTGATTTCAGCTATGTAGAACTGTTGCCCTGATAACAAGTAACATTACCTACCAGAAACAGCAGCTACATTTAAGCCGGTGGTCTCTACTCTCTGGACAATATTCCTGGCAACCCTTGTCCCAGAATTTGCCTGGATTGGGAAATGCCTTCTTAAAACTTCCATCCTTCTTTGGGATTTAGCCTCCCCTCCCAAGGCATCCTGGGACACTTAAGTCTCAGAGCAGGAAGTACACACATATTTACTTATATGTCACATTTATATCCCACCTCTTCTCTAAAGGAGCACATGGTAGCACACATGGTTCTCCCTGTATTGCAGGGGGTTGGACTAGATGGCCCTCCATGGCTGAGTCGGGATTTGAACCCTGGTCTCTCCCAGGCATTAATCCAACCCATGTGCTAGAGACAAGATGCATCTAGAATCCACAAACACTACACCTGCAAACACACTGCAACTGCTGAGGTATAGTCTGAACTGTTGATAACATGCATTTTTCAGTTTTTAATGTTATTTTGATTATTTTTTATCATGCCTTTCCTCAGAGCTCAAGCATGGCCTGCCTGCATTTTATCCGTGCCACGAACCCCCTCCGAGGCAAGTTAGGTTCAGAGAATGACTGACTAAGCTTACTACTGTGAGTGCCATGGCCCAATGGGGAAAGCCGTGGCTATTTAAAGTGGTTTTGTAGTGCTTTTAAATGTACGCTGAGAATGTGGCCTGCTGCGTTCATAAAAATGATCTTGCGCTGGTGAGAGCCCATGTCCACAATACCTGGCAGGCACTATCTTGGAGAAGCCTGGCTTAGAGTGCTGGATTAGGCCCATGGCAACCAGGTTCAAATCCCCACAGGGCCACAAAGACCAACTCAGGTAACTTTGAGCCAGTCGCTATTCCTGCCAACCTCACAGGGTTGTTGTTAGATTGGAGGTCGGGGGGGGGGATTGAGGGAAATACATGTACCCCCCCCCCCACACCCCTAAGCTCCTTGGAAAAAGGAATCACAAATGCATCCATATAAATTGTAATGCGCTTGGGAGGTGAGCAAATCCTTCAGCTGCCTACCCAACCTTCCCAAATCTTGGTCCCATCTTCTAAATTATTACAAGAAGCTAGGAAGGGACTTATCTCCTAGAATGGCTGGGCTGCCACTCAGGAATTCATTTCTGAGATCAACCAACACATGTACAAGCTCCTTTTGACAGGACCAATACATTATCAGCTGGTGGTGGGTTGTGTGTGGAGGGGGGGGGAGACACAAGGAGAATTAAGCATCCCTCCACAACCCACAGCCAGTCAAGATCATTACTGAACACTAGTTTTCTTGCTGCTAATGGCCTGCCAATGGTAGGAACCCCCCACCAGGAAGCAGCACTTGGTTTTGTCCCATTATATGTGGCCACCTGTCATGGATGCTTTCTGCATTGCAGGGGTTGGACTAGATGACCCTTGGGGGTCCCTGTGTCCAATTCTACAGTTCTAGGATTCCTTTTCACTAGGCAACCACTACCCTTAATGGACTAGGACCCATGTACCTATGGGACCGCCTCCCCCTTATGCCCCGCGGAGGACCTTAAGGTCCACAAATGACAACATGTTGGAGGTCCCAAGTCGCAAGGTGGTTAGATTGGGCTCAACTAGGGCCAGGGCCTTTTCAGTACTGGCCCCGACTTGGTGGAACGCTCTGTTACAATAGACTAGGGCGCTGCGGGACTTGACATCTTTCCACAGGGTGTGCAAGAGAGTTTTCCCGCCTGGCCTTTGGTCTGGACTCAGTCTGACCCTTATGTTTCCCTCCCTTTATGGTTTTGATCTATGGGCCACTTTTAAAATGAGGCTGCATTTTAAATTGCATTTTAACCTGTATTTTAAATTGGTTTTTCCCCGCTACAGTGGTACCTTGGGTTACATACGCTTCAGGTTACACACTCCGCTAACCCAGAAATAGTGCTTCAGGTTAAGAACTTTGCTTCAGGATAAGAACAGAAATCGGGCTCCGGCGGCGTGGCGGCAGCAGGAGGCCCCATTAGCTAAAGTGGTGCTTCAGGTTCATAACAGTTTCAGGTTAAGAATGGACCTCTGGAATGAATTAAGTACTTAACCCGAGGTACCACTGTATTATGTTACTGTAATTTTACTGGTGTTAGACGCCCTGAGCCCGGCTCTGGCCGGGGAAGGCGGGGTATAAATAAAAATTATTATTATTATTTTTTATTATTATAGAAAGACAAGGGCAAGCCCTTCCTCAATTCACTGCCTCCTCACACTTGAAGGATGTATTCAAGAGCATGTACAACACACACAACCCAAAAAACCCCGACAAGGGCCCAACCCCATTTGGTTCGGGCCAGAAACACATTATTGAACGAAACCAAAAGCTCACTCCATATAGAAGCCCGCTTCCAACTAGTGTGACCGACAAACGGAAGCCAGAGAATGAGAGATGCAGTGACAGAAACGATCAAGGGGCAAATTCAGTCTCCTCACAACATTCCCATCCTTCCCAAACAAAGATTCCCCCCCTGAGGCGAAGGGTTGCCATTAGCCATTAGCCCTAAATTCTTCGGTGGGGTTTCCGCCTTGGCAGCGAAGACAGAAGCGTCCTCCACCTTTGACACAGATGAAATGTTTTGCATGCAGAGCACACACGGAGACACACACACACACACGCCTTGCAACTGCACCTTCTGCACATCCAGCCCACCATAATGGCAAGCATTCATGCACGGAGCTGTAGACTGGGAAGCAAAGAAGTGCAGGGGGCAAAGGGAAGGGTCAGTGGGTTGCTCAAGGAGCCTGCCTGCCCCATATCTGGAGCACACGTCCACCCCACAGAGAATAATCTCCTTGCTCCCCTGAGTCATTTGCAGGGGGAAAACAACAGCCCAGGACCCACTGATGAGTAAGAAGGCAGGAGAGGACCCTACAGCCACTCTGACCCAATTCTCACACTACATGTGAGCAGTCAGTGGGCAGACTGGGCAGTCCCAGATACGGATGTCTGCAGCCGAACCTGTGGTTATCTGGTTAATCGCACCTGATGTCTGCCCACGCAGGTGTAGGTGGAAAGAGAGGAAAGCACGCAGGCAACCCACCGGCCCCCTCCCCTGCAAAAAGCCCTCCTCCCTTCACGGGTCTCCTTGCAAAATAATTGCAAGTCGGGGTGGAGGGGGCAGCCGTCGAGCTGCGTCTCCCAGATCTCATTAAGGGAAGGAAGGAAGGATTGGCAGGTTCATAGAATATGGATTATTCCCAAGAGATCGCCGTCCTCGCTTCACGCAACACCACTCAGGATGCAAAATACAAAAAACACCACGTCGATCTGGCCGTGTGTGTGTGTGTGTGTGTGTGTGTGTGTGTACGGCATTGTAATATGCAAGAGAAAGGAGGGAGTGGGAGGGAATCTCTCTCTCTCACACACACACACACGATCACCACCCGACAGAGAAAAGCACCGATAAATTGCAAACAAAACAGGCATAGCGAAAAGGAGGGAGGAGGAGGAAACATATTTCTCCCTAAATATTTCGCCTATGCATGCACACGCACACAAAAACACACACAACACCTAGCATTCTCCAAGAGGCAGTGCAAATTTACAAGCGGGGTTTGTGTGGATCTTTCCCCCCCCCCAAATAGCTGTCACGCACACACGTGCAAAACACACAGAAGGGCCAAATTCTTCTGGACCAATTTGCACCCCAGAAGGTGGTGGCGCGTGTGTGTGCATGCGTGTGTAAGTGGCGGCGGGGGGGGGGGAGCCCCCATACAGCTGCACAATCCAGATGTGCACCTCCTGTCATTTTAAGGTGGCAGCGCTCGCAACACACCCAGCAGGAAGCAAACCCCGCAGGGGGCTGCTTTGCTTCCCCAGCAGACCACCCATTCGCGCTTGCGTTTTTAAAACCCCCACAACGTTACAAACCAAACTGATCCGGAGGGTGGAGGAGAGAGATCAGCGTCCCCGCACAGCCTATAAAAGCACACACACGCAAAACAAGCGATTCTTAATGGGAAAGCCACAATTAAAATAATTTTTAAAAACTGCAAAAGGAGACGATCGGTGGAAAGCACCATTCCTTGAAATCGCGGCCCTCCTTCGAGCCACCCCCAGCAAACCTTCCCGCTCGTGCAAAGAGCAAAATCTTGGGATTAAGAGCAGGAGGAAAGAACCGCGGAAAAGCAGCAGCAGGAGGCGGCGGATTTTGCTGCTTCTTTTCCTCGGAGGAGGAGAAGAGGGCGAAGGGGGAGGCGGCGAGGGCGCAGCGCTTACCGGGCTTGGAGAGGCATGGAAGGGGCGTCGGGTCCGCCCGGGCTCGGTCCTCGCCCGGCGGCGTCGGTACCAGGCTGCAGGGATAGAAGGGAAGCGCTGGGGCGGGCAGGCGAGCCGCTACCGGCGCGCAGCAGCTCCCGCTGCGAGGAAGAGGCGCCCCCGCCGGTGCCTCCGAGCCGGCCCCGGTCTCCTCCCACTGGCTCGGCGGAGAAGGGTTTAAAGGGCCCGGCAGGCGGAGAAGGAGAGGTCATGTGACGAGCCGGCTCTCGCTCACCCCCCCCCCGTCACACACCCGCGGTAGGCAGGGGTTGTCTTCAAAACAAAGAGCAAAAAAGACGCCCCTGAGCATGTGCAGAGCGCGTACCTAACTAGGCAGGGACAGCTCTGCTCCGTGTGAAGACGTGGTTATTTTTTCCACGTTGTCAAGCACGTACAGGGGGCGTGTCCCCACCCCAATGAATGACCAGGTCTGATATGGAATCACAGAATTGGAAGGGACCCCAAGGGGCATCTAGTCCAACCCCCTGCAATGCAGGAATCTTTTGCCCAACGTGGACTTCGAACCTGCGGCCCTGAGTCTCATGCTCCACCAACTGAGCTATCCAGCTATCATACATGAAGTTAGGCTTTCTGAAACATACACACAGGCAGACAACTGGGGCTTAAGCATGAACAGAGGGCTTTCCTTTCCTTGTTTAAGTATAACCAGATACAGCTCGGATACACAGGGGGTTACTTTTAAGAAACTGAGTTGATTCGAGCATGTTGAATGAAACCTTCAGACGTGATATTCAGGGAGTTTTTAAATATAAAAAGTGGATTCCGTGAACTTAAGCATGTGCAGAGTGCATTCTAGCCACACTGAGTGAGCATGGCACTTAAGTAGCCACAATTTAAAGGACGGGAAAAATTGAGTTGGGGCAGCACATTCTTTCCTCAGCTAAGAGCCACCCATCTGCTGTAATATATTATACATGAAGTGATTTTTAAAAGGTCTTTGTGTACACAGAGAATGCCTTTCCATCCCACCAAGTAAGTAAGCGCCACAGCAAATGCCACCTTTGGTGGAGGAATAGTCCTGCTTTAAAGAAAGGATAAACAGGGTGTCATTGAGAATGTGCAGAGTGCCTACCTGCCTCAAGCACAGCCTGATGCTAAGACATGGTAATAAAAAGCAAGGGAGGGGGAAATGGGAAAAAAACATTTTGCTGCCTGAGGCGCAGAGGGGACTGACCGCTAGGGCAAGGTGGTTCACCTCAAAATCCAAGGCTGTCTTGTATTCCATCCGCCCACCCCATTCATAACTTTCCAATCATTCAGAGACTGCCTAGAGTCTTTTCTGCCCATCTCCTCTGCTGGCCAATCACAGCTGTGAACAGCACAGCCAATCACAAATATTGTTATGGGCACCTGGTCTCACCCTTCAGCTTTGTCTGATGGTGGGAGGGAGGGAGCTGGAGAAAGGGGCCTCTCAGCCTAGCCTACCTTGCAGGGTTGAGTTCAGATAGATGCTAGGCAATTGTACAACTGCATTTTAAGTGCCCACAGCATCTGAACTGCTTGATCCCACATACGCCCACTCAACCCTTTCCCTTCTGTGGAATTAGCACCATTCCAAGTGCCACAAAATAATAATTCCGCATTTGTAAGAAATTGATCTTCACTATAGTCTTTCTGGTGACTGCTAAAAAGGTGTTTGTCCAGATATGTAGAACATTCCCGTGTTTTAATCTGTGCTTTGCTTATTGCTGGTTTTCATTATTTGAATGATTTGAAAAGCTGGTTTAAACTGTTTTTGGATCATTTTATTGTTTTAATCCGTTTGAGGGTTTTTTTGTGTGCGTGTTTTTTTACAATCAAGCAGTATAGAAATTATATGAAAATAAATAAATAAATGTTTGCGAGTGGGGAGGACAAGGAGAAAACAAGAACAAACTGACCACCTCCAGCCAAGGGGCACCCTTAGCTGCCCCACTGGGTCCAGTGGTCATCAGCCATCTCTGTTGGGGTGAAGTCTGAAATGGTTTCTGCACACGCCATTCTATGGTTGACAGCCAACTGATCTGGCAGCTCAATCTTACATCATCATCAGCAATGGGACAGTCTTCGTTCTCTCTCTCTCTCTCTCTCTCTCTCTCTCTCACACACACACACACACACACACACATTTGGGGAGCAGCAGGCTAGTTTACAGGGTGTCAGCCAGGCCACAGGAGTGCCAGCTTGGCCCTGCGACTGTGGGTGCCCAAGGCCATGAGTGCCATGCAGTGTGCATGGCCCTGACACCGAAATTTGTTGGTGCCCGGCCCCTTTCTGGGGAATTTTGTGGGTGCTCAGGTACCCAGGGAGTTGGCACCTATATTCCCAGCCATATGGCACAAACAGTTCTGCTTTCCAAAACCTCACAGTCCAAAACCTTACAGCACCTGCCGCCTGAGGCAGCTGCCATATCACTTTGCCTGATGGAAGGGCCGGACCCTGAACCTGAGCTTGCTTTATTTATTTATTTAGAGCACTTGTGCCTTGCTCTTCAGCAAAAAAAACCACACCTCCTCAGAGCGGCTTACACATCCAATAAATTAAAACCGCCCGCAGGTTTATAATCTAAGAAATCTGACAGACAAGGGAAAGGGGACAGGCTGGGAAGAGGGAGGTGAGAAGCAAACTCAGGTGCCAATTCTCAAATAGTCGTTCTTATACTGACCAGTTGGCATAGTAATAATCCCAGGGTAGGTGTCTAGTGATGCTGATCTTTTGGCAAAGCATATAGAGGGAGTCCTCCTTCCCTTTCTTCCACTGAGGCAGTCTGATGGAATCGAATGTCAGTGTAGTATCCAAAGTCACTCGAGACTTTTCTTCTAAGTGCCAGAGAATGACATATCCTACACACCTATACTTGGTGAATTATTAATACATCAGCCTTTTCCAACCTGGCGTTTTGGACTACAACTCCCATAAAACCAAGTTGTTTTCCAGGACATCGCGAGGGCACCAGGTTGGCGAAGCCTTCCTTGCAGCAGGGGTAGGGGAACATGTGGCTCTCTGGATATGGCTAGTCTCCAGCTCCCAACATCCTGGCCATAGTGGCTGGAGTCCAGCCATATCTGGAGGACTGCAGGTTCCCAGCCCTGCCTTACAGGATGGCACAGATGACAGAAATATTAAGAACCTCCAAGGTTTCACAACAGAAAAGAGGCATGCGCTTGGAAAACCCCAATTCTCATGCCAGGCTTCATTGCCCAAACCACAGACCTCCTTGTACACTCACAAAAGGGTAGCTACTTACACATCACCCAGAAAGGAAATGCATCATCAAAATAGCAGTCAAGAGAGGACACAGATTTGCATAACATTTGGGCTTGCTGATTTATAGGCACGTGTGCACATTTAGAAATAATTGCTGTAGTTTAAATAGAGATGCAGAATATCTCGCCCCAGTGGGTGAGACTGTGATCTGGAGACCCTTATGCCCCTTCAGTCTCCTGTCTAGGTGCTCAAGTCTCCCTTTTTGTGGGGAAGGGCTGTAACTCAGTGGACAAGCACCTATTTTGCACAAAGAAGGTTCCTGGTTGGGTCCTCAGCATCTCCCAAGTAGGTCTGCCAGGGTCTCAACTGAGTCCACTCTGAAACTCTGGAGCAGGGTGTCCCAAACTTGGGTTTTGGGTGGTTTTGGACTATGATTCCCATCATTCCTGACCACTGGTCCTGCTAGCTAGGGATGATGGGAGTTGTAGTCCAAAATCAGCTGGAGACACTGCTAGTACAGAGCAAGGACAGCCAATATGGTGTCTTCCAGATGTTGCTGGAAAACAGCTCCCATAATTCTTTACCATTGGCTATGCTGGCTGGGTCTGATGGGAGTTGTAGCTCAACAATAGCTACAGGGCACCTTCTACTGAGCTAGATGGGCCAACGATATGTTTTGGTATGAGGCAGCTTCTTATGTTCCCATGTCTTTTGTTATTTTGCTCCCTAGAGCATCCATTGCCAGACTCTCCAGATGTTTGAGGCTGTTTGAACCCTAGCCTCCCCAGTCCCATGGCTGGCAAGAAGTGCCAATTTGACCTAGGCCACCATACATCAGTCCTTTTGTGAAGAGGGGTTGATTGTTCAACTACCCCGAGAATTGCAACAGGGGTCTCCTAACACCCCTCAGCCATCCTTGACAAACGATGGCTCCCAGAATTCTTTGTGGGAAGCCATGATTGTTCAAAGCAGTTGCTGTAAATGTATGGTGCAAATCTGACCCAAGTGGCTGGGTGCCTCAAGGTGGGCTACTTACTTCTTGAGTTACAATTTCTACCCCACCCTGCTTGGACTTGTGACTGTTTATCCACTTTATTCACTGCAGTGCTGAGGCTGAGGGTGAGGGGAAAGAGGTCAAGAAGCCTCTTCTGCCATTGACTCAGAGAAGGCTCCAACTTTCACTCACTCTTCCCGCCAATGTTTCCATTTCATATTGATTGTCGTTTCTGATGAGTCCACGCTGCGTCCTTGCTGACGAATCAAGGAAACTCGATCCACCGTCCTTGTCTATGAAGAGGAAGTAAAATCTTACACAGCAGACAATTTACCTCTCCCCACCATGCATCTGTTCTCTCCAAGCAAGGTCCAGTGACATCCTGAGGCTGGCGCTTCTTTTCCCAACACTAAGTTAAACTCAGGTTTACACAATATTCAAGCATCACCCCCCCAAAAAATACACATACCCTCCAGGAAACTGGGGTAACACTGGTTTGAGGGGGGTGGGGTGGAATGTGTTGTAGATTTTCCTCACATGATCAAGAGAGCTGATGACAGGAATGTGTCTGAGGAACTCCGAGGTCAAGTCAGAAGGATATCAACTCCCTGCACATTTGCAGCCTAACCTTAAGAACAAAATTAAATGTGCCTTAAAACCTTTGGTTTTAATTGCGTGAGGTCCATAGCGCTCTGCCTGAAACTGAGCTGCAAATGGAGAACAGACAAACAGCTTTCCAAAATATAGATAAACCTTCATAATTAAAACACTCAATAAAAACAACCCTTTTAAAACAAGTTGGCAATTTAAACAGGGAGGCTGGTTTAATTGTATTCAGGTTATTAAAGATTCTGTCCTTTAGCTCTGTGTGCACATTAATTTATTTACCATTAACAGCATTTATATCCCACTTCTCCTCCATGGTGCTCAAAGTGGCATACATGGTTTTTCTCC